CCCCCCATTCCCCCGATTCTATCCGGTATTTGGTTATAGCGCGGGAGCATTTGTCATTGCGATGTTTAATGTACTAGAGTCACTAGGGAAGTTTCTCGGTATCATGAACTGTGTTTGTATGTATCGCTCATCGTGATGCCTAGAACAGAATATCCATTAAGGAATTCCTTCCCGTGTAACGGTTTGTATCTTTGATAAATCGTTCAATGACCAGATAGATGTGATCCCCGGATCGATATTGGTGTCGGGAATGCGTTTATTATGCCAAAGAATCACTGTTCGTACCATCGCCTTTATTTAGTCTTGGCTCTACTGTCCGTTTCACGCTTCCTTTTTACGCCAAATCCCTGCCTGAACATGCGCCGTACCATCTGTATAGCTGATGCGGATGCGCTACTGAAACTGGACAGTTTCGGCATTCCACTGAGTGCTTCGGGGGAGGCTTCGCTCTCGCGACCAGAAATCAGGGCTATTTTATATTTCTGGGAGCCCTCAAGCATGAAATTTAGTGCTTCTGCCTGCGGTGGCGCGAAACCATGTGCTAAGATTCCACCGCCACCAAGGTGACAGCGATACGCAGCACACCCGCTCTTAGTCCTAGAACCAAACGCGATTCGTACGAGATTTTCAGGTGCGTCAACTTTCTTGCCAGTCTGGCTCATTTAGTGCAAGGGCAGGTTGCGTCTTCCGGTTTGTAGGTCTCTCCATCTCTAAGGTAATTGTTAGACCATACCCAAAACGTTTCTCTTTTTAAGGTTTACCATAGTTATGAAGTGAAACTGCTAACTCGGTGTCTTTAATCTTTATGTTTCTCTTTCTTCTCTGCGTTTTTTTGCCCGTACGCGCTCCACTTTTTTTGGGTGTCAGAATACTCAATATGTCTCGCCGGTGAACATAATCGCGAGAATGACTACTTTTTGATCACCAGCTGTATAGGGGCATGTAGTGTTTGTGTTGAAATCGTGGCAAAATATATGTTTCTCTTCAATACTGTTTCAATATTCAAGTAAAAGTATATACCTGATATTCCGCCGTTTAATGCAGAAGCGTGCAAAGTGTTTTTTATAAATAATCCGTACTTATGGTACTCGAGGTAGTGATGTTTCGGATGGCCGGTATTTCCGGCTGTCGGGGGCGAACAAAGAGCTTTGCCGAGTGTAGAAGAACCGTGTAAGACGAAGACGCGCAAGAAACTAGAGCCCAACCTCAAAGACTGCATGAAAGACGACAGAGCGAAGAAGTGGTGTTTAAATCCCGTCGTCTTGGGCATATTACAAATCCGTACAAAGGAAAGTTGCGAGAGGCCGTCAGAAATCATGGAGCATCTTGCTCAAGGTATGTTTGTATCGCTTCTTTTTCGACTGATGCGTTTGGAATGGGGAGATGCATCGCGTCGAAACCCACGTCGAACAAGTAACGTTTCCGGAAAAATTTTTCAAAAAGATTTTCATCATCCGCCCTGATGCTGCTGTGGAGATATATCTTGGAGAAATGAGCGAGTTCATGCTTTCCTCAAAAATTATTCCAAATACCGCTTCAACGGTGCTGGACGAAGAGTAACGCAGACATTAACGATTACAGGGCAATGAGCTACCTCACGTATGTGAGGAAGTATAAGATCGTAAACATCGACTATTTTTTGCTACGCATCTTCTTGGCGCTGTTCTCGGGCATGTTCCGCGAAGGGATAGGGGCAATCTTCGATGGTATCAAGAACGATCGCGAGCATGAACAAGAGATCGAATTCGTCGACAAGCGGACATCATGCAGTTCCAAAAATAGGGCTTCTGTTTTCCGCGCGACTCTTCTAAAGCATCGTTCGGTCTTGGGGCATTTCAACCCAAGAGAAAAATTGTCAGATATCTGAAAAAACGAAGAGGGATGTTACCCCCGCTTCCTGCCCTACTATATGTTTTTGGACCGAGATCTCGAACGCAAGGCCGACATGGATCTGAGTGTGGAAAGAATGACGGATTGGAGGACCGGCATTGATGAGCTTCTCCGGATGCGCTTCATTGCCTTCCGGTTATGCGAGTTCAGGTCACATTTTGTGAATATCGACTCTAGAGCCCTTTGAGCCTTCAGCAATGAGATCTCTCTAGAGCTCGATTTAAGAAACAAAGAGGTCACCAGCGAAGACCGGAAACCTACTGGAAGAATAATTTCGATTTCAAGCGTCCGTGGCCGACCAAAAAAAAAAAGGTGCTCACGGGAGCCATCGATAACGATGGGGTTTCCATATGTCTACGTAACCGGCGATTGAAGGCAGGCCGCCCTATCCCGTCTTCATTTCGCCCCTGCCGAAGGACAAACACAAAAAGACCAGCCATGGAACGTATAATCCCCACGAAAACGACTTTGTCGTCGGCCTTAACCCCTGGGATCACGAATATCATAACAATCGCAATATCCAAGCGTGCGGAAGATGGTACTAACGGTAACTTACGTCAGAAAGACATGCGTCTGTTGAGGCTCTCGAGAGCAAGATACTATCGAGAATCCGTTATACAGAATGCGAGGAAGAAATTTGGAAGCTGAAATGCATGAATGGAAGAGAACCTGGAAGCTTTGAGCGAGGTGACGAGCCGCGGCGCGGACATAACCTCTTTCTGAAATTCATGGATGTTCGCGTTGCTCGTTGGGATGCGCTGTGGGAGGAGAATACAAAGCCCCGGTGGGCTCGTTTGCGTATGAATTTGTATTGTGGGAAGCAGCGTGCAGTCGCGAACTTTTTTAGTGAGTTCCGTGCCATGAAGGAGGATGAAAGCCATAGGCTGGTAGTAGCGTACGGAGCAAGGCGCTGGAAGACCCAAAAAGGACTTCGCCAGCTCCGACGACATGGACGTACAAGGAATACGCATGGCGTTTCGTTACAGTACCTGTGGATGAGTTCCGAACGTCCTATACGCACCATGGACTGATTGTACACTTCAGACAGTGGAGATGGAAAAGTGTCAGCGGAGTCCTGAGGAAATAGCAAAATACGGACCGCTGACGGATGAGCAAATGGAAAGGAGGGCAAAAGTTCGTGGGCTACTTGCATTATTAAGTACAACTAATAGTGGCAAGAAAGGGATTGATTTCGTGAATCGTGACTTTAATGCCGCAATCAATACAAGGAAATGTGCGGTGCTGGAGAAAAGACCTCCAGAGTGGCCAAGAGTGGACTTTGCTTGACAATCACTCAAAGTGGAACTGTATGAGACAAAGTTGGAACCAGTAGTAGGTGGCCGGTCGAAAAAGACAGATGCGTCTGCACGTCGCCTGAGGACGTCTTGTCTAGGGCGCGTTTGCCGCCACTACTGTACACCTTCGGCATCGTTCGACTTTTGAATGGCGTTCAGCGGTGCCAAACTTGTGGATACCTCTGACAGTTCTTTTTCTTTGAAACGCGTTAGGCAGCCGACAGGCGGGCGGGCAAGAAACGGACGGACGCGGCGCCAGGCTACGCACCGTCACGCTTCTGGAAAGTCAGCCGATGAGGCACCTTGCGAACCTTCGGAAGAGAGCAGCGAGTGTCCGCTCTGCCTTGAGGAACTGGATGCCGCAGAGAAAGCATTCTTTCCTTGCGCGTGCGGGTATCAAGTGTGCCTGTGGTGCCTGAGTCGCCTTCGCACAGCGTGCGAGGAGGGCCAGGTCCCCCGGTGCCCCGCGTGCCGGACGCCGTACGACGAGAGCCGCTTTCAACTCCGCGAGGAGCTTAGTGATGAACGTCTTGCAGAGAAGGAACGACTACGTGAAATAAACAGGCGCAAAAAGGAGCGACAGCTTCGCCAAGAACAGCTAGAGAGGGAACGTCAGGAGCAGCGGGAGTACGAGCTCGCCAAGCGGATACGAACAATGCGTCAGACCTTTATCGTGCAGCGGAACTTGATCTGCATTCGTGGATTGCACCAATCTCTCTGGTCCGAGCACACAATTCGGCGCTCGGACATGTTCGGAAAGACGGGGAGAATCCAACGAGTTCTCTTTGTCCAGGGAACTGGCGTCTATGTGGAGTATGCAGATGAGGCGGCAGCCACCCGCGCAATACAGCTTTACGACGGGGCGCGCTGGCAAGGCCATGAAGTGCACGTCTCCTATGGCACGGTGCGCTATTGTGAGGCATTTGTCCAGGCCTGTGAGCAATACCTGAAAACATTCGTTGAATGGAAACAGAGCCAGATTGAGTCTGCACAATGGACATCTGGACGGAACCCGTCAATAAGGCCACTCGATGCAAGCGATACGGTAGCGGTTGCATTCGCCGGCGCAAAGGTCATATCTCGAAAGCGGGCATCCAACGGCGCAAAACCGCCGCAGCCACCGACCCAGAAACGCTGCGTGGATCCCGCGTGTTTATACCGACATGAGTTTGCCTCCAACACAGATGCCATATCCCGGGAGGCTTTTCTCCAGAGTAGGTACGGGCCTCCACCACCGTTGCATGCGTTTCGATCCGCGACCTGTACGCAGACGAAGAAGCCCTGCTCCAACGCGACGCTGCAGCCGCTCTCTGATATCGATGCGAGGCAGGACGCAGGGAGTATCTCGGGTGCCGAGGCGGGTCCAAATGAGGACGACTTCGTCTTTGACGAGTTCGCCTCTCCCAAGATTAGTGCAGCAAGAGAGAACGATCTGTTTAAGCTTGGATGCATCTGGGGAAGCAGTTCGCCCTTGTCGTGGCATGCGGAGCCCGGCCTGGGGACGCGCGCGGCCTCAGAACGCTCAACAAGGCTTGTGGGTGATGCAGCCGAAGGGGCACCGCCTCAAGCATCAGGGGCTATGGTCAACGCATGGCGTTCTTTTGACGAATACGAGCGTATTTCTTTGTCAGAACGTGACGCTACAGGTAATCGTACAGCGCTACACCCAGAGGTCGAACCGTTGACACAGCAGGCGTTCATCTCCTGGGACCCGGCAATTCAAATGGCAAGCGGCGCGATTAGGCGCTCTTGTTCTGTCTCTCTCGGTGCTGTTGGCGAACGAAGGAAACCAGCGACGGGGAACCCATGCTTGCCCGATAACTCACCGATCTCACATTCGGTGTCGTCAGGGCGCTCGGTATCCATTGCGGATCCGCACTGGAGCGTCACCGAGGATCCCTTCGCGCAGCTGACGAAAGCGTTTGCCCAGATCGGTGTAACGAACGTACGAATCGAGAACAGCTATCACGTTGGGGATACCGGTGCTCCGCTCTGGACGGAGGAGACTCGGGGCGGCTCGATCTGGAAGTCGCCGCGCTGGCGGAGCTCTAGCGTATCGGCTTCTTTGACGGCCTTGCAAGACCTTGGCTGGCGGCCCCTAGACGCGAATACGAACTTAGCGGATAGCTGAATATTAGCTTGCTTCGGGAGAGGATATCGCTTGGATCCTTAGTACGATGGAGTCGCGACGCATTCGGTAAACACGGGCGTGATCCTATGTCAATGGTGTTCGAGTGCTTGCCGAGAGGGAAGGCGGTCGCCATGAGGTACGCTTTGCAACGCGGCACAATCAAAGTGTCGAAAACAGGCTTGCGCTGTTTGCGTACAACGGCATCATTCCCGTGAAGCAGATTTCTAGAACGGATGTCGAGGCGAGCGATACGCAGGCTTGATCCGGACGTCACAGATAAGAGTACTCGATCCGAACCACTTGATGGACTTGTATCGACAGGTGCAGTTAGAGGACGCAGACGCCTCCGGATCCATCCGAGGGATTCTGGTGCTTCGCAACGTAGAATATTGCCGCTTACGACTTCGTAAAAATCGCTTGATGATCTCATGGCTGCCGAAGAACACCGCTGTGAACGGGACCAACCACAGCACGCGGGCGAGTCCCCCGGTGAAGAAGCCGCTCAGCCCTTCTCGATGCCAAACGTCACGAGCGGCGTCCCAGTAGCCGCGGTATTGCGAGCGTGCACACGTCATGAGTTTCGTCTTAATGACATCGAGCGGGGTGGTACACCAACCGGTTACGCCGCCAGCGAGGCCACCCATGGTCCATTCCTCTGAGGAATGTAGTCGATCGCGCTTAACAGACCACATGCACGCTCGTTTAAACTGCTCGTATAGCCCAAACTCGAGCATCGTATACGGGACGTCACGCGTAACTGTGGCCCAGTAGCCCCTGTAGAGTCCAGAAACGCCATCCTGCTCAATGATACGCAGAAGCGCTTCGCGGAAGCTCGGATACAAACCGGCCTGGAGGCGGCTCTTTACGACCTCACCGGGGACCAGAACTACAGAGCAGGCCAGAAACGCCAGCGCTGCAGAGGCGACTTCGCCCCAACCCTGTGCTGCAGCCGGGAGCCGCTTCTGCACGGCGTGTTGCTTCAGCAGCTCGTAAGTTGCAAACTTGATCGCGCCTGCTGGCACTTGCCCGCTGAGATTGGCACCTAGGCCGGCGTAAAATCCTCCGGGCCCTCTTTGAGCCAAGATTTCTTGCGCAGCGCCGAGCATTGTCGGCCGGACGTTAGCGCTGCCGCCTGCGGTTGCCACCTGAGCGCGTTGCATGTAGATTTTGATCGTGTCCAACGGGTGCATAACGCTGACGGCGGAGAGTGTCGCCCCGCCGCCAGCCACCAGATGCTCCCATAAACAGAGATCGCCTTTCTCGTCAACCATTGGACAAGCCTCAGCAGACGCTTTAAAGAAATTGAAACGTGAGGTTCAGCGAACGTTCAGCAAAGTTGAAGCCTGCCCCGCGAGGTCGGGCCGTACCTGCCGACCAACGGCGGCGATATTTGCGTCGGCGCGTGTTCCTAAATGGTGAGCACCTGATTCTGGCGTTTCATTTGATGATAAAATGTTGACTTGCTTTATGGATCGCTGACAGCGGAATGAATATTGAAAGAAATGAAAGCGCTCGATATTCTTCAGCCTACTTTCAAACTCCATTACCTATAATTCGTTCGAGATGTGCTGGCCGTTTTGTAGTTCTCTAGCGTGCCGAGCCTTCCCTATTGCTTACACCGAAGGTGCAGCCTCATCACAGCGAAAGAATGGCTTTGCGAGACTACTGAGGGCGTCGTCTCGAGGTGTGGCTCCACTGAGACGGAATCCGGACTCGTTATCATTCAGGGAGCCTGCAAACTGCGGAGACAGACGTGCAGCCTGCGGCAGCGCGAAGCAATATACTAGGAATCATCTTCGAGCAATGCGATGACCACTTGCACCATACCCGCTCCTCGCGCAAGAATAAACTGCTTGGTGCATGAGTTGGTCAGGTCGCACTAAAGCGCTTGCCACTGGGGGAGCATGGAGCACGAGCCTTGCATACTCGTCCGGCTCGCTGGACCTTGCGCCTGGAAAGTAAGCTTTCTAAAATTCTGTATGATTTTCCTCTTTCAACGTTTATTGTAGAGCGGGTACGAAATCGCTATATCGTTGCTCGCGGACTGCGAGTCTCTGTTCTTTTTTCTTTGTTCTAAATAGAGCTATCGGTTAGCACCCGTGGGAAATCAGGCAGGCATGAGACACGACGCGAATGCCGCCGATGTTGAAGGAAAACGCTATCGTGATCAGGAGCGTGTTGTTTAGCTGTAATAGTTGGATTTCCGTTCGAGCCCTAGCAAAGTACAGTTTTTCAGTTCATATGTGTTTCGAACCTAAGACAAGTGTATTCAAGAGTTTTCTCGCAACACATAATAGACGCGTTCAAAGAGAGTTCTGTTTTGAGAAGAAAAGCTAAAAAAAGAAAGTTATGAAAAAGCTAGTCGACGATTCTGTAGGCCCATTATCGCCGGCTGCCGGAAAAAAAATACCGAAAACAGTGTGGAGTCCAGAGGACAGGGGGAGATGAAGAAGCAAAAGGGGGAGGCCCTACGTCGATGCATGCAAGAAAGACTACTTTATGACAACATGGTGGTGAACGCCGGTCTTCGTAAACGTATAAAGAATATCCATATAAGAAAAAGTTTCGAGACACTATCAAAAAACATGTCAACTCGTACTCCATGAGTATTGTCAAGGCGTCGACAGGACTGATGCATTTGGTGATGCAGACGTATCGCGACGTGACGCACATGGAAACGGTCGAGCTTCCGGACAAGCTCTTCGACCAGACACATATTCGTCACTTGATGCTTGGTACAGGGAAAGCGCAGAGGGAAAATGAGCTGGTTCGCACTCTTCACGAAATCTTCGCGGAATTCTGCTTCGAGGGTACTCGATGCAAGGGTGACTCGAATATTTACATATACGGAACGATGAAGTACGTTACGAACCTGAAAAACCATTTAACAGAGAGCCTCGAACGTTTCATGATATGCGCCGTGTTTGCACTCCACACGGGCGTCTCTCGCAAAGGAATATGGGCGATGATCAATGGCACCATGAACGATCGATAGTATGAAGATGAGGTCGAATTCGTCGACAAGAAGGCGTCACTCAGGAGCACGAATGAAGCTTCTGTGATCCGTGCGGTTATACAAGAGCACCGTGCGGTACTGGGGTTGGCGAATCCAATAGACAAGATATCAGAGTTGAAAAAAGACAAGTAAAGATACTATCGCCTCATTCTGCGCGATTTCGTGTTTCTGGACCGAGAGCTCGAACGCAAGGCGGAAATGAAGCTGAGTGTAGAGACAAATGAAGAGTGGGAGAGACGGAAGGCTATTCTAATGGGGAGGCGCGTCAACGTGGTTCCAATGTGCAACATCAAGTCACATTTTGTGAGTATCGACTCCAGAACCCTTCATGGCATCATGAGAGAGATCAGTCCCGAGTTCGATGCTACAATGGAGGAGTTCTCCGGTGAAGCCCGTGAGACATACGGTAAGAAGAGTATCTTCTATTTCAAACGTCTCAAAGTGAGCAAACAAAAGGTATTCGCTGGGATGGTCGAAACCGATGGTGTAGCCATGTGTGTGCACTATTGGCGGTTGAAGATGGATCGTCCTATCGTGCCTTTCGCTTCGCCCTCTGCGAAGCATGAAGAAATCAAAGAGGCAGATCCAGCGACGCAGGAGGTGCAGGATAACGACTTTGTCGTTGGGGCGGACCCTGCGAATACGAATAGCATAACCATCGTTGCTCCCAAGCGTGCGGAAGATGGCATTGACGGCAGCTTACGTGAGAGCGACATGCGTCTATTGAGGTTCTCAAGAACTAGATATTATCGAGAATCCGGTATAAAGAATGCGAGGAAGAAAACTGAGACATGGAATGCATAAATCAAGGAGCACCTGAGAGCTTCGAGCGAGCTGACGATCCGATGAGCAGACTTTCAAGCTTTTCTGAAATTCATGGAAGTTCGCGTTGCTCATTGGGAGGCGCTTTGGAAAGAATATCTAAAGCCCATGTGGGCTCTATCGCGAATGTATCTGTGCTGTGGGAAGCAGCGTGGATTCGTCAACTTTTTCAATCAGTTCAGTGCCCTCAAAGAGGATCAAAGTCAAAAGCTCGTAGTAGCGTGCAGAGCAGGGCGCTGGGCGCCCAAAAAAGGGACTACACCAGCTCCCACGACAAGAATATATAAGGATTGCGCAAGGCGTTTCGCTAGGATACCTGTACATAAGTTCCGAACATCGTATACAATCCACGAGTTGGGATGTACACTTCAGAGAGCCGAAAGAGAAAAGTGCCAGCGGAGCCCTGAGGATATAAAAACGTACGGAGCGCTGACGGAAGAGCAAATGGAAAGGTGGGCGATTGTTCGAGGATTGCTCGCATTAGAAAGTACAACTTCTAATGGCAAGAAACGTATGGAGTTTGTGAACCGAGATGTTTATGGCGCAATTAATATAAACAAATGTGCGGTGATGGAAAGAAGACCTCATAATGGACAAGAGCGAACTTTATTGGACAACCTCCCAATGTTGAACTATATGAGACATGATTGAAAGCATTAGTACATGGACCGCCGAGAACGCCTGGTGGGCGTCTCTACGTCAGTTGGAGTCGTCTTGTTTAGGGCGCGTCACACGCCACTACTGCATACCGCTGGCGTCGTTCGACTTTAGAGGGGCGTTTGTTGGTGCGTGTCGTGCGCTCGAACATGGCTTTTACAAACATTTTTTTGCATTATTCACCGAAACATCGAAAGGCTTCAAGTGTAGCGTTGGTTAGGAAGGCGTCGACTGGCTTCGTTTGGAGTAGCCGTTGGCTTTCCTCGCACGGGAGGTCGCTCCGGCGGGTTTCCCCATGCTCGTTGGCGAACGCAAAGCGTGCTTGTCGGGCGCTGCAGATCACCTCGACATTAACTCCACCGTTCCCGGTGGGTGCCGGCCCGCGTGACGGCGCTGGTGCTGCTTCCCAGAACAATGGTGCGCCCGCTCCAACTTCGGTCCCAAAGACGGATCACATGTCGAGGCGTGCGCAGGCCCTGCGGGCGTTTTTGCGCAGTCACAAGTCGCTTCTTCGGTGTGGTGACGGCTTCCATACAGAAGCCGCGAACACCTGCCGGAAAAATGATACAGCGCTGATGTTCGTCCCTATCGAAGAGATTGAGTCATATCGTGGTAGGAGGAGTTTTCAGGGCGCTGACGTGGCGGCAGTCATTACGACCAATGCGGAGGCGATCATCGAAGCTGGCATTGCGGCTGCAAGGGTGAAGAAAGAATGCTACGAGGGAAAAAATCTGGCAACGCTGAGCCGCACCGAAGCCATCGAGGAACAGCTCGCCAACGACATGCGCGATCAGCTTCGCATTGTGAGTTATGCGGTGCTGGCTCAGGAGGAGAATGCACCGCCAGTTGACTTTTTGCACCGACGCAACGTTGCATTACTACTGGAGCTCTACCATGAACTTGGGCTGGATTTGAGCCGTGTTAAAGACGGCTGGCAAGCAATGGCGCGCAAAATCCAGGAGCTCTGTCCGGATCCGTCCTGGTATGAAAAACGTGTCAAGCCTGCTGTTGAGCAACTGCTGGGCGCCTTTGGGAACTAGGGACGCGAAACCAGATTCCTCTGAAAGATTTGTTCCTATGCACCAATGGAGGATATTTGTTTGCATTCGTCTCTGTGTATGTACCTTATAGATGCAGACCCTATTTCTCTAGGTAAAAGACTTGGTTGCATGTACGTTACGCCCAGCGTCTGTGCTCTGCGTTCGGGGGGCAACATCGGGCGCTCCAGCTGCCTCCGCGAAACAAACAAGCGCCGAAGCCAACGTGAACTGGAGTCGAGACGGAGAGATGCATCAAACGAGTGCCATCGCTTTTCCGAAAGCGCCTAGCGTTGCACTGTGAACCCCGAAGGCTTTCCGTCGGTTTTACGCCTTGAAAATATCTCGGTTGCGTTTCCTTCGGATGCCTTTTTGACGCAGACAACTCGTTGTTTCGTTCGATAACTCTAGGCATCGGAGCAGCGTCAATACGCTCCATGATCGATCGTGCGGGATGCTTTGCGCGCCTGGGAAATGCGTCAACGGCATTCGCGCTGATTTCTACACCCGTCGCAGACCAGGTGGTGTTCCGTCGAGCAAGCTCCGCTACCGTATTTCGATATTTGACCAAACTATTTCTGGGTGTACAGCCTCGGCATTCGAAGCGCATCGATAAGGACTTTCGGATTCCTTGGCATTTATAGAATGCTCTTCCTTCAATTCAGAGTGGCTCATTCGAAGCTCTCGAGTTGGAATTCGCTACGTCAGTGTCGTCTAGATGATTCGCGAGGCATTCAAGGAAGGGTGCAAAAGACGATCCGATACCTTTCTCTAATACGTAGGTATGCGCCACGATTCGTCTACTTTTCTTCCGTGCAGCATGCTCAAATCATGCGTTCTGCGAGCGTCCGATCTTGCTGTTCCACGGGAGCAGGCGGGTGGAGCAGTTAGCGATGCAGGATTGACCCCAAAAAGGAGCTGTACCTCGAGATTTGAAGACTTGTTCAAAAGCAGGTGCCGAAAGTTCGATGAACTTGCCACGTCACATAATCGAGATCCCTTCAAACATGCATCCTTCTCTATCGGTCGCGATCGAGAAATAGTCATTTAAAAATTACATAGTACCTTTTTGGGGGTATCATCCTAAGGCTCCCGTCTCCTCAGTGTGCAGGCAAAAGGGTCTGGGTCTCGAGCTGTCGCCATCGCAGCAATTGCATCCTTTTGAGAGCGCGACGGAGCTTCGCACGAAGCGGGTGCAGACGAATCGGAATTTCGAGGCTTGTTCTCCTGCCTATAATGTCCTTCCGGGACTTGTTTCCTAAGGTATATTACCGGATTTTACAAAAGCTCCGTCGAATGAAACAGCTTGCGCTTCCGTACGTGGCGCACAGAGCAGCATCCGAGACGTTTGCCCAGGAAAGATCAGTGATCATTAGGTGCGGCGCCTTTAGCGGAGAACTGAGGATATTCTCAACTAAACCCTTCTGTGTCCACGAAGCGCATGCACTGATCGATGAATCAAGCGCCCATGTACCAAGGGACATCCTTCAGAAGAAATGCTGTGGTAGACACATGGGTACATCTCACCGTCGTCCAAATCTGACTAGTGCGAAGGACGCACCGAAACTGCGAACCAAGATAATGAGGATGGTAAGCGCGTCGTTCATCGCAACGTCTTTCTGTGCATGAAATAGGTAGAAAACATCAGAAAGAAGCATATTTGGAATTTGGAGGCTGGTATCAACATGCTTCGACAGCTGATAATGAAACTAGAGGGAATCGATATACCAGTGCATTCAAGGCTCTACGTATGGTGATGGAAATGGAAGCAGTCGCGTAAAGAAAAGCCTACAAAGGCTGGTGTTGATGCTCATGAGAATAGACCCAAAATTCAGCGTAATCGCTCGATTTACCTTCGATCATCCGTTCCATCTGACTAGGACAAACGTACATTGTACCTGCGTTCGAGCACGGTACGATTCCGTTGGAATGAGGCGCGAATGTATCGCTGCAGCGCAAGTAACGCCATATAACATTAAAACAGGGCTGCCACCAGCACACGCCCAAGTCAAGAGAGGCTGCTGCTCAACGGAATTCGTTTGGTCTGCCCTCCAGTGCAGGCTTCGGGTTCCAATAGTCAGACTCGCACCGAGTCGGCTGCCTGAACCGCGCATATGTAAGTTACGGGAGCGCTAATACCGTTGGCAGTGTGATCGCCAACTTCGGCACCTACCCCGTAACCTAGATGTGTCCAAGGACTCGTTCGTGTTCGTAGCGTATCGGCACTGGATCTGGTGACGAGCGCTGCCCAGCGAATTCGGCGAAATACCTGGTGCAAGCGAGTCCACAGAGTAGTCAGCTCGTCGCGCAAGTCTGACGCACGCTGCGCCCGACAAACTCGACTTGGGTCACGCGACAGCGCTCCAAACATCACACAACTCCGAATGCGTCAAACCAAACATGTTCTGCTCGTCTAGCAGGTGCTCTGTATATTACATAGTGTCGTCCATGCTAAAATCCTGCGTGCTGTTGTTCTAGAGATGTGCTGTTTAGAGACGCTTCTACTCAGCGGACGATGACCTCAAAGTCTAGGATGAGGACGCGCATTTGAAAAAACTTCGAAAGCCAGACGTTCCGGATTGCCGCGAACCGCGGTAACATCAAGAATAGAAGGTACAGAGCCTCGTGCATGGCTACTCGTGGAGCGATTGCCCAGCTTACGCGTACACGAGCGGTACGTGTGGGTGCTCGAGATGCATACGAGATCGACACTGAGAGCGTACATCGTATCAAGCATTTCGAGCTCCGCTTTCGGTTTGCTAGGGAATCAACTCCGGTCGACGTCGAGACGTTCACATGCCTCGCGATCTTGTGCTATACGCGTCTGCAAACAGCTAGCAGTTGCACAGACAGCCGGTGTTCAGCGTTCGCTTCCACTAGCCATTCGTTTCCATGGATTCGCTCTGATGCGGGATTCCTAGCTTCAGGTGCTCCCAGAGTCGGCGATACATGACACTGAGGTCCTGAAGGCGCGATATAACATGCTGGCGCTCCCGGTGATACTCAAGCGGCTTGTTCACTCGCCAATTTCCATGAATTGGACACGGTCGAGACTGCACGTTTTCCGATCCAGTCTCGGGTGCATCTGCAGTACGCAGCCCTGCAGCAATTGGGCTAGGTCGCTGACCTCCACGCCACGACCACTGACAGTATCCACCAAACCCGCAGTAACCCTCGGGAGCCGCAGCCACAAGGACGCTGGTTTCCGCAATCTGCGCGTCCACGCGCTTCAGCTGGCAGTGCAGCTTGGTCGCTTCTTCGATAACGCCATTCAAACTCGCATAGGCTGCTTTTTCCGCAGCCGATGCAGTCGCTGCAAGTGGAGGTGGTGGTCGGAACTCTGGAGGCATACCTCGATCGTTTTGCGGAGCGTCCTGCGACGCATGCGCTGTTTGTGCCTCCTGTTCTCGCTTCTCTTGCTCTCGGAGCAGCAATTCTGCAGCTCGTTGCGCCTCTTTTCCGGCGGCCGCAAAGCCCCGAACCACCACCTCTGCAGCCAGGAGGGCTTTACGAGCAGCTCGCGGCAATGTCTCTACAGATTCCGCCAGACGGAGTACAGCCACAGCGCACCCACATTCGTCCGAACAGTACTTTGAACCACGGCGCGGTTCGTGTGTGCAGATCGGATATGCGCAGACCGGTTTGGGAAGTGTAGCAACAGCAGCACCAGCAGCAGCAGCAGCAACTCCACTGTTCCCACGTATACCGCTACGAGCATCTTCGTTCGGCTTGGAAGCGGTGCCTTCAGTGACGGGATCTACAACAGCGGACAAGGGGTCGCGGCCGTTGCCGATGCCCTTGCCGGCCGACTGCTCCGACGGCCGTCGACGCTTCGCCGTGCGTTTGCCCCGCAATGCCTCCACCGAACCGGTATCTGCAAGTTGGTGCGACCACTCGGGGCCCGAAATATCGGCTGCATCAGGCGTTCGTGCCCCTTCCGACCCAGCTGCTGCGTGTTGTTGCCCGTTTCCGTCGCCCTCGTACGTGAGCGCGTGATCATACGCTACTGTTGATGCATCCAGAGACGCGCCGAGCTGGCCGACTGCCGGTGGAAGCGAGCCATCTCGCAGCGCAAGCTCAAGCTGCAGCAGTCGTTCGTCGAAAAAGTGTTCAACCCGAGTCGCCCGCACCAGTATCTTTTGCGACTCCTTATCGGAGACCTGCAGAAAAAGCCGACAGTTGTGGAAAACCTGGCGAACATCCCGCACAACAGCCGCCGGATCGTCTGCGGTATATCCTTCCGCAGTATGCAAACGATGCATGATCAGGTTCAGATCCAAAGGCACAGGCACTGCCTGCTCATATCCTGGATACTTTTGAGGATTGGTGAGTTCACGAAGCTCCCGGGCATCGCTCCGTCGGCATATCTCTGCCAACAGATGTCGGAGGTGATACATGAAATGTCGGCGCTTCTCGTTCGGTAGCGCGTCTGCTGAAAGCGACTGCGAGGGTGCTCCACCGATTGGTGCCCGGCGGGCAAGCACGGAGAGGAAATGTGATTCAGGTAAATAACTATCGAGCTCCGCTGCTTGCTCGAGCAGGAAAGGAGCCACTTCATGGACATGCTCCTCGGTATATGAACGCATCCCTGCAAAAGGCAAGGTCAAGGCAAACGTCACGTATCCATACGTAAGATCCACAGCAGGTCGTAGCCGCACGCCGGGGTTTTTCGCACAAAGTAGATCTGCTCGCACAGCGATCTCGAACTTTGAGCGCGCTGACTCAAACAACGGAGCGTACTCTGGGGATGCTCCGTAATACACCACGTGGTACCAGGCGTCATCCGTCTCCACGTAGATGCGTGGTTCGATGCCAAACTGGATACACCAGGAGCGTATCGGTCCAATCGGAGTTCCCTTGAGGACAGGCATCCGGTTCCGCGTCGAACTTGCCGCTACAGCACCTTGCTGAGCGCGGGAGAGCGCCCTATCGACAGCCTCGGCCAAGTCCGTTGTACCATAGTACTCTGCGAGGCGGCCTTCAACGGCTAGACGCTCGACTGCGCTAGCGATCTCGTCTTCCTCTCGAGTGCAGAGCCAGCCGATGGCACAGACAACCGGTGGGTCTGGCTCATCGACGACGTCCAGAGGCACGAGTGCCTCGGTGAGCGTGTCCACCTCCGGCTGGAGTCTGTCTGGACGAAAGAACGAAAACTGAAGCAAACGACGCTGCTTCTTCGCATCGCCACTATCCCCTGGGAGGTTGTACCGGTCCGGGACGCTCTTCAAAGTCGAGTCTGGAAAGCTTTTGGTTTGTTCAGACTCGGCGTGTGCTCCAGTGACAAGTGAGTCCATTTGCGAGTCTAAACCTGTACTCGTGCATGCCCGTCCGCCAGGGCGCGGACGCGAAGGGTCACAACCGATCAAGTGAACCCCGCTGGTAACTCGGAGTTTCGGGTGCGGGCCTTGGAACCCGACTCGCCCGGAAGCTTCGCACCGACCTGTGGCACCGGGTGCTGCTCAGGTTTCTGCAGTGCCGTTCACACGCACACGAAAGCAAGACAGCGTCCCGATGCGGGGTGTAGCTTATGTACGCTATGGTAGCGGCGACGTCTATAGTGTTCAGAGCGTCCCCAAGAGAACGTCACCAGAAAACTTGTCTAAAGTTCGCACAAGCGCCAACAGTCGCAGCGCAGTCGTGTCCGATATCCACGGAACACTGGACTAGTCGCGCACGCTTCTCTCCGAACTGTGTTTTTATGCAGGACCTGGGTATTCGAGGTGCAGCGATGAGGGCTTACTGATTCCTATGTCGTTTTAGGATGATTGTACGTCTTTCTGGAGTGGGTCCGGTAGCGCTTTGCCGTCGGAGCTCGTTACGACACCTGCGTGAAGGTGCTTCGCGACAGCCGCAAACAAGGGTTCGCAGAATACGCGATATCACCATTCAGTTCATAAGGACGAATATCTGATCTTCTCCATTCTTGGTGTGACTATTGATCAGTTCAAACGTTGTTCAAGGATTCGATCTCTCTGGTTCTTGGCAACTTGTGCGCGAACCCAGTTGCAGCGCTGGATTGTTTACGGAAACTACCTGGTAGAGTCATTTGGCGACTTGTTCACCAGGTATTGCCAAAGCGTCACTGGGATCGAAACGTCAACTATCCTAGTTTGTTTGAAGAGCAAATCCAGTTTACTCTATATGGCGATCGACGGAACGGCATTCAACACCAGCATGGCTATTGCAATGGGATATGCGAATATGTGTAACAGTCTACCAGGTTGGCATGGAAAAAAATGTTGGACTCTGACGGAAGCCTTCGGTGCGATCGTTTACAGTTTCGAGTGCATCAGCGCATTGCAGGAAATATGCGTCGACGGATCGAAAATGATCGACATGATCTCCAGTCTGGATTTTCCCTGCAGTTGCTGTTTTTTTCATGGACAACATCGCGTTCCACATACGCTCTGTCAAATGGAACAGCATGCACTTGATGGTTCTAGAGAAAGCGTACTCGCCGATGGGATGTTTCAGAAGGTGCCCACGATCCCAGGATACGTCGTTGAGCGCAGAAACCGGGAATGGCTTCCAGAAACAGCCTCTTGTATCCATCAAGGACACGCAGTGAGCAGTGAAGCAAGCGTGTACGTGCCAAAGATCGGGATACGAAAAGAGCGAGTGTGGTGAGTGTATAGGAACTCCTGACCTCATCCATGGGTTACCGCTGCGAATGGTGCACCTAGGCTGCTCGTAATGAGGAGGAATACGGCGAGCGACGTAGAGCTCACCAAGATCATCTGTTCAAGAGTGACGTAGGAAACTGCCGAATGCGGTGAAAAAATCTCCATCAACACTGCCACCAGTTCGCTTTGACTGCTAGTCACGGAGTTGGATCTGCAGGAGAGACCGACGTATCGACAGCCCGGAGCCATCAGAGAGGATCAAGAGGCAGCCGCACAGAGAAAGCCTGCAAAGGGTGGTGGAGCCAGTGAGAGATGGACGAGGCCCAGACTTGAGCGCGTACGCCCGAATGAGCTCAGTGAATTCCTTCTACTTCACGTCGACGTGCATGTACTACAAAATAAAGCCACAAGTCTCGTTTCGTGTACATTTCGGCACCATCGACATCGGTTCTGAACTCTCACACATCCTTGCACACTGAGGAAGACATTCTACAAGATTAGAATCTTCCAAGATAAGGGCAACATGCTTTACCTAACCTATAACCCGTTCCTAGTCATTTTTCTACAACCGGCTACGGTGACTCGAGAAATACTAGCGAGCACGCAAGACAGGCTGGAGAAAGCAAAGGCATCCGCAGCACCTTGGCCCATGAGCACTGGCACGCTCTCTTCCACCGGTTCACTGAGCTGTTCAAGTTCGCAAATCGTGCCGTACCAGACTTGCTCCCTGGATAGGCGGTTGTCTGACGCTCGCGAACAAGCCTGTACCGCTGCCGCAGTTGTGCGCTGTGGACGCGTACTCGGGCGGCTCTGGCGAGGTCGCCCTAGGCGGGACACTACGGGGGACGGGTCAAGAATCCAAAGCCGCTTCTCCGCAGCCCATTCCTGATTCCTGAACCTGTGATCGCTGAAAGTGGATATACGCTTGTGGTAAGAGGCAACGGTGTTTGCATTCCAGTGGTCTTCCACATCCGCCAGAGCGTTCTGCATATCTATTCATGAAAGATATCTGCGCCATACCCATGGAATGAGATCCATCATAAATCGATCAGCGCAGCGCCAAAGAATACCCCATAATAGGAGCACACAATGCAGGCAGGTAGCAGCATTGCTGTGCGTGTCATACTGTTGAAATAGAGAACAGATATCCAGCTTGAACCTAGAGAGGCCTTTTCCACGGAACCAGCGGCTGCAGTCTGCAGACTGCCTTGCAACTCCACACCATCCTTTCACGTGAATCAGCAGCGTAGAGCAGCGTGTACCGACACCAACAAGCCACGAAGCGCGGTGCTCTCTCATTTTTTAGACGTTGTCTTTGCGAGGCACCTGTGATGCACACACGCCTGCACACATGCGGTCCAGAATATGCAAATGCGAATACGCAGATGCGCGTCTACGAGCATTTCAGCAGATTAGTCGTTAAAAACCATGAACATGGATGCATTCCAGTGTGCACACACAAATATAGACGGACTCGGGTACCTTCGGCAATCATACAAAGTATTCACGCGTCTCGGGAAATCTCCTGAGATTCCTGCTTGCTACAACGATGAAACGCCCGCACGCTCTATGTTCCCTGCAAACAAATCTGACCAAGGTAGCCCATACCAAGTTGCTGTACAAGTTCTGAACAGTGCACGATTTGAGAAGCAAAACGCTCTCCATACACTACTCGAATCGGTCACAAAGGCACTGAAAACCTTTCGTCCGAGGCTCGGAAAACAAAAAGAAACTGCGTCAATTCGTCGCACAAAAAGCCGCCATTCTCATCGATCCACAAACGGCGAGATGTCCCCGAGCCCGAAACGCAGTGCACGGCACAGTATATCAAGTGGGATGTTCAGGACCGAGCGCACCGAAAGATCCCTCATCCAAACGTAACAGCCGCGTCTAAGCCAAAAACTCGCTCCGTCGATCGATGGTCGTCGAAAGCAGCTGGTCGCTCGGACGTCGCCTCTGCCTAGCTGCGGAGCGTTCTACAAGTGCGTTCGAAACCGGAGCGCGTTTCCTGGGCAGCGCACGTGTGCTCCGCGACGGCATCCTGGTCAATGGAGGCTCGTGGTCTGCACCTGCAAACCGAGGCACGACACGTAAACCAAAACTATCCGCCAAAAGGCCCAAATGAAGGCAGCGAGCATCGAAGATGTGCCGCATATCCCGGGAATGGGTTCGATAGCTCCTCACGTAACTTGAAAAAGCTTTTCTAGCGAGTGGCTCCAGAGAGGGCACAGTCTCCACCAGGTACCGAATTTCCTGTAGGAACGACTGATGGGCGGCATAGGTCTCAGCTCGGACGCTGTGGTGAGCCTCGCCAAATGCACCACCAGCCTCCCTGGAGCCCGACATCGAACGAATGCCGTCACGTGCTTGCACCTGTTGTGCGAGGCAGGGAAGCGATCGCCACTCGAAGCCGTACCTGGATGCCATCCATGAAAGGTAACCGGACTCGTGTTCTTGGAGGATGACCACAGAAGCGCCCACCGAACCCATACGGCTCGTGCGACCGACGCGGTGCCAGTATTCCTGGTCGCCGTCGCTAGTCGGTGGATCGTAGTGTACGGAGAGCGAGAGATCCGCAATGTCCAGACCACGCGCTGCAACATCGGTGCAAAACAGAAGACAAGGCGTTGAAAGCATTTTTCGGAAAGCACGAAAAGTTCGGATACGCTCCGTCTGCGTCATACTTCCATGAATGCGAAAGAGCTGACATTGAAGACCTGTTGAATAGGCGGAACCGTTCGAATTGAGAACTGGCTCTGGTGGGGATACTTCAGCCTGCTCCTCTGGTAACAGCGGCTCTTGCCTCTTCCCCAGTTGTCGGAAGAGTTCGTAAAGAAAGTCCACTGACGCGCACGTCGATGCGAATACCAGCGCTTTCCTTGATTCGGGTCGAATGAACTCGTCCGTGCAAGGTAGCAAAGGACCCAGGGCCCGCTGAAGGACGCCGTTGCCGAAAGCGTGCAGGACGCAGGCCAGTTCAGCAAGGCGGTAGCGTGTCGGCACCAGGCGGAAGCAATGCAGGATAGGACTGCTGGACAGGTCTCCGGGTAAGGCGTCGAGCTGCGTGCTCCGCCGTGCTCTAGAGTACAAGTTCGAGGCCGCATGCACGAGCAGGCGCGTCTCATCCCCGCGCTCTATTGCTTGCTCGCAATCGCCATGACCCGTGCGTTCATGAACCGCATGAGCATCGACTGCGACTGCAGCACGATGACGCGTATCCGCTGTAGTAGAAGCAGCAGCAGCAGCAGCATCGTCGTCGTCGATGCACTGCATTGTCGCTGCTGGAGCGTTACCTCCGTCAGCGAGCTTATCGAGAGCGCATATCTCGCAGAGCTTTTCCACATGCTCTGAACGCATCGTAGCAGATACAAACACGGTTCGTAACGGACCCACCGGGACGCTCGTCCCATTGAGAGCAGTTGCGGATCGCGTCGCATTACCGCTGCGATGTCGCTGCAAGACTTCAGTCCACACAGATCGAACGGTATCTGCCATGCCTAGATCGAGCATCCGATCCGCCTCATCGAGTATGAACCACTCGCAATGCTCCAAATGCCAACTGGAGGTCTGCTGGAGATGGTCCCACAATCGACCCGGTGTGCCGATAACCAGATTCGTACCGTGACGCAGACGTGCTTTTTCAGATTTGCGTTTCTCACCGCCGACAAACGCTGAAGCGACAAGCCAGTGATATGGGCGCAGGAACGCACGAGCCATGTCCTCGATTTGGACGCAGAGCTCCCGCGTCGGAGCCAGAACAACGGCAACCGTTCCATAAGAGCGTTCCATTCGTGGGTGCTTTTGTAGCATCCAGTGAATTATTGGTAACAGGTATGCTGCGGTCTTACCGGTACCGGTGTGCGCGCGAATACTCCATAAAGGCAACGTAGGCCGATCACTGGACCTCTGCACTGAACTTTGCAGCGCATCAATTGCCCGTTGTTGAATCCTGGTTGGCTGTTGCCAGCCAAGTCGATGCTGGACGTGATAGCACAGCGAAGGATCGAGCGGAAGCGCTCGGAACTCTACTTGTGCAAGCGAGACACCCTGTGAATGGTTGTGCCGCGCGTGCTCCTGAACCGCAAGACCTTCGGTACCTGATGCCAAAACAGCAGCGCATTTCGACTCGTTTCCATCAACCTTCTGTGGCGGGGATCGGTTCAAACTGGTAGATTGCTTCGGCTTTCGTGCAGTGGTATGAGCATTGGTGGTCAATACGGTACCATCGCCCGAGGTTCCGGCGGTATTCCGATGCCTTCGTGCGGATTTTCGCTCGGTCCCGATGCAAACCGCTGTGCCCGCTCGAGTTCCTTTGCCTCGACAAGTTGCCCCGACGAATGCTGCCAATGAGGCAACACCTAGCGGTCCAGTTGCGCTTGGAGCGCCCTTCGATGATATCGTAGCGTGCAAACGCTCTTGATCAGAGTGAGGCTCGACACCTGTACCTGGTGCAGTAAGTCCAGTCGGCGTTCGTGCATGAGAATCAGAGTCTAAACCGAGCGCACCCGAGTGCAGGGCAGAAGGCTGCTGTTCAACAGTTGCTATGGCGCTCTGGCGAGAAACTTCTGTGCACGAGGCGACAACCGCGGTTGCTCTCGGAGTTCGTGCATTGCTCCGTGCCTCCAGTGCACTTCCGGACGTTGCACGCTTCTCTGGATCACCAACAGCCTCTAGTGGTGCGGGGTGATCCTTCGACTGTCGTCGCTTTGCTCGCTTTGCGGTGTTCGCTTTTCGTCGTCGCTCTGTTGCAGGCCCGACCTCTGGGGCTGCGTCTCCGTCGATAATGTGTAGAAGCACCATGGAACAGCGTACGGCGAGCGGGTAAAGCGCAGGGCGTACCTTACGCTCACCCAGCGCTTGGCTGGAACTAGATGCGCCTGAACACGCTGGCAAGCTCCGACGATATCCAACGAACGCCCAAGTGCTCGTGAAACGACGTACCGTTTGCAGCAATGCCTATTCCGGGGCGGTGCCGGACGATGCGGCAAAACGGAGAAGCCACGTGAACACTACAGTTCAAGTGGCCTGTAGGCTCGACACTCAGTACACGGTGAAGCGCTGTGGAGTCGTCTCTAGGACGCTCTGCTTTCGCTAGCACGGTCCGATGACGCTCAGACTACTGGCTCTCGGTGTACTGTTGGTGCTGCTCGTTGGCGAGTTCGGAAGGACGGGGCCCCTCGTGAGGTTACCCACTGGAGACGAGTCTCCAAATAGCAGTAACCCGAAAGGCAGACAGCGAGCCCTGAGTGACTTGGACGTTCGGAGCAGCTTGGAAGCAGTGCTCACCGCCAACAGTACACGCAGTCGATCGAGTGGACGACTTGTCGGAGCCGACCCCCTGGAACGACTCGCATCGCGGCGTGTGGAGTCCTGGCCCCCGCTCTGGGCACACAGGGTACGCGAGGAGGTGCTGGCGGCTAACCAGAACACCTCTTTGATCATGATTATTGAGGTTTGTCGACACGGCGCCCGCGTTCCGCTCGGGACATACCCACGTGACCCGTTGCCATACCACAAGTGGCCCGAGGGGATCGGCCAGCTCACCCCGATCGGTATCCATCAGCAGTTTGAACTAGGTAGGATACTCCGCTATGTTTATGACGGTTTCTTGCCGGTGCGCTACAACGTGGTGGACGTGCATGTGCGCAGTAGTGATATCGATCGGGCCCTGGTTTCGGCTACGAATCAACTCCTGGGGCTCTTTTATACCAACACATCAGATACAAGGGTGCAGTACCAGCCAGTACCTGTGCACACCATAGAGACGTCTCAAGATATTATGATGCTGCCTGGTGTAGGGTGCGCTCGCTGGCAGGAACTCAAGATGCAAACGCGTCTATCAGGGGCCTGGAGGGAGCTTGAGGCCGCGAATCAGCTGTGGCTGGAATACCTCGGCAGAAATATTATGGGGCTAGGTCGACCAGCCACGCTGGACGATGTTGCGACTGCCTATGATGTATGGGAATGCGATGCAGCGCAGGGTATCGAGCTGCCTCCCGAGGTGAATCACTCGGTCCGCGAACGAGTTCGAACCCTCTATGGATTCTGCTTTGCGGACCTTTACCGGAGCGCGGAAGCCGCGAATCTGACGGGTGGTCCCTTGGCACTCCATATACTGAACTTGCTGCGGACGAAAATCGCTGGCCTTCGAACGGAGAAGTTCGTGCTCTTCTCTGGGCACGACACGACATTGGCAGCCCTGCTGGCAGTGCTCGGTATGCATCCTGAACGAGCACCGCCGTTCGGTTCCACGATTATCGTGGAGCTTCGTGAGCTTCACAAGCAGCCTCCGAATGGCATTCTTAAAGCGGGAAGCGCAGCCATAAGCACATCCGATATACGTACCGCACCAAATGCACAACGACAACGAGAGCAACAACTGCCCCAAATGCAGCAACGCTCCGATGATTTCATGCCTCGGGAGGCGCTGGACAAGTGGTACGTCGTCGTGCGGTATAATTGGGAGGTATTCGAGCTCCCGGGCTGTGAACCGATATGTACACTAAGACGATTCATGGAGCTTGTCTCAAAACGATCCTCGTCTGCACGTTCGAGCGAGATCCGTGCGGAAGCTTGTCGGCCGTCTAAGAACGACTGGCTTACGGTGACGAACACACCCGACTATATAGCCAGGGATACCGCTCGGCGCAAATGGGGTGTAGTGTTCATCCTAGGTGTACTCAGCGGCGTGCTAGTTTTTCTCGGATGCGTGGCAATTTTTTGGCTTGGATGGCGTCTAGGTACGCGGCAGAAACCGGAGAGTCTCTACAACCCGGTAACTGTGGAACCTCTGGGCTGGGAATCCAGCCGAACACGTTCGTCCTCAGAAGCGACGCCGGCAACGCTATCTCCTGTGGGAGCATACGAGATCACGTGAGCAGTGATAATTCTCGAGTGTGATCCGGTTGCCCAACGTTGGCGCTGACGCTCGACACAGAGCTCCATCTCTGTGAATCGAATCATAAAGTCATATCGGGAAACCAGGGTACTGAGAAAAGTTGACGGTTTGGCGTGCGGCATGCGCGTGCCTTCTGTTTCAGTATTGCTGCACGTTCTTTTCTCAAAAGCATCACAGAAAGACGAGGTATTATTCATTCGCACATGATACGAAAGAAGAACGAAAATAGACCCCTATTCGACGGTATTCTCATGCCACGTAGGAACAGCTGTGATGCACGGGGATCGCGCGGCTTGACGTCTTAGAGAACCTCACGGAAAGGCATCGCTTCGCCTGGGATCTGCGGTATATACAAGAATCGCATGTAAGCCCATGCTTGAAAGCATGGATGCATATCTACATCATTGCCTGCCTGCATATACTTCTACATGCAAATACATGCATGCGTTAAAGCGTTATCGGATGTATACAAGTACACAGCAGCGCTCATTTCTGTCTCCTTGCTCGCGTACGTATACTGTACATGCAAATATGTATGGATGCGTGACGAAGCCAACTGCAAACGCCTTTCGCACTCGAACGACGCCAACGGTGTACAGTAGTGGCGGTGAACGCGCCCTAGACAAAACGTCTCCAACTGACGTGCAGACGCCTCCCAGTTTTTTTGGACCGGCCACCTACTACTGCTTCCAATTTTTTCTCATATAGTTCGACTTGAGAGGTTCTCCATCAAAATTCCCTCTTGTCTACTCTGGGGGTTTTCCTCCAGCACCGCACATCTCCGTATATGGAGAGCGGCGTTAAAATCTCGGTTCACAAACTCCATACGTTTCTTGCCGTCACTGGTTGTACTCACCAGTGCGAGTAGCCCTTGAACTTTTGCCCTCCTTTCCCTTTGCTCCTCCGTCAGCAGTCCGTACTTTGCGATTTCCTCAGGGCTCCATTGACACTTTTCCAGCTCCACTCTTTGAAATGTACACCCCAGTTCATGGTGTGTATACGATGTTCGGAACTCATCTACGGGTATCGTAATGAAACGCCTTGCGCACTCCTTGTTCACCCTCGTCGTCGGAGCTGGCATACACCCCTTTTGGGTCTTCCAGCGCCCTGCTCCGTATGCTACAACAAGCTTCTGACTTTCATTCTCCTTCAAGGCGCTCAACTGATTGAAAAAGTTCGCGATCGCCCGCTGCCTCCCACCGTATAGATTCATACGCAGACGAGCCCAACTGGGCTTGGTGTACTCTTTCCATAGCGCATCCCAATGAGCAACGCGAACTTCCACGAATTTCAGAAAAGCTTCAAAGTCCGCTCCTCGGCTTGTCACCTCGCTCAAAGCTTCCAGGTGTTCTTTCATTCCTGAATTCTATTTGTCGAATTTGTTCTTCGCATTCATGATTCCCGATTCTCGATAGTATCTTGCTCTCGAGGATGTCAAAAGACGCATGCCTTTCCGACGTAATTTACCGTCAATACCATCTTCCGCACGGCACGCTTGGGTTCTGCGATGCTTATGATATTTGCGTTGCCGGGGTCCGTGCCAACGTCAAAGTCGGTACCTCGCACTTTCTCGGTCGCAGGATCCGCTTGTTCGTTTTCTTCATGCTTCGTCGAGGGCGCAGCAGAGGGCGGGACTGGACGATCTTTCGTCAACCGCCGATAGTGTACACACATGACTACTCCATCGATTTCGATCAACCCAGCAAATACCTTTTGTTTGCTCACTTTGAGACGTTTGAAATAGAAGATATTCTTCTTACTGTACGTATCCCGGTTTTCACCGGAGAGTTCCTCCCTACTAACATTGAACTCCGGACTGATCTCCTTCATTATGCCGTAAAGGACGCCGAAGTCGATAGTCATAAAATGTGACTTGATCTTGCACATTGGAACCACGTTGAAGCGCTTCGCCATTAGGACTGCATTCCGTTTCTCCCACTCTTCATTGTTTTCCTCACCCAGCTTCACCTCTGCCTTGCGTTCGAGTTCTCGGTCCAGAAACACAACATGGCGCGGGACGAGGCGATAGTATCTTTCCTTATCTTTTTTCAACTCTGATATCTTGTCTGTTGGATTCGCCAGCCCAGTACCGCACGGTGCTCTTGCATAACCGTACGGATTACAGAATCCTCATTCTTTCTCCTGCGTGATGTCTTCTTGTCGACGAATTCGATCTCATCTTCATGTTGACGATCGTTCGAGATGATTTCGATGATGCCCCATATCCTATTGCAAGACAGGCCCGGATAAAGTGCAAACACGGTGCGTATCATGAAACGTTCGAGGTTCATCGTCATATGGTTCTTCAGGTTCGTGAGGTACTTCTTCGCCCCGTATTCGTAAATACACGGGTGAACGCTGTATCGAGTACCATTGGAGTGGTATTCTGCGTAGTTTTCGTGGAGTGCATGCACTCCATCATTTCCCCCCGACGTTTCTCCTGTTCTAACCATCAGGTGACGAATAAAGGTCTTGTCGAAAAATTCTTCCGGAACCTCGACCGGTTTGGTGTCCGTAACGTCATCGTATATCTCCCTCAACATATGATTCAGTCCTCCAGAAACCTTATGAACCTACCTGGAGTACGAATGGATACGGCTTCTGATGGCCTCTCGCATCTTTTGCTTGTAGGGATCCTTGATATGTTTGGGAAGACAGGCTTCGACTACCATGTCGTCGCAGTGTCGTCTTTCGTGCAGCCATTGACTACGGGGGCTCCCTCCCTTGCTTCTTATTCTCCTCCTTTTCTTCTGGACTCGGCATTATTTTCCGTTTTTTTCTGGCAGCCGGCGACACTCGGCCTGCAGGATCCTCCACCTCCTTCTCTATACTATTCCCATTTTTTAATTTTGGATAAACAACGCACGTTGAACGCTTCTGCTATAAACCGCAAAAAATCACTTGAATACACTTAGTTGAGGCTTGACACGCGATTGAATTGAAAGCTATACTTTGCTACGACTTTCACGCAAATAGATCTTGTACTGTAGAATAGCAAGTCAACGAATAGTTAGGATCGTGTTTCCCTTCAACGACGACATGCGAGTCGTGTCCCATGCATGCTGAATACGGAGGAGCGCTAACCGACCGCACTATATCGAACGTAGAACTGAAACTCACTACTACCTAGCAACGATATAAAGATGTCTTTGCCTCTCTACGATAAACGTCAAAAGGGGCAAAAAGCTTTCCGTATGGTCGAAAGTTTACCGTAGAAGCAGAGGGTCCCGCGAGCCGCAAGAGTCTCCCGGGCTCGTGCTTCACGCTTCCCCCAGTCCCTAGTGCTGTAGTGAGGTCTACGCAACTCGTCCGAAACGCGGGTTACTCTGGGACTCGGAGCGGATAAGCTCCTTCTGGGCGTCGTGCTGGTCGCAGAGGACTCCCTGCGAATCAATTCGCGCTGCCACAGGCAGTGGGTCTGCATTCGCAGCTGGCAGGCCCCAGAATGATAATGTACCCTGGTTCCGTGTCGAATGCACCACGCATCGAGCCGACACCCCCACTGATATAGCAAAGCCGCTCTGTCTCCGTTCAGTATCCGCACGAGCAGCATAGGCTCTATTGCGGGTGCTCACTGCCAGTATGCGGCGCACCAGGGAACGTGCAAAGCGACCAGTATAGCCGTGCGAAAATGTGCGTCGTGGAACTCGGAACGAGAGTGAACATTGCTGAGCGCTTTCATTTGTTGCAATATCTATCCCCCAGACTGGCATCCATGGTCCATATCAGCGTTTTGCCATCAAAAAACAACCTGCGTCCATATCGCTCTGTCCAAATAAGGAATATATCTGGACAAAAAGGATTCAATCGACAGTCACGCGATACGCGATCGCGCGATAGCCGCAACGTGTCCCGGTAGCAGCGCCGCGCAGCGCTGTCCGGCGTATCGAGCGCCTTCAACTTTTGGATAATTATGTACAGACTCGATCTTGCCACGGGGTACAACGGTTCGGAGGCCATGCCACCATTCGAAACGTCTCTAGAAGCTATCGTTGCATAGCCTCTGGAGGCAAGTTTTCTTTTTTCTTTCTCAACGTGGGTGATTTTGGGGAGCGTTTCTTAATCCCTAACAGAAGGATTGTCTGTAACGAACCGAACAGTGAGACTGCTATGGGCAGTGCGCGGAGAGGGCGGTTTCGCCCGTTTCTCGCCCTGCTGCTCTTGACACCCATCGTACTGCAGTGTGTTCTGTTCACGCTGGGAGCGGACGCCTTTCGCCAGCACCGCTCCACACGAAAGAACTCTGAGTTGAGCTCAGGCGACCAGCTCTTTCCCCAAGGTGCAACTGGCTCGCGGGCTGGTCGGCCAACGATGCTCATCGCCGCCCTGTTAGACGGTACCGTGCGCGCGCTGGACGTCCCGTCGGGACAAACCTTGTGGCATATTAACACGGACCCTGTGGCTTTGGATGGCGGGTATAATACACGCGCCAAGAGCGACGACCAGCTAGGGCATAGCCCGACGTCGGGTCTTGCGCGGAGGGAGGCAGCGGCGTCGACGCAGCAACGCCAGCGTTCCGGGAAGGGCACAGACGGACCGCCGGCTAACACTCTTAATCGAGACCAGTCGGTGCCGTCCCCAGAGCCGTATCATGGCGACGCTCGTGTTGCGGAGGTAAGCAAACCGCTTCCATCGCAGCCAGCGCCTGCACCTGCGGTGCCGTACGGCATTCCAATACAACGGCGCGAGACTCGGGCGTTTACAGTGCGGCTCCGGGATGGCGAGCTTCTCCGTCGCATATCCTTCGAGGATGACGAGGCAAGCAGGCGCTGTAAATGGGATGATGCGACCTCAGCTGGAGGCGGTGCAACTGGGATCGGCTCGCGCCCGGATCAGAGGCACTCGGAGCAGCCCCTTGAAAAAGAGAATGCGGAACCAGTGCTCGTGATTACGCGGACGGACTCGGGCATGCGGTTTGTGGATCCACTAACAGGAGAAGCAAGCTGGAACGTGACCTACGCTGACTATGAAATGTATCTATTGGACGAACCCGCGCATTATGCGGGCGAGTTTTTAGCACCCTTTCTTTTCGGACGAAGAGTTTTGGCGGGGGAATCACGCTGTCCCGCGCGCCACATGGTGAGCAGTGATACCCTCGAAGAGTCTCCGCTCGATCCCGAAGACCCGCAAGTGCCCCGAGCTGCGCGACCTGTCCAGAATAAGGCTCGCTATGTTGCGATACTGGCAGATAATGGACGCTTTGTCGTCGTACGCGACGCCGACAGAGGCACCACGATGTGGTCTGCAGAGTTTCCATACCCGATCTTATCGCTCCGCGCTATCGGCGATATCGTTCTTATCACAGACACTGCGGCAAGCTCACCGGTAGCACTGCCTGATGGAGGCACCAGCGACGCCGTTCGCGCTACCCGGCACTTTTGGCAATGGTCTCGCCCCGTGCCGCTGCAATCACCGGACCCGCCTACGACTTTGCGATACCGGGATGAATGGCAGCAAATGTGCCTGCCGCCGTCTGCTGAGTTGTATCGAAAGCCGCGCGGGATGCCACAGAACGCTTACAGCTCGTTTGGCACATCGGTGTATGACCACGCGCCCGTCCACGGAGGCGTGCTTCTTGTGGTCGCGATATTTTTTGCAGGCATTGGGCCGCTAGCTCTAGCGCTCGCACTCTGGACCATATGGCGCATGCGACGGACCGAGCGTGAGCAGCGTCACTCGAGCGAGCGTCAAAGGACACCGAGTCCGCCACCAGTGTTGCGGCGTCGGGAGACGAAGCGGGTGATGATGATGACTGGCGCAACGCAGCCGCGAGCTGCCCGCGCCCAGGAGAACGACAGGTCACGAGGCTTTGAGCGCTCTTCGCTGGTACCGAAGCCGGTTCCAATTCAGCGAGTCGAACGCCCGCGCTCTGTAACGGACTCTGCAACAGGCAGTGAGGCACCGTTGCCGACCGGCTACCAGAAAGTGGGACGGCTTCTCATTTCGCCGAACGTCATCGGATACGGGAGCCATGGAACTAGTGTCTACGAGGGACTCCTTCTACCTGGATACCGCAGGGTTGCAGTCAAACGACTTTTGAAAAGTTTCTACCAAATTGCGCGGCGAGAAATTGAGGTTCTGATTGAACTCGACGAATCCTGTCAACACATCTTGCGATACTACGCCATGGAGGAGAGCGGCGACTTTATCTACGTAGCGCTGGAGCTTTGTGCAGGTTCCTTGCAGGATCGTGTAGAACGAGGCGAGCTTCCTGCGACTCGTTGTCCACTGCTGGACGAGCTGTCCACAGAGGTCGATAGACGCGCGGCGGGTCCGCTGCAGCTCGGTCCGCCGCCTGCCACCGTCCGGGCGCTTCGTGGTCTCCTGCTAGGTATTGCGGAATTACATGATCACGGCATTGTACATCGCGACCTGAAGCCGGCGAATGTGCTGCTGGCCATAGGGTCTGATGATATCGTGAAAATCGCAGACGTTGGTCTTGCAAAACGGTTGGATGCGGGTCGGGGCTCCTTCACAGCTGGTGCGACTGCTGTGGGCTCGGTGGGGTGGCGACCCCCGGAGGTTCTCCGGGGCGCCTCGCTTTTCGAGGGACTCAATAGTGTGCACAGCGAAACAAGCGCTGTCGATGATGCCCGGGAGCGAGCTGGCGACGCAACCGCCTGCGAGTCAATGACGCATTCGGAGAACGGTGGAGCGGATGCGGCACGACCTGCGCGGCTAACTCGAGCAGTTGACATCTTCAGTGTCGGCTGTATTACCTACTATGTACTAACAATGGGGAGTCACCCGTTCGGAGAGCTTGTCTTTCAACGTGATGCGAACATCCTGGCGGGTGCAGCGGACCTCAGCGCGCTTCGTGCTTGGCCCGAGGCCTTTGACCTCGTTCGCCTTGCGATTCAGCATGAACCAGAGCGGCGTCCGTCGGCAAAGGCGCTCCTTGGTCATCCGTTTTTCTGGAGTGACGCTCGGAAACTCCAGTTTCTCATTGACGTGAGTGATGCGCTGTTCGAGCACCCAGACAGCCGATACCTTCGACAAGAGATCGAACGGGGCTGCGAGTCGACAGTGCTGGGCCCGCTGGGCAACTGGAGCCTTCGTATGGATACCAGTGTGCTGCTGAGCCTGCGCGGGAGGAGTTATAACGGTTCGAGCATTGTTGATCTGCTGCGTCTCGCTCGCAACAAGCGCACCCACTACCATCAACAGCCGGATGCGGTGAAGGCGCTCCTGGGCCCCATTCCGGTGGAGGATGACCCCATGGAAGTGCGCTCCCGCGACAACGCCGTGAACACCTCCACGCTCGAGACAACTCGTGCCAAAGCATCGACCAACTCCAATCTGTACACATATTTTGCAAGTCGCTTTCCGAATCTGTTCATGCACGTGTATGCGTTTGCGATTCGAACTGGGCTGGCGCTCTCCGAGCACTTTCAGCGATATCCGTCACGCGAACTCATCCAGTACTATGAACACGACGAGAGTATCTTTTCGCTCACGACGAACACGTCCACCGGGCCCGGGGAATCGTCCACCAGCGCCATGCCCGATAGCTCGTCGTCGTCGTCGTCGTCGTCGTCGAGTGCAGAAGCGGATGTGCATACAACAGCGTCTGTTGTTGCTGACGAACGAGTGCCGTCGACACAGACCACGTTACCGTCATCCAGGCCGATGCCCGGTCGCCGAGTCTACAGTCGAGCGTTATTCGACCGCGTTCGCCAGGAGATCAGCGAGAATCCGGGGCTTTCCGAAGAACTCGATGCGTCGCTTTTGCAGTTGAGCGGTCCACATCCATTGCGCCGACGCAGCTGCGAATTCTTCCTCGCGAGCACCGTCGTGAACAAACCCGAACGGGATCACGGTGCTGAAGTCGACCAGGCGCTGATGCGTCTACCATCGTTGCTGGCTCCTGTTTCGTCGGCTTCCTGGCAATCGCTAGCCTCGTGAGAAACCCGGCGGTGAGGCGGCGAGCCAACTGGAGCGACGGCGAGTCAGTGCTTGATAGTCTTGGAGACAGATGTTCATGGCTGAAAAACTGCGGCAACCTGGTGCGAGCAGCGGACGTATGAGCGCGAAACCCGTGTCAGGCGAGGACGGTACGCTGAACTGCTGGCTGTGTTTCTGATTGGAGCATTTTTGCGACTTGTTTTTTCAGATGTACAGCTCCGATATTCGACATGCGGCGTTGAAGCTTCCGGATCCATACGTCGTTTAAGGATACTCGGTGGTTATTTCGGAGTTGCTCCTTTGACGCACTACCGTTGGAATAGTTTACGTCACTGGTGTCATGATGATGGTTCGCAGCATACGCGAATACGGCTTCGTAAAATAACCGATATCGTTCTCGAATGCGCATGGAGAAGCCTCCGTTGTTCTCCGTTCCCTGTGTACCCAATGCTCCTATCACAAACTCGTCAAGGGTAGCATCTTTCCGTTCGACGGTAACTCGTAGAGGCAGCGATTCTTGCGGCTCGATCGAGGCGAAAACAACCAGTCCACGTCGTTCTTTGATGCGTTTTTCAGCAGTTCACTGAAATTCTCTCGTCAAATAATGAGCTCCTCTCAGACGGCAAATCCTCTTCTCTTTAATGATGTGGAAGGAATGGCGTTCCATAGCAACATGAAACCTGCTGCAGGATACGCTTCAAGTGGCTCCAATATCTTCTGTTTTCCATGGAAAACGGTATGCTTCATGGATTTGTCATCGCCGCATTCGCTTCCATTTGAGAATGGGTTTCTGCTTAGACCACATGGAGCGTAGGCGGCCTGAATATCTTGACTTGCTCTCTGGCCTGGATTTTCCTCTCGGTACCTGTTGCAACACGGACAGCAGCGCGTTCAACAAATCCTCTTCTCTTCGGAAAACAGAAGAAAACATAAGAGGGTTCATTTCATTCATTCCAGCTTTCCTTTCATGGACCAACACAATTAAGATCTGTTTCGCCTCTGTAAAGGACATGTTCATGGAAGCCAATGCATGTTCCGATATCTCCGATTGTACTCGACTCGATCTGCTGCTGGATACTTTGCGCGCTGCGACTGCTGCTGCCGGGCTCACCGTGACTTGTTCTGGGAGAAAACCTCAAGTTTACGAATTACAAACGTCTGAAGAGGCATCAAGAAAAGAGATGAACGAGGAATGAAGCATAAGTATACAGAAATTGTGTATACACGGACGCATACCGCCCATACGCTTCAGGTACACCAGGGAAACACCGGTGTAACCACAACAACAACAACAAAGATATCCTGAGGCGTTTCCTGCTGAGGTACCTGCCGCATTCAGAGAACGTTGCCACTCTTCAATTGAACACCTTCCTACACAAATCTCATTATTTGAGTGCCCTCCTGGACCAGGAGCTATGATATCCGCTTCCCTACGCCATTCGGGTGAGCAGCGTCGCCTCGAATGATTCGAGCCAGCTCAACCCAAGTTACTCCATCCGACCCAAGCTATCTGCTAGCAAGCGCAAGCACCAGTTTCGGCACCTACAACAGCTCGTGTCTCATATCCAGTGACGCCCGGGAAATGCCTTCCCGGAGTCCGAGTCCTTGCAATGCTCCTGGGGAGCGAAAACCTCCAGCGCCCCCGAAGGTTGTCCTGTAGTATCGCGGGTAAACTCGAATGATTGTACCCAGGCGCTATGCGTTACCAGCTGTTCGTACCGCAAGTCACGCGAGCGCCAAAACAAAAAAAAAGAACTTGTATACCAAGTGCGTCCCTCGGTCACGGGAACGAGCGGCATCCAACTGTAAAGCGTTCGTTTCGGCATCGTTGGAGAGCAACGCTTGTCGTCGTGAGCGCTGGATCGAAAACCACTTGTTTCGTATACCGAGAAAGTTCGGCAGGGAGCGCTCTGTCGACCTGCTACGACTAGCTGGGTCACTCGGCGGGCGAGGGGCACAAAGACCTGAGCCTCGCGGCCAGCAGCTTCCCGGCAACAACTCTAACGAGCAGGTGTACGCTGGACTCTCGGAATAGAGCCCGAACTAGGCGTGGGAGAGGTACGCTTTGATGAACCCCAGGCGTCCGCTATGTCGACGTGCTTCCGGGAGACAAGCCCGGACGGTTCGGAAAGCGATGTTGCTGACGAGCGTGCAATCGTTCCTGGTAGTGCCGAGTTTCAAACGCTGGACGGAGTCGAGACCCGGCGACCTTGGTCCAAAACGGAGTTTCATCCAGCGACGGTCTCGAGTACGGCGTTGGCTGCAGCCACGAACTATTATCTGGAGCGAGGACCTAGCGCTGCACCCGACGAGGAGGACGTTTTTGGTGCGCGTCTCGAAAGACAGGTTTTCGGAATCGCTGACGAGACAGAAGACGCTGCAGCACTGAGCTTTGGACGCGGACGACGCGGACGACAAAGAGGTCGTCGGCCTGCAGCCCGGCTTGCACCAGAGTTGGAGCCGCTGTTGGCCAGGGCACACCTCTGCTACCTGGAGAACCAGCTCCATGACGCTGTGGTTGCTTGCCATGAAGTCATTGTGAAGGATCCCAAAGCAGTCCCGGCATACAAGACGCTGAGTTTGATCCATAGCGCTCGCGGTGAGTGGAGCAAAGCACTCGACTTGGCGCTCATTGCCGCGCATTTGAACCCGCACGATGTGGACTGGTGGAAGTACATTGCCTCTGAAAGCGTTCGCATGGGCAAGCCTCGACAAGCGATTCACTGCTTGACGAAAGCGCTGAGCGCCACACGCGGCCATGATGAGGAAGCGCTGCGTGAACGTACCTACCTATTCCTGCAGATAGGCGATGAGAAGCGGGCAGCAGCTGGCTTCGAGCAGTTGCTGCGCATGGAACCCGCTGACGAGGATGCCGTCGTCAACCTGGCACGTCTGTATCTGGAACGCGGCGAGGCAGCGACTGCGGAGACACTCTTGACCAAATGGTTGGATGATATGCGTCGTCGAGAGCGCGTTCGGGCGGGATCCTCGAACACCTCTGCATTGGCCGTCGGAACTGGTTTCGAGCAGGCGCTTACGGGGTTGCCACCACTCTACAGCGGACCTCGAAGTGCGACTGGACTCAGAGACTCAGCTCGAACTCGGTACGGACTCGTGGAACCAGAACGTAGATCACAGAGACCTCTGCTCGCACATGTGCGAGCTCAAGAGGCCTTGGCGGATGCCCAGTTGCTCCAGGGAAAGGCCGCCGAGGTCGCTGCTACCATGAACTATCTAACGCTAATGCTCACCGCCGTCCGCATTGCTCGAAGGCGATCTCGTGAATCGACGTTGACTGTCTCTGGGACCAAGTCGCTGCCAGCAGGCAAGGATGGAAACGCTCCTGCCACTGCAGACGAGAAGGAGCAATCACGAATGACCTGTTCCAATGGAATCACGGACCCAGCGGATGTTTTACCATTACGACTTCGAGCTCGACTAGCGCTGGCCCATCTTCTACTGGGCGATCCAAAACCCGCGCAACGAATTGGTGCGCTGCTTGTATGCGAGGAGCAAGTACCTTTGCTTTATTTTCATGATCTTTTATATCATTTTCGTCGGATTCTGGCACAGACGACAGAGCACGAGCTGGAGTTTGCCATCTTGCAGCGCTTGCGGCAGTTTGGACCCTACGATCAGGATACGGAACTGAGGCAACGATTCGACTGGCTGTCAAGGGTCTGCGAAAACAGCGATGTAGCTGCGCCCGCGCCACAAGCGCCCGTGAAGTCTGTTCAACGGAGGGCGCAGCAACGTTCACGCGATCCTGAAGAGAAGAATGCATCACGCGGGCACGTGAAGCCTGAACGCAGTGTCGACAAGGAGCGTGCACCTCGTGACGATAGACGACGCGCACGCAAGGACTTGGAATCCGGGTCCTGCGCTGTTCAGGATACATCCTCGGCTGGTGCGAGCGACTCGACGGAGTACGACATCCCGAAGCAGCATACACGTTCGCTACGCCGTCGATCGGACGCTGGTCGAGGACATGCTCCCGATCAGGCACCGAATGGTGCTACTGATGCACCCGACAAGGAGCCTAATGCAGGGGCTTTAGCGCCGGATCCATCATCAAAGGAGCGCAAGCGACGTCGCACGAGACAATGAGCAGGTGACAGCGGCACCAGAGCTTCATCATCGGTGTGCGCTCTGCAACGCCTCAAGTAATGATTGGCTGGCTGGCTGGCTGGCTGGCTGGCTACCTTCTTGGGTGCCAACGATCTCGAGCGATGCGCTGGACGTCTCCATTGGCCATAAAGCGTACGTTTCTCTTCGGCAACGTCATCTCTGGATAGCAAACCGGCCGGGATGCCCTACGCCCGCCAATGGTCGTTTCCCAGGCACCAAACATTGCCAGTCGCTCGGCTCTGTTATGTGAATGGCCAGTATTTACAACCGCAGCAGGGCGCTGTGAAAACGCAGTCACCTGCAGCGCTGCATCGAGGCCAGCGGTGATGCTCTCAACCGCTTGGAACCGGAAATCGCTCACGATGTGTACCGAGGATCAGTCAACAGAAATCCGCCGTAGTTTTTTCGGATTCTCATTTCTCGTAGGGGATATCTCGTCGGACTGAGGCGTACACGCAAGTCCGCACGCGAGCTGGGTGCCAGCAACCGGCCATCGTTACCGTCTAGGCGTAGAAGACGAGCTCCGGAAGGCTATGATCACCTGCAAGATCTTTTGCAATCATCCGCAGACAATGCAGGGCAGCTTGCTGTACACCAGGCATACGCAACAAACGGCGGCATTTCACGTCAAGGCTCATATCGAGTACTAGTGCTTTCCGCGGTGCGCCAAGTACTTGACGCTGCATCAACTCGCTGATACGATGAGGCGTTCCCAGCACGATGACACCGTTCCTATGGCGTTCTTGTGTTCTTGCCAAGGCCTTACAGCGTTCTATGCTAACTTCTAGTCGCTCGTGACGAGCGATCACTTTCAAACAAGTCCAACGGGAGCGGCGGAAGCGCGAAAGCGCTCCCACTGCAGCCGCTGCCCGACACACCCGCTCCGCTGCCGGTGCCAAGACAAGCACGTCTGGTCGTAACAGCCCCGGGAGCAGTTTCTGGGCAGCATCTGCCCCGGTAACGCAAGCTCCGGTAGTCATCCGTGCAACCTCTGGCTTTGTCTCCGTTTCCACCGAACGACGGATGCTGTGCCGAACTGCGAGCGCGATTGCTCGACCGCCCTGGTCTGGCACCTGATCACCGGTCACAAAGACACGAAACTGCTGGCGTGCAACAAAGTCTTGGAAAAACTTGTGCCATTCCGTAACTAGTTCTTCGGATTGTTGTGCGTCGTCGCTCGCAGCGGCAAGTTCCGCAAGCCAGGTCGCGAGCGCTGCCGGCTCTCGTCGCTGCACGCGTTCCGCTTCCCGTTGCAGGCACTCTGTAAACGTTGCGTGCTTTGACTTGGTTTTCTGAGCAGCGCCTGACATGCTCAGGGCGTGAGGCACCAGCACCTCCTGACCCGGTCCGAGGCCAAGCTGCAGCCAGGCGGTCGGAATTGATTTCGGGTGTGAGACGGCATTGTTTCATGTATTGAATACGAAGATATACATGATGCTATCAGGGATTACGTTTCTCAGTGCCTGCATAGTCCTTCTCTCCAAAGGGAATCAGAGGCGTTCATGTATTGAATACGAAGATATACATGATGCTATCAGGGATTAGGTTTCTCAGTGCCTTCGCATAGTCCTTCTCTCCAAAGGGAATCAGAGGCGTTCACGTATTGAATACGAAGATATACATGATGCTATCAGGGATTACGTTTCTCAGTGCCTGCATAGTCCTTCTCTCCAAAGGGAATCAGAGGCGTTCATGTATTGAATACGAAGATATACATGATGCTATCAGGGATTAGGTTTCTCAGTGCCTTCGCATAGTCCTTCTCTCCAAAGGGAATCAGAGGCGTTCATGTATTGAATACGAAGATATACATGATGCTATCAGGGATTAGGTTTCTCAGTGCCTTCGCATAGTCCTTCTCTCCAAAGGGAATCAGAGGCGTTCATGTATTGAATACGAAGATATACATTTTGCTATCAGGGATTACGTTTCTCACTACCTTGGCATTTCGTCACTTCCGCGGCAAGACGTACGCAGCGCACGTGTTGCCGCCACCAGACTCGACACACACGGTACGCACGACACGCCCAGTGGATAATCCAGTGCCGCTGCACCTGCAGCTCAGCAGGCACGAGAAAGCTCGTTGATCAGTGCCTCAACACGACAAGAGGTATTCGTCAAGACGCTCTGGTACATACCTAGTCGATCATGGGATAATTTGAGACGGTTTAGAGTCGATCATCGGTAACAGCTCAGCTTCCGCACGCGATGCAGTCATCCTTCTTATCTAGGGAGCAGGCGAGTGCAGCGAACTGCTCAGCTGCGCTGGTACGCGGCGTGAGATTGCACGGCAGTTGCGATCCATTGACAGCGGTGTGGTTCTCTTCCTTGAGAATACGCTGATCGAGCGTGAACTTGATAGCATCAGCTGCTGGTCGCGTCCGGAGGTAATACATACCGGTTTTGAGGCCAAGACGCCAACCGTGGAAATGCATCGAGCTCAACTTGCCGATCGTTGGTTGCGCGATGTAAACGTTCAGGGACTGGCTCTGGTCGATGAAGGCACCGCGATCAGCAGCCAGGTCGAGTAGGCGCCGTTGGCTGACCTCCCAGACGGTCTTATAGAGGTCTCGTATGTCTTGGGGGATCTCAGGGATTTGCTGGATCGAGCCACCGTGGGCGATGATCTTGTTCTTCACGAGCGGGTTCCAGAGGCCGAGCTCCTGCAGGTCACGGACAAGATGTTGATTCACGACGGTGAACTCTCCAGCGAGCACGCGCCTGGTGTACAGATTCGAGGTATACGGCTCGAAACATTCGTTGTTGCCCAGGATCTGCGAGGTGGACGCAGTCGGCATCGGGGCAACCAGTAGCGAATTACGCAGTCCGTGAAGAGTGATACGCTCTTTAAGCGCATCCCAATCCCAACGAGATGAAGTCGGTTTCACGTTCCAAAGATCAAACTGAAGCTGTCCTCGTGCCGCTGGTGAGCCCTCGAAAGAGGCATACGGTCCGTCGCGCTCCGCAAGCTCGATCGACGCTTGCAATGCGTTGTAGTAGATACACTCGAAGATTTCCTGGTTCAGCGCACGAGCCTCATCGCTTTCAAATGGCATCCGCATGAGGATGAAGGCATCAGCGAGTCCTTGGACACCAATGCCAATCGGGCGGTGACGCAGATTCGAGTTCTGTGCCTCGGGAATGGGGTAAAAGTTCACATCGATAATCTTGTTCAGGTTTTTGGTAACCATGCGAGTCACAAAGGCGAGCTCGTCGAAGTTAAATACGGGACAAGTTCCGCGCTCACGGTCTCCTGGCACCACAAACTTGTTCAGAGCGATACTCGCGAGGTTGCACACCGCAACCTCGTCTGGTGCAGTGTACTCTACGATCTCGGTGCAGAGATTGGAGCAGCGGATCGTGCCTAGATTCTGCTGATTACTTTTCCGGTTGCAATGATCCTTGTAGAGCATGTAGGGCGTGCCTGTCTCAATCTGCGACTCGAGAATCGAGAACCAGAGCTTTCGCGCAGGGATCACCTCTCGTGCCCTGCCTTCAGCCTCGTAGCGCTGATAGAGTTCGTCGAACGCATCGCCCCAGACATCCGCAAGACCAGGCGCCTCATTCGGACAGAAAAGGGACCACTGTTCGTTGGCCTCCACTCGCCGCATGAATAGATCCGGCGTCCAAAGTGCATAGAAGAGATCTCGTGCACGTGCTTCCTCTTTGCCGTGGTTCTTCTTCAGATCAAGCCACTCAAAGATATCAGCATGCCATGGCTCCAGGTATACAGCAAAGGCGCCCTTGCGTTTCCCACCCCCCTGATCCACATAGCGGGCTGTGTCATTGAAGACACGAAGCATCGGCACGATACCGTTGCTCGATCCGTTCGTTCCGCGAATGTAAGATTTCGTTGCTCGAATGTTGTGGATCGCCAGACCGATACCGCCCGCGCTCTTGCTAATCACTGCGCAGCGCTTCAGTGTGTCATAGATTCCCTCGATGGAGTCCTCCGTCATGCTCAGGAGGAAACACGAACTGAGCTGTGGGCGCGGTGTGCCGGCATTGAAGAGCGTCGGACTCGCATGCGTAAAGTACTTTTGACTCATATAGTCATAGGTTTCTAGTGCGGCATCTAGGTCCTCCTTGTGGATGCCAATCGCCACGCGCATCAGCATTTGCTGGGGACGCTCGACCACCTTGCCGTCGATTCGTAACAGATACGAGCGCTCCAAAGTTTTGAACCCAAAGTAGTCGTAAGAGAAATCGCGGTCGTAGATGATAGCGCCATCTATCGTTTCGGCGTGGCGGCGCACTATTTCAATGACGTCGCTCGCAATCAGCGGCGCTGGATCGTTCGTTTTCGGAGACCTGTAGGCATATAGGCGTTCCATCACCGCACTGAATGACTTTTCGGTGTTCTTGTGCAAGTTGCTTACCGCGATCCGCGCAGCTAAAATCGAATAGTCATGATGCCGTGTGCTCATGTACGCTGCAGTTTCAGCAGCTAACTCATCAAGCTCCGAGGTATGCACCCCGTCGTATACACCAGCGCACACCTTCTGCGCAACCTCGGTGACGTCCACGAGCGGGTCCAAACCGTAGGCCAGCTTTTTGATTCGCGCAGTGATTTTGTCAAACTTTACCGGCTGTCGACGACCATCACGTTTCACTACACACCGCTCCATTGCTGGTTCAAATCTTCGGCTCTCTCTGCTGGGAAGTCCACTTCGACAATGTTCAAGCGCGTACCTTGTTGTTGCTCGAGAGCTCTTGCACAGCGCCAGCGGCGGTCTGCGTCCGTCGATTGGCGCCAGGGCAGTTGGCTTTCGCGCGAGGCGCCGCAGCGCTCTGCAGGATGGATGCGCGGGAGGCGCCAACACGTTTGAAAGAAGGCGCGAAAATGCTCATCGGATCGTACGTTCACGTACTGGTGCTTGATTTCTGAGATGCATAGAAATGATGGGATGGTGCTTATGGACGTATTTGGTCCTTTAGATATTTGGAAATGATATCATGGTAGAGGGACTCAAGAAAGATGCCTGGTAGGTATGAAAGAGTCAGAGACTGTGTTTGAACTTGTCATGGATCCTGGGCTAAACTCTATGGTTCTCGGTACTTGGGGGTGATCGAACGGCGCTGATCTTGGTAACCAGCGGCTGGTGACGGGCATGTATTCCTGGGGGAAGAAGGCGAGAAAGAGATTTTCGCGCCAGGGGATGCATATGTACAGTTATTTATAGATATGAACCATATGCAACTACCTCGTTCAGTGCCCGCCAAAAAAATACCTTGCCGTACGTCGAAGCCGACGTCTGCGGCATTGGGAAAGATCGAATGCGTGCGCTGGAGGCTCCAAGTGCTACGCGCAAATTTGTTCTTTCCCATAGACCTAGAATAGCCACGCGGAGATAAGCAACAGAAGAAGCTACGAACACGACGTGAAGTGGATGTTAGGCGGCACTCGCGATCTTGCTCATGCATACTTGGTCTACATCAAGTGGATAGGACGCAAGGGTATGCTCAAAAGGGGTGCTAAATGCCATCCAAGCTCAAAAATAGCGCACAGATATACTCGTGCTGCCCAGACAGAGCCATCATTGCCGGAAGATGCAACGCAGAGAGCGACAACTTTCGTGCACTGCGAAAGATGCACGCGCGCTTGTATTTGAAGCTGAACCATCAATTACCGAGCGCACTTGTGATGCGCTGCTTACCGGGTCAGAAACACGGTACGCTCGCGCTGCATTGAGTGTCCCGGAGCGGATCGTTGCACATTTCACCGGTAGCCGTGAATATCCGTCATCCATTGCTGCACGATGAGCGTAAGATATGGACTGGGTAAAATCGGATGAGCATCGTTGGCTCCTGAAGTACGAACGTTGGTGTATGTAGACATGGACGGGGCATCTTGCTATGAGCGCCTTCGAAACTCGCTTTATCCAGGCATGGAAGCCAGCGTCCTGGTGTATTCCAGAAAACCTAGAAAAGTCACGTCTATCACAGCAAGTCGGGATGGTGAATTCGCGCTACCTTCGACCAAGTACCGGACACTCATGTTGGACCAGGATCACCAATAATCGTGCAGTTGTCGTTGCTGCAGATCCCAATCGTGCCAGAAATCAAGGCTGTTTCAGCAAAAGTAAAAGTCTTTGCATTTTCTCCCCAGCGTGTCAAGCAGACGACTCCTCGATTCCGAAAGCGGAACTTTCAATCCATTCGCAGCACTCAGGACGGCAACGGCCGCTTCCACCCCGGAATCATGAACAGAAGTACGCCGCGTTCGTCATACGCAGCGCGTCCCAGTGTCACCGCTGACAGAGCGGAGAAATGCAGTAGGTCCAGTGTCGTGGATGATGGCGTAAACACTAGAGGGCCATGGTGATCGCGCCAGCACAATGAACTGCCAACAAACACGGTTCACAGACAAACTCATGATAGATATTCCGTTTTCCGCAGCACAACTCTAAAGGATGTATAGCAACCACAAAGCATACTCATCGTCATTATGATGCGTCGGAGATCAGGCGTCGTCGAAGGCGGAAACAAGCAGGTGTCTTGGACACCGCGCAGGGCCAAGTGCTTGGATGAAGCTAGCGCGTTCCGCGTGAACGCGGCGATAGCTGCGACTTGCAAATCCCCTGCCAACTAGTCATTGTCTCCATATACACTTGTCCTTGCAACCGACAGGAGATGTCAATGCACTTCCGTTTGTCTCCCGGACAGACAGGTGCGCGCTCAGGACATGGAGCTCGGGAAGTCTCCTGTGCCTAGAGACCCATATCAGCACCAAATGGGACAGGTACCCTAGCGCATTCGTGTACACTAAAGTTTGAGTCTCTTCATAGCGTTATGAACACTAGCGTTTTCGCACGATTCCTCCGAGTGCTTCCTCTCGCTGCCGCTTGTCGCCCCGCATGAAGTGCGCGGGTCCCTGGTTTCCCTCTTGCTCCGTCGCCAGCAGCCGAGCGATGCTGGTGGCAGCATGGAATCTCTAGGTTGCACCGCTTCTGGCTGCTGTCGACGCATTTGTCGCACAGTTCGTGCTTTCGATCCACGCTTCCCCTGCCATTTCCATCCTCTATGTATACAACCGAGGTGTGCACTTACCAGCGCTGGCACTTGATTGTGGACGGGTGTTCCCATATGTCTACCTCAGATTCACCAAGCCTTGACCTGCGACGTATGAGCGCTTCCTCCAGCGCTCGAAAAATACCCTCAACGGGTAAAAAGGACGCCCTTCGTAAGCGTCCTCCATTTCTGCGCCCTGTCCCTCATCCTACATCCACAGGCTCATTGGGGTAGACCACTCGACGAGTACGCTGTCTGTCATACGCGGAAGCGCACGCTGTTCTACTCGACAGAGGATTTTTGCAACGCTACTTTCGTCATCGCGATACAAGAACCGTCAAGCCATTCCAAGCTAGAGAACAAACAGGGAAGCTTTGATACAGCTGCGCTGCCTTCGTGCGAAGCGATGAAACACGCTCCACGCGAAGTGGTTACTACCATAGCGCTGGTGCGAGTCCAAAACCGATCCCCGTGGAAACCGAAGAGATGCGAGCCGCTGGGACTACATTTCGTGAACGATACATTGCTTCAGTAAAATGCAGACTTCTCGATGATCACAAACAACGCAGAATCTGTCTTTCGAACGGCATCGACTCCTGGACATGCGAAGGTCAGGCAAGATTCGGCATGAGCTTCCGAAGAGCTCATCACGAGAAATCATTGCGTTTTCCGCTCTTTCATCTAGCATTACGAATCGCTGCGCCCACGGGTGAGAACTCGAAACAGAAAAAGCGAGGAATGGAACAATGCATGCATTGACCACGCGACTCGGAAGTAAAGGAGAGCATGACAGGCTCCTACGTATGCATTGGATAACGCCATCGCTTCCGTTACCACCGAACCTGCCCGAGTGTGTTGCGTATCCGCTTGATCGCGATGCCGTCTCAGACGCCAGCGGTAAAGCGTCGACTTGGCCTCGAAAAGGCAACCGAGCATCTTCTAAACTCGTATGCATCCGTAACGCCTCATTGCCGTGCTTTGAATGTCGAAGTTGTCCACCCAAACCAGTTCGTATAAAACAGCAAAGCAAGAGCACAGAGATAGACAGACAGATAGAGAGAACGAGCGAGCACTCCAATGCTCCATATCCACCTGACACACTAGTCGGTGGCATGCCCAGCAGCGAACGCGGCAAGCACATTGCCCGCAACTCGTTCTCGTTCAGACTGGAGTTCAGCGTCGCTGAGGGCGGGAACACGCCGACCGCTCCCACCGTATGCGAAGACCTGATGCTCTACTGTCCAGTTTGCTATGAAAGAGTGCGTACAGTGCAGCATCAGCGGCGCGTTGATCAGGTGCTGACCTGTCTGCTCTGTCGACGCTGCGGGTACTGCTACACGCCACCGCCGAACACCACTTGGACAGAGCCGCTCCATCCCTGGACCGCCCGAGACAGAAACCAAGTCCGAGCGGGAGTGTCGCAGACCCTACAGCAACCAGAGGAGCTTGTGGTGCTCGGTGCAGAGTCAGCTGGTCAAGAAACAAGCCAGGTTCGTTGCGAGCGCTGTAGCGCACGAAAGGCCAGCTTTTACCAGTTGCAAACACGCAGTGCAGACGAGCCTATGACCACGTTTTATCGGTGTTTGGAGTGTGGTGCCCAGTGGCGCGAATGAGGCTCTTGCTCTTCGATGGACCCCGGGAACGAGCAGAGTGCACTGACAGGATGCACGCCGCACAACTGCGGGCACGAAGACGCCTCTTTCGCGGCAAGACAACCGCAGTGCGGACTCTCTTACGCATATTCATGTGAATAAGCATAGGCAGTTGTCAACAAGGTAGCAGAGCAAAGCGTCAACGCACCGCAGTACTCCAGACATGTGTGAAAAAGCAGGATGCTGCAGCGACTATGCCACCACGCTCGGTTCGTTTTGATTTGGCCATGTTTTCGGACACCTAGAGCAGCGGTTGCGATATCCAGAGCATCGTCGCTTCTGGGGTCAGCGCATGGCGCCAACAGACTCAAAATGCTAGCCATTGCGCACGAAACAACAATGAGAACGAGAAGCTGCACCGCCCCCGCGAGGCCGCTACAAGAACTTACCTCATGGTCACGTAATGGACATGCAAAGTCGACTGACCGAAGCGACTTGACGTCGACAGCTGCAGCACACAGACCACACGTACGTACTGGATGGGGCATCTCTGGCACTGCTGGCAACTCGAGCTCGGCTCGAGTCCGATGTCTGCTCATCCAGGTGCAACGCACAAGTTACCCGCGAGCGAGGCTGGACTCCATGTCGCGACACGTCCTCGCATGGTATCCGGTATCTACGCTCGGGAACTGAAACACAACTGTCGATACGTGGAACAAGCGAAATCGCTCGCATCGAAAGCCTTCACGAACTTACGATGCTGCCGTATCTGCCTGTGAGAAAGCCCGCGGCACCTCAAGTGCTAGTTCAAAGATACAAAACAGCGGGCGACTCGAGCGGTAAACAGCAACGGAGATCTCCGCGTTTTCATCGAATCCAACCGAGCAATCATAACAAGAAAGTCGCCATCGGGACTCGTGGGGTAGCCAACCAGCCGGCACGCGACCAGCAAGACGCAAATCCATCAGCAGGTCGTAGCGGAGCCGAGCGAGACGTCCCGGTGTGAGCATACCCCGAAACCGACGAGCGAAGAATACACACCCCGTGCCTTCGCTGAGCGCATAACGCACAAGCACGCGGCCGTTGGCGGATATCGAAGGCAGCGGCGGAGCGCCCGTGCGCTCTAAGCGCTCCACCGTAACCGGAGAGACTGCGCTCGGAATCCGAAAAACGGAGCGTGGAAGCGCTGCAGAGGAAAACTGTTGAGCACCCGTTGGGGCACCATTCAGGTTTTCGTCCGACGGGGTTTCACCCCGTCCCAGCGCATCCGCATACGGGTGCGGTGCAACAACAACCCGCCTTCCTCGTCCAAAACGAATCGGAACAGGGATGCGCCATTGCAGCACCGATGCGTCATGATCGTCAACAGGAGACGACCAACTCGCGATCTGACTTTGAATCTCGTCGAAAAGATCCTCAGTATCGAAGACATCGAACGCTTCGGGAAGATATAGCTCCTCTCGGGGCGCAGGCACCGAGTCGGCTCTATCCAGAAGAGCGCCAACGTTCTGGTCGAGTTCGTCGAGGAGCCAGCGTCGCACCTGAACAGGTGTTACAAAGGCGAACTGTTGAGGATCCAGCACCAGACGGTTCCGAAATCGACTAAAGTTAAAAACGAATGCGGGCAATACAGGAAACATCGACCCCGACGCTGACTTTATCGAGGCGGGGCGCGTCATTCCCGGCAGAAGGAAGCACTCAACATACGGTCGATACGGAGGCTCGCGATAGCATCGTGGCGGTAAACGAAAACCACCGCGGCTTACGCTCTCAGGTCCAGTGGGCAGGGTATTCGCGCGCTGACGCTCTGCTTGTGTCGCAGGTGGCGATGCGGCAGCGGTTTCACTTGGTTGTTGCTCGTGGCTGCCGTCGATGTACTCAGGACTGCGCTTAAGCGCTGACGGCCGCTGTGCAGAAGCGTCCAGCAGAGTGCTCTGACTGGCACGTCGACGGAAAACCGCATCGTTCTCCGGCATTGGTGCAACGTACACAGCGGCAAAGTCTGACAAACTCGGTACAAGTTGCGTGAGAACCGGCAGTGTTGCCTGTTCGAGTCTGTCTTTGATATTCCGTGCCCGCAACCTGCTCCTGGATACATCACCTGTGAGCTCGAGTTCCACGGATAAGGTGCCAGCACTGGCGACGCGTGGCCGCCACGGTAAAGGCCACAGTCCTGACACCATAAACTCTATATCCACGTGGATAGTCGCGGAGGTGGAAGCAGTGGTGCGCTCCGCCGCCGTTGTCCGATACCGTACACCGTTCGGCGGGATGTACCAGCCAGCGCACTCCCAGAAGTGAACAGCCCGTTCCAGTTTGTCGATAATGGACGCCCGCGTTGTAGCGCGTTCAATCAGGTCTCCACTCCATCTGGCATCTGGAGCCAGTAACGACTCGAGCAACTGTTTCGGTACGTCGCTCTCCGGGTTTTCGAGCAGTGCGTTCACCGCCCGCGTGAACGCCTCAACCCAGTCATCACCCAGACTGGACAGCGTCACTGAGCCCCGTAACCGCTCAGTCCGTCCCAAGTTCGAGTTGTCGAGAGAGGCAGACGAGCACTGAAGCCAAGTGCGCGTTCCGCGAGGCTGCCACAGCGCCGCCCAACGACGTGACTGCTGCAGCCGACGAGGTGCCGCGGTACCGTCGGACGCTGGATGCGTCACCTGCCATCGGAGCGGCACCGGGCACGCCAAAAACGCAACACCAGGTACCATTGGTGCACCAGACAAAGCCACTTGTAACGAGCTCCGTGCTTCTACTGCCTACCGCAACGCAGCGCTGCAAGCGTACGTTTCCTGATCGTAGAGAAGGAGCTCGAATACCGGGCGTCAAGGAGATCATTGCGCTGATTGGTGCGATTCGGCAGTACGTCTCGATGGACCGCGGATCCCCGACTGTGGGATGGGTATTGGTAATCGACAAAACGTCCATGATGCTGGATCCTTTCTTCAAGTCCCATTACGTATGCATTCTGCTGTACGTACTTGTAGTTTCGTACGTTCTGTCGAGCATCTAGTACCCGCGGTAAGCACCCGCAATAGCACCGCTACAGATGGTGCGGATGGAGCACAGAGACAGCGCCGCTTTGGGATACTACTGAGGGCGTCCGCTTGCGGCATGATTCAGTGAATACGGAATCGAGATTCATCAGCATTCTGGAAGCATGGAAGATGTGCTGACAGATCCACTGCCTGCGACAGCGGGAAGCGAGCTGCTAGGAGTCCACTGCGACCAGGGCGACGCGCAGACGCAGGCTACCCGCTCCGAGTCCCAGAATAAACTGCGTTGCCGACGAGTTGCTCAGGTCTCATTACAGCACCCGCCCCTACGGAGGAATATGGCGCGAGAGCCCGATCGACTCGTCCGGCTTGCGGGACCTTTCGTCTGGAAGGTAAACTTTCGACAATACGGAAAACGTTTCCTCTGTTTGACTTTGATCGTAGCGGTGGAAAGAAATCGTTATCTCGTTGCTAGTTAGATGTTCGTTTGTGTTCTTTTTTCTATATAGCGGGGTCGATACGCGCACCTCCAAATCTGGCAGGCATGGGATGCGATGCGTATCTCGCCGTTGAGGAGAAACGCGATCACGATGATGATGAGCGGGTTCCTCTGACGTCCGAGCTGTATTTGCGTTAAAGTCATTGCAACGTATCGTCCGGCAAGTCGGCTGTGCTTCAGCCTTCACACTCGTGTATTCAAGTCATGCTTCGCGGTTCAAGGCAGACGCGTTCGACATCGGGTTCATATTCAAAACAAAATAAAGTGATGGAAGTGAGCGTGGCGGATCCTGGAGGCCCCGTTTCGCCGGCTGCCAGGAAAGAACGTGGAAGATCTCCTTCTCGGCGACAATCAGGCGCAGAAGAGCAAGCAACGAAGAAGAAGAAGATGTCGATTGGAGATAGACGAGAAAACGTGTTTGCCTGACGGGATGATTACGAGACTGTGGTGACACAGAGGGCGCTCGTTCGAGGACGCCTGGCACTTGTGAGTTCAAACAGAGGCAACTAAACGCATGGTTTCCGTGAGCCGAGACTTCAGTGCTGCTATCCAGATCAGACGATGTGCGTTGTTGAAGACGAGACCCGAGGGGCTGACGCGATACAACTCTATGCGGCAGCCTCTCGGTCTCGAAGTGTGCTGGGAGAGCAACTGACACCGATAACAGGTGCCGGTCAAAAACGACTAGGATGCGCCTGTGCGTCGGTAGATATCTATATAGACTCTATAGAGGCGAAACATTTCGCTCCCTTAGGTGCTGCAGGCCTATGCCTACCTTAGCTGTGCTCTTTTATCTCGTAATTTTGAAGATGAAGCATCGACCGGTCGAACCGCAGAGATCGAAGCGCATTCCCGCCTATCTTTAATGGGAAGCTCTTTTGCTTATGTTTGATTTTTTTCTCAGGTATCTGGCAGAAGGTATGTCCTCTCTTCATTGACGAAGGCGCTGTGCAAATACGTAATGCTGTCGCCGCTCGCCTGCGAAGAGAACACCTCGCTTGTCCAGGTCGCTCGTTCAAAATTCAGCACTTGGATGACCGATCGTTCTCGTATCCTTCATTCCGAGCGTCGTGCACCCGAAAAGAACCAATCCGACACCATCTACTAGGCTGTTTTCTTGTTATTCCGTTGCAATCCGAATGCTCTCTGGGCGATACTCCATGAGATACCACAGTATGTGACGTTTTTCGCACGGTGCATATGAACGGGGATGAAGCGGCACGGATGGGCAACGAAAAAATCGCGCCTGTCTACGGGAGACCGTCCCATTCTTTTTTAGACAAGACTTTATCGGGTTCGCCCTGAAAGAGGATTGCGCATCCCATGAGGAACAGGTGCTCGTCTCGCGCTATGAACCGCTACTCGGGAGGAGTGATCGACCTGTCCATGGGTGCTTACAGAGCGGCAGCCTACTGCTCGTAGCGAAGCGAGAAGCGATCCTCACAACAACTTCACCCCTAGTGGAGACGCAATCATGCAGTCGGTAACAATGCTCCATACGGAAAGGATCATGAAACACCTCATGCATCGTCAACGCAACTAGCGGCTTCGGCTTCCTGCATTCCCTGGTCTGCCTCCGAGACAATGTCGCTCCTCGTCACAAATATGCTGCCAAAGAGCACGTAGCGGGTATCGGCGTTGTGCTGCTTTTCGTGTGAGGCCCCGGGATTTGGACCCATCCCGTCCATGACGTCTTCTGCAATGTCCAATGGAATTTTTATGTACAAGCATTCATTCGACAGATGCGCATATGCTTCATATCCAAAAACTATCCGTGACGCCATTCAACTTCGCTTATCTTCTGGCTTTGGGAATGCTCACCTAGTATTACCCGACTTGCCGTACCTCGACGAGCAGCTGTTCATACGAGTCCGGGACGCAGGGCTGCCAGCTATCAACATTCATCAGGAATTGATGGATCAAACCTTCGTGCGACAACAACTCCGATACACCGGATAGAGAATATGACATAGGGTCTGGTTGTAGGATCAGTGAGTTCACAACGCGCTTCGGAGAGTACCTGGACACGTCGCAGCTGGACTGGGGCGACCAGAGCATCTACAGCGCTGGTCTCAGAAAGCGTCGAACTAATCGCAACAGCCAAATTCACATGCGGGTTCGTGTCGAGCACTTCAAGAAGCACAGCTTGTGGGCGTTGTATAGTCACCTTACTGGCCCAGATCGATAATGACGGATGGAACGGATCCTCCTGGTGCTAGTGGAAGCAACTGATGAGCCGGATGGAGGCAGAAGAGCTCGAGTTGGTTGCGAGTTCTGCGGATATGTCGCAACGCGAGCCAGAGCTCCCTGCCATCCTTCAAGGGCAACGTGCTGCTCTCAGCATCGGCCCGACAGCGGTCATCTAGCCGGGATGCTTGGGACAGGAAGCCTGCCTTCCTCGCATCATGCGCAACTACTACGTTTCCCGGAACAGAGCCGTCCGATGCATATGGCGAATTTCCTCGCTGTAAACGAGCGCCCTAGCCTCCTCCAGCGGGTATTCCCTGCACTGCCCATGTATCGAATACATGCCGCGCATGTCACGACAAACGCATCTGTTCGGTGTGGCGCTTCTCCGCGAGCTACGGCTGACGTCAACGAGCAAGTATGAAGCATTTGAATAGGTTTGCCACGGGCATTGGAGGTGCTTGGTTCATGTTCGTCGTTTCCAGCGAGGGAATGGAAAGCCATTCGCAGCATCAATGGAGGTCGGCGGCATACCCATCTGCACACACTTTGTGAAGCCTAGATTTGAGTCGAGCAACGGCACCCATGTTCAGACGTTCATGGAAGATGAATTCAAGGGCGTTGTGATGACCGTGCATCCCCGGATGATTGGCGTCAGAGCTGGAGCCAAAGACCTCAAACGAAAATCAGAAAGGGCTGCTGAGTTTTTCGGAGCTCGGTTTCATCGCGAGTGGAGCATTGCAGACATCAGGAGACATTCGAACGACTGCACAGACCGCAACATGACCCTAATCGAGCGCGCTGAGCACCGTCTCGTACAGAGGAGGATGCATTGGACGACTCATTCGTAACGCAAATACGCACCCAAACGGCTGCTGCGAACGATCAATATCAAGCGCACACGAGACAGAGCTCGGATCTCCACTGGTTTCGGTAGTACGAAGGCAAGACGCGCGCAATCACCGTCATATGCAACGCGTTGAAAAAGCAAAGCACAGACAAGTCACGAGGTTTGTTGCCAGCCAATGGCACTGGGCGTTCGGTAGCGCGCAGGGACGGCACCACAGCTTCTTCGCAGCGCGCGTGTTCACCGAGCATAGGCATCGACACTGCACGATACCCGTTGATGACTGCTCGACAACATTCACGAATTAGGAGTGCTGGCACCCACTGAAAGCGTTAGAGAAGCATACAGTGAAACAGTGCTGGATGCACCACGTGGTATACGGTAAGCTGAGCGACAGTCAAATCGAGTAACCAATTGGCGGTGATAGGCTTGCGATGCTGGTGGCATCGCAAGCCTGTTATCGTTTCGGCACCTGTACCTGAATGCCTCGATCAACACCCGGAAATATGTCGTGCTTCCACAGCGACCATCGGCTTCTTGTCGAGCATACCGTCGAGGAATTCATCCAATACTCAGTGCACTACGCATTGCGCTGAAACGCTGACCACCCGCGATGACAAGAAAAAGCATCGGTGACCCGGAGCTAGCGCTTGGATTCACGCCTGGAGCTTGCCACGGATGCACCGTCTTTCAGCATTCCAGAAATGCCGGTGCGTCGTCCATAGACACCTGGCGTGATGTTCGCGTGTCGTTCACAGACGATCACAGATTCGCACGACTCGAATTTCCAGCGAATCCAAGAAGCATAAGAGCCCCCGATGATCTACCCGAATCCAGGGATATCGCATGACAGGAAGATATCTGTGGAGCGCTGTCGTGGAATCACACATCCCCTGATATCCATTATGGCTCTCTGTACCGTTTCTCGACGGATCGGCATGATCGAAGGCAAGCAAGCCCTGCAGCAATGACTTTACCGACAACTTCGCTTCGATCTCATCTGCGTCGAACGAACGACGTCGACGAGAGCGAGCCGTGGATTCTGGCTTCGTGCGCAGAACAAAGCCCCTTATCGTATAGGTGCGTCGACGACCTGGTTGAGGGTTACAGCTGTGCTAGCACAGGTGCTTGTTGCTGGTAGCTGGCTGGTCAACGGTCGCCGAAGCCCGCGGTCGGAACCGCGCTCTTTTGCACTTTGGTGTCGCTGCAGTGTTTTGTCGCAGAGCCTGTAACGAGTTTCGGGAATGTCGTGTCTCACTTCACGGCCAACGACTGTCAACAGTCGACTTTTCTTCAGCAGGACTAGTCCAGTCCAGGGCTATGTCGCCTCGGAGGTGCACTCAGTTCTGTTGCAGCGACCGCAAGCACAGTGCTGGAGCTGCCGCTACCCACGAGTGACCGAGGCACTCACGGGGATGCGAAAAGTTTCCGCTCTCTGCATCGGTGTGAGGCAGTGGCAGCGGCGGCGGGTGCATCGAGTCGAGAAGCAACTTGCACCAAGCGATTTCGCTCCGAAGTTTTCAAGCTGGACTGATTCTTGCGGTACTGCGCAGTATCGTCAGCGTACGAGGACGCGGCAGCTACCCGTGAGTCGAAACCGGTGGTGGATAGGTCCGAAACCTGCAGCGGCCCACTTTGCATCAAGGATCGTCTGCCTTGGTGAGTCTTCGTCCTCAAAGTTGCGGGCGACGCGAGCAGCAAGTGTACCGGCACTGGGCCCGGATCCTATCCTGCAGGCGAGCGCCAGCGAGATCGTTGAAAAGGTCCAGACCGGCACCTGGACGGCAATGCAAGTAGTCGAGCGCTATCTCCAACGACTGCAAGAGACCGAACCTCATATCCACGCTTACATCAATGTAGATGAACAGTTCGCACGAGAGCAGGCTGCCCTGATTGATCAAAAGCGTGAACGCGGCGAAGCACTCGGACTCGTCGCTGGTGTTCCTATCTCCATCAAGGATAACCTGTTGACCAGGGCGCTACCGACGACCGCTGGATCGCTTCTGCTGGAGAACTACCAACCTGCGGAAGACGCGACGTGCGTCCGACGCTTACGAGAACAAGGTGCGATTATTCTTGGGAAGACGGCATTAGACGAGTTCGGCATGGGGAGTAGCTCGGAAAACTGTGCGTTTGGGGTGGTGCGCAATCCTCGAGACCTCACCCGGGTCCCAGGTGGCTCGTCTGGTGGCAGTGCAGCTTCTGTGGCAGCGAGCTCGGCGCTGCTGTCACTCGGTTCGGATACTGGCGGCTCTATTCGCCAGCCAGCAGCATTCTGCGGTGTGGTCGGCCTTAAGCCGAGCTACGGCCGGGTCTCCCGCTATGGACTCATTGCCTACGCGTCGTCGCTGGACACGGTGGGACCTATAGGACGCTCGGTGGAGGACATCACGCGCTGCCTGGCGGTGATCGCTGGCCCCGATCCGCATGACCTCACTACACTCGCGGATACCGGAATATCCCTGGACGCGCTCCCGGATATCGAAGAGGCACTCGTCGAAGAGCGCAAGCCGCTTGCAAACATTCGCCTTGGCGTCTGGACGGAAGCGCTCGAGATGCCGCAACTAGCATCGGAGGCGCGCCTGGCTCTCCAGGAGGCCATCGCAACATTTTCGTCGCTTGGTGCTTCCGTGGTGCCGGTGTCGATGCCCAGCTTCCAGGCAGCATGTGCGGCATACTACATCCTGGCTTCAAGCGAGGCCAGTGCAAACCTCGCTCGCTACGATGGTGTTCGATACGGCGTCCGGCAAGATGGCGCTCGTACAGCGGCAGAGATGACACGTCGTGTACGGACTCGGGGCTTTGGCCCCGAAGTGAAGCGACGCATCATGCTGGGCACCTTTGCGCTCTCCGCCGGCTATGTGGATGCCTATTATCGACGAGCCATGCAGGTTCGACGGCTTGTTACCGATGACTTTTGGCGCGCTTTTCAGCACTGCGACTTTTTGCTGAGCCCGGTATCGCCTACCGGGGCGTTTGCGCTGGGCGCGAAAGCCGGCATCGACCTCTACGCTGAAGACGTCCTGACGGTACCCGCCAGCCTCGCTGGTCTGCCAGCGTTGACGCTACCAGCGAATCCCAGCGCTCGTCTGCCAACCGGCATGCAGCTCATTGGCCGTTTCGGTGATGACGTCGGTGTTCTGCGTCTCGGACGGCTCTACGAACGGGTCGCGGGAGCGGCAAGTCTCGCAAACGCCACCTGAGACGGTTATCGGGGCAGCGTTGCATATGCGACAACGTGCGAACGCCGTCCTGTGATAGATGACGCTTGCCGTGTCTGGTGGCGCGTCGAACTCGTGTACCGAACGCAACAGGTCGCTGGGTCGAGTTCCAGTTGCGCAGCGTCGGTGCTCTTCGAGCGATGGGAGGCTGCTACGGCAGCTAGTACTAGCGTCTTCATCGATGTGAATCGGTACGTTCAGGTGCGGTCGAATAAAATATGGGACACTGAATGGATCACTGTTTTTCTTTGCGTATCGATTTTTTTCATCGAGTTTCTGTATCAAGGATCGAAGCGGAGTAATAAGCGCTGACGGATGGGTACGTAGCTTCAAGGACAGACGCGAAAAAATAATCGACATCATCACTTGTCGCCTATTGCACAGGTCCATCGCAAGCGTTTCCCGGACATGTCATGGTGAATCATCGATTGCGTACGAAAGACGGAATCGCCCCTCTTTGTTGACATTGACAAAACGGCATTCCACGGAAGCAAGAACCGTCTCATGGGATACGAGCCCAGAGGGTCCCTTCTCTTCCGTTTGCAAGCAAAAAAAGTCCTGGAATCGGACTTGAGTCATCAAAGTCGTGAATGCCCGCTGCGCGTGCATCTACGTTTGGTAACGAGGGAGCGGAAAACGACCGATATTTCACGACCTGATCTGCAGACTGGATTCTACTCCCAGTACATGTTTCGCGGTGGTGGACAAGTTCGCATTCCACAAATCCTCTATCGAATGGGAAGCGTATACTTGCGCGTACAGCAGACAGCATCTCCTAGAGCAGGCCTGTGATCCTGGGATGCCGCACTAGACGCGGAATCGGAGACGTGCATCGACGGCAGCCTTCTGGATGCGTCAACAGGACGTACTGAGCGATGAACCAGGCGTTCGTAGGTCACTTGACAGCGTACGAATGAGATTCGATGAGCACTTATCGGCACATGTGACGCAAGCCAAGGATCAACGCTTTGAACCGCGAACCCAGGCTGTACACAAACAACGTTGTCCATCGCAACGACCGCCTATGCCTAAAATGCATCATCATGAACATGACGCGGAAGCAGCGACTTCGGCACTTGCGCGTCCATCATTACCCTTCGACTTTTGGTAACGGAGTTCGCAGGGGAATGAACAGATGGGCGAATACGAAGCCGTTCGTAACAAAAAGGAAAACGAAGCAGTCGGAGAGCACCAGCACACCTCGGATGCTGTTCACGACAGTGTAAAAGACATCCAAAATTTCCTGGACACGCCCGAGTTCAACAGCCCCGTTCCACGCTGCTCGTTCTATGGTGTACCCGACCTGCCAAGTACCGATGCCATACATCTCTCGATGCGCTGCGTTTGTCGCTTGCGCTCTACCTCCACTCCTGCATGCGTTTACAACATGATACGCTGAGTCGAAAAGCGATCGCTGCCGTCAAGCTGCAACCGCGTGCAGCGCAATACCAACAACGCCCCGCTGCGTTGCGTCATTGATGCTGCGGCGTCGAGGCAGGGCTCAGGCACCAGAGCCATTGTCGTTAGACGAGGTCATTCGGGAGCGGGAACAGCGCGCGTAGAGACTGCACCAACCGCTGCCGAGGAGGCACGCGACATGACCTCGCGTGTCGTCCCCGAGCGCATTACCAGCAGCAGCGACACCAGCGGGATGCAGTTCAAGATATCGACGAAAACCGCTGCCCTAGCTACGCATTGGGGACACTCTCCAGAGCGGCTGCCTGCACGCAACCATCACCACCGTCACCAGCACTGGTCCATGCGTAAAGTCGCCCGCAGGGGGCCATGCACGCCTTCGAAGCCACGACCTGGGAGCGCAAACGCGTCTACAGTGCAGCGCGCTCTCGCGCCCTCAAGACCCTGTTTCTAGCATGCGCAATGCACGTATCCCGCAGGCAAAAAGCCTCCCGAACGAAACCTCCAACTTGCCGCGTTTCCGCTAGCGTTAAGCGTGACACCTTATGGGGTCTGTCGAGGCACCTCCAGCAGGTTATTCAAGAGCCCGCTCGTATTCGTTACTGGTTTGTGCGGGTGAACAAGCCACTCGCCGTCCACGCGGTACTTGATCTCGTAGGTACCCGGTGGTAGCCAGAACGTGCGCTCCCATGCGTTTGCTTTGCCTGAGTCACGACGCAGGGGCCATTCACGACTCCAGCCATCAAAGGAACCCTTCACAGAGACACTGGAAGCGGATGCATCGGGCCAATCGATATCCACGGGCACCGCTGGTACACAAACACCATCCTTGACGGCACTGGAGAGCTCGCTCGCCACCGCTTCCAGATCCAGAGCCAACACATCATCCCGACACGGGATGATGTTCTTGACCCGATGGAATTCCCGCGACCACGCCTCGGCAACCTGGGCAACATCAATGACAAACTCGCGGGTCGACTCCCGCAGAAGCTGGTACTCGTCCGGCTTGGCGTAGACGCGGAGCGCTCGTTTGCAAGCAGCCAGAAAATCATCCATCGTATACTCGTGGAATACGAACCCGGATCCGGTGAGCTCCACCGGATCCCATTCGATCACCGTGTCTTTCAGGCCACCGGTGCGGTACGCGATCACCGGGGTGCCTACCACGAAGAACTCCTGCTGTACAATGCCGCCGGGCTCGAACAACGAGGGCATGAGGCAAAAGTCGGCGCCCAAGTTGACCAACGGTCCATCATGGAAAAAGTTATCCGGGTCAGCAGAAAAATACCCCCGGTAGCGTTGCTTGAGCTCGTTGCAGCGTCGAGCACAGTCCGCACCGTACGGATCCGCCCGGTTCGCCATGCCGCCTATGAGGATCTGGCACTTGCTGGGGCCAGCCAGATTCATCAGTGCATCTGTTGCCGAGAGAATCAGGTGCACCCCTTTCTGACTCGTCAGACGCCCGACAAATGCAAACACCGGAATCCCCGGATCCGTCACTCCAAAGTATTTGCTCTGGAGAACGCTCTTGGCCTCCTCGTGGCTCGACGCTACCCGACGCAGTAACGCCAAACGATCCTGCACACGAATACCGTTGGACGTCCCGAATGGCGCTCGACAGAGACGCATCACGGGACGCAGTGGGTGATTCGTGAGCAACTCCTCCAGGTAGCTCGGCGAGACGGTGCCCCAGCTGTGCGCACACTTGAAGGCGGCACGACTGGGGTTCACAACGACGCGATTCCAGGTAGGATCAATGACAATGTCGCGAGGTAGCTGATGAATGGCCTCGAATCCGGCCTCAGCTGGACTCGGGTAGAGACGACCCTCGTAGGCTGCATCGCCAAGGTTGTGCACAATATGGAAGAAACAGGTGTCGTCGAAATAGCCACCAAAATAGCCCAGTCGCCCGTAGGCGGGAACCAGACCCCCCATCCAATCGTTGGTCACCAAGAGGCTGGGTCGCAACTGCTTGTGGCAGCATATTTCAAGCACTCCCCGATTCGCAAGGACCAGCATCTCCATCATGCGCGCCTGAGAGCCCAGATCCTGGTAGACTCGCGGGAAGTACGAGTGATTTTCAAAGAAAATCAGACGAACACTGTTTTCAATGCCTTCGAAGATGCCCAGCGTGGCGACACCAACGTTCCCGATACGCACATCGATATTGCGGGTCCAGCGAATACCGTCCCGTTCGAGATAGCGCGTCTCTCCACGACGATTGAAGGTATAGGCTGGCGAGATGACGTACACGTCGAGGCCGAGATCAGCGAGACCTTTGGAGAGTTCATCGACCATGGTACCGAGACCTCCGATGCTCGAGAAACGACCGAGCTCCGGACTGAAGAGCACGATCGGACCCATTCGATTCCCGGAGAGGATGCGTCGTGCAACGGTGCGAAGTGCATCAATTCCACAACTCGACAGCACCATAAGATAAGCAAGCAGACGCTCGCCGGAGACAGCACGGAAACCGTGTGGCGGATACTCTTGCTCACCGGCGAGCAGCGCTGTTCGCTGCAGGCAGACACACATCAGATGGCGAGCTCGAGCCTCGGTCAGTTGCTGCTTACCGGGCGCAAGCAGGCCTTGGAGAAAGCCGAGCGCTCGGGCAAAAGCCTTCAAGTCGTAACAGTGTCGAGCGAGGTAGCCAGCGAGCCAGTTGGCACGGGCGTCCAACAACATTTCATCGTCTTCGTCGAGACGCTGGACGGTTTGCTGATGCAGATCGGTGCTGGACTCGGCCGCTTCCGAGCTAGGACACAGTTCCAGGATCCGCGTTTCTAGCGGCTTCAACGTGATCTGCAAGCGGCGAAAGAGAAACTCTTCGAACGCATAGCGTGACGGCTCTCGAGCCCCCGTGAAACAATCCCGCAGTTCAATGATGCGATCCCAAGGACCGAAATACGTGCATCCATTTCGAAAAGCGGCCGCAACAAGTGCCTCTGCTAGCGGTCGCAGATCTACGATGGTGTCAACGGGAACGGCAAACGGTGCCCCGTCGTGTCCACCGCGAACATTGATAAAGAGTAGCACGATTTGCTGTCTCGTGAAGCGAGCAAAGGCCAGTACCTGGTACTTGGCCTGCTCGCGCACCACGAGTGCTACCATGTGTCCTTCGCGAAGTGCCTCGTAGGATGCCCGCAGACGTAGACGATGCTCATAGTGACCGCGAATCTGGCGAATGTCGTAGCCCTCTTGTGGACCAATCTCGCGTCGAATATCCTCTTCGGCCAGATCGAGTTGGCGAATATCCTCCGCTGACACCGAGCGAATCGAAAGTTTCAGCATATCCTCGGTGGAGCGCGAACGCACCATGGCAGCAGCCGCACCCGACATGCTTCCCGAGTCCGCGCGACGGTTCGTTGTGTTGCGTCCCAGCAGGTTGGTACTCGACAGACGCGCTAGACCGGTCTCGCGGGAGCCGGAGCGCTTCAGGCGCCGTACGTCACCCATACTGGTTTGTTGCAGGTGCAGCATGCTCATGCCCGAGGCGACGCTGGAGCCGCGCGGCAGGCCGTGACCTCCCAGGCGCGGAGACTTGGGCACCTCCAGCTCCAGATTGGTGTCGGGATCTACTTCTCGGGAGACGGATGCCATGTTGATGCGGTAGGCGCGTCCATCCTCCTCGCCCAGAAGTAAGAGCGGGATATCGGGCAGGAAACAAAGCATATCGACTGCGGTCCAGGCTCGGCGTCCATAGAGCACACTCGGGTAGGGCGAGGTGTCGGAGCAGGTGCCCCCGACCATGATTGCCCCCGAGGGAATCGCATGTGCATCATTGCGATAGAGACGCGCGATAAAGTCCACAGTGGGATGCTTGTTCTCCCCGAGAGCGCGCACGGAACCATCGCGGCGGAGAGACTTGCCCGAAATACCGGCCAGTATGGTTGCCACCCGCAGCGTATGGGGAATCAGGCCGCTCACAATGAGGTTGCGCTCGCGATGAAAGTGAGATTCACCAAGAACCAGGAACGAGGGGTTCCAGTGCCACATTTCGCGGGTGAGTTTCAGCAGCAGAGGATTCGGATAGCCGTCGATGGCGGCGTCTGTGCGCCAGTAGCCACCCTCGACGTTCGCCAGCACCACGTCGCCAAATGCCTTCTCTTCGTCGTCATAGTGCGCAATCCCGTCGTTGTCGATACGTGCGAGTTCGGTAACGTCCGGAGCGAGTACACAGGGAACGCACTGCGCATTGTCGAGGCGAACGCCGCCAGCACCGTGCTCAGTCGCCATCTGCGAAATATCCTCAATGAGCGAATACCAGCTCTCAAGGCGACGGTAGTTCAGGAGAGCGGTATCCTCCCATTGGACCTCGTGACAGTCTGTTCCAGGATGAGGTAGTGCAGGCACCTGACGTTTCGCATCCACAATACGCACATAGCCGATGCGTCGGTAGCGGCGGTGTGCTCGAGCCAGCGACACTCGATCCAAGCAGTCCACGATGGTTGCCAGTTGATGTCGACGGGCCTCTGCACACATTCGACGGAACTTGTGCACCCCGCCGAGGATCGTGGCAGGCATCGCTCGATCGACAACGGTGTGCGGTGTCGGCTCGTGCTCATCGAGGCGACGTTCCAGGCAGCCGCTCACGTATATCCCGGTGATACCGCTCGCTGCCAGACGGGGCAGAAGCTCCTGCACCGCATCGAAGGAGCCCCTGGAGAGTAGCGCCCCTGTGGTGGCATCCCAGCGAGCGCCAACCTGGTCAACAGGTATCTCATAGAGGCGATGGGCTCGCGCTCCCCTCGGCTGGACGATGAAGCGGCCGCGCAGGCGTCTAAAGTCCATACCCGGTACATCGGCATAGACAACCGGATGAGCGATTACCAGCGGAGAGGCGACACCATCCGAAGCTCGAGCGATGTACCAGTCGTAAAAGCCCGGCTGCTCGAAACTGCCCAGATGAACGAGGATGCTCTCGCCCTGCACGCTGATGGGGTAGCTTTGCCAGTGTCCATGACAAGCGGCCCAGAGTGCGTGTGTGCCTACGGGAAGCTCCTGTTCCGCTTCCTCTTCCGCGTTTGTCCAGTCTTGAGCGGTCTGCTCTCGTGAAGGCGACGTGCTTGTCGCATTCGGGCCTGTCTCTGTAGCCAACGACGGTTTTCGTTGTTGCGGGCCATCTGAGCTGGGCGAACGCGGAGGTCGACTACCTCCGAGCTGCAGACTATTCGTTGCCTGTTTGCTCAGCACTTCACGAGTATATCCATTCTTGTTTTTGTTTGGCCAGGGCCGAAACAGACGCAACACGGCACGTTGTGGTTGGAAGGCCTCGCGATCTGCTTCGCTCGCAAATGGAATGCAAACTGTGACCGGTTCTCCGACACAAGTCACGGCTACAGGAAGCGCATCACCGGCGAGTTGCAGCGGGTGCCCATCGTACAGCACACTGAGCAAGACGACGGCGCGATCTCGCACGTCTTCGCAGTGATGGCCCAGTGCCGAAACCAGGGCCTTTTCAACTTCGAGGAGTGTCTGGAGCCGTTCCCAGCCAGCAGACGAAAAAGGCGCCGGCGGCTTGTTTGCACCGCGCCCGGATGCACCGCCTCGCGCCCCGTCCTCATAGGTGACCCAGGTGCTGCGTTCGAGTAGCAGCTGCTGGACCTCATCCAGCACGTCCTGGACGGGCTGCTCATCGACCAATGAGGAGAGTCGCGGAAGCCACGCTGACCAGCGTCGCTGGTTCACCGGCGTACCTCGAGAAAGCGCTGGTCGTTGTTCCCGCCAACCACCACGCTGTGTGCTGCCTGGCATTACGTTGCCTTTTGCGAAAACTCGGTGTGTGTCACCAGAAGCAAGGTGCAACAACAATAGCAACAACAACAACAACAACAGAATAGAAGAACAGCAACCGAGCGCTCTTATTGCCCGTGTCCGAGAGCGCACACTCTTCGATAGCCCTCTCCACAAAACGCAGTCCTCCCGAGTGTGTACCAGTGCTCGTGATACGCACGAACACGAACTTGAAGAGCGTTGCACCGATGAGCAGTCCACCGGGGCACCGAAACGAGTGGTGCATCAGACGTTCTCTGCCGTCCGTCGCGTCTGCGTCGGCGCTTGTCATGTCAATTGCGTTCCACCCCAGCAGCAGCAGCAGCAGCAGCAGCAGCAGCGCAGGCGATTGACATCACTTATGTCATGCGGATTCTGGATTATAGACAAATCGCCGGTAGGATGGATGCTCTCCGGAATCGTGCCAGGAGGACTGCATTCCTTCGTGGGGTCGTCAGGTGTACCGTAGTACTCAGATGGATGAGGAATACTGAAAGAAGGAGCTGGATGCTTACCGCTTCAAAAGCTGGTTTTGTCAGAGCGTGGTTCAAATCAATGGTAGAAAAGTTCACGGTTGAATAGTTTCGGGAAAGCAGAAGCGATCCTGGTAGCAGCTGGGGGCGTCTCTGCTGCTCTACTGCTTGTTCGTGTGATCCTGGGAACACTGGGATACGGTCCGGAAAAATACTCTAGTTCTATCACGGCCATTTCCATCGAAACAGCAACGACATCTTTACTGGAAAGTTGCGATCCGTGCACAGTGTAGGGACGTTGGTTTTCTTCTTCAGTTGGTGCGGCTTGCCTCGGACGAAATAGTTGGACTGTAGATGGGTATTCGAGGAGCAGGGCGCCCGTTGTATCGACGATCGATCTCGATCGGAACGAGGTATTCTTCGTCCTCTGATCTAGCTGCAGTGGATTCATTTGGCGGCCTCAGTACTGGCCCGTAGATAAGGCTCATACAACAGGATCTATTTCGTCGAATGATCGAAGACTTTTTCCGGCTTCTGGCAACGTCCTTCCATTGGATTGCATGGTAATTTACGCTTACTGTTGCGTTGAAGCTCTTCGCCGATTCTATCGGTGAAGAGCTGCTCCCACTCAGTTGGATCACCTCAGCTCCGTGGGTCTCTTTTTCGGTACCACACATCTCGTCGTATTGATGGCAGCGTTGAAGCGTTGGGTCATGAATTTCATGCGTTTATTGCGTCTGGTGGGACTCACCAATGCAACGAGTCCTCGAACTCGAGACCTTGATGCCAGTTTGTGCTCTGTCATCGCTCCGTATTTTTCTGTCGCCGAAGCCATGCGCTGCCCTCGGTCCATCTCGACCTTCTACAGTGGACAGCCCAGATCATTCCTTCGGTATTGTATTTCTTCAAAAATGAACACGTTTCTTGCTACTCTTAGGTACACACCATCCCGGAGCGAGGAGGACTTGTGGAAGAAACACGAAATGCGCCCTCGGAGTAAAAACGTGTGGGGGACGCTTCAGCGATTCGCCCAGTTTTGCGATCATTACGTTTGGCGATTAGGAAACGCTCCTTCGATGGGGATGAACCACGGAACCTACTGTGGAATGAGAAGCAGCTCGACATCTATAAAATTCACAAAAGCTCGAACGCAAACGGAATTGTCAAATACCACATCGTCCAATAGGGGGACGTCGCCAGACGTCAGGCACCAGTCTGCAATGATTTGACAAAGTGATTGGTGCTGTTGCATGGGCCTCCACTACCAGCGAACCTGAGGCCGCAAAATGAATCCCCTGCACCCAGAATATATCATGCTATCGTTCTCTTCGAGTTCATTCGGACGTGCAACGGGCATCCTTTCCGACATACCCATATACGCTCCGAGCGCTTCGTCCGAAGCAAGTCTCATCGACTGGGAAAACAAACCGACGTTCATGTGCTTTATCTGGATAGCGACGTTCGCGGAATTCCGGAGTTGCCATTTCGGTAGAAGTCTGATTACTGTGGTATGTCTGACCTGATTAATGAAAGCAGTCCTCGATGCACACTTCAGTAAAGAATCTATCCTACAGGCAACTCATCCACATTCCATCCGGTATATTGCATCCTGAGGTCGATCGCCTGCTAGTACACCACAGCGAGGGTGCAACGAAATTGAGTTGAAATCAAAGAAGCGGACTCGAGGGTACGGCGCTGCGCCAGCATCCACGTTTCCCTTGTGCCGTAAAGGAATTCCTTTGCACAGCAACGCCATCGCCCGCCCAACAGCGCGGCACGCGCCCTGCCGTAGGACGCAGCGTTTGACACGAATCGACATCACCTTGCGCATATGTTGCTGGAAACGATGACCGTGGGGCCGGATGATAAAGTCGATTTGGGGCAAACTGCACTGGTATCCGGGCAGGATCCACAAGATGGAGTTGCGTCAGGTACAGAGGAACAGTTTTGGACGCTTGTTCAACAGGTAAGCGCTTTGTGCGGGCAGCCACCGGAGTCGGCTTCTGCCCAGCGGCTGCTGGAACTGCTCCAGCGACTGGCCAAGTTGTGCAGTGTTGAAGACTTTGGTCGGTTTTTGAACGACCTGAAGACCAATGACTGGTTGAATCAGGCGTATGGCACCGAGACGAACGAACGAGAACTGCTGAACGGCTTCACTGCTCTGTCTGGAACGGTGCGCAAAAGCCCGGTGCCGAACACAGGGTCGCTGCCTGCCCACCTCCGGGCCGTTGGTACTTCCCAACAAGACCTTTTACTGCCGTTGCGGCAGAACCGATTGCTTCGCGCAGCCTTGCAAGCTATTCGCTTGGCTGGTCGGGGTTCCAGTGTCGAACGCGCGCTCATCCAGTGCCTCGCGCAGCCAGACGTTGCTGCTGGGGAGCGGGGTCAGCTCATGTGGCCGTCGTGGGCGCTCGCTGAGCACCCTGCAGGCTTCACGGATATTGATGGCGGCGCTGACGCGGAGCGCTCTCTGGCAGCAGGGTTAGCAAGCGAACGCGTTGCCATAGAACAGTGGCTCGACGCGCTCGAGCAGCAGGAACAGCGCATAGAGCGCCGCCTGCAAGAGCGCTACGAGCTTTTGCAGCATGCGACCGAGGAGGAGCACGACACCATCAAGGTGGAGATAGAGCGACGTGCACTGCAGCTGCACCATCGCCAGCGAAACATTCGGCGAGCGCTGCTGAATGAAATGTACCTGTTGGTTGCACCCGTCGAAACCGAGGCGATTGCGGCCTACTATCGCCAGCGACGGGATCCACTGGCAGAGTACGGCATCACAAGTGAAGCTGTGGAATTCGGAGCGCTGGTCGCAGCCAGTCGACGAGCTGCGCGGCAACGCGAGAATGAAAAACTCGCGTACCAACGTCACCGGGCCGAGCAGGAGGAGCGTCGACGGGCCCGGCACGCCCGGTACCTCGAGAGCCTTCTCGAGCACGGCAAGTCTTTCCGCGATGCTCGGACGCAAATTAACCAGGAACGTCAAGCCGTGAACAGGGCACTGCACAAGCACTTTCGCGACCGCATGCGCGAGGAAGAGCGTCGAGCTCGTCGTGAAGAGCAGGAACGGCTCCGAGCGCTTCGAGCGAACGATGAAGAGGCGTACCTGCGCATGCTGGATGCAACCAAGAACAGTCGCATCATGGAGGTGCTTCGCCAGACGGAGAACTATCTTTCGTTGATCACCGCCAAGGTGCAGGCACAGAAAGATGTCGTCGGAGTGAACGAAGCCGTGGACGCACAAGGACTCGTGGGTCTCAAAGCGCGCGAGGCTGCCCGCAAGGCACAGGCTGCCCAGCGCAAACAGTTGCGCGAACAAGAGCGTCGAATGAGAAACGCGACGGAAGCGACAGCTGCCGCTGTCGATGACGGCGTCGACGACAACGACTATGATGATGATGGCGTCGACGACAAGGACGACACCCAAGCACCCGCGGAAAATATGCTCGATGCCATGCGGCGGCGACGAGAAGAGTACTACCAGCAGACCCACTCCATTGGAGAGCTCGTGGAGCAACAGCCGAGCTCCCTGCGTGGAGGCCAACTCAAACCCTACCAGATCGAAGGTCTGCAGTGGATGGTTTCCCTCTACAATAACAATCTGAATGGCATCTTGGCAGACGAAATGGGTCTAGGCAAGACGATCCAGACGATTGCGCTGTTGGCGTACCTCATGGAGTACAAAGGGGTCCAGGGGCCACATCTCATTGTCGTCCCGCTCAGCACACTCAGCAACTGGGTCCGCGAGTTTCGAGCATGGGCACCCCATATGAAAATGGTCGTCTATCGGGGTGACAAGAGCGCGCGTCGCATGATTCAGCAATACGAGATGGCCTCTGGTCAATACAACGTACTGTTGACGACCTATGAATACTGCGTACGGGACCAGCGAGCGCTCTCGCGGATCTTTTGGAAGTACATTATTGTCGACGAGGGTCATCGCATGAAGAACACCCATTGTCGCTTGGCGATGACACTCGGTGTCAAGTATCGCTCGCGAAATCGACTTCTCTTGACCGGCACACCGCTCCAGAACAATCTCACCGAACTGTGGGCGCTCCTTAACTTTCTACTTCCGAACATTTTCAATAGTGTCGATACCTTCGAGTCCTGGTTTAGTGCGCCGTTTCAGAGCCTGGGTACTGGCGACCAACCGGAGCTCGCCGAAGAGGAGGTTTTGCTCATTATCAACCGATTGCATCACGTTCTTCGCCCATTTTTACTTCGACGTCTCAAAACGGATGTAGAGGATCAGTTGCCCGAGAAACGCGAACACGTGCTGCGCTGCGATCTATCTATCTGGCAAAAGATCCTCTACCGCCAAGCGAAAAGCAACATCGGGGTGGTGCTCAACGCCGGCGGCAAGCCACGTCTTTTCAACAATGTGGTCATGCAGTTGAAAAAAGTGTGCAATCATCCGTACCTCTTCTATGATTGGGAAGAGGTCAGCGCCCTGGATCCGCTGTGGATCGTGCGCACATCGGGCAAGTTCGAGCTCCTCGACCGTATGCTGCCCAAACTGCGTCAGTCAGGACATCGGGTGCTCTTGTTCAGTCAGATGACGATCCTGTTGGACGTGCTCGAGGACTTTTGTAAGCTGCGCAACTTTAGTTACCTGCGCTTGGACGGCAGTACCAAGGCCGAAGAGCGTCACGAGATGCTGGAGCTGTTCAATGCGCCCGATAACGATATTTTTCTCTTCATGCTATCGACGCGTGCCGGTGGTCTTGGCCTGAACCTGCAGACCGCAGACACGGTGATTCTCTTCGATTCGGACTGGAATCCGCAGGCCGACTTGCAAGCCCAAGACCGTGCCCATCGGATCGGGCAGCGCAACGAGGTACGTGTGTTTCGTCTCATCTGCGCGGATACGGTCGAAGAGCGTATCCTCGCCGAGGCCAATCGGAAGCTCAACATGGACCGTCAGGTCATTCAGGCCGGCAAGTTTAACCAGAAAGCAACCGACCAGGAGCGACGGGCAATGTTGGAAGAGCTGCTGCGGCAACAGGAGGGTAACGAAGCAGCAGCCGACGTTCCCGACGACGAGACCTTGAACGAGTTGCTTGCGCGCACCGAGGCCGAACTAGAACTCTTCGAGCAAATCGACGTGCAACGGCGCGCGCAACCAGAGCTCTACCCGCCGCTACTCATGGATGAAAACGAGTTGCCGGACTGGGTCCGCCAGAATCAAGATCAAACAGACTCGGGTGCCGACGGGTTCGCCTCCGGTACCGACACCGGTCGGAGGCGACGCAGTGGCAGCAGCGAGGCCGACGACTCGACCTCGATCGATCGCGAGTCGCGCCGTCGACGCGCTGCACGAACCCGCACAGTGTTGTATGACGACGGCCTCACGGAAGGCGAATGGCTGCGTCTCTTGGAACGTGGCAAGACTGCAGACGATTTCGAGAGCGCCATTCGGGAACGCCGTCACCGCAAAGAGATGAGACGGCTGCGGTATCAGGAGACCGTGCGTCGCAAACGACGCCTCCTGCGCGGCCTGAACCCCGACGACAGCACACCCGACACTTCGACTTCGTTCGCAGAGAACGATAACGATAACGACGACGACGACGACGACGAAGAGGATGCATCTGCACATCGAAGCGCATGGCATCGTCGCTCAGCGGGTCAAGAGCATCCACGCGACCGCCGTCGCCATGTAGCGGCACGCGAAAGTGCTGCGCCAGAGTTACCACCACCACCAGCAGCAGCGGCAGCGGTCGTAGACACCAGCGACCTGAATCAACAGGGTGCCGTCCAGGTCGTGCGCCGCAGACGCGGCCGCCCGCCAGGTCGACGCGCCGCCGCCGCCACAACCATATCCGCTCGTCGCTCAGCAGCAGCGAATGCGTCGGTCACTGCCTCGGACTGGCCGATACTCGTCGACGATAACACGAACAACAACACCTACGATAATACGACTGTATCTGCTTCAAGTACAGCTACCAGCGAGCGCAGCGCCCGCACCACATCGACAGCAGCGCGCGTGAACGCAACGCGGCAACGCCAGGGAGCCGATGCGTCATCATCCGTGCGTGCATGCATCGCGGGGACACGCATCGAGACGGACAGCATCGATGAGCACTCGGAACATTCGAAGCATTCGAAGCATTCGAAGCATTCGGATGATGATGATGCATCAGCGCCTGCAATGATCAGGGTGCGCATCGCAGGCTACGGCATGGATGCACAGCGTCAACGGTAAACGCATTGTAACCTATGCTACAAACTTGTGATACACAAGTGACGTTGCGGCGCTCGTGTGCAGTTTACGTGATCAGGTACGGATGCGCGTGGACGATGACAAGCGTGTGCAGCCGACGACGCGGATGTGAACTCGCGTCGCGTCAGCGGCGCTAGAGCCTCTAGAACTGCTTCTTCTGACGCTTGGTTATGGAGGCGGTGAGGTCGCTTGCTGCTCGCTTGCTGTTGCATTCTCCATGGCGCCTGATGGCTGTGCATGGGCCAGGGTGCGCCACGCCGCTGGTGTGAGCGTGTCCAGCGCGAAGGCTTCGATGCGCTTCACGGGTTGTGCTGGAGCAACTGCAATCGATGCAAGCACCTGGCCCGTCAGCACCGGCACCCTGACCACGGAGCACTGGGGCGTCGCAGGAATCCGAGCGAGGCTCACGTCCAGCGCCTTGGCGACAGCTTCGCGCTCGCTCCAGGTCAAGAGCAGTTGCTGTGAGAGCGTTGCGAGCGTGTCTGGTGCTGGTGCTTGGAAGGTGTCAAGTCCGAGCCGCCGCGCCAGCCCAAGCGGGTCGCGGATTCGACGGTCCAGGTGCTCAACGTCGCAACCGATGGCTGAGGTCGGCCCGGTGACCGCCAGCACGGCCCAGTCCCGGGTGTGGGACGTGTTAAAGCGCACATACCCGTTCTGGAGGAAGGGTTTGCCTGTAGCCGTGCGTGCGAGGGCCACAGATTGCGGTACGCACGCCTGCGGCTGGTAGTAGCGCGCGAGCACCGCCCGCCAGGCCGCTCGACAGGTACAAAACTCCCGCCGCCGACGCGCTGACTGCGACTGTTGTGCGTACGCCCGCTCGTCCTCGCTTAGCCAGTCAAGAGGCAAATCGACCCGAGACCAACATAAACGCCAGAGGTGGACCACACCGGGTTCCAGGTCCTGCCACAGGCTTTGCAGCGCCCCAGCGGGCTTGAGAGGTGGCGGGACCCAGGCCCTGCGTACCAGTGTCATGTGCACTGGTTTGCGTGTGTGTGCATGTGCAAGTGCATGCACACGCACGAACAAGCACAGACTATTAGCCAACGAACCTCTTTTACGCGCACGCACCAGCAGGCAGGCAGGCAGGCAGGCGGACTCGGTCTCTGTGCCAGTGCCGACACTTACGGCTATGCAGCAGACCCCGATCTCGTCGACGTCGATGTCGAAACGAAGGAAGACGCTAGCGCGGCATTCGCTAGGCGTGCCGCTCGCTCCAGCAGCGGTCGAAGCCCTGCAATTTCCTTTTTGTCTGTTAATATACTATCATGTAAAGCTATGAGTGCTTTGTCCAGATAATAGATGTTTCGTTCAGGATCCCCCTCTCGAATCGACGCTGTCCTATCAGCGTCCTGCTGCTGCTGCTGCTGCTGCTGCTGCTGCTGCTGCTCGATTGGTGAAAGCAATCGACAGGAGCCGCGTGCTGCGTCCGGTTTGCCACCACCGCGTCCATGCCAAGGGGCCAGGGTTTCGGTCAACCATCGGCTACAGTCAAGACCAGCGCGCTGCGCCTCGTACGCGGCGACACATCCAACAAGGCATTCGTCGTTGCGCTCCGGCGATGCAATCAGAAGCGCCCATACCCCGCTGCCTAGACGTTTGAGGGCGCTCTGAAGCATGCCCTGCAGGATCCGGCGATCACCGTCAATAGGAAGCGCAGCCACAACAACGGGAACCTGCCGTACTGGTGAACCTGCGTCCTGCTGCGGATTGTTCACGAGCCGTACGAGCTCATCCACGAGAGCCTGCTCGCGTGCCGCGGCTACCTGCTTCGCTTGCTTCCGAGCCATCCGCTCCCAATAGTCCAGACGTTGTCGAAGGCGCTCCTTCTCCGACGCCGATATGGTGATCGCCTTGAGCGACTCGGCCAAGGTCGTCAGCAGATCAACGGGCGGCATGGAAGCATCCACAGAAGCGCCGCTTGCACCATTCTCAGCCGCGGACCCTACAGGCACCGGCGGAAGGCGACTGGCAAGACCTCGCGCGAGTGCCATGCACTCGAGCGCTGAGGCCCCGGTACGGGCCACCACGCGTCGGATGCCTTTCGCAATCGCGCCCTCTTCCACGAGACAGAAGGCGTGCGCTTCCCCGGTGCGCTGTAAATGGGTGCCCCCGCACAACTCAATCGAATACTGGTCCCAGTCGGATTGCACAGGAGCCGCAAGCACTTTCTCCACCGGTGCTCCGATGCATACGACACGAACCTCACTGGGGTAGGTCTCACCGAATACCGCGCGCAACGATCGTATCTGCTTCGCGGTTGTCAGAGAGACCTGCTGTGTGTAGACCACGAAATTGCGAGCGATCACTTCACGACAGCACTGCTCGATGCGCTCTAACTCGGCAGCGGTGAGCCCACGGCCGTACGCAAAGTCAAAACGGAGCTTTTGTTCATCAACCAACGAACCTTTCTGGTCACACTGCTGGCCAAGGACTTGCCATATTGCCCAGTTCAGGATGTGCGTAGCGGTGTGGTTCGGCGCCACCAGCGCCCGTCGTTCGTAGTCCACGTGCGCGATCACTCGCTCACCGACTGCGATGCGACCGTAGCCGATATGGACGACATAGCCGCCAAAAGATTGCACGTTGATTACGTGAAACCGCTCATCCAGACGGCCGGTGTCTGCGACCTGGCCGCCAGCCTCTGCGTAGAAGGGCGTTCGATCCAGAATGACGCCAACACAGGCGTCGTCACCGGTCTCTGCAGCCGGCAAAAATCCCTCGGAGCCAGCGTAGATCGCCAATACGGTACATTCGAGCGGTTCGTACCACTGATACTTGTGCGAGTCGTCTGTTGGTGAAATCTTCCATTGCTCAGAGAGGACAGCAAGCGGCTCTGGTCCGAGCACGAGCGCTTCTGCCGCTCCGAGCCGTTTCCGATGAGCAGCACTCGACTGCGCGCGTTGACGAGCCATTTCGGACTCGTATGCCTCGACGTCAACTTCAAGGCCCCGTTCCCTCGCCAGAATTTGGGTCAAATCCAGCGGAAAGCCCATCGAGTCATACAGAAAGAAGGCCTCTTTGCCAGGAAAGACGCGCTCACCCGCCGCGACGAGCGCCCGTGCAGTCTCGTGGAAACGATCCAACCCGCGTTTCAACGTCATACTGAATGCCATCTCCTCCTCTTGAATGACACCAGCGATGTAGTCAGCCTTTGCAGCCACCTCAGGGAACGTCGTTTGATAGAGCCGTGCGACGTCCGGAACGAGCCGGTGTAGAAAACCGCGGGGTGCGTTCAGAAACTGCTGCCCGTAGCGCACAGCGCGGCGCAGGATACGGCGCAGAACGTAGCCTCGACCTTCGTTCGAGGGTACCGCCCCATCGGCGATGCCAAACGTCAGGGTGCGTATGTGATCGGCAACAACTCGATAGGCAGTGTCGGTGAGTGCAGAGTCGGTGGCACCCAGCCGACCAGCGTACGCTTCACTCGATCCAGACTCTCGCTGAATCGCTGCAAACAGAGGCGCAAACATATCGGTGTCGTAGTTTGAGGATTTTCCCTGCAGAATTGCGCAGAGACGTTCCAGTCCCATGCCGGTGTCGACGTGACGCGCAGGCAACCGACGCAACTGTCCGTCTGGTTCCCGGTTGAACTGGATCAGCACGAGGTTCCAGATCTCGATCAGCGACTCGTGACCGGCATTGACTAGGGCAGCAGCTTGGTGCGCGGGTCGACCCCGAACGCGGTCATAGTGAATTTCCGTACAGGGACCACAGGGTCCAGTCTCGCCCATTTCCCAAAAATTATCCTTGGTTCCGAATGGAAGCACTCGCTCTGGTGGCAGGTAGCGCAGCCACTGGTCACGAGTATCAAGGTCGGCGGGCAACTGGTTCGCAGCGTCTCCACCAAAGTAGGTTGCGTAGAGCTGGTCCGGATCGAGTCCGTAGACGCGGGTCAGTAGGTCCCATGCCCAGTTGATCGCCTCGGCGTTGAAGTAGTCGCCGAACGACCAGTTGCCGAGCATCTCGAAAAAGGTGTGATGATAGGTGTCCCGGCCGACATCGTCCAGGTCGTTGTGCTTCCCACCGGCACGCACGCACTTTTGGGTGTTACACGCGCGTTTCAGGCCGAATAGGGGTGAGGTCGGATCCACCCGACCCAGGAACAGGGGCTTGAACTGGTTCATACCAGCGTTGGTGAAGAGCAGTGTCGGGTCGTCGAAAGGCACCACTGGTGACGACTCTACGAAAGTGTGTCCCCTGTCGATGAAATAATCGATGAATGTTTGACGCACACGAGAACTGGGCCAGCAAGCGGGCGTTGTCGGTGCGTCTGCGCTTGGAGCCGCCTCTGAATCTCCACGAGCAGGTGCCATTGAAACTTAGGCTTGGAAGATTGAGCTCGAAAAGTAGCCAATAAATGCTAAGTGCGCGCGTCGTATAACGCGTCCCGGATTACCGATCAGTGAACAGAGTACAAAGTTCACTGAGCACGCCGCAAACGCTTCAGCGTCGAAGCTAGGAAGCACAAAAAACACAAATCTTTGCGTCAATAGACGACACAGGAGAGAGCCGATGAGCCAGCGCCGGCGATTTCTAAACACCGAACGTCTTTCAAAAGAAAAACGTTGCTGCCGGCAGCAGTACGCAGTAGTGGCGAGAAATACGCTCTAGACAAGAAGTCTCTGACTGAGGTGCAAACTCTGTCACGTCTTTTTGGAGCGGCCATCTACTCCTGCTTCCATGGTTTTCTCATATAGTTCAACTTTTAGTGATTGTCCCACAAAGTTCTCTCCTGTCCACTATGGGAGCTTCTTTCCATCACCGCACATATCCTTCCACTGCATGCGGCGTTCAAGTCTCAATGCACAAACGCTACGCGTTTCTCGCCATTCGTAGTTGTACTTTCTAATGCGAGCAATCCTCGAACTTTCGCCCTTCTTTCCATTTGCTCTTCCGTCAGCGCTCCGTACGTTTGTATATCACCAGGGCTCCGCTGGCACTTTTCTTTCTCGACTCTCTGAAGTGTACACCCCAGCTCGTGGCGTGTATACCATGTTCGGAACTTATCTACAGGTATCGTGACGAAACAGTGTGCGCACTCCTTGTACGTTCTTGTCGTCGGGGCTGGCGTCGTTCCTTTTTGGGTCATCCAGCGCCCAGCCCAATAAGCTACTATGAGCCTCTGACTTTCATTCCCCTTCAGGGCGCTCAGCCGATTGAAAAAGTTCGCGAACGCGCGCCGCTTCCCACAGTGTAGATTCATTCGCAATCGAGCCCACCGGGGCTTGGTGTACTCTTTCCACAGCGCATCCCAATGAGCAACGCGAACTTGCATGAATTTCATAAAAGCTTGAAAGTCCGCTCATCGGGTCGTCAGCGCGCTCAAAGCTTCCAGGTGATCCTTCATTCCTGCATTCCGTGTCTCAATTTTCTTCCTCGCAGTCATTATACCGGATTCTCGAGAATATCTAGTTCTTGAGAACCTCAACAGACGCAAGTCGCTCTCACGTAAGTTGCCGTCAATGCCATCTACCGCACGCTTCGGTGCTGCGATGGTCATGATATTCGTATTCTCAGGGTCCGTGCCAACGACGAGGCCCTTGTCATGCACCTCCTGCGTCGCGGGATCCGCCTCCTTCTCATCTTCATGCTTCGCCGCGTCAACGACGAGGCCCTTGTCATGCACCTCCTGTGTCGCGGGATCCGCCTCCTTCTCATCTTCATGCTTCGCCGCGTCAACGACGAGGCCCTTGTCATGCACCTCCTGTGTCGCAGGATCCGCCTCCTTCTCATCTTCATGCTTCACCGCGTCAACGACGAGGCCCTTGTCATGCACCTCCTGCGTCGCAGGATCCGCCTCTTTGATTTCTTCATCCTTCGTGACGGGCGCGGCCGAGGGCGGAACTGGACGATTTATCTTCAACCGCCGATAGTGTACACACAAAGCTACTCCATCGGTTTCGATCATCCCCGTGGATACATTTCGCTTTCTGACTTTGAGACTTTTGAAATCGAAGATATTCTTTCAGTGCGTCTCATGGTTTTCGCCAGTGAAGTCCTCTCTGCTAACATCGAACTCAGGACTGATCTCGCTCATGATGCTGCAAAAGACGCCAGAGTCGATACTCACAAAATGTGACTTGATGTTGCGCATTGGAACGACGTTGAAGCGCTTACCCATTAGGATAGACTTCCATCTCTCTCACTCTTCATTTCCACCTTGCGTTCGAGCTCTCGGTCCAGAAACAGAAAATAGCGCAGGACAAGGCGATAGGATCTTTCCTTATCTTTTTTCAACTGTGATATCTTTTCTGCTGGATTCACCAGCGCCAGCGCCGCACGGTGCTCTTGTATAACCGCACGGATGACAAAGACCTCATTCGTGCTCTGGTTTGACGCCTTCTCGTCGACGAATTCGATCTCATGTTCATGCTTGCGATCGTTCCTTATGCCGTTGAGAATCGCCCGTATCCCTTTGCGAGACTGGCCCGGGTAAAGTGCAAACACGGCGCGTATCATGAAACGTTCGACGTTCATTGTCAAATGATTCTTCAGGTTCGTGACGCACTTCATCGCCCCGTATGCGTAGATATCCCAGTCACCCTTGTATCGAGTACCGTTGATGCTGTAAAGGGTATTTTTCGTGGAGGGCGTGATTCCGCTCATTTTCCCTCCGCGCTTCCCGCTGTACCATGCTTCAGGTATCGAAAAAACGTCTTGTTGACGAACTCGCCCGGAATCTCGACCGTTTCCATGTGCGCCACATCGCGATACATCTCCCTCGCCAAATGCATCCGTCCTGACGACGCCTTGAGAATACTCTTGGAGTACGAGTCGACACGGTTCCTAATGGCCTCTCGCAACTTTTCCCTGTACGGATCCTTGATATGTTTAAGAAGACAGGTTCCCAAGCTTGCGCTTCATGTCCGCCCCAGTGACAGGTACTTTGGTTAGATCTGAGCAACTCGTTCGCAATGCGCTTTATTCTGGGACTAGGAGCGGGTATGCTGCGACTGGGCATCACCCTGGTCGTTGATCACTCCTAGTATATCGCTTCGCGCTGCTGCAGGCAGTAGGTCTAACTGCACATCTCCCAGGCTTCCAGAATGTTGACGAATCCCGATTCCGTATTCAATGAAGCATTCCTCGATCCGATACCCCCATGGATATGGCAAAACCGTTCTGTCTCCATTCAGCATCCGCACTAGCAGCATTGGCTCTATTGCGGATGCAGCAATGCAGGTACTCAGCGCACGATAGAACATACGAAATTACCAGTATATCCGAGAACAGACCATGAAACTTGGCGTAAGAGCGAATCATATTGAGCACTGGCATTGATTTCAATATCCACCCCACAATCTAGAATCCATGATCCATACAAACGTCTTCTCATCGAAGAAATGGCTTCAGCAGCCACAACGCTACCGACGACGACGTCAATTACAATAAGGCAATCTGGCATACATTATCTGGAGCTAGCGTTGTACCGGGAGTCTGTGTGCCTCGGTCGCTAGTCGACGTCCTTGTCCAAGGATATGTGGGTGTCTACAGTGCACGGGTGGCAAGCGCTACCCCACTTGGAAGGCGTGCGACAGCACCGACGAGCACCGTGCCGACGACCTCCGCGAACCGCGAGGCGCTCTGACGCTGGCGTCTCGCTGCCTCGAACTGCGTTGCCGACTCGAGGGCGCTTCACTGCTGGGGTACCGACGTCAGCGGACTGCTCCGCGGTGCCGCGTTTGCGCTGCTTGGATGCGACACCAGCCAGCAGCGATGGAGCGGACACCGCTTCGACTCCAGCTGCAGCGGCAGGTGCGGGCGCTCAAAGCGTAGGGAGCGCAGTGGTTGCCTCCGAGCGCCCAGCGGACGCGAGAAGTGCAGCCTTGGTAGCTGCGGTGGCCACCACGCGTCCGGCACGTGATCTGGCTGTCCGAGTGGTGTCCGGCATTGTTATGGGTTTGGTTGCCACGACCTGGATTCTGGCGGGTATCTGGGTGTTTACGGCCGGTCTGACAGTTGTCGCAGTGCTCGGTCAACTTGAGTATTATAACATGGTGCGGGCAAAGGGCATCCGACCGGCACAACGCGCTGGGATAGCGGCGTCTATTTTGGCGCTGTGGGTAGCCGCAGCAGCACCGCAGGCATCAGAGGCCGTGTTCCCGGTCTCAGCGACGCTGATCTGTACCTACATGCTGCTGCATCGCCGGGAGAAGTTCGCTACGATCGCCGACATCAGCACAACGTTCATGGGAATGTTTTACGCTGGATACCTGCCGACCTTCTGGGTTCGCATGCGAGCTCTCGGTGGCATTGAGCAGACGCGCTTTCCAGCGGTGGTATCGCGTCTCCCCGATGTGCTGTGGCCAGGCTGGTTGCCACCACCGGAAGGCTGGACCGTAGGCGCAGCCCTAACCTGGTGGACCTGGCTCTCAGTGGCAAGTAGTGATATCGGTGCGCTGTTTATTGGCCGCGCGTTCGGGCGCCGCAAACTCAGCGACATTTCGCCGAAGAAGACCGTCGAAGGCGCCATCGGAGGCTTCCTCTGTTCTGCACTCGTTTCGATATTGGGAGCTTTCTTGATGAGATGGCCGCTCTGGTGGCTCACCGGCACCCTCTACGGAATCCTGATTGGCGTCGTGGGCCTTCTGGGAGATTTGACAGCCTCCCTCTTCAAGCGTGACGCAGGATTCAAGGACTCGCCTGCAACAGCGTTTGGGGGACGTTTCCGCTGGGCGCTTCCCGGCCACGGAGGAATTCTCGATCGAACCGATAGTTTTGTATTTACAGCGCCCCTCGTGTATTATTTTGTCACCATGTTTTTGCCTGCGTTGCGCGCCTTTATTTTGAAGAGGTAGAGCGCGTCTGCAACCATCGCCTCGATGTTCGCATCATTCGACCATGCGAATCGCTGGATGCCGTGGACTAGGGCGCTGGGGGCAGTGACGCGTTGGCCTGAACGCTGCCACCACAATGTTATTGCCGGTCTGAACGATTCAGGATGCAACGCAAGCACGATGAGCAGCTGTAAGGGACGCGAGATGCCCTGTCGCTCTGCGGCAGGTTGCGATAGCCTGCTACGCGCGTCCACATTATCGTTGGTTGCCTCGGGTGGTGGTATGCATATCGCGAGCGCTTCATTATAGCGGGTTTGCATGGATATTGGCGAGCTTGGCAACTCCGTTTACGAAACGATCACCGCTTCGGTGTACGCTGTACTGGACACATTCGGTGCCGCATGCGATACCCCTGAGCCGATGTACCCGGGACGCACCGCTCTCGCGTCGGTACACGATACCCATTTCAGGTGAAGCTAAAACTCTGCGCTGCTTGCTTTCTTCGTGTCCGGCGACTCTTCTCTTTTTTTCTGCGGATGGTGTTTTAGATATACAGACTCGACATTCCACGCAAATCCATATGGGAGTGCGGATGCAAAAGCGGATCTAGGAGGCTCGGTCGTACGTTCGGAGTCGGCGCTTGGATGATCAGCCGCTGGAACGCTAGAAGGCAGTGGAATTCAGATGAGGTGCAGCAACCTCAGAAAAGCGGGATTGTAAACTAACCGATATCACGAGTCCAACAGCTCCCTACAAGCCTACACGCTTATCCGTCGCTTGCATCCTTCGGGTCTTCGAGTGCTCTTTTCCAAGGCAGACCGTGAGTGCACCCAGAAAAGCTCAGCTGGATGCACGAGTGAATCTACTTGACATCGTCATTTGGCGCCACGATCACAAGCACATGCTCGTCATTGACTTACATTTGTGCTGCAAATAATCGCCGGCGTTCGAAGGAAAAATACTTCGCGCTTTGCGTTTACTGGTGAAACGGCATTCGCCAACAGCAGCGTCATACCGATCACGTGATGAATACTCCGAGGCGCTCGACTCTTCGTCTGGCAACGGATACAGTCTTGCACTCAGACTTGAGTCATCATCGGTGTTATCACTTGTTCTAGTCGAGCGTGCGTCATCGTTTTGCGCGAAGGCGGCACAACGCGGGGCCGGCGACACAATGAATATCTGGGAACACCCGACAGCACCCAAGTGTCAACGCAGTGAGGCACACAACGATGCACTGCACTGAAAAACATGCACACGGCAAGCGAGACGCTGACCGCTACGTCTTGCCTATGCGATCAATGCATAGAGAACAGCTGGAAATAGCGTCATCGGGATTGGAACGCTACCATCACCATCCCTCGACTGCTGACCGCTGAAGTGCAGGCGTATCAGATACCGACCCACGTAAAAACCGTTGATAAGGGAGACGAACACGAACCAGTCTCCGATAAAGCACACAAACGCTGGTGTTCTTGATGTCGGAAACAGACCGAAGCATGGCGGTGAACGCCCGAGTTCGTGGACCTGTTCGCATTCATACCAACAGGGCTTCGACACATCGATAGCCTGGAGATTGTAGAAGCGCGCCGTTCACCGCCTCTGAAAGTGAATATTCTGGCACAAGACTTTTGGACCACTGATAGGTGACGGCGATGGGCTTCGTGGCACCTTTTTCTCAGAGCGTACGCCACTGGAACCTGCAGGAAACGAAACAGCGGAGCTTACAGCGTGAACGACCTAGAGCTTCTGGGAATCCGGTTTGGATGCTAACGATGAAGCGCACGCTCGTGGTCGGCGGCGGTGGACGCTTGGGGAGGCGCGTCGTCCGCACCCTCGTTGAACAGCAAGTGCCTGTACTGGTTGCTGGACGAGATCCCGAACGGGCGGAAAGCGCAGTGCGGGCGTACTTGCGGGAGGTAGGCCTCGAGCGTCAAGGCGACCTGGCGTTCGTGGCACACGATATTACGGAGCCCGCTGCCGTTCAAGCCGAACAGGTATTTCGTCAGAACGACGTCGATGTTGTCATAGACGTTGCCGGCCCGAGTCGTTTGACGCCACTGGAGCCGTATACAGTTGACTATAAGGGAAATAGGGAGCTCATGCGGGCGGCGAGCGCTGGACGGGGTATCAACCACTTCATCCTCGTAACCTCGCTCGGAACGGGTCGCTTTGGATGGCCTGCAGCTCTTTTGAACTTGGCATATGGGATTCTTTTCTGGAAGCGGCGTGCAGAGCTCTTCCTCATCGATCAGGTCCGACGGACAGCAAAGCGTTCTCCTGAAGGCACCGAGAGCGGTGGTATCCGGCAGTTCACCATTATTCGACCTGCCGGGCTGGAGCGTGCAACGGACAACTGGGGTGAAACGCATGCCTTGCAGATTCGCCCGGCGGATTCGATCTTCGGGGGGACTGTGTCGCGCTTGCAGGTCGCTCAGGTGGCTGTCCTCGCGGCACTACATCCCGACGCTTCTCGCAACAAGATATTCGAGCTAACGACCGAGCAAGGCGTGCAGCAGATCGACCCCATACAACAAATGGAGAGCGTGTCAGCGCAGGTGTTGTCTTGAGAATTTGTTTTGTATATTGCATGTGTTGCTGCCTTGAGGCTCGCGCCATTGATGGAGAAGCGGCAGGGGCGCAAGTTTCCTGTTCATACCATGCTGCGATGCTCTGCCCAGCATCTGCCAATGCCTCGCGACAGACGATGCACGTAAGCGGTACCGTGGTGTTCGTATTGTTGTAGGCATCGGGATCTTGGGCAGCGAAGGCACGTTCAGCCGTCGTCCTTGCTGCTCACTGAACATGCAGCTGCCGTTCGGATGTGTGTGAACAGTCACAACGCTGGAATTGGCGAGCCATAACTTGGACGATGCGATTTCAATGGCTCGCAGAGCACGGCCAAGGAAACAGAGCTGCATCTGCGACCCGAGTGTCTCGATATTACAAATACTATTACTACTGATGATCATGATGATGATGAATGCCGAGAGCGTAGCGCTGTTCCACGTGCAGGCAAAGCGCTGTGCCTGTTGGTGCGATGTTTGTGGCCCATGATCACCACCACTGGTAACGTTCTTGGCTACGTGGCAAGCATTCGCGGTGCTCTATTGGAATACTTTATTCAGGCTTGCCGAATGGGTCATCCATACGCGCCAGTGCCGAACTGTGGCGCTTTCCTCGGACCCTGCACTGAAGTGCAGGTCGACAGCCGAGCGATGTACCTCGCGACAAAGGATACAACCGATCTGATCTTTCACTGAGCGACTCTCTAGATGCATTTATAAAACATAGGGATAGAAGGTGACCTGCTGATTGCTCCAGCTAATGACGAGGAGCGCGAGCGCACGCCTTGGGCCCTGCGGATGCCATCGCAAATCGATCACTTGAGCATTCGACTCAGGTGCGCGAACAAAACCCGTAAGGCTGACCTGTACCGTCGGCTCCATCTCGGTGACGTACAGCGCAACAGGTGCTCTGTCCGCAGCATCAGGGTCGCCCGTTTTGGACTGCACCGGAAAACGCAGCGGCTCCTTGAAACTAATTGCAAGCCGTTGACCAGTGGGATCCCAGGCCAGCTTTTGTGGTTCTCCCGGCATCCTGAACGTAGCAAGTGGTCGAAGCGAAGCATGCGTCTGGAACTCGAGCGTCCAGCACCAAAGCAGCGACTTGGTAAAATCCGCACCGATGAGATAGTGTCGTCTGTGGCTGTCTCTTCCGACTTGCACTTTCACATGCCATGCCAGAAGATCTGGATCAAGGCGCGGTCGATCCCACGCGGTACTGACCCATTCACCATCCGGGTTCGTGCTCCAGATCCGTACCACGCTTCCTCTATGAGCAATACTCAAAAGGACACCGGCATCTTCCAGTGATGGACTCCAACAGAGATGCTCGACGCCGCCCCGGATACGATAGAGAGCTTGGTAGGAGCCGGCTCCGACTTGCCACACGAGGACGGCACTATCGGAGCAGGTACTCGAAGCGAGCATGTGGCCGTCTGCACTCCAAGCGACACTGGAAACATGATGATGCCCCCATGTCTCCAACAACTGAAAGCAAACGTACAACGGTGCGTGTGCCACAGACGCCGGTGCCGTCTCTGCCGAGCGTGGTGCTGGACCAGCAGCCCCGGCCGACTGCGCATCAGCAGTCCACAGAGCTACACCACGTTCACAACCAGCAGCAAGCATCCAGCTCTGTGTCATGCAAGGGCGAAACGCTAGACAAGTGACGGAGCGCACGAGGCGCGTACGCAGCACTGCGGTACACGTCCAGGTATCGTGCTCCCGGTCGATTCGATAACAGTAGACCGCATCGTCGCCAGTGATGATCGCCAAGAGCACCCAGTCATCAGCAAGTGCTATCTTGCCCGGCTGCGTGCCACGCATACCCACAAGTGAGCCGGCCAGTGCAGTTGTCCTAGTCTGCTGCTTCTGCAGCTGCCGCGGAACGAGCAGCTTCTCAAGAGCGTTGGAAAGCGTGCGACTCCAGGTTGACGTCCTCTCTGGGTGCACAGATTGGCGGAACACGTTACCATATGCCAGGGTTGACCTAGAGGAAGCAGCAACTAGCGTATGGCTAGACTGCTCAACAGTCGACTGCGAAGCCGAGGCGACCTTGAGCGGTGGCAGTCGAGGTAGGCCCAGGCGTTGCGGAGAGACAGCATCATAGCCAGGTTCGCTCCAACAACTCGTCCCGAGCTCTCGACCTGGTCCAGTGGCGGGAGCATCTCTTTCGGTGATCCGTTCCAGAGGCGGCAGCGGCTCAGCGTCTGGTGCCGATCGTCCCGAAGCGCTGGCGTGTGTACGAGGTGCCCGCCAGGGAGTCGGCTGCCGGCCGACTTCCCCTGTGCCATGCACACTGGAAACGGCAAGCTCCATGTAAGGCAGAAAAGCCTGAGCGCTCCGCTCACAATGAAGCAGCACTCTGTCGAGGTCAGTGAGACGTCACGAGCACCCGCGATAAACGCAACGTTCGTGGACGTCGCGCGAGGCACGCTCTGCCAAGCAACGTGCGCGCCTCGATACCGAAGAGTATCGCGAACCGAGTAGTCGGAATAGGTATGTCGATCATGATCGTTTCCAGTTAGCGAGCGTGATACTCTACCAGCGAGCAGATATGCTGGGACGGCGCGCTTCCTTAACAGCGAATGCCGCACAGCGCTTGTGCCGGTTGCCCAGCATCCGAGCGACTCTTCCAACATGTGCATGGTTGCCCGGGGACTCGGCACGTACGCGTCGAACGTGCACTACGCTCAGATCCTTCGTCGATGCATCTATTGAGATATGAATGCGAACAGCAATCCATCCAACGGATACTTCATGCGAACGGATGCGTTTCTCTTGCGCTTGCGTCCTGCACGGTGCATCCCGTCGCACGCCGGAGCGCATCCGAAACACTGTCGCTGTTACGCTTGAATCTGAGCGCTCGGTTGGATTCACGCTATACTCTAGACCATCAGCGAGCGTGGGTGTCCCCAGGCAGAGGCAAAGGTGTCGTAGTCGCGTTCAGTGCTGAGGTGCCAGCGAATACGCATTGCACGAGTACTGCATGATACGCTGCGGGTGCGAGGCACGCCATACCCGGATGCACGGGTACACCAGACGCTGTCGATATCTCAACCAACGTCTGACTTTTCTTGCTATCGAATCGATGCACCATGCCCATAGACGATATCGAGTAGTCGAGTCTCGTTATCGAGGCGTTCTGCTGAAGCAATGGAGCTGTGGTGGTCATCCTGGTACAAAGCAGTCGGCGGTCGCTGCGGAAAGTCGATGCTGCTGCGCTTCCGTACGACAACGTACGAGGCTGTGTGCCTCGTGTCGAAGGCGAAACGCTACGAGCGTCTTGAAACTGACCGGGTTACTGGTAGACCCAGCGATCGATAGATTATAAACAATGCTGCAGGTCAGCTTTGTTCTGGAGACGGTGCAACACAGCAACATCTAGGCAAGAGGTGCAGTCTATCGCCCCGGTAACCCGAACCTTTGCAAGGCTCGCTGCCCAGCACCTCCCCGCATCGATCCGGGATGCGCAGCAGGAGCCGTGTCGATCGCCCGTCAAAGACTCGAAAAAGTCATTTGGATGCTCGTGAGCATTTCGTTTGCATTCGATTAGGTCTGTGGATTCGGTAGCGGGGCGAAGAACGCGGTCGTGCTTCCGCACAACGAGGTCGGCACCGCCGTATCCAGTGGGCTCGTGAGCGCTCTGTGTCGGCCAGGAGCCCCCAATGATTCACGGATCGGTCTTGATATATACTAGTCTGGTGTTTGTGGAATCTGGACACGGGCGTGGATTTCACGAGCCAACCGGCAGGGTTATCGTCGGTCCTTGCATAGCTGGAGAATCTGACGAGGATCATCCGTCCTACTTGATCGTGAGGAATTGATTGAAACGACATGGCGAGTCTTCGTGACACCCATTGCGAAAGCACATGAACCAGGTCCGCGAATACGGGCGTAAACGGACAGGATTGAATATTTTCTTACGACCATTCAGTACCAGCCTTTACGCGGTCTTTCTGCGACAGCGTCCATTGCCTTTCCCGTGTGTCCGGTTTTCATGACTCCGTTCCGCTGTATGCCTCCAGATCCGTCGTCGACGGGCGAAGAATGCTCATAGCAGCGTTGAATTCTCGAGGCCGCCGCAGTAGAACTCGTAGAAAAATTCCTCGCAGACGTGGGAGTTGCAATCTAGAAGTCTTTCGCCAGGCACGCGCATCTTCTCTGTGAACAGCCTCTGTGCATCCCTCGAAGCAGGTACACTTGCCGGTAGTCAGGTTTTCCGGTGCGTCCCGAACGACGCCTCGTGCTCCTCTGAAAGCCGCATTGTGGCGTGCGAACACTTGCTCCATCGCTCGGTACATGCTCTTGGCGATACCAGAAGGCTGTCTCAGATGTTTTCCTGCTGGTTTCGCGCTCGATGCCGCACCCTACCAGTACTGGCGTGTTCTGGGCGATTCCATGAGCGAGTACGATGTACGCTGCAAACGCAGGCGAATGCTGTTCCAATGGATCATGGATTTGTGGAGCGCAGTCCCATTCATACTGAAACAAGGATCGAAAGGAAAATCCGGGCTCTAGACAAAGTCAAACAAACTCGAATTCTCTACGCTTCCCCTACTGGGCGCAATCGCTGCGATGACGAAAGCCCGAGTCGAAGTCCCAGTTTCATGCAGTCAGAAGAGATGAGGGCGTCGCACGGTCTATGCTGTGCGAGCTATCATGGTGTTGTCAAGCGCCGTTTCGCCTATGCTCGAAACGAAAGCAGGATTGGTCTTTCGCACGGAAGCGGCTTCGTGGCCTGACAAGTTCAGCGACCGTTCCGCATTTGCCTGTGGACGAGTCGTCAAAAGGAAGCATCGCGTTTTATGTTTCCTCTTCAGACCAGTGGCACGAATCGCTGCGCACACGAGTCGCCTTGAAACAGAGAGATCGAAAACCTGAAGCATGTATCACTGGGCCACTGCATATGTATGGAATGGATAGGCGTAGAGGCTCGTGCGTAAGCGTTGGCTCGTGACTTGGGGTACGTTATACACCTTTTTGGCGGGCGTCGCGAATCATCTTGATTCTTCAAAACAACAAGCCAGTGGAACGAGAAATGATTCACGACCATGGAGCGTGAATACAAACTCACTCGCAGACGCCGCCCGGCCTATTTTTTGACCGGCTGCCTTCTATCGGTTCTAGTATTCATCCAGGCACAATTCGAGCCTGAGATGCTGCCCCATAAAATAACATCAAGCCAGCTCCGCGGGTTTCGTCTTCAGTACCACATATCTTCTGATATTGATGACGGCGTTCAAGTCTCGGTTCACGAACGCCCTGGGTGCATTGACGATGGCTAAAGTCACTTTTGCTGCGAGTCCTCGAACTCGTGCTCGCTTTGCCACTACAGTCTCGTCATCGTTACGTCGAGCAAACGTTTGTTGTCGTCAATCTCTCCTGGTCATCCTCTTCTTCGTCGTAAGCTGCTCTTCGTCGCTCTCTCAATGATCGACGAGAAGAGGATTTTCTTCGTTTTTCGGTTGTTGTTCTACCTGGTGATGACGGCACACCAGGATCCTCGACGCGCACGTCCATACCTTTCCCTTGGATATTCCTTTCTTCAAATGGAATACACGTGTATATGTCGTTAGGTGACGACCTTTCCGGTTGGAGAAGGACTTGCACAAGAAAGACGACGTGCGCCCGGGTGTGTCACCGTGTGCTGAACGCTTCCGCTATTCGCCCAGTGGAGCGATCATTCCGTTTCACCATAAAAAATACTGATTCGATGGGGTTGAACCACGGAGCCTGCGGCGAAATGATATGCAGATCTATCCCGACAGCATCGGCAAAAGCATGAACGTAGGGAGAATGGCGAAATTCGACGTTCTCCAATAGACGGACGTTGCCAGACGTCAGGACACGGTCTTCAGTGCGCTGACGGAGTCATTGATGTGTGTATGTGTGTGTGTGTGTGCGTCCTCCACTTGCGAAACGAAGGCCGCAACTTGTATTCACTACAACCAGAACTGATAATGATATCCTCGTTCTCTTCGAGATCGGTCGTACGTATAACGGGCCCCCGCTATGCGAATACCCAAACAAGCGCTGACTGTTTCGTCCGGAGCAAGCCCCATCGACTGAAAAAGACAAACCGATGTCGCTGTGTTCCATACACGTCGCGACGTTCCAGGAACTGTTTGTCATAGCTGCGACTCCGATGCAAGATGGCCGTGCGTGAACCCGGACTCTTTCTTGCGACTTTATCCGAGTGTGTTCGGAACCATACGAGCAAGCTGATGAGAGCCAGAGACGCCCGTGGCGGCTACGACCGTCGCTTTTTCTTTCGCTAAACTGCTCATTGGGTCGTTTTCTACCATGGACCGCAAGCTCACTTCAAGAGCGCCTTTTTTGACGCTGAACGTATCTCCTTTTTCCGTTCGGTGTTCCTCGTCCATCTCAGAACAGCGTTACGTCTGACCTGAAAGAGAAATGCAGTGCTCCGTGCACTATTCAGAAAAGCATACATATCTTACAGGCAATTCGTCTACCATCTAGAGAATACATTGCATGGTGATGTCGATCGGCTGCAATGCACCGCACCTGGATGGAACCCCATCGACTTGAGAGACCCTAGCCACACGCCCGGCTCTGTACGTCGCGTCGACAAGTCGCAGCAGGCTGTTTTTCTTGCAGAATTCGCTGCTGCTACAGCTGCAACTAGCGGATGCGCGTCCTCGACCCATGGTATGCAGTATGGAGCGACGCCGAGGTGTGTGCTATGATACGAGTGTTGCACGAGCAGCAGGCACAGCGAGTAGCCGCTGTTGTGAAGGGAGTCACAACGCTGCCGCGACCGTACGTTCCGCGAGCGTGTGACCAGGAGATCATCCCGGTAGCGAACTTTGGCTCCGGCTTGCAGTACTTTTCACCTGCAGCTCAACAGGTCGACCATTTGCTGCTCTTACAGGAGCGTCTGCGACCGCTTCTCGAGTCTGGTGATCTGAACGCGTGGCAGCTGCTGTTTATCTGTAACCACAGACCTGAGCGGTTACCAGTGCTTGAGCGCTGTCTAGAGGCCGGTGCTCGTATTTTTACGGACCTTGGTCTGGACTCTGTGGACTCGGTGGCTGAGCAAGCACCAAAACCCGTCGTACACGAGAGAACTGCGCAGTTGCTTTTGGAGGCGGTGGCGACATGCCTGCCACCAGGTACGAACTACGAAGAAATCGACAACGACGGGAATTATCTACCAGTCGATCCATCTCTATCACAACCGTTTCCGTATGCCTGGCAGCTGGGCGAACGACGCACCCAGCTCGATGCGGAAATGGAGCAGTTTGAGCGAGTCAAAGCGCGACGACGCGGTGATGCTGGAGCCAGCGAGCGACCATCGACCACGAGTGTCGACCCGCTGTCAGCATCGATGCAACAGGCTCGACTGTACGCCCAACGCGACTCGGTAGTGGAGAGGGCGGAGGCCTTTGCGGGTCCGGATCTGGTCGGTGCCCAGCCGATACCCCCCGAGCACGCCATGGTTGCGGTCCAGGCGACTTCAAGCACGGCAGGTCGCGGCAGCACGTTGCATACATCTCGAAAAGCGAGCGGCTCAGCGCGACGTTCCATGGAATCCAAAGCCGCATCCACGCGTTCATGAGGATGTGCGGTAAACATGACAAGTCCAGCATCGGGGCCCGGCGCTGTGAACGCCTGCTGGCACGCCCCCGAAATGGCAGTCGCAGACCCGAGCAGCGAGCTTCGCCTGTCATTCGCAGGTATTCGGTGGCGAGTTGATTCTATACGTGGGTCCATGCTCTGGGACATTCTGGCGTTCAGTGCTCGGCTTTCGTGTCGGTTTTTGATGCGGGACTGGTGAGCCACGACTTGTCAATCGTGCCTGCAGGGCCGGCGGGCGACCTCCGCAGCGGTTACTGCGCTGGCTGGACGCTTGTCGGGGGCTTCGTCGCCAGTGCACACTTTGGATGTCGGATGCAGCGGACGGCATTCGGGTTCCCTGTGCGAGTCTTCCTGGCACTTTGTTGCGACAGCTGCTTTAGAAAACCGCTGACCGGTCCGAGAAATAACGTGCACGAAGCGGTAAACAGACGGGGAGCATGCAACGCTGGGAAGCTCTTTACGTGCAGGGGCGACCTCGAACGACTCGCCGACTTGTCTGTGCGATCAGGTTTGCTGCCTGTGTTCCGCCCAGTGGATGCGAACGGTGCTGCTGCTGCTGCTTCGCGGGTTTCCGACCAGCACGCGTAACCGGGGTACGTTGTACTGTTCAGCGTTCCGGAGACCTGCGCTCTGTTCGGGACGTGAGTCTGGCGCTCGAAGCGCTCCCCGGGGCGCAACGCACCATACATAGCGTTCGGGTGAATGATCTGCATATAGATGCACATTCCCATAGCGTAGAACGATGCGTGCTCTGTTTCGAAGTTTGAAATGTCAGACATTACACCTCGTACGCATCGCACGGTGCCTCTCTGTGAACTGGGTTTCAGCGGCGCCTTTGCCACGGCAGACTCGACCGACGCCATTGGGGTGTCCTAGTCAGCGACCAGCTCATGAAGCACCGACGCCAGCGCAGTGCCTGCGACCTTGTCCGTCATGGCCCCATACACCAAAACTAATTCATAGGGCAATAACAGCCGGCGATTATGAGGGTTCTCTGCCAGATTCAGCAATACCAGCGCTGCTCGAGCGGATAGCGATGCACCGATCGTTGCAGTGACTCGGGGTGATGTTTCGCTGGGGGACGGCACCCCAGCACGATGTAGCAGCTCTGGTTCTTGTTGTGCAACCGCTGCCGCAACAACTCTGACGAGGGTAGGCACCAGGCGCGGTGTGCGCGCAATACGCTCGCGTGCCTGCCATTCGAATGCCGAGAGGCTCGCTAGGGCGTCCAGTGCGGCCATGCTGAGCTGGACGCTTGCAAGATGGGTACCTGTGCCTGGTGCAACCATATCTACGAGCCGCGGTAGCAGAACGGGAAAGCGGGTAATCATAATTGTCTCATTCTCCAAGCGAGTCGCAAACTGGGCCACAATCTCCGCAGCCTTGCACAGGCGCTGCACAGAAGCATTCGGATGTGTGGCATCCAGCCAGTCGATGATCGTGTCCAGGGCGTCGACTCGAGACGAGTGCGCGCTGTGGGCGTCACCGGTGACCGCGAGGCCTCTCCGAACGGTATTGCTTTCGCGCCAACCTGAGCTAGGCGCTGGAGCGTCTACCTGCGCTGCAGGCCTGCTAGTTTCATCGACTCCGTTCACAATGACCGACGCTGCGTGCTCGGCATTCGTTCGAAGTGTATTCATGTCAGCAACGCCACTACCAGCAGCGTTGGCCCAGTCGGTTCGCGAAACTAGCGTTACTGATGAGGCGATGTTCAGCCACATATCTAGCAAGTCGTCCACGCATGCTGGCTGTGTGTCCGGATGACGGAGCAAGCGCAGCGTTGTCGAGCGCAATGCTGGATGCGTCGCCAAAGCAATCTCATTCCCTGTTGTAAAGCTCATGTTGCGCAGCGCATTGGTTACCAGTAGACTGTATTGCGCTCGTTCCTTGGCAATTGTGTCGCGACAGTTCATGAGGCCTGCACGATATCCTTGCAAACTGGATTCAGGCGTGTCTAGAGCGCGCTCGTTATTGCCGGCACCTGGCTCCAAAGTTTCCAACGCCGATGCCGACAAATCCGCCAGATGTGCGCCACGACATTCGCGCAGCTCCTGGGGCATCGACAAACTCCACTGCCGCCTTCGTTCGAGATCCTCCAGATATGCGTCCAGCAAATCATTTAAGGCGTCCAACAGGCCTGGGTAGAGCGCGCAGCGTAATTCCAGTCGGCCTGATGTAGAGCGCCCGCCGATGGAGACGCTCGTTCCCGCTGGTGCTCCTGAGCAGAGCGCGTTCAACGTTGTCAGCGCCCACCGAACTTCCTCGCGTACACCGCTCTGCAAGCTCAGTACGAGCTTCTCCCGTTCGCTGTTCAGATTCTCCGCAAAATATGGCAACCAGGGCGGTGCGCGCTCCTTCCAGTGGCCTCGTTGCGACCCCACGGATCGGCCGTTTCCACGCAGTGCCGAGCGTCGCCGCTTTGGCGACTCGGTTGCGGCCACCTCTTGCTTGATCCGTTCACGGTACGGGACACTGACACCACTGAACGGCAGCAGGAGGCCCCCGGCGCCCATGAGTGCATCTCGTAGCACCTGTTTCGACACGCGTACGGTGTGCTGCTGTCCCGTTGGAGGTGCAGTCAACGGTGCGCCCGCTGCACTACCAGATGTAGCGTTTCCGTGAGATCCCGACACCAGTCCGTCTCCACCAAAACGCACCAAGCTGCGAGAGGTAGCCTGCTCGCCCTCAAAGCCTCGAAATGCGATTCGAGAGACACTGTCCTCCGGGGTTGCGCCGTCCGAGCCACCGGGTCGTGGGACAAAGCTCATACTCGACTTGACTGCTTGGCGGATTGGCGGCGCTTCATGCGGCTCCCGATTAAAAAGGAACTTTTGTTCGTAGACGTAGGCCAAACGCTCGTATGCCTGCCGCAGCGCGAAAGCTGCTGCTGTGCAGGTCGGTGGTAGCGCCAACTCCTTGGCAACGTTTTTAAAGTCTCGTGCGTCGATCGTCTTCTGCAAGCCGCCCCGCTGGATAATCAGCACGAAAAGTTTGTAGAGATCGAGTGGGGCACCGCCCAGCGTGGGTAACTTTCCCCGCGGAAGATTGTTCTCGGCGAGATAGGCCCAGAGGTCAGCGTACCAGTTATCCTCAGGCGTTGCAGCCGGGTCCAGCTTTCCGCTGGCCTGCTTCCGCTGCATCTCTTGAGAAACGAACCGCCTCCCCACGTCGCGAACATAGGCATCCAGCTCCGCTCGCGTGAAACCCCCCAGGTCGTACTGGTATTGCATTCGAACCAGAGTGGACACGCTGCGCGTTATTGCGAGCCACGAGTAGTCGTTGATCACCGCTACAACGATGCCTCTCCAGGCGTTGAGGTGTCGCCTGCAGCCCGCGTCGGCAGACACAAGCGCCTGCGAGACCAGTGCACCAGCAGGCACCAAGACAGACCTGCGGCACCGAATCGGCGCTACCGGGAACATGCGCTTACGTCGTTGCCGTGGCGGCATGCTGTGGCAGACAACGATCCAATAGTGTACAATTAGGACATGCGCCAATCCGTGTAGTACATGTCAGGACAGAACTATATGAATTTGTATACTTGGGACACGGAAAATGCGCGCTCGCAGAGCGGACTCGCAACGCGCAGCGTCCTGGAACATCCACAGCGCCGTGGCTTGGAACCGGGGGGGGGGGGTTCCTCGGACCCGAACGCACGCCCTCGTGTTTGCGGCATCTTCTTGCTATCCTCAATACCTGCGTATGCGAAACTTTTTTTCGACTGCTACGGTTTCCCGCGTCTTATCTCCAACTTTTAGGAACGTCGGTCTCTTCTGGGGCTCCAGCTCTATGAGCAACTGTCGATAGACACTCATAGCAGATAAAGCGTGCCGATGCTCGTTGTTTCCGACTGCTGCTTTTTTATCGCATTGTTTACCTAAAGGCGGAAGCTGCGATCGACGTTGCGCTTGCTCACTGAAGCTTCTTTGGATGGACACTCGGTGCGCCTGTCGCGGCGATGACACTTGAGTGTGGTCAGGAACTTTCCTGTGTGTCCGCCTTGACGTCCTCCGGAGGCTGCCTCATGCCGTGTGAGTGCTTGCCACATCGCTCGCTACTTGAGTGTGGTCAGGAACTTTCCTGTGTGTCCGCCTTGACGTCCTCCGGAGGCTGCCTCATGCCGTGTGAGCTCTTGCCACATCGCTCGCTACTTGAGTGTGGTCAGGAACTTTCCTGTGTGTCCGCCTTGACGTCCTCCGGAGGCTGCCTCATGCCGTGTGAGCTCTTGCCACATCGCTCGCTACTTGAGTGTGGTCAGGAACTTTCCTGTGTGTCCGCCTTGACGTCCTCCGGAGGCTGCCTCATGCCGTGTGAGCGCTTGCCACATCGCTCGCTGCATGCCCGTGGCGGGCACAGAAGACTCCCCGATTCCCGCCTCCGCTTACGTGCCCGAGGTGCCGTACCAATGGGTCACAGTACTGATTTGGGCGATCCGCTTGCCATGTACTCTGTCAGCTGCACACACGAGCTCATGGTTTTTCAGCGGATAGATGATTTCTGGAACATGATGTTGGCCAAGATGAAACAGATACCGAAAGAAGAATCAAGGTTGGAGAACAAGTCGAGAAATGTCGATACGAATCCACTTTCTTCGTGGAAAACAGTGACGCACGCTCCACAAGAAGCGATCGCTGCGATGACTCAAGTCGGAGTCCAAGACGCTTTCTCATGGAAACAGAAGAGACGAGAGCCTTTGGGAGCAAATCCCGTGACAGGTATCATGCAGGCGTCGAAGTACGTTTCGTCGATCGCCGCAAAGGCATAGGAAATCGTTTCCCGAACGGGATCGATTCACTGACGCAGCATGATAAGTGAATTTTTTCATAAGCTTGTGAGCAATTCTTCAACTGCCGATATGGAGCATTTTTCTTCGTACATCCGACGGCGTCAATCGCTGCGCCCTGGCGTCGCTTGGAACGGAGAGATCGAGAACTTGAAGCGCACTTGGTTCGAGCGTGCTGCAGTGCGGAGACCAGAGCACCGGAGGCATGTCCATATACATTGGATTATGATTCCCGTTATTATAGGAAAGCTTGTTCGAGGGTATCGCGAATCATCTTGATTCCGTTGATCTGACGAAACCCAGCACCAACACGTCGACAAGGTCACTCCCGAAAAAAAGACCTGGAATCCTATATCTACACCTGAAGGTTCAAGCTCCGTGTAGCCACAGTTGGAATATCCAGGCTGTATATCGAAAGAAAACGCAGAAAAGCCTTGTAATCTGGAACAATGCGAGTAGTTCAGGATCCTATGTTCATCGATCACGCCACGATCGAGGGTCTTCTTCAGAGCCGCAGCCGCGCGCTGCCCGCCGGCGATTCGCACTGCAGATGCCGCGGCATGCATGGAGCCTCGCCCAAGACTCCCGTTCGAACGTGAACGTACTCCGAGTCGCTTCAGTCATGGCGTCGAACGGGATTCATGCCAGTGCTCGTGCAATGTTCTGCTCTTTCACTGCGATAAAGTGGCAAGGGACGCACGTACACCGATTACAACAACAGCGATGCCGCCTCTTCCGATTGCATGCGGAGCAGACGCCCGCTCTTGTCAGGAAGCAGCGTTCACACAATCGTGTGGAGCAAGCGCTACCACTACCCACGCGCGACTTGGCACAGCTCTTTGCATACGGATGCGTGGGCGTTCCCGCGGTTGCCCATGCATCGGTGACGACAACAGCAGAGGTGGCGAACACCACCGCGCCTCGGATCGTCGGCGGTCTGACGTTCCTGCTGACGCTGGTAGGGTTCGTCAGGTTCATGGTAGCGAGTGGGCGCCCGCGCATCGAACAAACCAACTATACCTTTATTGACACAAAGGAGAGTGATATTGTAACCATCGAGAAACTGGTAGGTGACTACCTTACTGCGCGGAAGTACGTGCCGCGCGAGCGAGAGGCCTCCCGGGTACTCGTCTTTCGCGGACGCACGCAACCGAGTGTCGCGATCGGGGCGTTTCTCGTTTTCTGCGCAGCAGGCGGGTTGTACGGGTTCGCCTTGGCTGCCAAGGTTCTGCTTCCTGGTAACAGCGACTGGTGGTATGCGCTAATACTGCTGTCGCCGCTGATGTGGTTCTACTATTGGAACACAAACCAACGGGAGGAGGAGTTCCGTTTTCGAGTCGATCCTGTGTCGTCGGACTCGAAAGCGATCCTGTACGTCAAGGGTCCGCGAGATGAAATCGAGGCGATGGAGTCTGAACTGAAGCTGGTGCGAAATCGACCCGAGGAGTAACCGGCCTGCTGCCACCGGAGCGTCCGGATGGCGCGTTCCCGTTCTGCAGCGACGAACTGGGCGCGGTTCCAGAGTTACTGGTCCAGTTCAGTAAAGAAATTAGGTTTCGTCAACAGGGAAATGCTGGGATTGGACGTCGCGAAAGAAAGCGTGACGCCTTGCAATGCACGACGATACTGAACGGGACAGCGTGTTCAGCGCTCAACGCGCGACATAGCTTTCCAAGGGTGTAATATTCTTCGCGGAATGCAGACTACGAAAACTGCCGTGCATGCACCCGTCTCCAAAGCTTGTCTAAAGTCCTAGATACGTCCGAGACGCTGCTCGGACGCAAGATTCCATGGAGTCAACTCTGGCCTACTTGCCGCGAATTGTCAAAGTCATGTGCCGGAGCACCCGCAGTTTCTGCCTGTCTCTGAGCTATCAGCTGGCATCCTGAACACAGGCTGAATCCGTGTCCCTCAAACGATCATATGGATGCGACTCAAGTCATCGGTATACAGCGGTATAAAGATGCCTCGCACGGTCACGAATCCAGCGCTACATGCCCTTCGGTAATAGCACGGGCAGTCGCCGCTGCAAGCTGCGGGAATCGATGCTGCATTTGCACTGGAGCCACTGTTTCCGTCGTAACCAAGCCGAAATACTCAGTTTGCTGGGACTTTTATCATAGAGGCTTCTATGTCGACTTGAGGGAGGCAATTCGACACCAATCGCGTCGATCAGCGTGCTTCCTGTGGACGCTTCGTCCACTGCACGCCTCGCACCGTAACCAATACCGATGCTGGGCGGCTATCGACCGTTGGGTGAGGTTTCCGCAGCGGGCGCAGCGAGCGCTTCCAAAACCGCCGGAGGAGTCAGGGTGAGCGTGCGCACCGTGCCCGTGGCAACGTCGACTTGTCGAATGCAGTGATTGTACGTGTCCGCAACATACGCCATTCGAACGGTGGGATCGTATGCGATGCCCTGTGGAGCAAAAAAAGCTGCCTGTGTGCTGGCACCGTCATGGAGCCCAGGCTCTCCGGACCCAGCCAGCGTTCGGACGTCTCGAAGCTCCAGGTTCAATACCTTGATCTTGTGATTCAACGTATCTGCGAGCAGAATCTGACCATCTGGAAGCGCACAACACCCGCACGGGTACTGGAGGTGCCCGCCGCGGCCCCAGCCGTCTCGGTCGCCAAACGTTGACAGGCTCTCGAGGAAGAAGACGTCGCCGCCTACAATCGTTCGTGTCCACTGAGCGCGCAGGTCGATGGCGCGAACCGTAGACGAGTCCGAGTCTGTGACATAGAGACACGTCCCCTGGACGCACACACCATGAGGCGCCGCAAACGACACCGGAACCCGGGAGCCCTCGGCATCATCCACGAGGCCTGGTTTGCCACTACCGCGGTATTCTCGGAGGATCCCGGTAGAATCCAAACGCCATATCTGGTGCGATCCTGCAACCGCCACATAAACGGATCCGGCATGCATCTTGACATCCCAGGGAAGTCGGAAACGACTGCGTGGGCTCGGTGTTAGCGAGAGCGGCGAGCTATTTGCAGCGATGCCAGTTCTTTGGTGTGTGGTTCCTGGTTTGCTGTTGGATTTGGCAGCGCTGCTCGTGTTGTTGGAGCGGTCGTTGACCTCGGCAAAGCGCACATCGGCGTCCGCAACGCTGAGCAACTGCTCGTATTGACGCTGCACCGCAGGACGCGTTCGTTCTGGTTTGAACCAGCGTCGTTGCCAGGCCCAGAACGGTGTTCCTTCGGACGCTGCAGGTGGCTCTGTTGCTGCTGCCGAGACAGCCGCTCGGTGCCGCCCGGATTCGCGGTCCTGCATGGATATGCTGCGCTCCATGACGCCTTGCACGTCGGTCTCCTTGACAAGTGGTGCCACAGATGCGGTGCTCACAGTTCCATCCGAGAAACGGACAATACGCAGTGCATTGTTTCCCGAGTCTGCCACAATCAATCGATTTCCCAGTGGATCAAAGACTAGGCCCTGGGGGTACTGGAAAAGCGCCTCGGAGAAGGTACCGTCTCGAAAGCCGGCACCCTCTCGTCCACCAATCTGCTCGATGAATTCACCAGAGAGTTTGGTAACCAGGATCCGGTGGTGGCCACTATCCGCAATAAACAGACGATCGCTCTCAGCGTGGACGTCTAATTTGCCGGGAAACCGCAGAGCGAGCGCTTGGCGAGATGTATCCAGGAGAGCGAGTATCTGGCGCCCGTAAACGTCCTGCGGAGGCAGTGGCGAGCGGGTTGGTAGTCGCGATTCGGGGGAGGCCTTGTCGCGCTTTCGTGAACTGCGCTTCGAAGTACGAGTGGAGCTTCGTTGCTCCTTGAGACTAGCGGTGTCTTCAGCAGACGCCAGCGCTCGCCGTCTGTTCTCCAGCAGCTCGCTCAAAGCACCTGCGGATATAGGAAACGCATCAGAGTGCGCCCCAAGCCGAGCCGACTTACCAGAGGGTAGCTGCTCCGAACGCAAGGAAGGCTCCGGAGGCGGTTGCGTTGCCACGCGCCGGGGAAAGTAAAAGTCGATAGCAGCGCGAACACATAGCAGAATTCGGGGGAGCGCACGGTAGCCCTCGAAGGCGAACAACACTCGTTTGGAACGCGGTGAAAGCACAACTGCAGTGGGCCAGACCGTTACTCCGAGATCCCGCCACAGACGAAGCGAGACATCAGCTCCGTAGGGAAAATTCATTTCATGGTACTTGGCAGAGAGTTGAACGAAGCGGGGTGGGCGTTCGCCATCGAATTTGGGCGTGTGCATGCAGACAATGTCAATAAAGTCCATATATGGCCGCAGGTTTTCCAGAACGTCCAGGGCAGCCCCGGTTCCCGAATCGGTGGCTCGCCAAAGCAGCAGCACGAGGAGCTTCTTCCCCGTGCAATGTCCAGGAGCAGCCTCAAGTGCTGAGGAGGCACCCCCCAGCCACTGAATGTAATAACAGTGTTGCAGCGCCGGTGCTACCGGTCCAGCGCCGGCTTCACACTCCATCATGAACTCTCGCAGATTTGCGTTCGGTGGCGGGTATCGACGTCGCAGGCTTCCAAAGACACCGGCTAGAGAAAACCAGCGAAGCGAGCGACGATAGACTGTCCCCAGAATGCCTGTGACGATTATTGCAATACTAATCACAGCGTAGAGAAGCTCTCGTCGCGACACGACAACGGGATCATGGATCACCTCTCGGGAGCCTGTCACGTAGCCCGCAGCGATGCCGGCACCACCACTGCTGTCGCCGGGGGTGCTCGTCGGGTATTCTTCTGCGTCCAGGTCGTTCCGGGAGCGTGGCACAAAGCCCGGCTCGTACTCGGGCCACTGGCGGCGCGCTTCCTCAGTCCACTGCGAACGCTCGGATTCAGAGCGTTCCTGTCCTTCGCTCGAATCATCGGCTTTGTTCAGCGGATTACGCCGCGGCTCCAGCTGCCCATCGCTCGACAACTCGCACACAGGTCTCAGGCGACAGCGCTTCAACGACCGCCACCGAACGGAGAACGCAATCAAGCGTTGAGCTCCGCAAGTCTCATAGAGGCGAAACCTCGAGCAATGGACAGTGCTGACGAAAGCCATTTCGTGGCACCCGCGAGGCAGGAATGTTCTGAGACACGGATCCAGTTACCACCTCCGACACCAACAAGAACAACACCACGACAATAACAGCAGCAACGACCACCAAGTGGGACGCTTATGTCGCGTAGAGACTGCCGAGCAACAGCGTCCTAGCACAGGACAGACTCGCTTTGGCTATTCGGTCACCGAAAGTCTACCCGCGTTTTAGTCTGCTACCGATACCTACCAGTCAAGGCTACGTAAACAGTCGTAAAAGTGTGGAAACAGATATAGACTGTCGAGAAAGTTCCATGCAAACGCCAGGCACCGAGACGAACACTAGGAAGGCGTCTCTCGTAGGTCAGTGAGTTCAGCCTAGCGCGACGTTGACCGGGCGCTCGGCCTTGAGAAGCCCCGACAGCAAACGCTTTTCAAAAGAAAAACGTTGCTGCCAGTGGTACAGTAGTGGCGAGTGTCCCGCCCTAGACAAGACGATGCCAACTGATGTGCAGACGCCTCGGAGGCTTTCTCGGCGGGCCATGTACGAATGCTTTCAATCTTGTCTCATATAGTTCCACATTGAGAGGGTGTCCCACAAAGTTCTCTCCTGTCCACGATGGGAGCTTCTTTCCATCACCGCACATTTCCTTCCACTGCATGCGGCGTTCAAGTCTCAATTCACAAACGCTACGCGTTTCTCGCCATTCGTAGTTGTACTTTCTAATGCGAGCAATCCTCGAACTTTCGCCCTTCTTTCCATTTGCTCTTCGGTCAGCGGTCCGTACGTTTGTATATCACCAGGGCTCCGCTGGCACTTTCCTTTCTCGACGCTCTGAAGTGTACACCCCAGCTCGTGGCGTGTATACGATGTTCGGAACTTATCTACAGGTATCGTGACGAAACAGTGTGCGCACTCCTTGTACGTTCTTGTCGTCGGGGCTGGCGTCGTTCCTTTTTGGGTCATCCAGCGCCCAGCCCAATAAGCTACTATGAGCCTCTGACTTTCATTCTCCTTCAGGGCGCTCAGCCGATTGAAAAAGTTCGCGAACGCGCGCCGCTTCCCACAGTGTAGATTCATTCGCAATCGAGCCCACCGGGGCTTGGTGTACTCTTTCCACAGCGCATCCCAATGAGCAACGCGAACTTGCATGAATTTCAGAAAAGCTTCAAAGTCCGCTCATCGGCTTGTCACCTCGCTCAAAGCTTCCAGGTGATCCTTCATTCCTGCATTCCGTGTCTCAATTTTCTTCCTCGCATTCATTATACCGGATTCTCGAGAATATCTAGTTCTTGAGAACCTCAACAGACGCAAGTCGCTCTCACGTAAGTTGCCGTCAATGCCATCTACCGCACGCTTCGGTGCTGCAATGGTCATGATATTCGTATTCCCAGGGTCCGTGCCAACGACGAGGCCCTTGCCATGCACCTCCTGTGTCGCGGGATCCGCCTCCTTCTCATCTTCATGCTTCGCCGCGTCAACGACGAGGCCCTTGTCATGCACCTCCTGTGTCGCAGGATCCGCCTCCTTCTCATCTTCATGCTTCGCCGCGTCAACGACGAGGCCCTTCTCATGCACCTCCTGCGTCGCAGGATCCGCCTCTTTGATTTCTTCATCCTTCGTGACGGGCGCGGCCGAGGGCGGAACTGGACGATTTATCTTCAACCGCCGATAGTGTACACACAAAGCTACTCCATCGGTTTCGATCATCCCCGTGGATACATTTCGCTTTCTGACTTTGAGACTTTTGAAATCGAAGATATTCTTTCAGTGCGTCTCATGGTTTTCGCCAGTGAAGTCCTCTCTGCTAACATTGAACTCGGGACTGATCTCCCTCATGATGCCGTAAAGGACGCCGGAATCGATACTCACAAAATGTGACTTGATGTTGCGCATTGGAACGACGTTGAAGCGCTTACCCATTAGGATAGACTTCCATCTCTCTCACTCTTCATTTCCACCTTGCGTTCGAGCTCTCGGTCCAGAAACAGAAAATAGCGCAGGACAAGGCGATAGGATCTTTCCTTATCTTTTTTCAACTGTGATATCTTTTCTGCTGGATTCACCAGCGCCAGCGCCGCACGGTGCTCTTGTATAACCGCACGGATGACAAAGACCTCATTCGTGCTCTGGTTTGACGCCTTCTCGTCGACGAATTCGATCTCATGTTCATGCTTGCGATCGTTCCTTATGCCGTTGAGAATCGCCCGTATCCCTTTGCGAGACATGCCCTGGTAAAGTGCAAACACGGCGCGTATCATGAAACGTTCGACGTTCATTGTCAAATGATTCTTCAGGTTCGTGACGCACTTCATCGCCCCGTAGCTGCGAATATCCCAGTCACCCTTGTATCGAGTACCTTTGAAGCTGTAAAAGGGATATTTTTCGTGGAGGGCGTGATCCCGCTCAATTTTCCCTCCGCGCTTCCCGCTCTACCATGCTTCAGGTATCGAAAAAACGTCTTGTCGACGAACTCGCCAGGAATCTCGACCGTTTCCATGTGCACCACGTCGCGGTACATCTCCCTCGCCAAATGCATCAGTCCTGACGACGCCTTGAGAATACTCTTGGAGTACGAGTAAACACGGTTCCTAATGGCCTCTCGCAACTTTTCCCTGTACGGATCCTTGATATATTTAAGAAGACAGGTTCCCAAGCTTGCGCTTCATGTCCGCCCCAGTGACAGGTACTTTGGTTAAATCTGAGCAACTCGTTCGCAATGCACTTTATTCTGGGACTAGGAGCGGGTATGCTGCGACGGGGCATCACCCTGGTCGTTGATCACTCCTAGTATATCGCTTCGCGCTGTCGCAGAAAGATCGTATGTCTCCCAGTTTTCAGGCTCCCGGAATGATCACGTGCTCCTACTCCACATCAGACGAAGCGTTCCTTGATCCGACACCCTCAGCGGTACGGAAAAGCAGTTCAGTCTTTACCAAAAATATCTGCTCCAGCGGTTCAGGCGCCAAGGCGGATTAGGCACGGCACGCACTAGGCGCACGATATAACCTGCAAAATGACCAGTATATCCGAGAGGAACAATCGCGAATGGAACTAGAAATAAGGGTACAACATAAAGAGTGATTTCCCGTATGTCTGCGCCCATCCGGCAATCTGGGATCCATGGTCAATGGAAACGTTTTCTCAATGAAAAATCCTATGGCGCCGATGCATACACGCTGGCGATGCCGCTGCTACAGTTGCAGCCGAGTTTTGGATAAGCGTGGTGTGCAATGGCACGGGTGAGCCGGGCAACCTGGTGTGCCGTTGGCGCCTGCGGCAAACCCCATACGGCTTCCATTTCGAGCATGTGTCGTGTCCGAACTATATATCTGAGGTACTGGCGTGAGTAGGACTTAACTTGATGATGCAAACAATCGTAGGCATCCTGTGTATGGTCTTGGGCACATTGCAGATGGTGGTCTGGGTTCGGGCGAAACATCGGCAGTATCTGAATGAATTCGGAAGCCTCTATCTTCGGTCGAGGAAACGCATGCTTCCTTTCGTTCGGTGCAAGCACAGCAGTTCACGTAATTTGTTTCCGTGCTGCTGGGCACGTCCTGACCTGGATTTACGAGGCCGGTGCGCGTATGACATTTCGTCGCTTTTGGATGATGGTGGATTCTATGATCGTTACAAACCGTGCAGTGAAACGCACCCACACTCGTGATAGTGCTCGATGTTCGAGCAACAAAAGCTCACTCGGATTATTTTCCCAGAATACCGTAGCGGCGACTCGTCATTACCCTGAATCTGAACGTCTCGGGCACGTCCTCGTTTTATGTACTAGGACACCCTCGCGTGCCATGCGGCTTCGTCACGCACTCTTCACGGCCAGCATGCCGTCACAAGAGCACCTGGTGCCGGCTGCAGCCCTTAGCTTCTGGTACCGATCGTGTGATAGCGTCGGTCAAAATTGATCGCCTCTTGACCTCAGCTCTATCACAAGCGTTTTAGACAAAACACGATCAGTATCAACGGATGAATGACGATGGAGGCGCGACCGGCGGAGCTGACGCGATCCGACTTTGTGGGACAGCCTCCTACTGCCAACTTGTCCAAGGACAAGTTGGAAACAGTAGTTGTTGGCCAGTCCAAAAAGACCGGGAGGCGTCTGTGAGTGGATATGAATTTACCCTACATGGTCGTGAAACGGTTTCCAGTCATTGAACGGTAAAAGATAGAAAGAAAATCCTTCCGTTCTGCAGTTTTGCTGGTGAGAGTGGGAAACCAGCAGGCAGCCACCGAGCATCCGGGAGCATATGGAGCGGCGGGGGTACGGAAAAGTTCACGGTTTGACGATTGCACCGCTATCTACATTTTAGGCTCTTGCCAGTAAACGGTGAGAATAGACCAGAATACAGTATGCGCTTTTAGCGGATGCTTCGAACGTGCCAGGCGAGATGCGTCAGTCAAACGCCGTGATACATCTGCACGCTACATGTGCGCTATTCCTCTGCCGAGATCACCGGATCCGAGAGAGTAGCGGATATCATAACTTGGACAACGACGGCAGCATGGCAATGACTTGACCTGCCATCAGTACCTGCCCATGACGCAGGATAGAAGCACAACTCAAACCAGTTTCTCATCCCAGCGTCCGTGCAGCCTGCATAACAAGCACAGGGATTAAACGCATATCCGTGTTCGGGAACACTACTATGCCTTGTTTGTTTACGATCAATAAAACTAACGAAACTCCTATTGAGTAGAGTGATGCATACCTCACCCGCACGATCGTAGGATACTACGATGGCTACGCTTTTGATAGAAGCGTCGAGGGGTTTCTTGCAAGGCCCCAACATCTACATGTCTGTCAAGGCGGTACTGCGATGGGTAGCAGCGTCGGCACCAGCGACATAGCCTATAGCGAGAGACTACTCTGCGTGAATTTCCGATCTACGATACTTTATTTCCGCTGCAACGCGATGCGAACACGCATATGCCAATGCGGCGTCGGACACGTGTCCTTCATCGATCGGTGAGGCGTCTGGCGAGGTGCACGCATCGCGCTCAGTGAGCGCAACTGGGAGATCAGGCAGTAAACTGACACGACGCGTATGCCTCCGTTGACGGGAAACGTGATCGTGATTTCTAGCGTGTAGCTCTGATGTAAAAGTTGTATTCTCGTTGAGTTCATAGCCAAGTACAGTTTTTCGGTTTCATTTGTGTTTCAAACCTCAAGTAAAAATGTTCGATTGATTTTTTGCGGATTATAACAGAAGCGTTCAAAAGCGTTCTTTTTACAAAACCTAAAAAAGGAAAGTTATGAAAAAGCAAGTCGACGATCCTGAGGCTCAGTGTCGCTGGCTGCCAGAAAAAAAAACAAGAAACAGTGCCGAGTTCAGAAGAACAAGAAGAAAAAATGAAGCAAAAGAGGGAGGCCCTACGTCGAAGGCGGCAAGAAAGACAACTGTACTCCGAGATGGCGGTGAAAGCCTGTCTTGTTGGACATGTCAAGGATCCGTACAGGGAAAAGTTGCGAGAGGCCATTAGGAACCGTGTCGACTCGTACTCCAAGAGTATTCTCAAGGCGTCGTCAGGACGGATGCATTTGGCGAGGGAGATGTATCGCGATGTGGCGCACATGGAAACGGTCGAGATTCCGGGCGAATCCTTCGACAAGACGTTTTTTCGATACCTGATGCATGGTACAGCGGGAAGCGCGGAGGGAAAATGAGCGGAATCACGCCCTCCACGAGAAATACCCTTTACAGCATCAACGGTACTCGATACAAGGGTGACTGGGATATCTACGCATACGGGGCGATGAAGTGCGTCACGAACCTGAAGAATCATTTGACAATGAACGTCGAACGTTTCATGATACGCGCCGTGTTTGCACTTTACCAGGGCATGTCTCGCAAAGGGATACGGGCGATTCTCAACGGCATAAGGAACGATCGCAAGCATGAACATGAGATCGAATTCGTCGACGAGAAGGCGTCAAACCAGAGCACGAATGAGGTCTTTGTCATCCGTGCGGTTATACAAGAGCACCGTGCGGCGCTGGCGCTGGTGAATCCAGCAGAAAAGATATCACAGTTGAAAAAAGATAAGAAAAGATCCTATCGCCTTGTCCTGCGATATTTCGTGTTTCTGGACCGAGAGCTCGAACGCAAGGTGGAAATGAAGAGTGAGAGAGATGGAAGTCTATCCTAATGGGTAAGCGCTTCAACGTCGTTCCAATGCGCAACATCAAGTCACATTTTGTGAGTATCGATTCCGGCGTCCTTTACGGCATCATGAGGGAGATCAGTCCCGAGTTCAATGTTAGCAGAGAGGACTTCACTGGCGAAAACCATGAGACGCACTGAAAGAATATCTTCGATTTCAAAAGTCTCAAAGTCAGAAAGCGAAATGTATCCACGGGGATGATCGAAACCGATGGAGTAGCTTTGTGTGTACACTATCGGCGGTTGAAGATAAATCGTCCAGTTCCGCCCTCGGCCGCGCCCGTCACGAAGGATGAAGAAATCAAAGAGGCGGATCCTGCGACGCAGGAGGTGCATGAGAAGGGCCTCGTCGTTGAGGCGGTGAAGCATGAAGATGAGAAGGAGGCGGATCCCGCGACACAGGAGGTGCATGACAAGGGCCTCGTCGTTGACGCGGCGAAGCATGAAGATGAGAAGGTGGCGGATCCTGCGACATAGAAAGTGCAGGATAACGACTTCGTCGTTGGCACGGACCCTGGGAATACGAATATCATGACCATCGCAGCACCGAAGCGTGCGGTAGATGGCATTGACGGCAACTTACGTGAGAGCGACTTGCGTCTGTTGAGGTTCTCAAGAACTAGATATTCTCGAGAATCCGGTATAATGAATGCGAGGAAGAAAATTGAGACATGGAACGCAGGAATGAAGGATCACCTGGCAGCTTTGAGCGCACTGACGATCCGATGAGCGGACTTTCAAGCTTTTATGAAATTCATGCAAGTTCGCGTTGCTCATTGGGAGGCGCTGCGAAAAGAATTTCCAAAGCCCCGGTGGGCTCGATTGCGAATGAATCTACACTGTGGGAAGCGGCGCGCGTTCGCGAACTTTTTCAATCGGCTGAGCGCCCTGAAGGAGAATGAAAGTCAGAGGCTCATAGTAGCTTATTGGGCAGGGCGCTGGATGACCCAAAAAGGAACGACGCCAGCCCCGACGACAAGAACGTACAAGGAGTGCGCACACTGTTTCGTCACGATACCTGTAGATAAGTTCCGAACATCGTATACACGCCACGAGCTGGGGTGTACACTTCAGAGCGTCGAGAAAGAAAAGTGCCAGCGGAGCCCTGGTAATATACAAACGTACGGAGCGCTGACGCAAGAGCAAATGGAAAGAAGGGCGAAAGTTCGAGGATTGCTCGCATTAGAAAGTACAACTACGAATGGCGAGAAACGCATAGCGTTTGTGCATTGAGACTTGAACGCCGCATGCAGTGGAAGGAAATGTGCGGTGATGGAAAGAAGCCCCCATCGTGGACAGGAGAGAACTTTGTGGGACACCCTCTCAATGTGGAACTATATGAGACAAGATTGAAAGCATTCGTACATGGCCCGCCGAGAAATCCTCCGAGGCGTCTGCACATCAGTTGGCGTCGTCTTGTCTAGGGCGGGACACTCGCCACTACTGTACCACTGGCAGCAACGTTTTTCTTTTGAAAAGCGTTTGCTGTTCGTGTTGATGGTGGTGGGACGGCGTGCCGACGTTTGCAGTGACCGAGCAGTCGGTTTCTGTTCAACACCAGTTCCCGGCAATATGCTCGTGAGTAAACAGGGGGTACCACCGATAGACGCCAGTCCTTGCTATACCCGCCAGAGCATGGGTTTTGTTCTTTCGCCGCGCAGCTGGTTGCGGAGCTCGCCTCCGAGTCCGCGCAGCCCGCGCAGCCCGCGCGCTCATGGAACAGCACTGTCGGCAAAAGCAAGCGCTGATGCCGAACAAGTCGGTACGCTTGTGCGGGAGCTTCGGACAGATCCGCCTGAGGAGCTGCGAGTCGAACTGCGTTCGCTGGACTCGCGTCGGCGATTGATCACTGGATCGCTAAACGTTTTCGCACCTAAGGCACACGTCTGGACGGTGCTGACGGCATTCGATGAAATGATCGAGTTTGTACCGCATATGCTCTCGTCGCGCTTTGACACGGAGTCACGACTGCTCGAGCAAGTCGCCTGGGTCAGCCGTCGTCTGAGACTGCAATCGCGACTCGTTATGGAAGTTGAGATGCTACCAGAGCAGGGCGAGCTCCTGTTCTCGAAACGAGAGAGCAGGGACTTTGCATCTTGGAAAGGGGTGTATAGAATCGTGCCGCGCAGCGAGACAGAGACTCGTTTGGAGTATGCGCTGGACGTGGTTCCGATGATCCTCTTCCCGATAGCGCTGGTTGAGCGCAAGATCATGAAAGAAGTTCCTGGTGTGCTTCGCGCGTTTGCTGCCCGCGCCGAGCAGCGCTGGAACGACGAGAAAAGGGAAACAATCCCGGGGACCTAGGAAAGCGTGCTCCGAAACATTTTCGAGTTCAAATGCACGCAAAGCAGGGTATTTATACAGAAGCGTGGCTCTGCTTTGGAGGTTGTCTCTGGCCGCAACACGTATTCGAATGGAACAGCGTCCATCAGGCATAGGCGGGCATTCGCAGACGCTATCGGCGCTCGTGACTGTGCGCTTACCGGGGAAGCCTGCATCAGAAGCTGAGGTTGATTAGGCCTATCGCTGAGGGGGGCATTCGTCGCCAGCTCGACGCTGACGGCATGCGCAGCGTCATTGGGCACAAACTGGTAAAACATCCGCTGGCCAAGGCGCTCCTGTTGGATATTCGTTGTGCATTCACGACGCTCGGCACCATGAGCTTGCATCGAAGCTAGGAGGCCCAGCGCCACGACGCGCACCATTCAATACGCCGTCCGGAGCGCACTCGCTAGGGTCCGATGCGCTGAGGCGTCCGTGCCCGCAAATGATCATCGCTTCTACCTGAGGTGCGTCTACTGACTGAGACTGATGGGAGGGATACCGATTTGCCTTTAATTTCCCGCAGGCGCCGTATGGAGCGGGAAGATCAGCTTCAGACGACTGACCGGTCCGCTACGAGGTGGCCAGGTGCTTACCGTCCTACCAAAACCCTGTCAGTTCAAGAAAACGTACGAATGTCGCATCTGCAAACCACTTTCCGCGTGTCGTGCGCAACTCGCTGTACGCAGACGTATCGAATAAGGGAGCCCCATGATCGTTCGCCAATAGCCTAAAAATCTCGTTCCCACTTTGTGAACAAGGCGCTCCAGCCTCTCCACATACCTGAAACGTGCCATGTCACTGCGTTGATCCTGGCAAGCAAGTGTCGCATGGCCTCAGTCGTAAACACTGATTTTTCATGCCAAGTCAGCCGCAGTTCAGCACGGTGCCCAGAGAGAGAGTACCAAACGACTCTTTCGAGGCCTCGCTGGACACCGAACTATTGGACGCTACTGATGCACGAGACAATGCCTATTGTCGATCGAGTTGTTGAAGCCTTGGGGCAGCAAGTGCTTGCGCACAGCATCGCTGGCGGCATGACACCACAGCACGCCTCTCGCACTGGATGCCCTCGTCATCTGCAGGTTGTTCGGCTCACCGTACAGCATCTCGCACATCCGATTTGTTCACTTTCGTTTTCTCTACCTTTTCAGTGCGCATCCGTGCTCGTGATGCGATTACACAGCCCAGAACATATCCATGAGATTCATAAAGAATCAATTGCTGCACCCGCTGTATCCTCTCGTTGGAGCACCAAGAGCACAGCCGTGGCACGCGGCAGCATGTCCAGCGCCACAGGCGAGCATCAAACAACGCGTTCGACATTCGTTAGCCAACTCATTGAGCGAGTTGACGAATGCACGGTTTTTGCATCCATCAAGCGGAAACCTTTGATGATCCTGACTTGGGCCGATGTACTCCTGTACAGGCTCCGCCGCTTGAGCGATTCGGACACATGCGTACGCGCTGCATGAAGCGTCCAAAGCACCTCTGTCTCCTCGATACGGTGATCAAAGCGTTGATCTGGGTCCCAATGCAGCCATTCCACTTGATGGTATGCCTCCCGATGCGATTCATGCCCGATTCCGAATACGAACGAGCCCTGATAAAGCTGAGCACCGTCATCTGCGTTCCCTTCGAGGTCCTTGGCTGCGTTCTCTCGATTTAGAGATACGGCGCCGGCGATCATGTTCATGGACCTGGGGTCGACGTCCACCATGAGGTCTTTTCCTACATCTACCTAGAAGGGTGCAAACAAGTCATCTTGTTTGACTCAGGGAAAATTGACGTAAAGAACAATCGCGTGGACATTCCGTCGGTCGCCATCATCACAGGAGCTTGTTTCGAGCTCCACCCTGGAAACGATAATCCGGGAACAAGCTCGGCCAACGCTTTTCGCAAAGCCTTCGAACCTCTCTTGTGAGCTTGCAGAGACTACCCGTCGCTCCCTGACAAGGCCTCCTCCAAGAATACACAAGCAGCTACTATGCTATAATGAGTCTTCATGTGAAACGTACGGTCATATCGAATACAATCTTGAGGAGGCACCGGCGCTCGCTTTCGAGGAGCGAGTCTGCGTTGCACTGGAGGACTCGGTTCCGGAACACGCAGCAGCGCAAGATGCACGACAGGCTGGACGAGCGCGTGCGCCCCTTAGCATCCGGAGCTCGGTACGCCAGCCGCCGCCCTGTAGCGCAAAAGCCCTTCGAAAGGCACTCCAAGTGCGGCAAAGTTTATTCTTGAGCCACCTATCTTTCTTCGTATGTGAAGAACCTGCCATTGATGCATGCGTCGGTGAGGCTGTGCGCAACGAAGGCCGCAGCCCAGGGTCACCCAGCGCAGCCGCTCTGGTACTCACTTCACCCGAAGCGTCGCTCAGAAATGGATAGGTCGATCAAAGGTTGCCATGGCGGCTTCGCGAAGCGCCTCGCTTAGCGTCGGGTGCGCGTGACAGGTTCGAGCGATATCTTCGCTGGATGCTCCGTACTCCATCGCCAGCACACCTTCAGCGATCATCTCACCGGCACCAGGTCCAATGATGTGAAGTCCTAGGATCCGGTCGGTCTGCTTCTCCGCGAGCACCTTCACGAGGCCCTGGGTAAAATCGCCGCCTGCGTCGTTGGTACGGGCCCGACTGTTCGCCATGAACGGGAACGTACCCTTGTTGTAGGCAATGCCCGCTGCTTTCAGTTCCTCCTCGGTCTTGCCAACAGAAGCGACTTCTGGATGCGTGTACACAACACCTGGGATGCAATCGTAATTCAGGTGTGCCTTGTGTCCGGCGATGGTCTCAGCGCAGGCAATGCCCTCATCTTCGGCTTTGTGCGCGAGCATCGCCCCGCGCACCACGTCGCCAATAGCGTAGATGTTGGGAACACGCGTCCGAAATGCATCATCGATGGGGATCCGCCCCCGATCGTCTAGTTCGATACCGAGTGCCTCGAGGCCGAGTTCCGCGGTGTAGGGGCGGCGACCGGTTGCTACCAGCACCACGTCCGCATCGAACGTCTCTTTCTTGCTGCTGTCTTTGGCGGACTCCAGCTCCAACGTGACGGGTGATGGCTCCGCGGGAATCTTGGCTCCCGTGACTTTGGTTCCCAGCTTGAACTTGAGTCCCTGCTTTTTCAGGATTTGCAGAAAACGATCACCGATTTCGTGATCCATGGCCGGCACGATCCGATCGGTGAACTCTATGACGGTTACTTCGGCCCCGAGACGTCGCCAGACGGAGCCCATTTCGAGGCCAATATAGCCGCCGCCAATGACCGCCATCCGCTGGGGTATCGTTGGAAGAGAGAGCGCTCCTGTCGACGATACGACCCGTTTCTCATCGAAGGGAAGCATGGGCAGGGCTACAGGTTCCGAGCCAGTTGCAATAATAATGTTCTTGGCATGTATCTCCTGGGCAAACTCGTCGCTATCTGGAGGGCGCACCTTTATCTGCGTCGCGCTCGCTAGCTTTCCCGTGCCTTTCACATACGTCACCTGATTCTTTTTGAATAGCGCCTCAATGCCTTTCGTGAGGCCCCGAACAGAGTTCATCTTCTGCTTCATCATCGCAGGAAGTTCTAACGTGACTTTGCCCTCGATGCGAATTCCATGGGTTGGGAAAGCATGTTTCGCCTCCTCATAGAGGTGAGACGAGTGTAGTAACGCCTTGGACGGGATGCAACCGACGTTCAAGCAGGTACCGCCAAGACTCCCGCGTTTTTCTACACAGGCGGTTTTCAGGCCAAGTTGCGCAGCCTTGATCGCAGCAACGTAGCCACCAGGTCCACCACCGATGACAACTACGTCAAATTCACCGAGCGATCCGCCAGCTACAGTGCTGTACCTGTGTCGCTGCGCGCTGGAGCTAACTGCTGGTACGCGCTGGCCTCGCACCAGCGCACCGCCGCTCGCCGCTCCGTACAGGGGCTGGTCGTACGACGCCCGCCCGAGCCAGGTTCTTGCGTTCGGAGCAAGCAGCTGCACACTTTGAACTAGACGTGTGACTGAAGCTCTTTGACAAAACGATGAATTGGACAGCATCCCAACCGAAAGATAAGTCTACCAGTTTACACTGTCTATGCCAGCGCTGCCCGACGATCGCACAACAAAACGCTCAGCCTTCGCAACGAATCATCGATGGCCGGCCCCCGGCGCCTCTGACCTGTGTCCGGTTGCTGCAGCATCACTGGGAAGCGGCGTTTATGCACGGCCTGTCTCTCATAGTACATCGAATGTGTCAACAGAGAAGCCTAGTTGTTGTCGCATGTATTCTAGAGGTCCTCAGAAACGCATGCCTCCGCACTCGAATGCTTTTCGTGCGGGATTCCGGCTGCTGCCCCCGTGACTCCGATAACCCGCGCACGCCATCGCAGATCCCTGGTGTGTGCCACGATCCGGTAGGCTGCCGCCGCGTCGACCAGAAAAGTCGCTCATGCAGCCGCACGCGCGCTGATACGACAACGAAAGGACCGCGGAGAAGCGAAGCTGTGACCTCTTTCCAGGTCATTGGTGAAATCTGCGTTCCCATAGAGTCTCCGGTTCAATTCATGCATCGGATATCATACGTAAATGTGTCTGATGCAATTTCAGCGCCTGCAGGTCCGCAAGTTCATCATTGTGCCCGCGATGAGCTCCGCGGCGACGGCAGCACGCATGCACCGCCAGACGACTGGAAGGCGTCACCGTACCCTACATCCGAAGAGCGGCTCACGGACGGCGTACCTGTCGTACGGAGGCAGTCTCGCCGAGGCGAACCGCTTCGTGGAGTCGCTGGCTCAGTGAATCGCGTGGCGCTCGTTTGACACCATACCGGACGCGTTGCGGAGGCGACGCTGGACACGGTGCCGGTTCATCTGCGGCTCGGTCGGTGAAGTTGCACCGCCGTGCGCTGCAGGACGCCTCCGGAATCGCATACCTATGAGCACCTGACACGGGATTGGTGACCTATCGACCCGATCGCCCGCATTCACCGCTAGAACCGGAGCACTCACACGGCAGATCCACGCCTCTATGAACATGTGTGCATCGAAGGGCATGGCTGTGCATCTGGAACCAGCACGCGGAACCGCTGGATGTAGAGTGCATTCGCCGCCCGGGATGCACGTTCATAGCCGCTCACGATCGCACCGTCCATGCAGGATCAATTGCTCCCAGAGCTCTTCCTGCACTTTCCAACAAACGTCCAGACGATATTACCCGCAAGAACGCTCTCCAGGATGTTCCTCTATCTCTCTCTCTCTCTGGCACGCACACGAATGCTCTTTTGTTTATGGTTCGCACGAGCATGGACAACGATCCCGCTACAACTGCGCGCAGTCGAGCACTGGTGCAGTATGAATACGAACACTAGGATCGCCGTACTTGTTGATGATGTTGTTGTTGTTTTTGTTCTTAATGTTGTTGTCGTTGATTTTGTTCTTGATGATGTTTTTGTTGTTGATGTTGATAGTGATAGTGATAGTGATGATGGGCCCCGCCCCGTACGTGCACACCTGATAAGGTACATAGGATAACGCCGCCCGCTACAGCCGGCCCGTCCGCGGCATCGAAGCAGGCCGATGGGCGCGTTGACGCAACGACGCACCGCTGGCTCGCTGCCGGAACGCAGTGATTCGTTCAGTGCTGCTCATTCTTGTTGTTGTCGTTGTTGTTGTTGTTCCTTTGTGAAGAAGAATGAGCCCAGCGTTCATAAGCATTCCCATCAATGTACATAGGGAGAACAGATCATTTGCACTTGGGGTGCCAAGTAGCACCGAGGGGCGCTGCAGTGAGGAACACAGGGCGCTTGCGGCTTGGAGTGCTCGCTGGAGGCGGCGACCTCGTACTCGAACGGTCAGTAGGCTGCGCATGCAGCATGTTCCCCGAGGAAACCCCAGAGAAACGATCGTGATCATTGGGGGCGGCATCACTGGTCTATCTACAGCTGTAGAGCTGGCTCAGCGTCCGGCGGCGCCCCAGGTGATCGTGGTTTCACGACGTCGCAGCGAGTCTGCAGCGGTGGCAGCTGGCGGGATGCTGGCCCCACAGGGCGAGCGCTTGCCCCCTGGGCCACTGCTTGAGCTCTGCCTCGCTGCACGAGAGCGCTACGCTCAGTTCGTGCGCCGGGTGGAACAGGCCGCCGGTGGTGTAAGCACTGGCTACGATCCGTGTGGCCTCCTCGCTCCGGCTTTTCCAGGTGACGCGGTGCACGGCTGGAGGCCACCGGCGGACGCCGGCGAGGCCTACTTTCTCAGCGCTGATGAAGCGCGTCAGCTGGAACCTGGGCTCACCAGCGACGCCCAACTCGCAGGGGCCTGGCTTTTTCCGCAGGACGGCCAAGTAGACAACGTTGCGCTCATGGAAGCACTCACGCTGGCGTGCGGAAACCTTGGTGTACGGCTCATGGAGGGCAACGAGGCCTCGTGCCTTGTCGCAGCGAGACATGGCAAGACCCAGCGAATCGAGGCAGTGCGCCTCGCGTCGGGCAACCTGCTCTACGGAAATGCTTTCATATTGGCAAGTGGGGCATGGGCCCGGCAGCTCGTGCCGGTGCCGGTAAAGCCCCAAAAAGGCCAGATGCTGAGCATCAGCGCCCCTGGAGCCGCCACGGCTATGGACTTACTCGTGAGGCGAGTTCTGTACGGAGCCGATCTCTACATGGCACCGAAGCGGCTCTCTGGAAAAATCGTGATCGGAAGCACGGTTGAGGATGCCGGCTTCGACAACCGTTGTACGGCCAGAGGTATCAGTGGCCTCTTGCAGCGTCTAGAGAAGCTCTGTCCAGCGCTCGCCGACTGGACGCTCGATCGAACCTGGAGCGGTTTTCGCCCGCTGACGCCTGATCTTCTACCGATTCTGGGTCCATCAATGGAATACTCGAACATGTACTACGCACTGGGACACTGGCGTAATGGCATCTTGCTGGCACCGCTCGTTGCGCAAGTCGTTGCCGATCAAGTACTCGGAACGTCTCCGACGCTCGACACACAGCTCCTTCGTGCTTGTCGTTTTGAGCGCTTCACAGATGGGGCTGAGAAAGCGAGGTCGACGAGCCCGCCTCATTCGCCTAGGAGGGCGGCATACCCCGCTGATGCAAGCATCGGTGGACGTGCTGCCGAATCACCTGCTCCAACTACAGCATCATCGCCAGGATCACCGGATGCAGTCGCTGGCGTCTCACTGGGCAGTGACAAGAGCGCCAACCCGAACGAAAGCAGCGCACCGGCACCAGCCGCTCAAGCGGGACCAGGAACGCTTGCAGCGGACGCAGCGCCTTCATCACCTGAGGACGAATCGGAGGTTTTAATATGGAAAATTGCAGAGGACGGGTCGTTGGAGCCTGTTGCGCCTGGTTCAGGCATCCCTGCGCCACCGGACCCAATGAAAGCGGGCAAGAGCTCCGGAGCAGCCGTCCAATGGCCGTGGGCAGTGCTGGACGCTTTGGACGAGGAACGCCTCAAACAGGTGCTCGAGGAAACGCGCGTCCCGCGAACGTCTCCAAAACCGCAAAATGGAACCTCTGAAGACGCCAGCTCTAGCAAACGCTCTACGCCAGCGCCTGCACCAAGTACGAGTCCTGACGCGTACCAAAACGCGAAATCAGCTGCCAGCCTGAACGCATACGATGACATCTCCATTGCTGGAAAGAACGGTACGACGAGTGAGGCATCACGCCCCGCAGCAAATGCCACAGGAACGCATCCAGCGACGGCATCGGCAGCGACGTCTCGCGAAGAACTGTTTCAGCGCATGCGAGAAGGCATCGCTGCTGCACTGCGTGAATACGAACAGGACTGGAAACTGGATATCACTGACGATGAGATAGGCCAGGAAACGCAGGTACAGATGGACACCCAAGCGGAAGCCGCAGCAGCCCAATCCCAGGGCGAAAAAGCATCTTTGCCTGCGAAGGAGGGATCGCAAGGCGCCGACGCTGTTCGTCAGTCCATGTTCGACGCTTTTGCACAAATTCGCAATTTTATGGAGAACCCGAAAGAAAGCCGCAGTGCACCGAACAGTGACACGTCACCAGAACGATGATGAGCCCGGTTTCACTGGTCTGATGAAACAGGTAGGTGCCGCACGATGCACCGCACTTTGATGGTCTAGTCTCGTAAATGAACGCATTGCTTCATCAGCATGTCAGGCGGAAACACCACACGCTTTCATGGTCTAGTCTCGTAAACGAGCGCATTGCTGTGTCACGTTTTACGCCGAACGCCCGCGTGCAAGCGAGCATGCCGCTCGTGCGCGTACTTCATGTAGTCGACGCGTTTCTTCTCGGTTGGACCTGGAGCTGTGTCACCGTCTCCAAGCTGACATCCCCTGGGACGCAGTGCAGTCCTAGACGCACGGCGCGCTCCTCTATCGGGATATGCGATCCACGGAGGCTTCAGGGGCATCCAGGCTGCTCTGCTGGCGAAGGAGTGCCATCACTAGGCGCTTGCGCAGCTCCGGGATGTCTCGTTGCGCAAACTGGAACCGAAGACTCGTCAACGGCAGCGGTGCCGGCTTGCCTGGCGACGGAACACGCGCAGGGCTCCAGTTCTTGGCCAGTGCCTCGGCGAAGAGCAGAGAAAAGACCCCACACGAGCCACCGTCCGTCTGGCGAGGAATCCGTTCATGCTCGTGGGCAAGCGATAACGTCCACGAATCGGAAAGCAGCCAAGGATCCTCGACGCCCTTGTCGATGCATTCGTCAGTCAGCCAATGGCGGAGGTTCGGAAGCACACACCATCCGTCTTGGCTGTGCATGGAGTCGTAGCAGCGCAGCTCGCGCCGGTTCGCGTCGATGGCGACCAGAACCCAATGGCGTTGAGCAATATTCACTGGAATGAGCAGTAAAGCGTCTCGATGGATCGTGAAGCGAGCTCGAGTCGTCCAGCGCCGAACGTACGCAAAGCAGTAGCTGGGACTCGTCAAACGCGTATAGAAAAAGGAATGAAAGCAATAGACGCCGTGCTGGCGATACTCTCGATTGAGGAGACCCAAATACGCGTTGATGACCTCATCGTTAAGCCAGTTCGGATGCTGCAACCGCTGCAGGTCGTTGCCACGCAAACCGATACGAGCGTCAGTGATGTACGTGAGAACCCGGTCCCGATTCGAAGGTGACCAAGCCCATTGTACCAAGTTCTGTCCATGGACATGCCGCGTAGCGCGAGTCACAGCGGGATGTGCCGCCTGCGGTTCCCGGTGGGCTCTCTGCTGCCGTATGTCTAGGGCGAAGGCGCAATATTCGCGACGCAGCGACTTTTCCGGACGCTGCTTGAGCGGGAACCGCGCATCGTGCCGGCACTGTTGACCTGTGCGGTGTCGGTCGCCGCTTGTGCAACTGAACCTGGTAACTGGGTGCATCAGCGCACTCCCTGGAAGGCCACGATAGAAGAGCTCCTGCGCATACGCCGTCCTGTCGACGACTTGGCACCCGGAAAGGATTCGTGCCCGCAACCGGTATCTGTGTTTTTTCCGCGACAGTGCTCGCCGTCTGAAGCGTCGCAAGCGACGGCTGTGTCTTCGCGCGAACATCACTGCAGTCTACCTACGTACGGTTCGGAGCAGCGTCTTGGTGCGCACGCTTACCATATCCAACAGGACTGGCGTGCAAGGCGAGGCCTCTGCACCAGGGCGTCCCGCTCTTGGCAAACGACGCGCTGCGTGAGACCAGCACCTAGTGCCTATGCAACTGGTGTTCCAAGTTTCTCGACGTGTCTAAACGCTAAGCGACTTGTGTTCCCAGAACCAAGCGGATATAGAGAAAGCCCCGCAGCAGCAGCAACAACAACAACATCGGATCAAGCGCAGACTGTGGTCGGGAAAAGTCGACGCCAAGGCACACCCATATTCGTATCAAATGCGACAAACTCACTACAACAAACATACACGGTTCTGTTAGGGTGTCTACTCGGTATGGTTCACCACCAGGCTTTGCGAGCTTTCTCTGTAGATTCTTCCTTTTTCTATCACGGAAATCCGGGTTTTAATACGCCGATTTCCCCTGTCTCTCTCGATTCATTATGAGCGGTCGAAGGAGGGTGACGACAGCAGCGAATTCCCGACTTGAACGCTGTCAGCAGTTGTCTACGCACTCCATGCACAGACGACAGTTGTGGTCTACGTTTCGCTGGCCGCTTTCATCTAATTGGACATAGACTCGATGCGTCCGTTGAATCGACCACACTTGCATATTGTCAGGAGTTCCTGTATGTCTGCCGAGCTTCCTCGTACCGGTGCCGCTCTATGGCACGTGAACGCCTGGTTCATCGCTCAGTACGTCCTGTTGACGCATCCAGAAGGCTGCCGTCGATGCACATCTCCGATTCCGCGTCTAGTGCGGCATCCCAGGATCACAGGCCTGCTCTAGGAGATGCTGTCTGCTGTACGCGCAAGCATACGCTTCCCATTCGATAGAGGATTTGTGGAATGCGAACTTGTCCACCACCGCGAAACATGTACTGGGAGTAGAATCCAGTCTGCAGATCAGGTCATGAAATATCGGTCGTTTTCCGCTCCCTCGTTACCAAACGTAGATGCACGCGCAGCGGGCATTCACGACTTTGATGACTCAAGTCCGATTCCAGGACTTTTTTTTTGCTTGCAAACGGAAGAGAAGGGACCCTCTGGGCTCGTATCCCATGAGACGGTTCTTGCTTCCGTGGAATGCCGTTTTGTCCATGTCAACAAAGAGGGGCGATTCCGTCTTTCGTACGCAATCGATGATTCACCATGACATGTCCGGGAAACGCTTGCGATGGACCTGTGCAATAGGCGACAAGTGATGATGTCGATTATTTTTTCGCGTCTGTCCGGCGGTATGACCTGTTGCATCCACGAGTTGCCGTGAACCATAAAGATCACGATTTTAAAAAAAGGGTGATTTGCGCATGCTACAAGTAAGGAATCCAGAAGCATGGACTCCTCTGCGCATGAATAGGTTCATGATACCGTTTATGTATCAAACCCTTGTTCCATGGCGTCGTGAAACATCTTGACTCCGGTGAGCTGACGAATCACCACAGAAGAAGCGTCGACGAGGCCACTGCCAAACGACGACAAAGACTCTCAAAACTATTCTCGACTACCTACGCCCTCATAGCTGCATGAAGAACGTCGAAACTGCACACCTGAAGCATGTTCCGAAAAAAAGACTCGACAGGCAAGCACAGCGCAACCAGTTTAGTGTTCTGTTTGAAGCAGATTCGTGTACGGTGCTGAGTAAACAGCGGCTGCACCTCAGCGCTCACCACGTTCTTGCCGGTTTGTTCTGTGCTCCAAGGAAAAGGACGGTACGTTCTCCGCAGCGTATGCCGATGACAATTGGAGGATGCAGCGCTCTGCTTGACTGCCTCCGGTGGCATTCTGTATCGGAACGTCATTCGCCAAACTCAGCGCTGCCAGCTGCGGCAGAGCGACGACACGGTTCTCGTATGCCGGTTGCTGCACGTCGAGCAAGTTCGCGGAGCATCATGACGTAGCTCGTTGGCGCCCGGGCCACACATTTACACATGATCCACATCACTGTAACTCTCGTTCTACGTTCTCCCCGATGAATGCAGCAACGCTGGACGTCCAAAGGCCTGCAGTGATCAGCGGTCAATGCCTGGCACGAGAGATGCTCAAGATCGAAGCCGTCAACATGCAGTGTTCCCGAGTGCTTTGCACTGCGTCCTGCATCCGGCTGAGGCGGCTCCCGGGGCCGTCACACCAGACCCTCCACGAATCCGCAACCAGTCTTCGATCCCGTACTTTATGTAGACGTACAACTTGCTCCAGAAGCGAACCAGCCACCTCACGAGTGTCCATTCGAAGATGTGTTTTGGAAGCGCTCCGGGCGAACAGCCTCTTCTGGAACCGGATACGGCCAGTAGACGCGCATATCGCAGGCCAACAGGGCCCGATCCATTCCGTTCAACGTGTCCATGTCGGCAGCGTCGAGTAGAATGCGAACGGCATCCAGATTCTCCCGCAAGCGATCCGGAGAGACAGACTTGGGCAGGACAACACACCCACGCTGTATGTTCCATGCCAAGCATATCTGAGCTGGCGTTGCCTGATACTTCTTCGCCAGGTTCTGGATTGCTGGATCCCGCAACATCCCGAGCGTTCCGGATCCGAGCGGTGCGTACGCTTCGACGAGAAGCCCCATCCTTTTCGCCTCCTGGACGTGCTCGGCTCGGGAGTTGTATGGATGTGCTTCAATCTGATTCACCACGGGCTTGATGCGCGCATAGGACAGCAGATCATGCAGCTCCGCCAGGCCATAGTTGCTGACGCCGATACTCCGAACGAGCCCCTGCTCCACAAGTGATTCCATCGCAGCCCAGGTCTGCTGCAAGGTCACACCGTGGTCAAAACGAATATTCCCAGCACCGTCGACACCTTTCCATGTATTCTCATTCAGCGGTGAGCCGCAGAACTCCCATGCAAATGGCCAGTGAATCAAGTACAGGTCGAGATATTCCAGCTGCAAGTCTGCCAACGTCTGTTTACAGGCCTCAACGACGTGTTCTGGACGGTGACACGTGTTCCACAGTTTCGATGTTACGAATAGCTCCTCCCTTTTGACGTATCCACTGGAGAATACACGACGAAAGGCTCCGCCGATCTCCTTCTCGTTCATGTAAACCGCGGCGCAGTCAATATGACGATAACCAAGCTCGATCGCTTTCTGCACGACTTCCCCAATCTGGCCAGGTTCTGCTTTCCACGTACCGAGTCCAAGAGATGGGATCCTATTCCCATCGGAGAGTCCATAGAACAACGGTTGGTGACTGGCCTGCGTCATGGGTGTTTGGTTTGCGAGCGCTGCTCGTAGAGCCCCGTAAAGCGCAGCAGCGCGGAGCCACACGTTCCTTCATTGTCGCCCAGCGTCTGGCGCTGCAATCTCAGCGCACTTCCCGTCGAACGCGTTGCATGCGATGGGTATCCCTGGTATGCCGTATAGGTAATGTAACATGGAGGTAGGGGGTTTGATAGATACTTCACCTCGCACTGAAAAAACACTCACAAAAAAGTAAGAGAAGCAAAATGCGCATAATCGGAGAACGCTGGCCTGGGTAAACGTTTTGTCCATGAAAAACATCCCGGGTATGCCGGACGCCTCTGCGAACACTGACGAGGCGCGGGCTGGCGGGGACTCCTTGGATCGTACCCATGATGTATTGATTGAACAGATGGAGTGCACCTGCTTACGGTATCGCTGAGGATGCTCACTTGGCTACGGGAAAGCGGATCCTTGTCTCCGGGTGGCGTCCGTCGCGGCGCTACAGGCGCCGTGGCTGGCGATCGGCGTCAGGGTGCTGAAACGAACGATCCGAAACCCCCGATGGAGCGCACTAGTGGTGACTGGCGGAGCTTCGGCACAGGGTGCGGCACGGTGGGTGACTCGCGTGATACCCGTACGCGTTGCGCGATTCGGGTTCCCTGTTCGTCTGTCAGCGGTTGTAGACGGCCTGGGTGCATCACGCGTGTACGCAACGTCAACAGGCGCATGCAGGCAGCAGCATCAAAGCGTCATTGGCAAGATGAAGCGGTCGCCAAGCCTCTTGGAAGACGCAGGGTTGATGCATCGATTCGGTTTCCCGGAATACTTGAACGCTACGGGTCATCAAATCAGGGATTCCACACTATAGACTGGCGTTTCAGCGCTATGCTGGCTTTGGCCCAGTCTCCGTGCGTGGAGAAGATGCTGAGTCTGAGGAGATTTCAAGGGCAGAGCCCCGTCGCGAACATCGTATTCTTTAGATTGAATACCTGTCTCGCAGTCACTGGCATATCGAGTCAAGACGAATCTAGCAGGTATCCTGGCAAGCGTGGACCTCCACCGCGAATATCGTATTTTTTAGATAGGATACCTGTCTCGCAGTCACTGGCATATCGAGTCAAGACGAATCTAGCAGGTATCCTGGCAAGCGTGGACCTCCACCGCGAATATCGTATTTTTTAGATAGGATACCTGTCTCGCAGTTATTGGCATATCGAGTCAAGACGAGTCTAGCAGGTATCCTGTCGACCGCATTGACCATATTGAGCGCAGAGCGCATCCGGGGTGTATGGACGATAGAGCTGTCTCCAGTTCATCGATGTGGCGAGCACTTTAGTCGCTGCATGCGCTCCTCGCTCAACAGCGCAAAGCCGCAATAGTCAGTTCGACGTTATCATAAACGTGTCCGCGTTTTTCTGCGATAGATCGGCAGGAATTGTAGGTAGTATTGCATTCTTCTTTATTTGGAAGATCGAGCAATCGTTTCGGTTCTCTAACTCGCCTGTAACGCAAACACTAGTAACGAGAGTCGCGCAGGACGCAGAACGCGCATCGGAGCTCGCGGAAAACGCACTCGCCACGCAAGCATCACCAGTGGAAGCAGCAGATAGGCGGGAAATGGTGCGGTGTCGCAGCTGCGACGCTCAACCGATGCGCACTTCAGGCATGCTTTCTCAAAGACGCAGGCCGTTGCGGATACGTCGATGAAAGCGGATACGATGCTGCCGCCGGTCCCGATGCTGATCGCCTCCCGTCAGACGATTTCAGACCAGTGAAAGACGCCTGCAAGCCCTGTCTCAAATTCGTTCTGCACATAAGACGCTCTTCTCGCGACATTCTGCCGTAGCGCGCGCTAACTGAGCTGCGTACGGGAGGCACTTGCGTCGGGCTGGAATCCTCAATTACAAGCGCTCGTACCTTACATGATAAAGACTTTTCTAGAATGCAACATCAGCCGGAGTGCGATGAGAACGGTTCCCTAACCCTTCCCCGGAGTTTTGCTGGTAATCCGCGACGCTGGCCCCGCCAGCCAGACGCAGCATATCGGAGCGCGTTAGAATTTTTCGGCGATCAGCACCGCAGAGGCGACCGCGATGTTGCTCCTCGGCGTCAATGCGTAACCAACCGTCCCAGTCGACGAACGAGTGACCGGCCTGCTTCAAAAGATCCTCGACCTCAGGCTCATGGGTGCGTGAGCCATCCGCTCTCGCTTGCGTGGCTCGCTCAGCTTGACGTAGATCAGAGACGAACTGCGCGACAGTCTCTTGCGCATCGACCAGCGTGTTCGCAATGACTCCGCGTGGACCGTGCTTCAGCCAGCCCGCAACGTAAACTGCATCCTCGAGGCCAACAACTCGCCCAGCATTATTCCGGATACAGTTCTGATTCGAATCCAGAGGCAAGCCCCAAGGCGCACTCACAACGTACCCAATACTGCGAAAGACTGCCCCAGCAGACGCTGTAATCCGCACCGGCTCTGCATCCTGTATCGTGCGGCACTGAACTTGGCCAAGCGAGTCGTAGAAAAGCTCATTCGGGGCGCAAATGAGATGCACCCTCTGGTCGTCGCCCAGCAAAGCCCGAACCGGACTCAATCCGAACCAAAAATGGATCGTTCTTGGGGTCACCTGCGCACGCGTTCCAACCTCGTCGATCACAGCCGAGCCGGCATACCGCCGCAGGACTTCCAGCGCGCGCCGTTGTGTGCGCGAAGGTTGCGCAGGCTGCAGGCCCGGTGGCGTCGGTGCCCAACGCATCGCCTCGTGGACGATGAACTTGAGATCAGGCGCGAGTGTCATCAACTCGCGAAGCTCCCTCGCTGTCCAGCTGGCATTGGATGCATCGCGGCGTCCGATAATGTGAAGCGTTTGCGCGCCAAAGGCAGCCAGTGCGTCAACAGCGACTGGATTGCAGTCCGTCACGTGCAGCCGCGCAGGTGCTTGCAGCAGCATTCGCGCAACATCCAGGGCAACGTTCCCGTTCCCAATGATGACTGCCTCGCCACCGCCAGCAACACAACCGTCGCGTTGGGACAGAAATACCCGGTCAGCATAGTCCGGGTGACCATTATACCAAGCGACAAATGCCCGTGCACTCTCTATACATGGTGTCTCGCCAGGAATACCGAGTTTCCGATCGCCACCCTGAGCACCCATGCAGAGAAATAAGCCAGCGCCTTGGACCCCGTCGGCGTATCGCTTCTTTAGAAGGTCGAGTGAGAGCCTTCCATTGACGTGAACGTTTCCGTAAAAGCGGACGATCGCTCGGTAGCGATCCATGAGCTGGGTCCAAGAGTTGGTGACACGCTTAACCTCGGGGTGATCAGGTGCAACCCCGTACCGCACGAGTCCAAACGGTACCGGTAGTGATTCAAACACGTCTATACGTCGCAACCTATGCTGAAGTTCCGCGTGTCGCAACAGAGACTGGACAGTATAGAAGCCGGCAGGTCCCGCGCCAACGACACCCACACGCATCGCGTCCAAGTGTCCGCGGTTAAAACCAGAAACAGTGAAGAGGTCCTGCCTCTGGTATAGGTCGGACCAGGGTTTTCACCTCTTCTTGGACACCAGCTGCTTCCCAGTAAATAGCCTGCACATAGAGAGTGCCACCACCGTGGACCACACCGTCCCGGTGCTCGAACGCTTTTCGCCAGGCACTGGAATTTCTCCCGTAAAGTGCGTCGCTCGTGATCCGATCCCAAACTTGCTGTCCGGCGTTGGCGGCAAAACGCTGCACCGCCGCTCTACGAAACCGCTTCCTAGGTTTGCATTGTTGTTGGGGGTACAGTTTCGGTTACCGAAGCACCGGAAATCCCCAGTAGCGTGCGAATTATCCGGTTCCGAAGGGGTCCATCTAGGTTAATCTACGTCGACAAGAGACCTGGCGGAAGCTCATGGTATTTGCGTTGCAGCGCGGAGACCGTACTCGGCTGGTTCGAGAAAGCTCTCGGTTGCTTCTTTTGCTTCTCACATTGCTTTGTTTCATTTTCACTGTATGGGCTTTGATCGGCAGCAAAAGCAGAGGTTGGCTTCGGGAACAACGTGCCAGTACAAGTGGCTGTGCAACTACACTGGCTGCTGCTGTCGAAGATCTCTCGCGTTATAACTTACCTCTGGAAACAGAGTTCTCCAAAATGGTGCTGAACAGAACTCAAACCACTCCGCCATACTTTTATGTAACTTTCCACAGCGACTGGGATGGCCTCGTGTCGCCGGCAATGCGGGCGAACGGCGGACTGTTTGATGCGCACATTCATCGTCTGTTTGATTTATTATTGTTTCGAGAGAAAGGTGTGCTAGAGCGCTGCAGACAAGGTAGAGAGCTCGTGCTGGACGTCGGCATGAACTTTGGCGCCTTTGCCCTCTATGCAGTAAATCGAGGTTGCCACGTCATCGCATTCGAGATGCAGCCGAATGTGGCAGTAGCCGTGCTGCTCGCTTCGCATTTGAACGGATTCTCCGAACGTCTGCAGATTGTGCCACATCCGGTCTGGAGCGAAAGCAACCACACGCTGATGTATTACCCTCGAACGGACAATATGGGCGGGACGCACGCGATCCCGTTGTCGCCGGACGCAGCCTTGGATCATGCGGTGCAGCTGCGGACGGTTCGTATCGCCGACTGCGTACCGCTACAAAGTACGATTCGGTTTATGAAATTGGACGTCGAAGGTAGCGAGTATGAGACGCTCCTTGGAATGCTGGGTCTCCTGAAGCGGCGAAAGGTTCTCAACTTGGTCATGGAGCTGCAACCTGAGCCGCTCTACAGCAAAGCTGTACAGCTTTTGTACTCGCTCGGGTATCAATGCGTAGAGTTACAGTCGCTGCCGATCGATAAAACTCACGACGCGCGAAGCCTGCTTCCTTACTTTAAGAGCAAGCCAGCGACAGAAGCAGACTACTGGCGTGCATTTAACTTTCACGGAAACGATTTATGGTGCATTCCTTGGTTCATGGGGAAGGGCATCCAGCGCTTCTTTGAAGCAAGCCTTAAGATCCGCCATCGCTGCTCTAGTACATAGACGGTGCAACCGGGCGGGCAGCTAGTTACCTGAGGACATGGAACACGCGGACAGTGGGAGCGACAGACCTCCAGCGTACGTTGGATGACGGTATGCGAGCGAGCGCGGTTTCGTTTTCCAACGCGTGCAGAACCGAATCATGCTTCGAGCCGACGCCCGTATTGGTATGGCGAAGCAGTTCGGTCTCTGTGCTCGGACCGCACCTGCGCTATAGGCGCCATTGGGGACGCTCATGATATGCACTCGGCACACGACAGAAGGAGAGAAATAAAAAGCAGCTTTGAGGATAGGTACGCGTAGTTGAACTTAGAACTAGTTGGAACGCTGGATGCTTTGCCGGGCGCTAAGAACGAACGTGCGTTCGGGGATCGCTGGTCTGTGTAAAACGCTCTGTCAGAGAAAAGAAACCTGATCCACCGGCTTTCGCATGAAAGTACCATTTTGTCCACGATAATTGCCGCTGCATATCAGCCACAAGCGTGGAAACAACCATGCCAGACGTTCCACGGACTCGCGGAGAGGTGTCTCGAGACCCATGTCAGCGTGAAATGGAAACGGTCCACTTATCGTAGACGTCCGTAAACACACCGATGCTCGCATCCGTTCCCAGCATGTTTCAACATCAGAATTTATATGCATCCTTCGCGGCTGCTTCCCTGTCCACACTCTCTTACATCCGGCGTTGAGTATGCTGGTCTCTGCTTTCCATCCACCGCCGTCGTAGGCAGACGACGGATGTCGATGGTAGCGTTCATGTCGCCAATTCGCTGCTTCCAGCTACAATCTGAACCATTCATGCCGAGGAAAAAACTGCAATCTGCGCTTTGCTTGTGATCTCCATCGTGTTTCTGGACAGCCTCGGTGTGCCTTTCGCAGCGGTGACATTTGTACGAATGATATTGGCCAAGCGTACGTGAGAGCGCGCTGAGTTGGCAAACGTTTCCGATTATCCTGTAGTAACTAGCGAGCATTCGCAAAAGAATTGGATGTGTTGTAGAAAAGCGGATCACCAATGATTCGCACCGTTTGATGATACCCAGACAGAAATGCAAATGCTGCAGCGCACACAGGCGGTGTTCCTGATCAGACCAGGACCTTATCACGAATGCAGGAATCAAATCGTCGCGCTTTCTATTGATGCGCTCTGTATATCGTGCATGAATTACGGGCGCGGATGCGCGTTGAAACCGGTTGAATAGGAGAGCGCGATCCACAGCCGGACACACGACATGGTATAAGTTAAGTTGACCAAACGTCATACGTCGGGACAATCGAAGGCGTCAGGCTCGCCATGGTCTGATCTGACAGCCACCAGTACACGCAAGAGCTTTCTTTACAGAGACTCGCCCGCCTCGAGCAATACCCGGAAACGGATCGTACCTACGAAACGTCGATCGACGCTGTGTCAAACACGCTTTCGCGTGAAATATCTCGTACTCAGTATCGGCATTTTTTTGAAACGCTGAAAACAAGCGATGAAAAAACCAGTGGCCAGCGCAATGAGGGCGCAAAAAACTCCCCACCCCTGTACAATCCACTGATATGTAGAGCGGTCCGCATTCCAAAAAGGCTCGAGCGCCACCCATACCACTGGCAACCTGCATCCGCCGCAGTCGGCCAGCGATGCCAGAGCTTCATGATTCAATGTTACTGCGTAGAGGGACCAGTGCATCGACCTCGATGCCCTCGTGTGCCGAGTTCTGCTTGATCGCTCTCCAGGCATCTTCACTGCTGCTGCAGGAGCTTCATGGTTCAATGTTACTGCGTAGAGGGACCAGTGCATCGACCCCGATGCCCTCGTGCGCCGAATTCTGCTTGATCGCTCTCCAGGCATCTTCACTGCTGCTGCAGGAGCTTCATGATTGAATGTTACTGCGTAGAGGGACCAGTGCATCGACCTCGATGCCCTCGTGTGCCGAGTTCTGCTTGATCGCTCTCAGGGCATCTTCACTGCTGCTGCAGCACCTGGAAGAAGAGGCGGTCTAGCGCGGCCGTCGAGCGCCGCGCCCATCGGCGCATTGATCCGCCATAGCCGAGTCGTCGCCATTCGAAGTCTCGTCAACTGGACTGCAGGTTGCAACTGCAGCGTCGAGTCTTCAGTGCGCAGTACGGAGATCAATCCCACAAGGGTGAGCAACGGTCTCGGCTTATGAAAAAGAGACGAAGAGGCGAGGTCGGATCCAAAAAACGAGGCTCAACTGGTGCGCTGCGCTCACCTGGGTACGATGAGAGCAGCGATGCAGACGCGGCGACGCCGATCGTCCGACCCCAGGAGAGCGACGAAGAGAACTCGCACCTCCCGTCGTTTGTGCTAGACTCTATCTTGAAGGTATTTTCGACGCACTGCACTCCAAACTACTCCCTACCGTGGCAGATGCGGAAGCAGGAATATTCGACATCGTCTGGGTTCATCATCGACGGAAATCGCATTCTAACCAACGCGCACTCTGTGGAGAACTTTACGGTAGTTCGCGTAAAGAAGCGCGGCTCTGCGGAAAAGGTCACTGCGCGTGTCGTCGCTATCGGCGACGAGTGCGATATCGCGCTGCTTACCGTGGACGACCCCACGTTCTTCGAAGATACATGCCCGTTATCGTTAGGAAGTTTGCCTCAGTTGCAGGACCGTGTTACCGTTGTCGGATACCCGATAGGGGGTGAATCGATCTCAGTGACCGAGGGGGTCGTCTCGCGTATCGAAATACAGCAGTATGCGCACGGCGCTACTGAACTTCTGAGCGTCCAGATCGATGCGGCCATTAACCCGGGGAATAGCGGCGGGCCCGCTCTTAACGCTCGCCTCGAGTGCATCGGGATAGCGTTTCAGAGCCTCAGCGCTCGTGAGGCCGAAAACGTTGGCTACGTCATACCGACGCCGGTGGTGAATCACTTTCTAACGGACGTGCAGCGGAACGGCCGGTACACCGGATTCTGCTCAGCCGGCATCGATTGGCAGGCATTGGAGAACTCAGCACTGCGTCGATTTCTCGGCATGGACGCCTCTGAAACCGGGGTTCTCCTGCGTCGCATTCATCCGTTATCAGGTGCTACGGCAGTTTTACAGAAGAACGATGTCTTGCTCGAATTCGAAGGAAATCGGATCGGGAATGACGGCACGGTGCAGTTTCGAAAGAATGAGCGGATCAACTTCAACTTTCTCGTGAAAGAGAAATATGTCGGAGACGAGTGCGATCTGCGCATTTTGCGAGGCAAAACACGTCTCGACGTGCGATACAAATTGGATGAGAGCTCTTCTTCCCAGCTTGTGCCCGTGCATGAAAAACGGCGTCAGCCGGAGTACCTTGTCGTCGCGGGCTTGGTGTTCGTGGTGCTCACCGAGCCGTACCTCCGCAGCGAGTACGGTGAGCGATTTGAGTTTGAGGCGCCGGTGAAACTTTTGAACAAACTCATGCACGGTGAGAAAAAATTCCCGAACGAGCAGGTCGTTATCCTGTCACATGTCATCCATCATGAAATAACGACCGGTTATCAGTCCCTGAACAATCTGCAGCTCTTACGCTTTAACGATATCGAGGTTCGCAATCTCGCCCATTTGGCGGAACTTGTCAGCAAATTTGAGGGCGTTTTCATGCGCTTTCACCTGGACTACGAAGAATTAGTCGTTGTTGAGACCGAGACTTCCCGGCGATGCACAGCGGAGATCTTGACGCAGCATTGTATTCCCTCGGATCGATCGATTCGGTGTGAAGAGGAGGTTTCCGAGGTCGATCAGATTTCCATGGCCGAAGTGCGCCGCCTCGCTGAACAGAGCGAACGCGCTGAGGCCTCTGCTGCTGCCGATGTGTCATCCAAAGCGAAGCAGTCAGACCAGACGAAAGAAGAGCCAACGGAAGAGGCGGAAGCAGAGGGCCGCTCGCCCTCGCGACGGGCACCTCGTCGCGGCCGGCGCACTGGGCTCCGCCACGTCACCGATGAACCGTAAAGCATCCAATCCCGTCACTGAACACGCAACGCAAGCGACCTCAAATGCAGGTTGAGTACACTGCGGCAGAGCTATTTTATTGCTTTGTGGTGAGTGCAGTCGAATTTGCTGTGGCAAGTTGGTTTCCAGGGGATATTTACGCCTCTCGTCGCCGATATGCAGCACAGCGCTGGTGCAGCGAAAACCGTGCCATGGCATTCGGAAACCGTGTGAGAGCTCAGACCTATGCGTGATGGTAACGAGGAATTCCCATCGTCCATCTATTCGAGTACACGGGCGTATGACCTTTCATGACGTCATGGTCGAAGCCGCAGCCACAATCTCGTCAAATAGTGTCAAGTTCGTGAATGTTGCTCCGTCGCATACGATAAAAGGCAGCAGTTGACGTGTCCGGTTCCGTGCGTTTGGAGGCAACACCATCACCACCACCAGCAGCAGCAGCAGCAACAACAACATCTAGAGAGTCCTATTTGTGTAGCACTTTCTCCACACAAAAATAGAAACTGAATTCCAGTACCAGACGTGCAACGACTCGCCATCGCAAACTCAGCGATAACTGCAGAAGCACAGCGAGCACCTAGATCATAGTATAGCACCAACGGCGCAAAGCGCCTAGGGCGGGATACGTACGCCACTTGCACCAACGACGGTAATCCGCGTGAGAAACATGCACGCAAGAGCGACTTCTCCGCTAGAGATAGGTCCACTGGTCAGTCTTTATCGACTGCGAAATTCTGTCGGCGACAGTGTCGTCGCAGATGCGTGCGACCGTATACAACTCGAGTCAGCGCTCATTGGGTCAGTGTTCACTAAGCACCAAACTGCAGCTTGCAGGAGTGCGCCCTCATGAATGCCGCTCTCAGACGTAGCCTGCGTTCACGGCATTCTCAGCGTTTGCCCGATCATCCCGAGCTCCAGTGCCACGGAGACTATGCACTCTGCTCAAGTGGAAGCAGCTCGCGTAAACTCGCTGCCATGGTCACGATCTGCTCGCAATACCTCGAGTCTGCACAAGGTTGCGTGCACCGCGACCCAGAAAGTAGCGCGCTGCCAAGGTCGACAACCAGAGCCACGGCCCGCCGCGAAGTGCACACAGACTCGGTGCCTTCCCATTTTGGTCCGTCGGAGAGTCGATATGCAAGATGCGAAACAGACGCCAGAGCCGACTTGAGCAAGGGAAGTATAGTACGATGTGATTGCGGTAAATGAACCAGAGCGCGCTCGGAACAACAAGCCAGGACAGTGTCGACAGCAGGGCCACCCAGCCACTGAGCCGACGTCTCCAGTGCCGGAGCCCGACCGCTCTTTCAGCGAGCAATCGTTGCTGCTCCCGTAGCTGAAGTTCTTGGAGACGTTGCTTTTTATCATCGAGCTCGCGCTCGAGCTTCGCATATGCCACGAAAGAGTCCGGTCGACAGAGCGCTTTGGCTTCTCGTTCGAGGCGTCCGATCTCGGCTGTGAGGGCAGCTACCTCCGGATTCCGCTCAAAACCGTGCCCGACACCTGCAACTGGGTTCTGTATCAGGGCTCCCAGCAGGCGACCTGCCAAGACGGATGCCCAGCTGAGTAGCCAGAGCACCCAACCCGTGCTCAACGACTGCTCCGAGGTAACTGAACCGATCATACTTAGCACGAGGCAGGGCAGGTTCCCTCAAACTTCCGAGCGTTCGTGTCGTACTTGCTCGACACAAGTCACTGACCTAGCGCCTGGACGAGCGCCCAATACGTGTGCAAGTGCCGGCACCTGGACGCCTCCGCTTTCCAAGCGCAGCGCTTCTGCAGCGCTACCGTTGTCGTTGACGTGGTCGATGCTAGGGCGTCGTGCGCTGGTGTCGACTCGACTCGCCTGCATCGCAGACCTGCTCCAGGAACACGACTGCTCGATAAAGGGACTTGGGCTGCGTCTTTTGGACATTGGAAAGCGTTTCCAGCTCAAATGACTTCCCGGAAGACTCGCCTGACTATTCAACCGTTCAAGTACGTGTCCATGTCGGAGGTTACTTTGGAGCAGGCTCAAAAAAGCTGGGAGAAACTGGAGAAAGCTCTCGTGCGCATCTTCGCTCGTGACCACCAGGACCTCTCTTTCGAGGAGCTCTACCGAACCGCGTACAACCTCGTGCTACACCGCTATGGAGAGCTGCTGTATGAAGGACTTGAGCGAGGGTTTCACTATCAGGCGCAGCTGGTACGCAGCACGGTGCAGTCGCGAGCCCACAGAAGCGAAGTGCTGCTCGAGTCGCTGCGAACGCGCTGGCAACTGTATAAGAACGCGGTGCGCACCGTTCGGGACGTTTTCATGTACGCTGATCGTAGTTTCATCCGCTCTACTGGCAGGACACCTGTGTACGAACTCGGAATGAGCGCGTTTAGGGACGACGTTCTCCGCGACCAAACGTTTGCGACCCAGCTCGTCGACGCGATGCTGGACGTGGTCACGCGCAGCCGCCTCGGGGAGCAACCGCCTCTGACACTGCTCCGTGATACACTTGATATGTATATAGAGCTTGACATGTATGCTGAAGCTTTCGAAGGACGCTTCTTGCGAGTCTCGCGTGAGTTCTACACCCTCGCAGCGGCCCGCGTGCTCCAGACCTGTTCTGGCCGGTCGTATTTACAACATGTTCGAGAGTGGTTCCTCTTCGAGGAAAAATTAGCGAACGAATGTCTAGCAGTACGCACGACTCGAACTGCATTACAGACGCTTTTGGGTGAAATCTTGCTCAGCGAGCACCTGAATGAAATTCTCGACACGACGGATACGGGGTTTCTTCAACTCCTGCAATCTCAGCGCTTAGAAGACCTGCAAATGATGTACGATCTCTTGATGCGTATTCCCGAAGGTGTGGATGCGATGCGTGGCCGACTCGCACCCTACGTTCGTGAAAAAGTACGCGCTGACTTGGTCAGAGGTGCGAGCGCATTGGAGCAGCCGCTTGAATGGGTTGCGCGAGCAATGCATCTCAAGGACGAGTTCTACAATCTGCTCGCCGCGCTCCAGATGGATCCAAAGTTTGTTCGCGCCGTTCAGGAGGGTTTCGAAGAGGCTCTGAACGAATGTCCCTGTGCCCAGGAGTTTCTATCCCTCTATATCGATAAGGCGCTGCGGGAGTCTCCGTCGATTTCTCGGGAGGCAACACGCGCTGCACTCGAGCATGCCTCAGGCCTGTTTCGTTTGTTGCGGAATAAGGACGTTTTTGAGCAGCATTACAAGGTGCATCTCTCGCGGCGTCTTTTGCGACGATTCGCGAGCAACACCGTGGTGCCCCCGTCGGCGAACGATGACGCAGAGCAGCATTTTATCAGCAAATTGCGGGAAGAGTGCGGCGCCGTGTACACTGCAAAACTCGAGGCGATCCTGCAAGACATGCGCACCAGTGACGAACTGAATGCCGCATATCGCCGACACCAGGAGATGATCCAGCTCTATGGTTCGCGCGCGCGACCCATGCTCCAAGTATGCGTCATTACGAACGGTATTTGGCCCGTGGCTGAGGCACCCACTGCCCAGATACCCGCTTGTCATCCCGAGTTGGTCGAGATTACGCAAGAATACGAGAAATTCTACCATGAGCGGCATGCGAAACGTCGGCTCCAGTGGCTCCTCCATCAGGGGAGCGCCGAGCTCTGCATGCGGCTCAGCGACGAGGGTCCAGCGCTCTCACTGAAAGTGACCTCGTTGCAGATGCTCATTCTACTCCTATTTAACAATGCAGAGGCATTGACTGTACAAGAGATGCTCCGACTGCTGCAGTTCCCGGGCCTATCCCCAGAGTTAATGCGAGCTTTGAGGGCACTTTGCGACAGTAGACATGCAATCTTGGTAAGGGCTGCAAACGGTCCAGTTATCTGCAACCGCGACGTATTTCGAGTGAACAAAGCATTCCAAAGTACGACGCTTGACATAGACCTCACCGACACCGACCATGTCGATGAGAATGCGGGCGTCGAGCGAGCAGCGCGCTCATCGGAGCTGCTGGAGCGGGATCGCCGTCCCGAGATCACCGCATGCGTCATGCGCATCCTCAAGCGTCGACAGGAACTTGAGCACAGTCAGCTGGTCGCCCAAGTTATCGATGAGTTGCACAACCGATTCGTACCGACGGTTGCCGAGGTCAAGAGGGAGATCGAAGCTCTTCTCGAACGGGAGTACATTGCGCGAGAGAGTGACGAACTCACCGTCTATCGCTACATTCCCTGAGTGTACCCAGTGTGTTGCTTTGGTCAGATTCCGAGCCACGCATCCAGCGAGGAGGATTCCTCAGCCCCGCGGGCAGTTCTCTGTGCGAGAATACGTGAAAGCGTACAGTTCTCTATCTCTTCATCTGCGGCCAGTGTGCTGAGGACATGACAGGCTCGCTCGCCGAGGTGCCGGAAGTTTACGTTGCCGGGCGTCTGGGGCTGGTGCCCAGCCTCCGCCAACAAGGGAAGCAGCCCCGCCAACCACCACCAGTAGTCAAAGTTCTGGACAGAGGGCTCCTCCAAACCTTGTTCTACAACTTCATCCTCCGTGAGTCGAAACTCCTGTTGTTCGGCAACGTCGTCACTGTCGTCGGAAAGCGTACACGTCGCCACCGCGGACGCGAGCAGGCCGTGGCTCGTCGACTCCGCGGCTTCGTAAGCGTCTAGTTCCCGGTATCGCTCCTCTAGCTGTGCTTGAACCTGAACTGGCTCATAATCATGCGACAAGGACTCTTGTTTAGCTGTCAAGTGTCTACCGTGAGTTCGCTTGCTACCCGGCCGCGGCATAGACGCTGCTCTATACCATACGAGCCGCAACGGCCTCCGAGCGCACGAGCACCGTTGACGCGTGGCGAGTTGCTGTGCGTCAGTCCCGTGTCGCCGCCTGCACCTTGAGGTGCCTGAGAGGCGCCCGCAGCGCCTCTGCACAGCACCGGGCGGCATCAGCAGCCGCTTTCCAGCGCCTGTGTTCCAGACATGTATATTGCTATGACGTAGATGATGACGTAAAGCAACGTGATGTCGTGCTGTGTTTCGCTGATACTTGGAGATGTTTCAATCGTCTGGCGGTTTGGATCCCGAGAAGCCACACCTCGTGCGCACGATGTGCTCGTCTATCAGCATGCGTGATCTGCACCCAAGTCGCTGACTGGATGTAGAAGCGTCCAGCCAGCTTTAGTGAGTAGGAGGATCTCCAAAGTGCAATGCAGTGTGGTGCGGTGTGGTGCGGTGCGGAATAATGGACGCTATTCCGGACGCCTGTGACAGTCGGGCAAGCTTGCGTCGATGTTCCGTGTGAACGAGACCCGATAGTTTCACAGCAAAAGCGCCTGCAAGCGTCTGCAACCGCAATGGACTTCATTCGTCAGGCTTATGCTTCAAGGCAGCTCTACGCAGCATGACGAGTCCAGGCCAGAGCTCAGAGGATCCACAGCAGCAGCGCCGAAGCATGCATCGACCGCAAGTGAACGACGGCGCGCGTTGTGTAGCGGCTCACGCGCTGTGCACCAAAGAACAGACGGAGAGCGGATGTCGGTATGGAGCCAGGGGAATCCAGCCACGTGTCCCTCTGCAACCGGAAAGAAACGGAAGCCTGTCTTAGGCCCAGTGGTGATTGTCATCTCACGGAAGAGCGCCGGCCTATTCCATAACCATTCTTGGAACACGCCCGCACGCACTATGTCGGTATTCTGTTTGGGTCAATTTTTTCGAGGTACCAGGTTTATGAACTGAATTCAATCAATGCGTGTCTGTGAGCATTCGAAGACCTTTCTAGAACATACCAGTCCTCTCAAAAATCAGGTTAAAGACTAGCCAGTCCATTAATGCATACTCCAGTGGCTACATGTCGCCTGCTTACCGGATGCATGCATCCGCAACTGAACCGCCACCACAGTGCACCCGCAGCGAAACCCGTCTGTACTCCGCAGCTCGCTGCGAAGCATATGCTCCGTTGCAGAGCGTCGGCATCAGAGCGAGCGCTATCCGCAGCGGTCCATCGCTCCCGACCGGGTGCAGAACGGATACAAGTGGTGCTGGTTTCCCCTGCTCTTGCGGGTACCGTACTCTGCGCATGCGCTCACAACTAACCTACGCCCAACCTATCCGTTGCTCTCATGAGGTCCGAGTTGGGCAGCTAACCGGTTGAGCCTGGGAGCCTGCCATCGAGCCCGTGCACCATGGAGTCGCTTCGTGTACCTGCCGGCTTTCGTGGCGGTCGAAGCTGCTGCGCTGTGCGCTCTCGACTTGCTATGCGCTGACTCCGGACCCCAGCGATGCACGCTTCAAGAGACGATCGCTCTATGCGTAGCCGCGGGTGCTTATCCACAGATCTCTGCCGACTTAATGTTCGCGTGTACCATGAAATGTGGCCCGTACGGCACATCCTGTTGCTGAATTATGTATTCTATACATAGTTGGTGCTCAAGTCAGACTCGGGTATCGGTCAATCATGCAACCTAGCGAGCCACGAGACATAGATGCGGTCCAGAGAAACCGATACAGTGCGAGGCACCGCATTGTCGCCTGCAGAGCCCGCAACTGCGCAAACGGCGCCAGTCGCACCGACGCTCTACCGCTTACAGGAACGCGACCTTGCCATTGCTCAAGCACAGGGACGAGCTCTGAGACGAAGACGTCCGGAATAGGTGGGAGGTTTGCGGAATGAACGCCTTCATCGAATCTTTTGGGGTGCCTCCTCTGGTCTTTCATCCCGACGAGGCAACCGTGTCTCGGTACGCGAGGCAGCTCATCCTACCCGAGTTCGGTGGACCGCTCGCACAACGTCGGTTGCAGGACGCCAGGGTGCTTGTGGTCGGTTGTGGAGGACTCGGGTGCCCAGCGGCGCTCTATCTCGCGGGTGCCGGCATTGGCACGCTTGGCCTTGCAGATCGAGACACTGTGGATGTCACGAACCTTCACCGTCAGATTGGGCATACAACAGAACGTGTCGGGGAGCGAAAGACAGCGTCACTGGCAAAGACAATCGCAGCTCTGAATCCACTCGTGAACGTGCAGCTCCATGATTGCGGCATTGATACCGAAAACGCGAGGCAAGTTGTGAGACAATACGACGTTGTCTTAGACTGCTCAGACAATGCCGAAACGCGTTATACCGTGAGCGATGCTTGCGTTGCTGAACAGCGACCTTTGGTCAGTGCAGCAGCGGTTGGTCTCGAAGCACAACTTGCACTATTAAACTACGGGCTCGATGGGCCGTGTTACCGCTGTATTTTTCCGGAATGCCCGCCACCAGAGTGTCAGGGAAGTTGTGATACAGACGGCGTGCTAGGCATGGTGCCAGGGATGATCGGAACCTTGCAAGCGCTAGAGGCCGTTCGGGTACTTTTGGTACAGTCACAGATAGGCGCGCTAGGTCTTCCGCTCGCTGGTCGGATGCTGCTATTTGACGCTCTGAGCTACCGCTTTCGGCTTGTGCAGCTTCGTCCGAGGCAGACTGCTAAATGTTCTGTATGTGCGACATTTGCGCCGAAACTCTCGCGAATGGTGCATGATACAGGTATGCGCTCGAAAACTTCTTCATCTATCGATGCCTTGCGTGGAGACGACACCAGCGAGTCTTCCCCGCATACGCGAGATGAAATATGGCTAGCGCAACACGGAACGAAGAGCGAAATGGTTTCGCCAGAGACGCCGCTGAACACGGCGCCGCATTCCATATCCGAAACGCTGGAGTCAAACGCTTGCCGAACGACTCCACAGCAGCGCAATACGTTTCATGGCGACCGAGGCGCATGTGAGCTGTGCCGCAGCGCGACGGCCGAAACAGGAACAAAGAGCGTTGGAGAAGCCGCTGATTCGAGACTAGAGTACCGGCATCGGCATCAAAGAAACGAAACGAGCAATCATTCGGGGCCGAGTTGGGATGCACGCGAACCCCAGTCCAAGCAGTCCGTGACTGAAACAGTCGTTGTGGACGTTCGTCCTGCTAACCAGTTCGCTCTCTGTCATATTCGCGGTGCACTGAACTTTCCCATGCATTCATGGCCCGAAGCAATTGAGAACCAACGAGAGAAGTTGCAGGGTCAGCGGATTCGAATCGTTTGCAGAAGGGGTATTCAATCTCGCCGGGCGGTGCGGATGCTCGAGGCCCTGAGCTGGCCTGACACGCACGTCGAAGATATTCCCGGTGGTATGGAGGCACTTGTCCGGCTCCAGCAGAGCGCTGACGGCTCCCGGGCGAACGTCACCTCGCAGACTCGAGGTGATGCGGCAGTGCCGTCCCAGCTCGCCCAATGTGAGCCTCCTGGCGGAAGTACCTAACCGACCAGTGTCTCGAAGAGCGGCGCCGAACGCCCCGATGATAGCTGTTTAGTGGACGCGCCGTGTTGCTGATCTCTCATGGAGAAGCGGGTCATCGGTATCGAAAACCTGATCCCAGTGGAAAGCCTTGTTCGAGTGCCATCAAACGAGATCCGTTACCAACGGTGCTGGTATGCGTGCCAGGAATACTCATGGATAGACGCATGGATACTGGAAATTTTGGTGCCTTGCGGAAACTTTCTATCCAGAAATATACCAGTCTGACGGCCAAGCGCTCTTCTGAGCTACACCTCTGGATTTTCCTTGTAATTTGGAAGCGCGTACATCATAAACGGCTGATAAAGCGCAATGCTCTTTGCATGAAGCTGGCGTGTGTTGCGCGTGGAAGCATGCGGTGCGCGTTCCGTGCTCTACTGCAACAGACAAAAATGGAAACTTGAACCGCTCTTTCTGTTCCTGTCTTTCGAGTTTTTCACAATTTTTTAATTGTACAGCATCTAGCATTGGAATGTATCAATAAGGGTTTATGATTCCACAAAAAAATCAGGATTCTCGATGGTGTTTGCCGTGTGGCGCCTTCGAATACTTAGCGCTGGAATTCGTTAGGGAACGGGAATCATGATGATTCTTGCTATTCTCGAACAAGATTTCCTAAAATAACCGATATCATGATCCAATGCATATGTATCAGCATCCATTCTGCTCTGAGCCTTAGGCATGGCGAGCCTAGTCCATGCATAATTCAAGCTTTCGATGTTTCTGTTTCAAGGCAAACCGTGGGCGCAGCAATACGCACCGCTGGATTGATGAAGAAGCAAGAAACTCGAGATCGTCCCTTGACGACTTGTTGAAAAGCTCATGCTTGAAGTTCACTGAAGTTGTCACGTCCACTATTCATTTCTCTCTGAAAGAAAAATCATCGCCTCCATGTGGCAATCGACGGAGTTGCATTCGGCAGCAACATGATACCGCTTACGCAATCTGCTCTGAGAGGCTTTTCTCTCTAATGTGTGCATGTAAAAGGGTCCTGGACCCGCACGCCAATAATCCCACCGATACCTTCCATTGATGCGTACGTAGCGCTTTGCACGAACGGCACGTAGACGGAGCGAAATTGCTCATATCGAATTCCACCCTGGATTCTCTTTCCGGTACTCGCTTCATCATGGGGAATATCGCGTTCTAGAAATCCGCAGATGAATGGGAACAACGTCTGCTTTCGTGTGCAACGGAAAGGGCACTCGCCCAGGGAGTCTCAGGAACGAGCTCGTGATCCAAGGAAACGCTGCCGAAGCCAGAAACGAAGATGGGCACCAACGGGAGCCTTCTGTCTCCATAAGAGGTATATGTCGAGCGATAGAGCACGCGTTCACAGGCGATATGGAGGCGCTCGGTGGAGGGAATGTCCTTGACATTTATGGGAACCTCTGACCAAGGTCAGGTTTCACCGCAGCGAACGCCGCACCGAGGCCGAATGTAAAGAAGCTGAAAATGGAACGAGAAGCGTAGCTGTAGAAAATTTCCGTCTTCGCATGTAATGTGTCAACAACAGCCGAAGGCTACCGAATCTCGACTTGCACGTTGCCACCGTCACACATTCTTTGCCTACCAACAAGCGAGCTATACGGAGAGCAGTCATCGACATCGGTATATTGAGAGCCCCAGATATGCGAACGGAAAAGAAAGCAGGTGCGGCAGAAGCCCGCAAATGCTGGTTCTGATGATTTTCAGCAGAGACGTAAACTTCAGTAAGTGCGCCCTGGTTAGAGGATCCGTTCATTTTTATTTTGGCATGGCTATGTTCTGGCCTGGCCTCGACGCAGGAGCGTTCGCGCCGCCTTCCGGAGTTCACAGCAGTACACATGGGCGAGCCATGCAGAAACCGCACTGGTTCCACGAAAAACAGTTGACACGTCGTTCGGTGGCGCATGAAAGAGCACGCAAGGACAGATCCAAGGTGCAGTTGGTAGCCAACGAGCCGCTTCAACCATTTAGGTAGCGCGCTCTGCGGGCCCATTGAATGAGCAGAAACACGGCTACGATTGCAAACGAGGAGTTCAGCACAACCACAACGATAAACCAGCGCGTCCCTCCGTTATCCAGCTTGAAAAATGGGGCCTGTAGATTCATCGTGAAGAGCCCGGTCAGAAAACCGACTGCCGTGAACACTGCCTCCATGATATTTAGTGTCACGTCAACCATGAGTAAGCGGTTTCGCAAAGTCCCCAGTTGGATATTCACCAGATCCTCGGTGTGGTCCACCGCTGCAGCCAGTAAATCCGTTCGTCGCAGTGCGTCCTCGATCTGATAGAGATGGGATTCCAGCAGTTGCTCGACATCTTCGTGATCAAGTGGTGATCGGGTGACGCTCGGATGTCTGGCAATATCCGTCAGATACATTCTGGACATGTCTTCGTCTTCTTCAAGCAATGCCTGCAGCACGTCACGCACACCATCCATTCGGGTAACAAGAGCCATGAGGTCCTGTTTCAGGACACGTAGGCGCTCGAGACGTTTCGCGCTCAGCTTATGGGTGAGCTCGTTCAGCAGCGTGTACATGCTGGGTTCGAAATCACTCAGGTCGCTCTCGATGTATTCATGAACGAGACTCAACAACGCATCTAGAGCGCAGAACTCGAACGGTTCCTGATCTGCGTCCTCGTTTCTGATGCTCAGAGTCAGCCGCTTCTCCAGTGACTCCGCTGCTGCTTGAACTCGCTGCTCCGAGGGATTGAACAAGAGAAGCCCATCCGCAAATATCAACGCCCGCAGATGTTCCAAACTAAAGACGATGACGTTTCGCCGCACCCAGATCGCTGGTTTCGCATCAAACGCGGGATCGACCTGGCGGATGTCGCGTGGTTGTAGAAACCCCTTCAAATAGCGGCGGATGCGCTTCCGCTCCTTCTTGCCGAGAGGCTCCTCGCCCGGCCGCTGAGCATCAATACCGACAGCAGCCAGCACTGCTGCTTCAGACATTCCGGATAGACCAGTGACGTCAGCGACCACTTGTTGGTCAGCGCTCGCCTCCCGCGCCCGTCGGAGAAGCTCTAAGCGGCTTATGCTTCGAAGTTTCCTATTTCCGTCAACGAAAAACTCGAAACACTCAAGGTGGGTTGTTGCCCGCGAGCCAGTGCTGCTCATCCAACTCGCTCCGGTATCCTTCTCTGACGCAAAGCTCGTTTTGGTCATTTCTAGACCATTCGGCGACTTTTTTGCCAAACCATCACCGCTGTTCTGGTTCTCCTCGCTCAGTTCGCTGAACTGAGGCGTTCCCGCCACACTCATTGCAATCCAGAGGAAAAATCCAAGCTAGGACAGCGTTCACGTCCCGCAGTACAGGTAAACTTTCACCCAAGGGTATCGTGCTGACTACCGGAGAAGTACGCAGCACAGCGTAAAGACTAGCAGTGCGTTGTACGCAGCGCTGCTGCAATCAATCCAGAATGCGTTAACGTATCGATCTGGATGACTCGCTGATGCGATACGCTATCGATGTTTGCTGCTGGACTAGTGGACACATGGTCCGACGCTTCGAATTGACAGCACGAGAGAACCAATAAAACCTAACAGTATCGCCGGTAATTCTGCGACAGTTTGCGAGCGTGTTCATCTGGGTTCATGGCATGCTGCTCTCGCCAGCGTTCTCGCCAGACTGGTCGTTGAAGTACGTGTATGTTTTCAATTCTAGTTTATTGCACGCGTTCCATACGCAACAAGTCGAAGAAGATTCCAGCGAAAACACGAATGAGCGCTAAATCGTTCTTCAGTACAAATGCCAGTGTGCAGTTATAAAAAAGCGATACACCCATTTGTGGTCTGTTACGGCACGAGGCTAGTCTCGTACACAATGCAAGGCGTATGATGTGCTTTGCAGCGTTTGTGGTTGATCGCTCGTCGCGTCGCTGCAGTCCCAAACGCAGTCGCTGCTGCTTCGAGTGAGCCCAGGCTCCCTCGATTACTATAGGACGTTTCACAAGTGCCGCTGGGACTTTTTTGTACCACAATGCTCTCGGGAGAGAGACGCAACAGCTGCTTGCTCGACGCCAATGCCAAAGGTATCGCAATATTGTGCAGCAAAGCGAACGGAATCTTTTCCCGAAATCGCATGTCCGACAAGCGAAATACAGGGCACCAACCGTGCGCTGTTATGAACATCGGCGATGAAACGAGCGCGATTGCGACCGCCAAGGGGTGTTTCGAAAAATCGTTTCATGAGCTAGTTCCAGAATATATTGGACGCTGTTGGCAAGTTCACTACGAGTTTCGTTCCGCCGGGACCTGCACGTATCCGGCCCAGTAATTCGGATAGACATGGAATCCTTGGATGCATCACACTGGAACGAACACACGGCGTGCGAATGTCGCCAGTCTGCTACACAGTTGGCTGAATCTCGCTACCGGACGTTGATCCTTGCCTGATGAGATCACACAATCGACAAAGTTGGGTTCCCACTAGACCAGCGCATAGTCAGCCACCCTAGCATTGGGGTGTGCATACATTCCACGCATCTCCGGCGGATGCAGCACCACTACCGTGAATGATTCGTCTCGTCATACGCTGGGCAGGGCGGCATGCATTCGACGCTTGCGCATCTCATTCATACGCAATGGAGTATCCCGGGTACACGCTGAAGAGCGCTCGATCGACGAGCATGCATTCGACGCTTGCGCATCTCATTCATACGCAATGGAGTATCCCGGGTACACGCTGAAGAGCGCTCGATCGACGAGCATGCATTCGACGCTTGCGCATCTCATTCATACGCAATGGAGTATCCCGGGTACACGCTGAAGAGCGCTCGATCGACGAGCATGCATTCGACGCTTGCGCATCTCATTCATACGCAATGGAGTATCCCGGGTACACGCTGAAGAGCGCTCGATCGACGAGCATGCATTCGACGCTTGCGCATCTCATTCATACGCAATGGAGTATCCCGGGTACACGCTGAAGAGCGCTCGATCGACGAGCATGCATCCGGGGCTTGCGCATCTCATTCATACGCAATGGAGTATCCCGGGTACACGCTGAAGAGCGCTCGATCGACGAGCATGCATCCGGGGCTTGCGCATCTCATTCATACGCAATGGAGTATCCCGGGTACACGCTGAAGAGCGCTCGATCGACGAGCATGCATTCGACGCTTGCGCATCTCATTCATACGCAATGGAGTATCCCGGGTACACGCTGAAGAGCGCTCGATCGACGAGCATGCATTCGACGCTTGCGCATCTCATTCATACGCAATGGAGTATCCCGGGTACACGCTGAAGAGCGCTCGATCGACGAGCATGCATCCGGGGCTTGCGCATCTCATTCATACGCAATGGAGTATCCCGGGTACACGCTGAAGAGCGCTCGATCGACGAGCATGCATCCGGGGCTTGCGCATCTCATTCATACGCAATGGAGTATCCCGGGTACACGCTGAAGAGCGCTCGATCGACGAGCATGCATCCGGGTTAATCTGCGCCTGCAGCGATTCGCTGCGCGCAAGGCGCCCGCCGCGGATTCGCTTGATACGCCCCGGAGGCGGACCTGAAGGCACCGGACCGGACGTCTTGAACGCCACCCGAGCCGTCGTCGCTTCGGCGCCTCGTGACACTGAACACATTTTAGATTACAATATTCGGTGACGTTGGTGCGGATAGGTGTGTCGGTGTTTGTGTGTGACTGACTTGTGGGCCTCTGACGGTAACGTTTGCGGACCGAGTGAAAAACAGACTGCTGCTCGTGGTAAACTGACGGAGAGAGAAGAAAAAGCGCATCGGGTCAACTCGTGGCTCATTTTATCGTCAGGTGCATTTCTTGGCGTATACTCGGATACTTGTGTATACGAGGCCTGCAACACGCTTCGTGGTTTATTCTTCGTGAAAGGTAATGGTATTTGGTGCTGTTGCTCTCCAAAGATTACAGGCCGCTTTTTGTTTGACAGGCTCTCGCCATGCGTAGGGGCAGTCTGAGCACGACAAGGCGTAACGCGCCTCACAGGGTCTCGGCAGCGGAACTCGAACAACTTCAGCGCCCAAGGAGCGCGACACCGCCGCTTACAGCCGCACCTGAGAGTGTCTCTCACCAAGCGAGACGAATCGCGTCTGGACAAAGAACGCTGCCGGTGTTGCCAGCGGTTGGGACCTTCTCGGGAGGCAGCACTACTCGTGATGGCCCGGACACGCTCGCAGCTGGCGACTGGACACCGAAGCTAACCAGCAACACCCCGCTCGCAGGGAAGAGACCGGAACGTCCGGGAACCCTGGGCAAAGTCCTGACATCAGCTGCAGCCTTTGCAAGTAATAGACTAGTCAACAAAATAGCGGATGCAAAGTTTGGCCCCGATCTTCGGCTCGATGAGCAGACATTGCGTCGGAATGGCCTTACTTTTGCGGCTGCCGTCGCGCATGAGTATCTGGAGATGGTGACGTCGCGACGAACATCAATCACGAGAAACGTGAAAGAAAAAATGTGGCGGCGGGATAGTCTTATCCAGTTCCTCGAATTCGACACTTTCGGTCGAAGCGTCTTGCGAGCGATGTCCAAAGAGGATCTCATCGATGAGCTGCGACGCCCCGTATATCCGGCTGCAGAGGCATCCTCACCGCGCCGTCGTTCGAAGGTACTGGTTGAACAGGAAACTCCGCTGGCGGATGCGCTGGACCTCGATATTCACCCGGTGAACACCGGATTGACTCACAGAGAGAGGGATGGAATCATAAGCAAATGCGAACCGGTACAGCTGCGTGACCTTCGCCTTGTGGATCCAACTTTTCGTTCAGAGCAGGTGCTACTTGTGCGCGACAATGCCATAATCCTGGTGCTTGATGATTACCTCCGCGCAGTCATCCAATCACATCGTTTGTTGCTTTTTAACCACGAGGCCGAAAGGGTGCAGCGTGCTATCCGTATTATCACGGAAAGATTGCAGAGTGCGAGCCTGGACATCTACAATGCATTCGAATTTATCGTGCTAGAAAGCATGTTCATCGCAGCCTACTTTGAACTCGAGGAATTCTATTTCGTGATCGAGCAGCAGATAGATCGAGACTTGCGTGACTTGAATCGGACCTTGAGCTCGAGCCGAATCGAGAACATGCGTCTGCATATGCGCCACTTGACGTTGTTCTTGTCGCGCATCAGACGACTCTCGCAGCTATTCGATCGCGTCCTCGGTGAAGACGATGATATGTCCAACATGTATTTGACTGACAAGTACTACCATCCGGAAACACCGCGCCATCCACTAGATCATGAATACGTAGAAACGCTACTGGAAAGCTATTACCAGCTGTTTCAGGCGCTTTCAAATCGCGCTGAGCTTCTGGATGAAAAAGTCAACGACTCGGAGGCAACAATGGATATCAAGCTAGACGCCGTGCAGAACCGCATGCTCGCATTCAACTTACTGCAGCACTTGTGTACAGCAATGTTTTTTGCGATGAACTTCATCGCAGATATCTTCGGCATGAACCTGAATTGTCCCTGGTACAATATTACAGACTCGTTGGCGCCTTGGCTGGGGACTGTTCTCGGCACGACGGCGCTGGCAACGGTCTTTCTTGGATGTTTTGTGATTTTTCTTTCGAGAAAGGGACTCCTATTTGGAGTACTTTCCTGGAGAAAACGACCTGCGCCTTCTTGGCCGGTCGCAAAGCATCCATCCAACCATTCGTGAGCAAAGCACACGAGGTCCACCTCAGTTCAGCCATGCAACGGTCGTCATTGGCCACACGTATTAGCTTGGAAACGAGGGACGCATCACGCTCTTCCTCGCGTCGTAGACAATTGATCGGGGCATGCAGGTTCAAGTCGGGGCGTACACTTCGACGATCGCCTCATTCCTGAAAAGACATTGTTATCGCAGGTATCACCAGTTTGCGTACGTATTCTCTTCGATCAGGTTATGTCGTCGAGAGAAAGTCGACGCGATCAACAAACGTAGTCAAAAGAGGTCCTCATTCAAGATGCAAATCGCCTGAACCCGCATATTTTCATAAAATTCTCGACCAAGTGCGTTTGTAAGATGCATGCCGTACATGCACGGCATGCATCACACGAGCGCATGCTGCGTTCCGTGGATGCTCAGGATGCACCATGCCTGCTCAGCGCGTCTTCTGAACACCAAGCACGCGTTGTTTATTCTGGGGGGTGGGCCGATGCTTCATATCCGCATTCCCAGGTACTGGCGCGGTTCTTCTATCCCATGTGAGCGTTTCTCAGCGTATCCAGAAAGCCTGATGCTGCATAACTCTGCGACTTGAGGCAGGACCTGGATGATTCTATGTATCGTTTGCGTACGGGCTCTAGAGCGCGTCATGCAATCGATGGAGGCGCTGACACTGGATACCTCCTCAGTGCGGATCGATTAGCAGCGAGTATGGTCCCTCGGCAAGCGTGGATTCTGATCCACGGGTAGATTCTAACTGGACTGCCCGCTGGCGAGGACAAACCGGTCTCCTTGGATGGTGTCACAGCCTGGCCCAAGGAATACACTAAACTGAGGCATCGGCTCAAATCCGTATGGTTCGCGTCACAAGTTGTCCGCAACCTTCAACCGCGTACCTCATTGCCGCTGCTAGCGTCCGTCGCGCTTCCCCGGTGACCACGCTATGAACGATCAAGACGAACCTTTTCTGAGTCGATCGGCGATATACCCGCAACGCCTGGAGACTGTCGAAGGCGCGCGCTGCACTTTGACTTGCAGGGCCTCTGGGCGCAAAAGCCGTAAACTTTGCGGGAAAACAGAGCCGGGGCAGAAGGGTCGTGGTTGCTCGGCGATGTAGGCTTTCAGGCGGCAGATTACCCGCCCCACGACTTTTTCACAATTTTTGACTCGATACCTCAACCAAAGTGCTTCCAAAACGAAACCTATGCTTTTAAAGATCGCTGCCCAGAGCGAGATCCAATGGCGTCCCAAGAGTACCCCGCTCTCGCAATCCTCCAGTCCTACTCGACGAACGGAGCAAATACACAGACACTATTGTGCCCCCCGAAACCGAAACTAGTCGAAATCGCTACCTCTATGTTGAGGCTTTTCTTCTGGTTACGAACGAGGTCCGCTTCAATCTCGGGCTCCGGTTCCTCGACGTTGGCGGTAGGGTGCACCTCCCCGGTGCGAATAGCCATGATGGTTGCCGTTGCTTCGAGAGCGCCAGCCGCTCCCAGCGCATGTCCAATGAGTGACTTGGTTGAATTCATCGTTATCCGCTTCATATCCAGAACAGAAGACATGGCACGATACTCTGCAATATCACCAAGGGGCGTTGACGTTGCATGAGCGTTGACATAACTGACCTGGGCAGGCTCGACACTGGCATCAGCCAGCGCCAGTCGAATGCATCTCGCCACTTCAGTACCTTCGGGAACGGGCTCCGTCACACTGAAAGCGTCATTGGTGTAGGCACCACCGAGATATTCGCAGAGAATGGGCGCTCCGCGTGCCCTGGCGTGCTCGAGCGACTCGAGAACTAGAACACCAGATCCCTCGCCCATGACAAAACCATCACGGTGCTTGTCCCAGGGGCGGCTGGCGCGGTGCGGCTCATCGTTGCGCTTGCTGAGCGCCCGACAAGCAATGAAGCCACCGAGCCCGATCGGAAGCACTGCAGCCTCGCTACCGCCACAGAGCATCATGTCGGCGTCTCCCCGTGCGATATGCATGTAAGCGTTATGAATCGCGTAGTTGCTGGTCGCACAAGCTGTTGACAAGGAGTAGTTCGGTCCGTGGAAGTCAGTTTCTATCGCAAGCAAAGCTGAGCCCATGTTGGTGATCGAATACGGGATGAAAAACGGGGACATCCTCCGAACACCACCCGTGGAAAGCTTTTCACAACCTTCTGCGAAGGTCTCGAGGCCGCCCATGCCACTCCCGACAATGACCCCGACGCGATCCTTCCGCAGTGCATTGTATGGATCGGAGCCGATGCCGAGGCCGGCGTGTTCCAAGGCCCTCTTTCCCGCAACGATTGTGTACTTCAGCACGCTGTCCAGTCTCCTAGCAAGTTTCGGTGCGATATAACCCTCGGTTTGGAACTGTTCCGGAGCGATCCAGGCAGCAATGCGCGTCTCCCAGTTCGAGCACTCGAACTTGTCAATGGGACGAACGCCGCTTTCTCCTTTAAGTAGCTTCTGGTAAAAGAGGTCCACGTCACTGCCGAAACAGGACACGATACCTACTCCAGTTACGACAACACGCTTTCTGCTTGTGTTGTCCGGCATGTCTCGGTAGAGGCCTTTGGTGCCGGCGGCTATTGCCAGTTGCACTGTCAGCGGAGACAGTCGCTGCACCCGACGCGCCGAGGCGCTACCTGGTGCCGCGTACGGTTTTTCATCGAGGCGAAAACGTCTCTTCTCTGCGCCCCTGATTCCTAAGAAACTGCTCGAACTTATATCAGAGTAAACAGGTGCGCCCGCAAACATCTCCACAGAATGTTTTACCCGTTGGATGACGTGCAAGAAGCAGAACTCGGAAGCGGGAAACCGTCCCTGCAGCCGATGCGGCGTCGTCGATAAGACGCCGCGGGCGCAGAGGCCGCAGCGGCGTACGCTTGGGCGCTCAGGCCACACACGAGTCTGACCCAGGAGCTACTTCCAGGGAAGCGACCAAAAAGTTACGGTGGTCGACGATTGTCTAGTCCTCTGAAGCGCTGACGCATCTTCGGGTGGAAGAGTCGGCCTTTAACCTGCTCCCCGCATCGGTGAAGCAAACCTGTTCTGTCTACGAACGAGGTCCGCAGTTGGCTCGGCGTGTATGGGATCTTTTAAACGAACCCTTCGCATTGAAGGGGAATCTGGTTTGTGGTACACGGGATTGTGGGGATCTGGGCGGAAGCCTTGGTAGCTCCCCTGGATGCCACAATGTAGCGCCTGCGTACGGGGGTTCATGTAGTTCGATGCTGTGATTCTAGATCGAAAAACTGGATTCGATTCAGTTATGCAACACCAGGAAGCTTGACGATGGTGATGAGCGATTCAAAGACAACAGTGCTGGGCAGCATGGGACGGGCGTTTCCTACTGATGTGGAGCAGGTTTTTTGACACGGGCATATATACTCACGTTTGGGTCGCTTCCCTCTATTACCAATATCAGTCTTTGCGGGTTATTTCTTCCACAACGTTCTTTTTTTCTTATATCCGGTTTTAAAAACGCTAGTCGCTCCTTTCCCTCCTGATCTGTTGTCCGCAGTCGATAGAGGTTGAAGCCAGCGTTCAAATCCCGATTCCGCTGCTTCCGGCTGTTTTCTACGCATTGCATGCACAGGCGGAGGTCGCAATTTTTGAATCTGCTCTTTGTCTATGCTCGGTGCGCCTTTTGCAGCGGTAACAATTGGCTTTGATCACGTATTGCCACACGACTACAACAGTTCCTCATTTTCTTCCGAGCTCCACGCTGTGACGCGTGCACTCCTACTTCATCGTTCGGTTCGTGCCCTAGACATATCCAGAAAGCACCTCTCGATGCCATCCTCCGCTTTCGTGCCTGGTACCGTACCCGGCGATCAGGAGGTTCTAATGGGAGAATCTCTCGGTGCGTAATATGTCTGCTCCACCCGCAAGCACATGTTGTACCACTCGGTAGCGCATTTGTCGATTGCGATGTTCTTCATGATGGAAAAGTGCTGGAAGGAAAATCCTGGCCGGAGAACAATGCGAGAAATTTCGATCCGTCTACGCTCCATGCTTGCGAGCCGGGGACACGCGTCCCTCCGGAAACGATTCCTTGGATAACTGAAATCCGAGTCCAAGGCCTTCTTCCATGGAAACAGAAGAGACGGGAGCCCCTTGGGGCATATACCATGTGAGGTGGCATACTACGGTTATATGCCGTGTCGCTGATGGTCTCAAAGCGAGGAGAATTTTTCTTCCAATCAGAAACGGTTATTTGACGTGAAATGTTCAGTGAAACTTCGGCATGAGCTTATGCAAAAGTTATCATGAGAGGATGCTATGTATTTATCGTCAGCAATCCAGTGTCGCAACTTGCAGCGTCCAGGAGTTGCCTCAAAAGAGAAATTCGGAAAACTTTGAGCATGCATGACCCGAGCACTCTTCACGTAAGAAAACGAAAAGCGCCGAGGCTTTCACATGTACATTGGATCATGATATCGTCTATTTCACGAACTCGTGTTCGAGAACGTCGCGAATGTTCTTGATGAGGGTGACGTTAAACATTCCAGCGGCAGAGAATCGATGGAAGCAAGACGAAAACACGCAAGATCATCTTAAAACTGCGAATGAACTCGCGAGCCCTCTATGCGTCACTCGCAGTTTCGATGCTGTATATCTAAAAAAGTTCCAAAAGAAGTAGAAATACATAAACAGAGCAAGCGGTTCAGGGTTCTATCTTACTCGGATAAAGATAGAGACCTGAGGTGCCTGGCGAGAAACCGGGGCTTGTGCCGCCTGGCGGTATCGCGTCTGCATCATCCCAGCGTGGGCATGGCAGCGAAGAACGATGTTCGTTCATCGAACGCAAGACCTCTACCTCGTGCGCTGTGCTCTGCCTTGTGACGTGCTGCCCCGAGGATGGTGTTACAGATCTATAGTGCGACTGAATTTCGACGCGTCGTCATTGATGGTTCCAGAGAGCAACTGGTTGTTGTGGACTTTTACGCCGACTGGTGTGGCCCCTGCCGAATGGTGGCTCCGTTCATAGACTCGCTCGCAACGAAGTTTCACCAGGTTCTCTTTGTGAAAGTGAACGTTGATGAGGTTCAAGATGTTGCGCAGCTCTGCCGGGTGCATGCTATGCCAACTTTTCAGCTCTTTCTCAACGGGAACAAGGTGGACGAAATTGTGGGAGCGGATGTTGCAGCGCTCGAGCGTTCAGTAGCCGCTCAGGCGCAGCCAGTGGCGTTTGCTGGGCCGGGTCATACGCTGGGCACCAGAGCAACGAGTGAGGACACGAAAGCCGCCACAACGACAAACAGCACGCCGTCGGGTACACCAATAGCGCGTCCGAATGCAGTTGCCGACGGCTTGCAGACCACGACGGGATCCGCTGGTTCCGCTGGAGCCAGGGCGAGCCAGGGCGAGGGACAGCTTCCTGTATCAGCAAGCGAGACGATGCCGACCTTTGTATCCGAAAAAATACTTGAGGAGCTTCAAGCAATGGGATTTCCCCGCACTCGCGCTTTGAACGCTTGCATTGCAACTGACAATGAATCCTTGGAGAAGGCGATGGAGTGGATTTTCGCGCACGACGAGGATCCAAATATCGATAAGCTGGACCCAGCGCTGGATGTCCGAGTCACTGGCGCCGAAGATCTCCTTTCTAAATCCAAAGAGGAGAAGCAGCTTATGTTGAAACGGCTCCAAGAGGAAGCGCGGAAACGGCGAGAGGCCGAAGAGAAGAAACTCGCTATTGAACAGGAAAAGAATCGGATTCGAAGTGGGAAGGAGATAGCGGAGGCCAAGCGCAAAGCGGAAGAAGAGCGTCGTAAGCGGGACATTCGAGAACGTCTCCGTGAACAACGAGAGCAGCAAATGGAACGAGAGCGGCTCCGGAGGCTGCTTGAAGACGATCGTCAGCGTCGACTCGAGCTCCAGCGGGGTCCGACTCCGGTACGCCTCGTGGAACAGCCACCCGATCCGAACACAAACCAACCAAAGGCGGTAGAAAAATCAGAATTGGAAACCAGACCCACACGTCTGCAATTGCGGTTGCCCGACGGTACGAATGTTGAAGCGGACTTCACCAATGAAACACGCCTTCGTGATGTGGCAAATTACGTACTCAACAATTACCCGAGCTTGGGAGAGCGGATCTCGCTGATGCGTACCTATCCTAGGCGGAAATTTCTGGAGCACGAGTTGGATCAGATGACATTGCAAGATGCCGAGCTATACCCGCGCGGAGCGCTGTTCGTTCTTCGTCCGTAGCCCCGCCGACAACCTCGTGCTTCACTAGCGTTCCAGTCTAGTTTCTGTGGCGCCGGCTCTATCATGGGCGCTAAGTCTGCACCTATCGCCATATCGTTGGTTTTTAGCTGCTCATTTGGCAATGCCCACGACGGAATTCACTGAAACGCTCGCCCCCGCGCGATCCATGCAGCATCTCGTATCGCTACTCAACTACATACAAAAAAGTTTAGATTTGCAAGAATCAAGATCTATGCGAATGTTCAACGAGTTTCAGAGCGCTTCGGCTGCGAAAAGTAGCAAGTAATACAGCCGTCATGAATGCGTCTGGTCGCACCTCCGCAGTGACGCTTCCAGTGACTCACGAGCGCCTCGTTACCGCTAACGCTACTGCCAGCCCGAAGAACTAGTTTCGCATTTGCGATGCCTTGGTGCTCGCGCTCGGGTGTCGGCGTGGCACCCGCGAAACTGCATTCATTTCTCGCTGCCGGTGCGTACCCAGATATGGGGTTCTGCTCGCGCTCGCATTCTGCGATGCCGCCCGAGGGCACGTCAGCTTTGAGCGCGCGCTTACCCGGTTTGCCCATGTAAGAACGTATGGAATAGGCGCCGCTTGCGATGGGTTGAAAGTTCGTCGCTTCCAGCATAAAGCGCTTGCATGGGAATCGAAAACCAGACCGTATCGACCGCAGCAGCTTCTCAGCACCTTCTGCAATGCTTGCGGCTGCGTCCTCTTTCGCGCAGGTTGGAAATGGCCCAGAACGACTTGCATGATGATGCCGTTGACCTTGGAGTCCCGCTTGCGCAGAAGTAAAAGATACGCACAATGTTCTCGGTCGACGATGATGCATACTGGTATCGCGTTCAATACGCTGCTCTAGGCGAGTTGCCAGCAGGAAGAGGATGCGGCGCGCATCCTGCCAGGTATCTACCGGGGCAAAGGATTTCGCCGCTAGCAGACTCCGCGGACGATCACGTGGCTCCACTCGACTGGGATCATAACCCCGAGCCAGCCAGAAGAGCCATTCCGCTGTGCAGGGCTCGTATGCGGCCTGCAGCGCTGCCATCGACAGCTGCGACAAGTCAGCGAGCGTTTCGGCCTTAAAGTTCCGCTGCAGCTCAGCTCCGAATTTGCCACCAAGCCCGCGAACCCGTGAAAGCGGAATCCTGGCGAGAATGGAGTTCGTCTCGCTCCAAGGTATGGCGGTCAGTTTGTTCGGTTTGTTCGTAGAGCTAGCGAACTTAGCGAGCATTTTGTTGCAGGCAACCCCAGCGCTGCAGGTGTATCTAAGCTCATCAAGGATAGCGTCTCGCATGCGCTGTACCAAACGGACTGCCTCGTCGAAATCATCGACCACGTCCGTAAGCTCTATGAAAGCTTCGTCAATTGAGCAGCGCTCAACGGCGTCACTAAAGCGGGAGAGAATCCCAAAAATCTTCTCGGACTCCAACCGATATCGATCTAAGCAGACGGTGTTCGCGGCTCGCACTATAGAGGCTTCCTCAGACAGGTCAAGTTCAGAGACTTGTGGTTTCCTTCCGGCAGCATCAACGGTTTCTACGTGTACAAGCACACACTCGGGGCACTTGGATTTGGCCTCCTGCGGTGTTGCACCTCGCTTGATCCCTGCTGCTCGAGCTGCGTAGCTCACAGCAAGAATGCTGTTCCACTGGACGACACAAAGCGGGACGTCCTCAGCTAAATCGAGGCGTTTCCGTTCGACCTGAGCGTAGAAGCAGTCCATATCTATATGAACCACAATACGCCGCTCAAGTTCGAGTCGTGAGCCCAAAGTATCGGTAACCGCTGCCATTGCACCTAGAAACCGAATCCAATCCGCTTTTTAACCGAGAACAACGAGTAGCGTGCTCCCTCAGTCTAGCGAACTGTGCACAAGCTTTGGCTCCTACCCAGCGCACTCGGAACGAGGCAACAACAGGTGCCTTTCAGAACCACGACCGCGAAGCAAAGGACGAACAAACGTGGATCCTTCACTTCTCTGGTCCGTTGTCTCGACAAGAAAAAGTTGAGAAAAGTATGAGCGCCTCCAGATCACGTGCGGCCTTCGCTTCGATATGCAGCGGAACCGCGGCTCCATTCAAAACTTTTCAAATGGACTTGGCACCGATGATTTTTCCGATGAGAAAACGTTTCCATGGACCATCGATACCGGATTTCGGGATGGAAGGGTAACGGTAAACGAAAAAGCGTCCATCACGATGCACCTACTTTCAAGTTCCGTTTCATAAACTTTCTTTCGGGACTAGTGGTCGTTTCATATGTTCTATCGTGCGCCGAGCCCGGAGTGAGCATGCGCAATAGAGCCTAAACCGCCGGTGCGGATGCAGGACGGAGACAGAGAAGCTTTGCCATACCAGTGGGGGCGTCTTTTCGAGCCGTGGTTCATTCAACACGGGGCCGTAGCGCATAATCAACCTGGGAGCCTCCAGCTGTGCATACAGACGCACTGCCTGCGGCAACGTGAAGCCATATACTGGGATTCCAACCCGACCAGGGCTATGCCCGGACACAGCACACCCGCTTCTAGTCTCAGAATAAATTTGGACGGGGCGAAGATGTACCTGACGAACTTGAAGAACCACGTGATCGTGAAACTCGAACGCTCCATAATACGCTCTGTCTTTGCACTCTATCGGGGCTTCTCTCGCAAAGGGATATGGACGATTATCAATGCCATTACGAACAATCGACAGTATGAAGGTGAGATCGAATTCTTCGACAAGAAGGCGTCACGCAGGAGCACAAATGAGGATTCCGTCATCCGCGCAGCTATACAAGAGCATCGTGCAGTCTTGGGGCTGGCGAATCCTGCAGAAAAGAAATCAGAGTTGAAAAAAGATAAGGAAAGATACTATCGGCTTCTCCTGCAGTATTTCGTATTCCTGGATCGAGAGCTCGAATGCAAAGCAGACATGAGGCTGAGTGAGGAAAAAAATGAAGACTGGGAGAGACGGAAGGCCGCCCTAATGGGGAAGCGCTTCAAAGCGGTTGCAATGTACAACATTGAGTCACATCTGTGACTATCGACTCCAGAGTCCTTCATGGCATCATTAAGGAGATCAGTCCTGAGTTCAATGTCAGCAGGGAGGAGTTCACCGGTTAAAACCGGGAGACGCACTGGAAGAATATCTTCGATTTCAAACGTCTGAGAGTGAGCAAGCAAAAGGTATTTGCGTGGATGTTCGAAACCGATGGGGTACCCAAGTGTGTTCATTCTCGTCGGTTGGAGGCAGATCGTCCTGTTTCATCTTCGAAATTGCCTTCAGCGGAGCATGAAGATAAGAAGAAGGCGGTTCCTATGACGCAGAAAGTGCATGAGAACGACTTTATCGTTAGCGCTGACCCCGGAATCACGAATATCATAATCATCGCTGTACCGAAGCGTGCTGAAGATGGTACTGACGGCAAATTACGTCAGAAAGACATGCGTCTGTTGAGGTTCTCGAGAGCGAGATACTACCGAGAATCGGGAATCATGAATGCAAGGAAGAAAATTGAGAGATGGAATGCAGGAGTGAAAGAGCACGTGGAAGCTTTGAGCGAGGTGACGAGCCGAGGAACGGACTTTCAAGCTTTTCTGAAATTCATGAAAGTTCGCGTTGCTCATTGGGAGGCGCTGTAGAAAGAATATACAAAGCCCCAGTGGGCACGTCTGCGTATGAACTTGTACAGTGGGAAAAAGCGCGCGTTTGCGAAAATTTTCAATTAGTTGAGCGCACTCAAAGAGGACGAGATTCAGAGGCTCGTAGTAGCATACGGAGCAGGTCGCTGGATGACCAAAAAAGGGACTAAGCCAGCTCCAACGACAAGAACGTACAAGGAGTGTGCAAAGCGTTTTGTTACGATACCGATAGATGGGATCTGAACGTCCTATACGCCTTACGAGTTGGGGGGCACACCTCAGAGGGTCGAGATGGAAAAGTGCCAGCGGAGCCCTGAGGATATAGCAAAGTACGGAGCGTTGACAGAAGAGCAAATGGAAAGGAGAGCGAAAGTTCGAGGACTACTTGCGCTGGTGAGTACAACTACCGACGGCAAGAAACGGATGGGATTAGTGAACCGAACTTTAATGCCGCTATCAATATAAGAAGATGTGCGGTGATGGAAAGAAGACCTTAAGAGTTTACAAGAGCGCATTTACTGGGGCAGCCTCTCAAGGTGGAATTATATGAGAGAAAGTTGAAGGCAGTACTAGATGGCCGGTCCAGAACGGCTGCGAGGCGTCTGCACGTCAGTTGAAGACGCTATGTCTAGGGCGTGTTCACCGCCACGACTGTGCACTGCCGGCGACGCTCAACTTTAGAACGGCGTTTTGTGTGTGTGCATGCTTGAACACATACGCGAACAGAGTATGATCTGGGAGCGGAATCTGGAAATGGAGGCCACGGATTGTGTATAAAATACGGTGCACGGATAGATGCCGCTTCGAAGCGATCGCATCCAGCACAGATGTGATGCGAAATGGCGTGCATGCTGCATTGAGATGTTGTCCGCTGGCGTCTAGCGCTTAGGCTGACAGGCACGCCCTTATAGAGGCTCTCGAACATGACAGTCTGTCTGGTAGGAGGCTCGAGGCCTCAGACTGTATGCTGGGGCTGGCGATTCAATTCTCGTGTGCTCAGTTCCATGCGATTGTTGCGTAAAGCCGCTGGCCCCGGTATCCGGTCTCGAACGGGGCATTTAGACGATAGCGTTTCAATCGATTTCGACGAATACGCATTGGTATATGGAAAAGGATCCAAAATTGTGCGGCATGCTTTCAGCGCTGTCGCTAGTTTACACTAGTACGATTCGATTTACGCTGCTCTGCTACAGAGCGACTGTGGCGACACCGCCTCATGCGCAGCCATGGGATCGACGGAGAATACCCGCTGAACAGGGCTTGACATACGCTCGCCAGTCGGTTTGGGCTCCTCTTGCCTTGGGCCAATTCGAGAGGCGCATCTGCATTTAGCCGGAATTCGCCTCCAGCTCTTTGCGCATGAGGCTCAGGTTGGCTGAAACGCGGGATTTTGGACTCGCCGGTGGCGAGTTGCCGTCCAGACGGAAATCAGCATGGCGACATTCCCAGCATGATCGGGGAAAACTTCCGACAAGCAAGCGACTGGTGCTTCACGGCGGAAAAATGTCTCCCCCATTCCTTTGCGATGTCTGGAACACGTCGGTGCTAACGCGCTGCGAAGTATGCTTCAAGGATGCGATTGCTCAATGGGAATCGAGACGGTGAGCAGTTCCGACGTAGAAGTGCTTTGTAAGGGCGGTCCACGATGGAAGCAAACGCAAACGCTGATTGCTTCGCACTCTGGATGGCTTTTTCGTGATCGGGTCGAAGAGCAGCGAAGGCAGTCGTTTTACGGAGAACAACCCGTCCAAAATTCAAGCAGAGAATGCTCGTATATAACTTACGAAACCGAAGCAGAAGAGACCCTTGTGAATGAAAAATTCGCATGCTCTCTGTAAAACAACCGGCGATGGGCCCGGCCTAACCGCTCTTGCAGCACAGAACGCTGGGCGATGTATGCCGTTCGAGTAATTGCCCAGTCATTGACCGCTGAGGCTGAACCGCGGTCCAAGAAAGTCTCAAGTGCTCTCTTCCTGGCGTTGCTTACCAAGTGACGTCTTCATACCAAGTTCAGGCCGTTATATGCATATGAAAGTATTAGGCTAGTGCGCCTATACTTCCAACTATGCACCAGCGTGGGTTGTCGTTTCATGCACGCAAGCTCAGCTCACTCGGCCCCGGAGCTCTTGGCGCACGCCGATGACGCCGGTCCAGCGGCTCTTGCACCGGAAGCACTGACTCGATGCACCACTGACGTACGAATGAAGCATGCCAAGTCAAACCTACAAATTCTGGTGGTTGGTGCGGGGGCGATCGGTTGCGAAGCGCTGAGGGCGCTTGCCTTGTGTGGTTTCCGAAACCTGGTGGTGCTCGACCGGGACACGGTCGCCGAGAGCAACCTCAACCGCCAGACGCTCTACAGCTCCGCCGACGTTGGTGCCAGCAAAGCGCTGAGAGCTGCCCAGGCAATTAAAGAGCGCTTTCCAGGCTGCACAATACGCGGATATTGGGCGAGCGCGGAACAGATGCCTGTTGCCTTCTACCGTGCGTTTGATGTCATCGTGTCGGGTGTGGATACCGTTGAGGCTCGCCGCTGGTTAAACACAGTCGTGTTCCACGTGGTACGTCCTGTTACCTCTCCCAACTGTGCAGTTCAGTCGAAATACTTGCCCGTGCTCATCGACGGGGGCCTGGAGGGTCTCGCAGGCCAAGTCCGAACGATTCGCCCGTATGAAACGCCCTGCATCGAGTGCATACTTGATCTGTTTCCAGATGAAGCAGGTCGGCAACCGCTTTGCACGATCGCCGGTACACCATTGCGGCCAGAGCACTGTATTCATTACGCACAGGCGGTTCTTTGGCCTGCACGTGACGACCAGGCGGTGCGGTCCATAGACCCGGAGAACCCGGAGCATCTTGAATGGATTTATACCAGAGCACAGGAGCGTGCTGCAGCGTTCGGTATCGAAGGTGTGACCACGGCTCTCGTGAAAGCTGTCCTGCACCGCAGTGTGCCGGCATTGGCGACAACGAGTGCAGTTACCGGTGCCGCCTGTGCACTCGCAGTGACGAGGCTCGTATGGGGCGGCTCTCATGCACAGTGCCCCTGGACAAGTTTTCATGGAAGCGATGGCCTCTACATCGACTCGATTTTCATCGAGAGACGACTATCGTGTCCTGTATGTGGTCCAGGTTCCGCTGTTGCCATAAGCGTATCGAAAAACATGCTTGTCAAGGAGCTCATAGAACTCCTAGAAAGGCATCCTGTGCTCCACTGTCGCAGTCCCACAATTGTCTGGGATTATCGACCCGTATACATGAGCGTACCTCAAAGCCTCAAAGCAGCAACAAGCCCGAATCTCGAGCGGCCGTTGAGCGATATCTTCATTTCTGACAGTCATCCGAAAGTTCCCGATCAAGTCGTGCTATCCGTAACAGATACCGACACTCGAACCTGCAAGACGTTGCATTTGTTTCTCACCTAACGAGCTGATGCGTCGTGAGAGCGCAAGGCGAGCGCCTGAATCTCCATTCGAGAGCAGCATCGACCACTACGCCCGAAAACAAAGCATGCGAGTGCGTCCCCCGCAACGCGTTGCGTCATGATGCCCTGCTCCCGCACGGCGTCCCTACGACCACCACAGTAATGGTGTGCAGCGAGACAACTGAAACCCAGTGCGACGGAATCGGTTCCGGACTTATTCCAAAAACACTTTTTGGTTGTAGGACTTCTGCCTCAAAAAAGAGCCAAGGTGCATAGAAGATTTTTGGCGCAAGACGCTGGCGCTGCCCACGACAGTGCAACGTTCGTTTCTGACGGTTTAAGCGGTGCCTGGCTCTGTTCATATAGATCACCAGTGATGTCTCTTATTCACTGGTGTGAAACGTTCGAGTCGCGCTTGACCGAAGCGCCGTCGTTTCAGGGCGTCGCAGCACGTGCCGGCGTGCACGTGCGTGTGCGAACTGTAAGCAAGCGTTCACGGCGGAAGCGCCGCCTTTTACAAGCTCTCTTTCCTGGCGTACGATAACGGGAGAATGCTCTATGCAGTTCAGTGTGTTATCCAGAGACCTAGCAGTTTTCATGTAGAGAGCCTACACCTTGCCCCATCGATGGCGCAGATGCAACTGGACTAGATGCGTCGCTGGTGCGGCTTTCCCGAAGACGCGTACACGATGCACAGTCGAAATCAAGAAACTTGAGCGAAAAGTGTTTGGGGTGCAATCGCTCCCTGCGATGTTTGCATACAAAATGACGAGCTGCATCTACCCGCTTGGGCGCGCTCTCGCACAGAATATGTGCGACACCATCGGTGCACTCGGAGAGGAGCATCAGCTTGGCGGCTCTGCGTGCAAGCGGCAACGACAGAGTCGCCCAAATGCCGATCAAAATTCCACACTTTGGGATCGCCGATTCGATTCGACAATCCTAAACCATTAAAGAACTGATGGCGTCAGCCGAGTAAGATGCCCATTGGATGGTCTATTGCCCTGTGCAATCTTCCTGCTGCTGGGTCTGCTCGTGTCTGTCCTATTTGCGAGTGTCCCCGGGAGTTGGCAACGTGTACGGGACGGCACGACGAGTCGCTGCCCGCTAACTGGGGAAGTGCATCTTCGAAAAGCGGCCACGCGCACAAGGCCGCTCGACGACGAGGCCCAATCGACAGCATCAGGAAGTGTTCTCAACGTTGCTCTCTTTCAAGCTAAGCAGTCTATCGCGCGATTCCTGGTCCAGACAATCGATCAGCGCCAGGCCTGGCTCGTTGGTAGCGAGACGATGGATGACTCGCATTTCAGTTTTGGCGTTCTCGACCTCGCGCAGAAACAGTTCTGAGCTGATAACAAAGGCTCCGCTCGCACGAACAAGACTCTGCACTATACTATCACCAGTTGCTGCCCAAACTTCCATGTTGTGGTCTCGAGCAGCCCCGCGCACGCGTGAGATAATATATGAGTCAGCACTCTTGCAGGCTGGATAGATTATTTCAACCGACTCTGTTGACGCCTCCTCGCCTTTGGCAGACTTTCTCGCTCGAGACTGATGCTGGGTTCCAGATGCAGCCTTCGCGTTCACATCCGGATGTATCAGGGCTGTTGTGATCTTTTCGGTGGTATCCTTCGTACGCGGGTAACCATCCTGTGGATTCGTGGTCGCATCGAACACGATGCTAAAGTGCCATCCGCGAATTGCCGACAAATTCGTTACGTCTTCGATAAGTAGTCGGCGGGCAGTCTCGAGGTCACCATCCCGAACGTATGCATTGAGCTCTGGCGCGGCGCCGATAACGTTATAGCCGTCAACGATAAACCATTTTTGTCGCGCCCGCTCTTTCGTAGCGTTCACCTTGGGCAGTCCTTCGCTTGCAGCGACTTCAGGCTTCTGAGCTTCTAGCGACTCAGCGGTTTCAGTTTCCTCCTGGTTGTCCTCTTCGGGCGGAGTTCGGACCAAACGCCGGCGGTAGGAGGTTCGCGCGGGCGCTGCAGACGCCGCAGCACCAGCGGCTCGCTTTTCCTGGGCCGCTCGTTCTCGCAGCAACAGCAGCTGCTGCTTCAGAGACATTTTACGACTAAACCTGCGGTTGGGGGAAGCATCTTCCCCTGCCTCATTATCTCCGCCCTGTCCCGATGTGCCAGCCTTTTGCTTTCGTTTTCGCGCCCACGTCGTCTCTAAGACGTGAAGAGGCCGAGTTCGCACACACCGCAAACTACAGCGACCTGACCCAACGAGCTCTCTACTATGGCTAAGCATGGTCCAACTCGGTAACGTCAAATAAACAAAGGAAAATGTCCTCGAGTGCCGCTGACCAATCATGTTCCAGAAAAGTTTATCGAAGCCTGTCCAATGCTAAGAGGCTCAACGCCATAACTAGAAAGATGACGGTCAAGACGATGTGCCACGAGTGATCGGCGCCGCGCATCCGATCCAGCTCTCGATTCGCGCGTTCCGCAAACTCCGTAGAGCGGAACGCATCCTCGAGTAGGCTTTCAACGACGTGATCCTGTTGGGCTACCTGCACGCTGAAGTCATGCAAGAGCTCAGAGACTTGTATTAAATTCCGTTCAACATCTCGCACGATTCGGTCCCGTTCGGTGAGTTCCTGCTCCCACGTGAAAATTGGAGGCTGCATTAACAGCATCGCCTGTGCACCACGGGCCTCGGCTGGGATGCCTTCCGGCTCGCTGGGCTCACGTGGTGTCTCCTCCTGGAATTTCTTTTCGAGAGAAACATTTGAGGCAGCGATTTCTCTTAACGGAATGGATGCGTGATTGCATGCGTGGACGCTTTCACTGCTCGTGCCACGTTGAGCGTGTTTCGTAATGCAGGGGTGGCTTTTGGCGCTGCACTTGCGCTCGCTGCTCGTGCTGAGGAGCGTACGCAGGTACTGGTTGAGCGTCTCGATCTGGCTAGAGAGAGTCTCTACCACTACGAGACGGTGCTGGACGCGCTGCGCCGAATGATGGCTGCCCCGAGGCCACTCGGCCAGATCTCGTAGAGCAACCAAGTTCGCGAGAAGTCCCTGGAGTAGTTTTGTGCAGGAAGCCTCAAACTCGACACGCTGCTTCGGCGAATAGTCGTAGTTGCGAGCGTCAAGAAGCCAGCCAGTGTTTGCGTGTAACAAGAGCGCAAAGTGTCTCAGGTTCTCGAGCAGCTGCTCAGAGAGCAAGCGGAAGGCCTCGCCAGTCCCGCTCTTGAAGCGAACCTTTGGTGAGAGCTGTTTGTCAGCTTGTGCACCTCCAATTTTGGAAAAACGAGTGTCTCGCTCGCGGCAAAGTGCTCGAAGCTCTGCTGTTCGGTCCACCGCCATGCCACCCGGAGGCCAGCAGCACCTGTACCGGTGCACGAAAGGGATCACAGCTGTGTTGGAAACAAGTTGCAGACTCTAACCAGAACACCTGAGAAAGACTTGAATCTTTGAACGCAGGCAGACGCGTTTCCACGCCACCTTGTTATTCGCAGAGGGTTCGCACTGCCGCCAAGGGCACTACACCAACGTTGTGGTGTATTCTTCCAACTCACATCTGTTCCATCCCGCAGCGGTGTATACTAGGAGAAGGACTTCAGAATGGAATGTACTGTATATATCGTAGACCAATTGAATGTAGGATATATTCTTTACTGAACTGTGCAAGGAGGGCTGCATCCCCTTTTCGGGTCAGTCATTCCACAGTACTCTGATGGATGAGGAACGCAAAAGAAACCAAGAACATGCAATCCGCGCCATAAACCTATATTCTTAAAAACTTCTTGAGGAAAATCTTAGGATACGACGCGTTGATTACCGTACGGGAAGCAAAAGCGGCGATAGCAGCCTCCAGGGGCGTCTCTTTTCCCACCAGTTCACTCGTTTGAACTTGAAAAAGCTGGATACAGCCGCGAAAAAAGAGTTCTAGTCCACACACGGCCATCTTCCACCGTTATCGCAACGACAACGTTCCTGGAACCTCGCAATCAGTCTGAGGCACAGGAACACCGGTTTCTTTTCTCAGACGGTGGGACTTCTTCCGGACGAAACGGTCGGATGGTATACGGGTGTTCGCACAGAGGGCGCGCGCTCGACAACTCCTGGCACTGGTGCGCTGAACCAGCGGCAAGAAAAGTATGGAGTTGGTGAACCTAGACTTTGACGCTGCTATCAATATCAGGAGATGTGTGGTGCTAAAGATGAGACCCTAGGATCTGACACAAGAGAATTTCTTGAGGCAGCGCCCTGAGGGTCAAAGTAGACGGGGAGAGGCTGAAGCCGATGGCAGGGGCCACTTAAAAAGGTTTGGAGGCGTCTGCACAAGTGCATTCATTTCCCCTCCATAGTCGTAGAAAGTTTTTATGTGTCAATATCCGTATCATAACAAAAAAGAACACTGACCTACCTGCTCTGTTTACATTTCGATTCTCCCTGGACTTTCTCTACATGTACAGACTCGACATCCTAAATGTAGCAATGGGCGCGTATGGATTCATGACCAGGTTTTGGATGCTCGGTTGTCGCTTCGGAGCGGCTCCGCAAACCTTTTGTCGCTAGCGCTCGTTGCATCACGAGAATCAAGACGATGGTTCGCGACGCCCTCGAGCACGGCATCGTATAGGAACCGACATCACGAGCCAGCTCATACGAACCAGCCTCCGCTCTTCCCCGTCCTTACGTGTGGAAAGCTCAAATCACGCGTGCTTCACATATCTCATCTTTGTGTTTCGGGACGACTGGAGGGCGCAGCGTTCTGCACAGCTGGGTTGACAAGGAGAAATGCGACGCCGCTTGTTGTCAGCCTCTCCACGGGCTCGCGCCGAGAGCTCCCTGCACTCGTCACCTTACAAGGTCGATCCCGTCCAACAGATAAAGCGTCCTCGCTTTGGCGCCATCGACGAAACGGCATTCAATAGCAGCCGCGTGCAGCCACCCTGGGCGGGGGCCCGCCAAGGCTCCCATCTCTTCTGCTTGCACGGAAAACGGTCTTGGACTCGAACCTGAGTCGTGGCAGTGGTCTGTCAGAGCCGAGACTCCGGCAGCGCTTTGAACAACCGCAGCGCAGCGGAGTCGGTATCGCTCGACGCGATCGCCAGCCTGGCCCTTCCTTCCCGCACTGGTTTTCTTCCATGGACACCATCGGTTGCACAAAACCGCCTCTTTGCCGGAAGCAGCGGAGAACGGTGGAGGAGTCTTGTGATACATTCGAACGTCTTCTCCTCGGGGCAAACCGATTTGGAACGTCACCAAGGCCGTGACGCGTATCACCTGGTGAGTTCTCGAACAAGGCAGCGTGCGATTGCGCGTGCAGCGGCCAACGCACATGTCGAGGAGAAAGTTCAGACAAAGTCCCTGATCACGGAGTACGGCACCGGGTGCGAAAACGTCGCATAGCATCGAGAAGAGCCTTCTGTACATGTCATGGTTGTGTGCCGCGCGACGAGGCGAGTCTCCGTACGCAAATGTGCGGCGTTCGGAGCTGGAGGAGGTATCGCGGACGCTGGGGAACACCTACCCATAGTAACGTGTCGCCGCTGCGAGAGGTGCGCCGAGGCCGAGGGCCAAGACGATCCTTGGGGCAAGCGGAGCGTCCATGGCAACCTCAGCGTGTGCATGGAATACGTTGACAACCGCTGCGAGCAGCGGAATCGGGGCTTGCAAGCTGCGACGAACATCCTCAGCTGCTGGTAACGAAACATGAGGGCATTGAGGGACGGACGTGCTTATGAGCGTAAAGAAGAGAGAAAGAATCAAGCAGTCGCTGCAAGATCATGCGAGGACTAGTGGTCATGATAGTCGGAAACGACCCGAACATTGACTTTGTATGTCGAGCAAGCTTGGCGGAAACAGTTCCATTATAGTCGCACATGGGATATCCAACACATACCATGTCCAGAATATCCCATTTCAAATTCAGGGCGTGCGTCTCATTCACGATGGGCGTCGTAAGATGCACGTTTAATACGGTCTCCACGGTGCGGACTCGTGAATGCCTTATCAAGCAGGTGAACGTCAATGCTTCGTGCCTGTGGGTTGTAAATGCTTCACATGGACGCAGACGTACAAAAGCAATTTGCGAACGCTGTGCACCTCTGGGCGTGTACCGGGAACTATGCGACGAAGGGGGCTCGCCGCGCTGCAGCTTGTAAGGCAAAAGGAGAGGCACCGCGGGGGCTCACTTGGACGATCTAGCTCCGGTGAAAATAGCAAACATACAGCACCGAATGAAAAGACACTAGGGGGAGAATTCAAAGATGAACTCAGTTCCTCAGAGCGCCAAGTGACCAGCTGGGATCGTCAGCGCACCGCGATCTCTGTGGCAGCAGGTCTGCTTGTTGGCCTCATTTTTTTCGGAACGAAGGGCACTGATCGAGGAATGGAATACGTGGCAGCATATGTTGTCGAACAAAGTCTATCAGTCGACAATCTGTTCGTATTTCTACTCTTGTTTCGTTTCTTCCGTGTACCGAAAAACCTGCAGGAGAAAGTTCTAAGCTATGGAATTCTCGGAGCGGCCGTGTTTCGAGCGATATTCGTGTTCACAGGTGTTGCGCTGATGGAGCGTTTTCGGACAATCAGTCTCGTTTTTGCTGCAATTTTGCTCATTTCTTCGGGACGTATGCTCTGGTCCAGCTTCCAGGACTCCGAGGCCGACGATGAATCTAACGAGGAGGGCATTCGCGAGAATTTCATCGTCCGCGCAGTGACCGCACTGCTTCCAGTTTCAGACGACTACGATGGTGATCGATTTTTTACTAGTTTGAAGAATGGTGCCACCACTGCGACACCGCTCTTGCTGGTTCTGGTCTGCGTTGAGCTAACGGATGTCATATTCGCCCTGGACTCGGTACCTGCGTGCCTGGGTATCTCACGGGATCCGCTTGTTGTGTATGTTTCGAATTTGATGGCGATTGTGGGCCTGAGAAGCTGGTACTTTGTGATACAGGAAGCCATCCGCAATTTCCGATACATTGAACAGACCCTAGCTGTGGTACTGGGTTTCATTGGGTCCAAACTAGCCTTGGGATACTTTGGGTACGAGGCTAGCACGACAATCTCGCTGTCCGTGATTCTGGGAACCCTTGCAGTCGGATACTCTGCGGGTTTTGTTTTCTCAGGAACAAATGAAAAATCATGAGGGCTCATGGTGAAGCAACGTCGTTCTGTCTCAGGAGCATGGCTTAGAACAGGGCACGCGAACGCGAGTCGCGCTACTGACATGAGTCGGGCGCGAGCAGCTAGCGTTTGTCGGTGCTGCGCGACCCAAGGATTTCGTGGAGCGTTTTGCGTTATGTTCGTTCCTCGTAGTGCTGCATTTTGCTTGTGTGCTAGGTTTCATATAGATGAAGTACTAACGATCGGCGCACACCAGTGACTTGAATGCAGCAACGGTTGCTGAGGATTCCAGCGTGAGAGTAACGCACTGGACTACTCATAGCGTTCCTACGATCTGCTTGGGAAAAGAAGAGCTGCGCCTCGATGACATGAACGAATGCGGCCAATAGAACGCAGTGTTCATCAGCGGCATCGTTTCGAGACAGCGCTGGTTTCTGCGAATGTCGTACCGAGTGGAACCGCTTCCAAATCGACGTGCTTTCCCTTTCCCAGCAAGGCCGCTTCGGGCAAGTAACTGATCATGGTTGCGAAATGTTTTAACTTTTTCATTTGTATCATTGAAGCATTTCCGAGACTTCGTGGTCCTTAAAACAGAGCTCGAGTCTGCTCGAAGGTACCGCTGGGTGTTCAGCGAACCCGCCGTACGAGCAAACTACACGCGTGCCTGTTGGGAGGGAAGGGCACGCGTGCTCGCCACTCATCAATGCCCGCTGCACCGAACCAAGGAATCGCTGGTCGACGCCTCGCCAGGGACCATGGCGCTTTTGATGAAGATTCGGGATGAAATTGGACAGCATTTGTGCGATACTAGCTCGAAACTCGTCGAGGAGGATACAGTGCTTTCGCGAGCGGGACAAAATGCCAACCTGGCGCCACGCATAATCGTATCCTGCATTCCGAAACCGAGTAGTTCGCCGATCGCGGGTTCAGACCTGCAAGGAAAGATAATAGGCGGGCCTCAGCACACCCTAGGTGCCAAGTTCTGGGATGAGATGCATGTACTGATGGTTTCCAGCGTGCCTGAACGTTTGGTCTCTGAGTCTTTCTGGAAACGCCGCCAATATCCGTATCATAACAAAAAAGAACACTGACCTACCTGCTCTGTTTACATTTCGATTCTCCCTGGACTTTCTCTACATGTACAGACTCGACATCCTAAATGTAGCAATGGGCGCGTATGGATTCATGACCAGGTTTTGGATGCTCGGTTGTCGCTTCGGAGCGGCTCCGCCAACCTTTTGTCGCTAGTGCTCGTTGCATCACGAGAATCAAGACGATGGTTCGCGACGCCCTCGAGCACGGCATCGTATAGGAACCGACATCACGAGCCAGCTCATACGAACCAGCTTCCACTCTTCTCCGTCCTTACGTATGGAAAGCTCAAATCACGCGTGCTTCACATATCTCATCTTTGTGTTTCGGGACGACTGGAGGGCGCAGCGTTCTGCACAGCTGGGTTGACAAGGAGAAATGCGACGCCGCTTGTTGTCAGCCTCTCCACGGGCTCGCGCCGAGAGCTCCCTGCACTCGTCACCTTACAAGGTCGATCCCGTCCAACAGATAAAGCGTCCTCGCTTTGGCGCCATCGACGAAACGGCATTCAATAGCAGCCGCGTGCAGCCACCCTGGGCGGGGGCCCGCCAAGGCTCCCATCTCTTCTGCTTGCACGGAAAACGGTCTTGGACTCGAACCTGAGTCGTGGCAGTGGTCTGTCAGAGCCGAGACTCCGGCAGCGCTTTGAACAACCGCAGCGCAGCGGAGTCGGTATCGCTCGACGCGATCGCCAGCCTGGCCCTTCCTTCCCGCACTGGTTTTCTTCCATGGACACCATCGGTTGCACAAAACCGCCTCTTTGCCGGAAGCAGCGGAGAACGGTGGAGGAGTCTTGTGATACATTCGAACGTCTTCTCCTCGGGGCAAACCGATTTGGAACGTCACCAAGGCCGTGACGCGTATCACCTGGTGAGTTCTCGAACAAGGCAGCGTGCGATTGCGCGTGCAGCGGCCAACGCACATGTCGAGGAGAAAGTTCAGACAAAGTCCCTGATCACGGAGTACGGCACCGGGTGCGAAAACGTCGCATAGCATCGAGAAGAGCCTTCTGTACATGTCATGGTTGTGTGCCGCGCGACGAGGCGAGTCTCCGTACGCAAATGTGCGGCGTTCGGAGCTGGAGGAGGTATCGCGGACGCTGGGGAACACCTACCCATAGTAACGTGTCGCCGCTGCGAGAGGTGCGCCGAGGCCGAGGGCCAAGACGATCCTTGGGGCAAGCGGAGCGTCCATGGCAACCTCAGCGTGTGCATGGAATACGTTGACAACCGCTGCGAGCAGCGGAATCGGGGCTTGCAAGCTGCGACGAACATCCTCAGCTGCTGGTAACGAAACATGAGGGCATTGAGGGACGGACGTGCTTATGAGCGTAAAGAAGAGAGAAAGAATCAAGCAGTCGCTGCAAGATCATGCGAGGACTAGTGGTCATGATAGTCGGAAACGACCCGAACATTGACTTTGTATGTCGAGCAAGCTTGGCGGAAACAGTTCCATTATTGTCGCACGTTGGTGGAATTCGCCGCGGTATGCTGAAGGAGGCTGCATCTTTACTTACCTGTAAGTGTTGCAAGTATGGGGCTGAGGTGCGACAGCGGCACGATAGACGTGGCTATATGTGCCTCGCTTGGCGGGATTCCTTCTCGAACCTGTGGTACGTCGCGTACGCCTACCACATCGCGTCCCAGAAGTCGATCTAGGTATGAGCCTGTAGCGAGAAGTGCAAGTCGCTTCGCCTGGCTCATGCAGTTACCTTGATGCATCCGAGGAGAACCGTTGGCGAGCACTCGATATCACTCTGACACTCCCCGAGCGCTGTCTAACGCCAATGCACTGACGCCGCGCCTGTACAACAGAGCCGGCTTTCACGAGGGAGGCCACCACCAAAGCGCGCTATTCAGTGACCATGCTGCAACAAGCAGCCTATAATTTGCGTCTTGCGTCTCGCAACAGAGCGCTGTACCTTAAACCGGAGCACATACTTGTTTGATATTTCGAGCAGAGTTTGTCAGTGCGCGCTAATGCAAATTATAGCGCTCTCTGCTCTGGCGACGAGCAGCAGACAACATCAAAGCGTGAACCGCTTTCGCTTTCCTGCCAATCGCTGCATTTTACGACAGTTCACGCTGAACCTTACAATTCTTTGTGCAAGAAAGGTTCGGAAAGCCTTCGCGGAGGCATGGTGAAGCTAGCGCTCCGCATACGACTGTTGGGTCCTTAACTCGGTGTCTAATTTACACGCAGATACCCCAGCTTCCACCGCACTAGGACTGCGCGAGGAAACGTAACCTTATTGCTGGACACTACGCTCTTACGTGGAAAGGTTTAACCACACAAACCTGTGCACAACAGCGAAGCTAAACGGCTACTTCTCTCTCGAAGCCAAGCAAATGCGATCCTGCTTCTAATGCCAATGCACCACTCTCCAGGCTCTGGCGTTGGAGAACTATCTCAGAAGCTCCGTTTGCATACTATTCGAAGATCATTGGACGCGTGGTGCAGAGACTGTCGATAAATCGACTTCAGGTCAAATGCACGTTACATTTCCAGGTGCAAAGATATAGTTTACGAACTGATCACGCGTGCTGGGCTGGCCCCTGGGTATCCGCGCTGCATGCTTAACCGCACCGGGCCTACGTCGGCGCTCGTCGCGAAGCGATGGATGCCGTCGATATTGTTCACGCAAGGCGTCTGGAAAGCGCGGACCGGTGCCTCGCTGACATTCGTTTCCCCAGTGGCCCGTAATGAGGGCTCCTGCTTTCGTTGCTGGGTCGTGTTGGCGCTTGGGCAGTAACGCTGATCACCTGTCTGGGTGCACTTGGATACGAGTCCCTACTTTATGCAATCTTCCGATTCAGCAGTATCTGCCCGGAAGCTCATCGGTGATACTTTCATATTTGATGCTTGGTGTCACCTCGGCAGAGTTGTTCGCTCCAATATAATGTACAAGAAGACCAACCTCCAACCGCATTCATGCGAGTGCCTTGCGTACCAATCACTCGTCTGCTCTCCTATAGTTATCGCTCAGCACTGAAACTCACAGCCAACTCCTGAGCGACAGCTCGAACGTGTTTCGCTTTCGCCTTCTGTAACGAGAGCCTCCATGCCTTATCAGTTCCGAATAACCAGTCCATGTGGATAAACATTGAAGCATAATTGCCAGAATAAGTCTTATGGTGATGGTCGTGCTGACGCGCACCGCCGTACAGCGGAAACCATCGATTCAGCGACCATGGAAGATCGTACCCAGAGTGGCAGTCTACCGTCTGCCAGCAACGCACCATTAGATAGCCCCATAGCGTGAGCAGGTGCGGGCCTATAATGAGCGGTCCGGCGACAGTGGACATACCGAGGAATATAACTTCGATGGGATGGGCGAATTCCGCGACCGCACCGAACGGTGCTGTGTACTGGTGATGAATAGCATGAATGTATCGATAAAGCCAAGGAGTATGTAACGCGCGATGACCCCAGTAGAAGCACATATCCTCAACAAAGAGGCAAAAGAGAATCTGCACGATAAACTCCCTTAGAGACGGCAGCGGCAAACCGTGCGTTGTGCCGAGCTTCTCGAACAATGGGTGCGTTACCAGAATCAGCGGCAACACAAGGAACACGTGGTTCGCAGCTACGTACAATACACAGCGCCAAAACTTCTGCGCGTCTTCTTTCGGTAGCTTCTGTGACTGTTTGCTTGAGCTAGAATACCCGTAAGTATTTTCCTGCAACTTCCAGCGGCGGAAAAACTTGCTTCTGTCCATGAGCGCGTACGGCAGGTACACGCCCCAGTACGCAAACTCATGAATCGCGAACGTAAAGAGAGTGTGAAGCGTGAACGGCGAGAAAGACGTCGTAAAGTGGAGCCAAAATCGTTCAAACCATGCGTAGAGCCACATTGATTCACTTCAAACTGTTCAAGAAGGCAACTAGGGAAACTCAGCGATGCAGAAGCGACACACGTTTTCCAAATTGCGGCCACTCAGAGCGTAGTATGCGCGCATTCGCTGTCCACCGCTCGACGGGGAATCGAGCGCAGGGAAAGCTTGGGCCAAAACTGGACAATACTTGTTCGTGCCTTTCACCAATGCGGACTCGATCCGCACTGATGCTGAAACGGCCTTCGCAGCGAGGCGCGAAGAGCGAACGTCTTTCGGGCATCCCTAAGACATGATTGTAGCCTATTATGTCGACGTGCAACGAACGCGACAGGGCGTCCGGCGTCGCCAGCAGCATCCAGTGTAGCTTCGACATCCAGAGAACCTGTGTCGTTGGGTAAAACCCGTATAAGGAATACGAAGATGTGTCTCCGGCGCCTGAAAGTTATCATATTTGGAGAAGAAGTGGGGTATTATTTTGGCCAACTTCCGACAACAGTCGTATATCCAGTGGTATCCAATAAAATGCATCCACCTGGCACAACGAAACAACGCACTGTCAAGGCGAAGTGGCATTCTGCGTGCCATCCTTTCCTCAACACGGGACACTTTTGCAGCTGGCGGGCATTCCGACCACGGTTTGCCAAAAGACCAGTTCCCGGAATTGTTCTTAAATAGCCCTGTATTCTTTCGGTGCTGGTCTGATGAAAATCCTGCTCGACTTTGTTCCGACGACGTTAAAACAAGCGACGCACTCGCAAGCGTGCACCTTGGCAGGAGGTGCAGCAGAAGGCAACCGTCCTCGCGTGCGAGGAGGACGTTGAAAGTGTGGAAAAAGCTACAACTGGCTTGTCATTTTATTGCCACTCGAAATGCTACGCATTTATGAGGCAAATAGTTTAACGCCGGAATCTACGGTCCCGGAGTAGACCCAGAAGGCACAGATGAGCGTGCTTTCGCAACTGGAAGCACTGGTCCCAGTCCGGAAGCTTCGAGCAGCGCATTCGGCGATATCGGGATCACTGTCCGCACAGAAGTGCGAGAAGCATCGGCGACGCTGCCCGCCTTTGTGCTGCGCGGAAGCATTCACGGAAATGGTTACGTTCATGCTGCGATAAATAGAGCAATATAGACCCATTGGATGCCCTTATGGCTCACCAGTTTCCTGGGAAAATCATACCGGGCGCATAGATGCTGTGCTCCAGCCTTGTCGGATTGTTGACCACGACATACCAAAGCCCTGCTCCAGAGGAAGTTCAACCCTCTCTCCTTGCTGCTGATTTCTTCCGGTGCGAGCTGTTCATCACTACAGATTGATGTCCAAGCTGTGTACTAAGCAACTCGCTCGAAAGCTCGTTCAACAGCAAGCCTCTGGACGCTCCGGATGCAGGAGACATTGCGGTATATTGATTGAGGCGCTCAAGTCCTATTTTAGAAAGTGCATGAACGAATTCTTGATGGTACGGTCACGTCGGAGGAAGCCTCTCATTGTCGATTGCTTCGGCATCCGGCGTTCGGTCTTCTTACCATGCACCATCTCGTGCGTCTTACTGCTGATCGTCACCTGCTTCTATACCTCGTTTACTCTGTACCCGAATCCCAACCCGTGATGCGCACATGTCGCCCCGAACGCTTCGACAGGAATCGTACAGAACCGATTGATGCAATTGTTTTACGCGCTCGTCAAAAGGAGCAGGAGTACAGAATATGAACGTTACAGCACTTCCAGCGCCACATTCTACAACTACACGACACAGCGGACTGGTAACCACAATTCCAAACGATTGAACACGTTGGTGAACGCACGCTTCTTGCTTCCATTGAACGCGAAGTGTTGCTGACCCCAGCGCACTCTCACGTGCGCCCTCCAGAGTCGTCCGCATCAACCGTTGGGACGCACACGCACGCTCTTGATGAAGCGTGCAAATCATCTTGTTCTGTTCAATAAGGTACTCGGAGCGTCATGATTGGTACTGGTGCCTTCAATCCGTCCGTTGGTGTGCCTCCTCGTGCCTGCCATGCATGACTTCCGGTGATAGCGAGCCCTCAAAATACTTGGCCAGCTTCATCTGCATATCGTTCAAAACTCTCGCTCCGTCCTCTTGGTTTAGAAGTACGTCGACAGCCACACTGTTCGTTAATCCGGGATCCAAACTCATCAAGAGATTTTTCTCTCTATCGACCTCAAAAGTTTGGGAACGATACTCGTTTCTCGGTTAAGGTATAAGTTTCTCAAACTGCACGAAGAATGATATTCCGCGGGCCTCAAGCGTACCTATAAACTTCACTCCATTTCATCCCAGTGAACGAGATATCTTGATCGAACAAGTCAATGCCCATTGCAGCGTTTTCCGAATGCTTCGCACGTGCGCGCAGAGACCATATGTAGCACACTAAGGAGGCCATACAATCCAATAGTGTCTAAGGCGATATAATCCGTCCTGATCTGGTCTACGGGCACTACATCCAATAGAGGCTTGAGACAGCGATGGCGCTCGGACTCTGGGAGGGATTCTGCTCTGCACTCGAGGGCGCTGCTGAGGATTGTCGCGCCAGATGGAGGAAAAGAAGACATCACTTTGCAACCATTCTTTGGTTATGACGAACGTCTGTTCGAGACCTAGAGCAACAAGATTGACTGGTACGAAGTGAAGCACGTCTCGTTCTGGGTTCAACATTGCTTCCGGACTTGCTGCCATTCCGATCTCTTCCGTTATCTCCACCTCATTGCTTGCCTCCATCGACACCCGAAGAACTTCTTCGATCAGTCTCCAGTTTTCTGGGTAGGTAAGGTGAAGTTGCAACAGTTACAATGCCTAAAGGGGCGCCTCATGAAGCGCTCTAGGCAGATCCGCGTATGGGTTTTGAGACTGGTCTGGCATGCTTTTGAAATTGCGCTGTAGATGTCGCTCTCGCCAACGTGGCTCGCCGTCTTGTCGAGGTATTTCGGGAAGCCTGTGTGTAATCTCCTATCATGCGATCAGGCCGTATTGAACCCTTTGTCCCAGGCATCAGCTGTATTGTCGCTCCAGGGTACGATCGAAATTTCCAGAGAAATGTGGACGGCTGGTAACACTGCATCCGGAACTCTCGCAAACAGCAAGTTGATAAAATGCGCCAAGAAGATGAGAACTGGGCGAGAATTTCTCTTTGAAAAACCCACGCGATCCTTAATGGGGTTCTCCAACATACTTTCCGCATATTCTCACCGCTGTGTTTTCGTAAGGAGGCATTGACAATGATTTTAGACTGATGCTTCCGCTCCTAGAGATTCCGCTTCCGTTCCATGTTCGTCCTCTTTTCATAAGGGACTTTCTCTCCTATTTCATTTGGTATCTTCTGTTTCTCTTTTAGTAGGCACATTCGCATGGATGTTTTCTTTATATAATGCACACGTTGTTGCATCGGAAACTGGACATAATGGGTGAACAATGGGAATGAAAATCCTCGAGCCGTACATACATAGACTATTCCATAAGAGCGTCTTGGTTACTTATTCGGCTATGGTCACGCCCTTGTACCGAGATGCAATTTGCCGCTCCATCCCGTGCACAAACAGGGAGGCACTAGGGCATTTCAAAACGTGTTTAGGTAAAGAAAGTCTCGTTGAACAACTTATTACCGAAGAACAGCGTCAAGACGCCAACGGCTCTTTCATGGAAGCGTGTAACAAAATTTGCGTGTGACAACAGAGAAGACGACTTCGAATGGATTGAACCAGGGGTAGTACGCTGGCACAAAGTGCAGCTGAAAGCTTGTCTCAGCCGCATACTCCGTGACCGCTTTTGAATAATCAGAGCGATATCGTCTGACAGCAGGACAAAAAATGGGATTTAGAAGCTACAAAGTGCTCTTTCGACGGCTGTTTTTTTGAACGACTCTGTCCGTCTGGCGATGTTTTCGTTGGCAAATCGACAGCATCGGCGCTGCGGCTGCAGTCTTCGTAATTCTCGCATATCTGTTCTTTATCAATACCCGTTTACTTCCCTTTGAGTATCCGTATGCGCTTCTACGATTTCCCTCGCATGACCTCCCATCAAGTAAGACGAACGTGCTTCCCTTTAAAGAAAAGCGTACGCTTTTTACAACGAAATCCGTAGCGCAACGCTCAACGCGCAGCGGTCTCCCATCGATGCAAGCTTTGCCCCTGGCCGATCCGTGTCTCTTTCTCACCGCTCATGTCAAAGATGGGGAATCTTCGCATCCTGTGGCCTCTTTGGTGGTAACTCTTAGAGAACCTATAGTGGGAAATGCGCTGACGAGAAGGCACTGGTGTAGACAGAGTTTGATAAGTTCAGGTTTAAGTACACAACGTCCATCATTAAGACAACGAGACAGGTAGTTCATTCACTTGATCACTGTAGGGTAACTGATTTCTACGAGCAAAGCCACATGTTCGCAATCTAGTACGGACAGCATCAAGTTCCTTCATAGTCTGTCCCCAATTTGCGAGATTTATTCCTTTGGCTCGTGATTCCGAGGCAGAACAAAAAAAGCGTATCTGCTGGCAAAGGTATGCCAGAAGACACCGCCCCGATAGCAAGACGCTTCTACGCATCCACGCGTTCGCTGAATGATTCACACGCACACATGAGAAGAAAACGTTTGCAGAAGCACGTGGAGCACGGTGCCGGAGCATCAAGCTTGCGCTTTTACAGCAGCCGCATATGCAGCCCCGCGCACCACACGCGCCGCCACCCGCAGCATCATCGCCGTCCCGGTGTTGATCAGCGGGCGGGGACGAATATAAGTTAAACATTTGTATACTGTACTCCTGTCACCGAACTTTATTCCCTGGCAAGATGAACGCACAAATACGAAACATAGCGTTGCTTTTCGTCGTGATGCATCTGGTGAATAAGCTTGATCAAAAAGATGAACGCGTTATTCTGGGCGCACGAACAGCCTACGCAACTTTTCTGCTCACAGCGCTGCTGCTGAACGCTTTTGTACGAAGACTTGTCATCAAGAAGGCAGATGGTAGGCTGCTGGAGGTTCCGTTGAAGCCGACGTTGCAGAACCCGACTCCAGACCCGAATGTGCGTCAACGGTTGACGGTACAAGAATATGACATTTCGTTGTTGGACGCTACGCGCTCGCAGCTGTTCCTCCAGACGGCGTTGCTGGTTTTTCTTCACTGGAAGATGGGCTCTGTTGCACCGCTCATTCTTCAGGCTATTATGGGCTTTGTTCGACAGCTGGATGACCCTCTCATCAAGATACATCTTCTTGGGCATCGTGATACCGGTGCCCTGGAGCGGCCGTTCAAATCGGAGCCGAACCCTCTCCTCAAGCTTCTAGGGCTCGACCCGAGTCGAAACCAGGCATCAGCGAGACAAGGATCTGACTCTCATATCGATGACACCGCAGTTCAGAGCCGGAGTCAGCCTGGTGAGACGCAGCATGTGACTCCCGTCGGCGACGTGGGCAACGTCAGCGACTCGAGCGCAGATGAGGCAATTGCCCAGGACAGTGCGAGCGATGATGAGCAAAAATCCATGCGAGGAAAGAAAGATGACTGAGAAGAATACGGATTTTTTTCAGACGCTGCTGGAAAACGAGTTGGGAACTGCAGAGTCCCACGCGGCGGCGGCACTCTTGCCTTCGCGCGAGGATCACTATATGACCTGGCAAACTTGCCCTAAATCAGTTGGTGGGGCTGCTGGCCACTGGTGCACCGAGCAAATATGCAGTAGTGCCCGCCTGCCGCATCCAGAACTGACGAATGACAACGTCTAATGTATGTTCTTCTCCAAGATGTTTCTTGAAAAGGGTCAGGCGAGCGACCTGTTCTCTTGTTGAACCGATGAATCGCGGCGACGCTCAAGGGAATGCAGAGAATGCCACAAAATGCAGCGCTTTCATGCACAAGTCTGCCAGCAGTCTCCAAAACCGGCATGCCGACCTCGTTTCACAACATTTGTATGTTGCGGATCGCAGAACGCAAGCTCCAGAGCAGGCGGCCCTGCAAAAGATGATCCCCCTCTCTGGATTGAGTAGATCATCGAACTGCGAGTGCCATTTTGGGGGTTTCCCATCTTTCCATTTCCGCTTCGACAAGGCAGCCGCGACATTCAGTGCTCGACAGCATATGTTGGAGACGAACGCATTCTTCCCAGTGAACCTGTCAACCAAATCTGCTGATCTTTCTGTATGCAGCACAGCGATTTCGACGAAACACCGGGGCGCGGCACGCATCAATTCAAACCGTGCAGAGCGCCGAGTATTTCAGCAAGCTGCGACTGTGTGCCGCGTTCGCTGCGCCCAACCAGCTCCCATGAGTATTTCACACTCACGTTCACCACCGGAGATCAGGCTGCAGTAAACTGATTCGAGCATAGTCATGATATCTCCGCGTCTCCGTTTCCAGCGTATATCTTCGCTCTGAAAAAGTGACTTGCTTTGCATCCGGCGAAGATGAGCAACAATCGACCCGCTTACGTCTGCGGTCTTTAAAGCATTCGCGTCAACCGTGCAGCCTACATTTGTAAAGAGCGTCTATGTCAGAGCGCGGTATGCTTTGCCCGGAACGATTCAATCTGCCAGTGTACCCGCTCCGGTGTCCGCTTCTTAGCTGCTGGCCTCCGGAGCCCGCAGCTCGGATTGTATATGGAAATCACAGAGGATTCATGCGGTTAGACTCCGTTCGGTAGAATTTACACGATTTTTAGGCATCTTGCTTCTTCAGTAGCACGAAGAGCAACACGTTATTAGACTGATGGACCTTTCGGTTCAAACTCGGCAGCAGCTGATCAAGCGATATACTTTTTCTTCGTCGAGACGCGTCCACTGGCACGATCCACTCCGTTGGAACGGTCATGCATGCGCTCAGTTTCTCACACTCGGTTACAACAGATTTCCCTTCAATATCCTTCTCTCGCGCGCTCGCCACCAAAACAGCACGCTCTGCGCATGCGATGGCGTTTTCCCCGCTCATTGCGCGTGCCAGGTGCTTTGGAACTGGCCGGGAGGCACGCACTTGAACTAGCTTTTTCTCCCAGTCAGTGTTCCCCGTGTCGATAACCCCTCGACGTTTCATGTTAGCAATTATATCCGTGTATCTCGCCTTCGAAATATTCGGTGAAGTGAGAGCAATGTAGAAAGCGACATCACTGTCTCTTATGAAAAGATGTCTCTCGCCCAGGTGGTTATCGGTGGAGTGTTCACGCAGAGCTTGTTGGGCAAGTGTCCCGACCGCACTACTCCCGGAGAGCGGGCTCAGCGTTTGCGCTGCAGTCGCGCCTCCAGCTGGCATAAACTGTGCATAGCAGATGTCGCTGTCATGCTCGCTGCTCGTTGCTTCTTCATCTGAACTGTATATGTCCGAGGAGCACTGGATCGTCTCTGGCGCGCTGGCGCTCCTTTCTTGGTGTGAAAGCTCGCGACGATTCGCACTGAGGAAATTATCGCTTGGGGCAGCTAGCCCTCCGTACTCACTCTCTGCTAGTGGTACTTGATAAAGTTGCTGTTCCAGTTCTTCGAGCTCTTCGGCTCCGAAAGTGTCCATTCGATCTGGATGCTCAGCGTCGGTACTAGTTAGCCAGAACGTTGAGGCGTTTCGCGCTTGCTGAGTCGTGTTTTCCAACTGGTCCAGAACAGACTCAAACAATCGATACCCCGCTCCGTTCTCATCCTCGCAGTTGCTGCCGCTGAGAAAGCTGAGATCACTCTGTACTGCCGGTCGCTCCTGACCGCTCAGAAACGGACAACTCGGTTGCTGCCAGTAATTGAGCGCAGTGGCCGTCGGGGTTCCCAATCGGGCGACAATGTTGTTCGCCAAGTGGTTGCTATGATGGTACACGTGATAATATGCAGCGTGAATTCGGTTAGGGGGTCCTTGCAGAGGCGGCGTCACCAAACCAGGGGTCCACTGCGCATAGCTGGGCCCCGTGCCCAAGTTCGGTGATGCTGGGCACGCACTCTGTGAGCCAGAGTTCGTACCCAACGTCTGACTTTGAGAAGTCAGCAAGTTTAGCTGACCCGAACTTGTTGTTCTCGATAAGTGTGCCGAGGGTTGAATAAACGCAGAGTTCATGACGTTTATCCTGAGGGTTGCGTGCTTGAGCGCTTGCTTAAGAGCACCAATGCAGTCAAAATTGCATTTCTGCCTACCCGCAGGTGCCATATGATGTGCCGTCGCTCGTGCAACGGCGCACGATGACCATCCATACATGATTGAATGGTCCAGATCGTTCGGATTCCGCCGCCAGCATCGAAGCGCGCCTGGAGCGCCATTGCTTCTCCATGCATCTGCGGTGCCGACACACGAGCAACGATCTCGGGGACTATTTGCGACAAATTTGCACTGCCAGCGATGCGACGCACCCAGCGCATGTCGCAGGTGCGGTCCTACTCATGTGTATCGCGCAATCGCAATTTCTTGATCAGGGAACACAAGTAATCTTTAACAAACAAAATAGAAAAATATCTTTCTTTCTTTACGGCCAGCGTTGACGGGAAAACACTGTCGTATTCTAGAATGTTTACCTCCTAGGCGGGAGGTCCGGCGAACTGGACGAGTCTGCCGGGCTTGCGAAGCGTATGTCTCTTCGGTGCCGGGTGCTACAGCGAGGTCTGAGCAACTCGTCCGCAACACAGTTTATTATGCGAAATGGAGCGTGTAGGTTGCATCCGGGCGTCGCTCTGGTTGCGATGGGCTCCTAGGATATCGCTTCGTGCTGCCGCAGGTTGTAGGTCTGTCTGCGCAGTTTGCAGGCTCCCAGAAAGTTGAAGAGTCCCGACCTCATGTCGAGTGAACCACGTCTCGAGCCGACGCGCTCATAGATATGGCAAGGGCTTTCTGTATCGGTGCAGCATCTGTACAAGCGATATAGACGTTTGATGCTGATTATAACGACAGGGTTGGCGAGCGTTAGTACCTACGAAACGACCGGTACAACCGAGTACAGGTATTGGCACTTGGAGGTAGTGTGCGGCATGGTGGACGCTTTCCCGGAAGGCGGTATTCGTCCCGCAACCTCGGATCCGTCGTCAATGTAAACGGTTTTCCAAACAAAAACATTCGCCCAGTGGAGCTATCATTATGTTTCACAACAGAAAACACTTGCTGGACTGGGTTCGACCACGAAGTACACCGCGGAATGAAAAGCAGTTCTGGCCAGAGAGAATCCGCAGAAGCTCAGTTGCAAGTGGAATGGTGAAACACTACGTCGTCGAACAGAAGGACGTCACCAGACGTCAAGGAAAAGACTTCAATAATTTGGCAAATACGGTGTTGTTGTATGAACCTTCCCTACGAGCGAACTGAGGCCGTTAAATACATCCCCTGCAGCTAGGCCAGGTGGTATGTCGTCGTTCTCTTCCAGTTCGGTCTTTCGTACAACGGGCTCCCGTTCCGCGAATACCCGAATGCGTTCTGACCGTTTCGTCCGAAGCAATTCTCATCGACTGAAAGAGCAAACCGACGTCCTTGTCCCTGTGCTTCATACGGATAGCGACGTTCCTGGAACGCTGAATTAGCTGCGACCTCGGTGGGAAATGGCCGTGCATAAACTAAGACTTTCTTTTTGCGACAGTATCCAGTTTTTTTCAGGGCCACACGAACGCGTTGTTGAGAAACTGAAAAGCCATTTGCCGCTACCAACGTCGCTTTTGCTTACCGTAGCGAGTCCAAAGTGTCGTTTTCTACTATTGACTGCAAGCAGTCTTCGAGAATACCAGTTTTTGGCGCGGACAGCATTCATTCCTTTGATTCCGCATTCCTCACCCATCTGAATATTGTGGTTTGACTGACCTTAAGGGGGAATGCAGTCCTCCTTTCACTGTTCAGTAAAGAATGTATATCCTAAAGGCAATTCGTCAACAGTCTATAGGGTACCTTGCTTCCAGGCGTCAAATCCCTGCCACACACTGCAGTGAATGTTGAATAAAACTGAATTGAAAGACTTTGAGCTGCACGATCTATTCCTACCTTTCGATCTCGTTTTCAAACTTTTTTACATGTACAGACGTGGCATACAATTTGCTGCGATAAGTTATTCCTGATGCATTAGCAAATTGGGGTTCTCGGGCCTCGTTTTGGGATCGACTTCTTCAATGCTGCGCAGTTGGAATGCTTGCCATCAATGTAATCAAAATGATTGGCGACACACTCGAGCAAAATTCGGCAAAGAACCGATATCATGATCCATATTCAAACGAACAAGCCTCCAGTCTTCTCCTTTCCAGACGTGTAGCATGTTCAAATTACGCATTCCTCAAGCTCTCGATTTTTCTGTTTCAAGGTAACTTATGGACGTAGGGCCTCGCGCAACCACGCGGACGAGTAAAAGCATCCGAAGTCGGTTTACGATGGCTTCCTCACAAGACCATGCTGAAACATGAGCGAAATTCTCACGCCAAATAGTCAGATACGTCCGAACGACGAATCCGCTGCTCTTTGTGAACATCGCCGAAACTACATTCCACAACAACAGGATATCTCCCCGGATATGCACCCTACTCGCTTTTGTCTGATCGTTTCACATTGAACAGGGCCTCAGATCCGGATTTGATTCACAGTCGATGTCGCTTACCACGAAGGAATCATTTACGGATCGAAATTTCTCGAGATTTTCTCCTATGTCTATTTTCCCTAAGGCATTTGTTACATCACGGATGACGTCGCATTTTATAAATCCTCTTGCGTTCTGATCGGAAAACAGCATAGGGCGGGGGACGAGCTAACTTGCACACTTTAATTTTATTCTTCGCGTTTAAACACGATCAAGGACGCCACCAGGGCATGAAAAGAAGCAGTTGGTGAATTCTTGAACCGAACAGCTTGCGCTTTCGCGTAAGGCGGATAGCATACTGATCGAGGGGATTGCCGGGCGAGAGCCAGTAACCACACGGTACGGCACTTTGTATAGAAATGGAAGAGGTCATCGATTGAAGCCTTCCGTGACCGTCAAAGGCAACTACCGAGTGATGGAGCAACCTTTCTCGCGCTACTGGTTAGCCTTCGGAGACAGGGGAGATTTCACGGATGTATGGGAATACCCGATCAGAGTAAAGAGTCACTGTTGCGAAGCGCGCACCGAGGCCATATACAAATAAGATGAAAACTGCCAAGCGAACCGTAGAACGTTATTTCCAACGATGCATGAAATACGTTGAAAACATTTGGGAGCAACGAAATCACGACTTTAAAGCTTCCATTAACATCTTTATATTGTCGGCGAATGAGCTGGACGGACAGGAACGACCTTGGTATCTAGAGCCTGAGATGTGTGAGTGGAAAAGGAAGCAATTGCAGAAAGAGTCCGCAAATTCTGAGTCCGATGGGATAAGGAAAAGACCCAAACTTTAAATTATGCGCCCGTGAGATGGCACCTGTCCCTTTTTATTCTTATTTGGGAGTAATTACTTCACTGACCTGCATTCCAAAAGTTGATCTTTATTCTTTAACTTTCAGGTCTTGAACGCGATCTCGCAGTTCTGCTGCCTCGTCGCCGTCAGAGTTAGGGCGCGGTCGCAGTGCCGGGAAAAGCACGACCTCCTTGATGTTGTTCTGATCGGCGAGCAGCATCACGAGTCTGTCGATACCAATGCCCCAGCCAGCAGTTGGCGGAAGTGCATATTCCAGCGCCGTACAGAAATCTTCATCTTTCGCCATTGCTTCCGCGTCGCCTTTGTCCGCGTCCCGTTGTGAGCTCAGGAATCGTTCCCTCTGCACAAAGGGATCGTTAAGTTCTGTGTATGCATTGCAGAGTTCGCGCCCATTCACGAAAAGTTCAAACCGTTCCGTGAGGCCGGGTCGATTCCGGTGCCATTTTGCGAGTGGGCTCATGATTTCCGGATGGTCGCAAACGAACGTGGGCGAAACGCACTTCGGCTCCACGAGCGCCCCGAAAAGCTTATCTAGCAGGCGTGCTTCTGTGACCGGAGGCGGGCAAACTACACCCACTCGCTCGCAAATAGTCTCCAAACGGAAGCGCGACTCGTCTGTACCGAGTTGCTCAGATTCGGGAAATAGCGGTCGCAGCTCGCTCGGAAGCGCTTCGCGCAGAGCATCCATGACGGAGATCCGTTTGAACGGTGGGGTAAAATCGATCTCGACCTCGTTCTCCAGAGCATGCCTCCCTTCGGGATGATACTTGATTTTCAGATGCCCAGTCAGCTCCTTCACTAACAAGCTCAACATCGCTTCTGTCAGATCCATCAAATCCTTATAGTCCAGATATGCAGCGTAAAATTCACAGGCTGTAAACTCCGGATTGTGCGTCATATCGATACCCTCATTTCGAAAGTTTCGGCCCAACTCATAAACTCGATCCAGGCCGCCGATCACGAGCTCTTTCAGGTAGAGCTCTGGTGCAACGCGAAGATACATATTGACCCCAAGCTCGTTATGAAAGGTCACAAACGGCCTCGCGTTCGCGCCACCTGCAACAGCATTCATGATCGGCGTCTCGACTTCGAGAAAACCACGTTCGTCCAGGAATTTGCGGATGAAGCGAATGACATTTGCTCTGAGTTCAAATATCGGGCGAACCTCGCGGTTCACGATGAGGTCCAAATAACGTTGGCGATAGCGTGTTTCTGGATCGCTTAGCATCTGGTGCGGTTTCGGCAGCATGTGTAGACACGGTGACAGCAGCCTCGTCTCGACGGGAAAGATACTAAGTTCACCTGTTTTCGTTCGTCCTGGATAGCCGCGGACACCTATGATGTCCCCGCGGCGAAGTGCACTGTGCACAGTGGCAAAATTGCCTGCAGTATCCAACCGTGCGTCGGCCATGACTTGCACTTTAGTTCCATCAGCGAAAATATCGTAAAAAAATAATCGCGAACCAGACAAGCGCCGCGAGCGAATGCGACCTGCCAAAGCCTCTTCCCCATCGAGGCGCTCACCTACACCCAAGTATGAGTACTTGGCGATGAACTGCGGTACGCTGCACGTCACGTAGAACTTATGGGGGTAGGGATCCTCTCCGCTGGAGCGAAAGTGCTCGACAACTCGACATCGGTGGCTAAAATACTGCTGGGACGTCATCAGTTCTTCGTCCGCTTCCTGGTTTCCTGAGGAAGCATCGCGTGCAGCCGCCTGATGTTGCTGAACTCGGCTCGACTGCCGCAGTTCGCGCTCTGCAGCAAGGCGCTGCGCCTTCATACGCCGCTTTAGCTCGTTTTTGCTCAAGACAGATCCATCATCCGAGCCCACTGTCTCATTCCTGAGATCCTGATCACTCGTCACCGTTTCGATCGTGTTCCCTGAGCTCAGTTCCATAGTGTTCCTCTTGTTATGACTATGTGCAAAAATACTGCCCGAGGTCTAGCAACGTGGTTACGCTGCGCTTGGGACGGCCGCATGCGTGTCAAATTAAAATAGAACACTGGACTGGACGGTCTGTTCGTTTTTCTTATTCCTTTATCGAATTTTTATGATGTACAGTCTCGACATTAAGAGCACAGCAATAAGGGTATACAGAATCTTAGGTAGGCCTAGGATTCTCGGTTGTCGTTTCCGAGCGGCCGTTCCAAAATTTTGCCGTGGAACCCGTCACTTCACTGACACCATGCTAATTCCCGACGCCCCCAAGGAGGTATTCGTAAAATAACCAGTTTCGTTATTCAATGCTTACGTGCGAGCCTCCAGTCTTCTGCATTCCTTATATACAGCGTATTCACGTTATGCATGCTTCAGTTCTTTGATCATTCTTCTTTATGTCGACTCGTAGGTGCAGCATTTACGCTACTGGCTTTCCGACAAGAGAAACACGACGTCGACGATTGAAAACTTGTTAACAAGCCCATACCCAACGTTCACTCTATGTAACACGCCAAATAGTCGATTTCGTCCAAAAGACATATTCTCCTCATTTCGCAGTCATCGGCGACCTGGCGTTCGCCGGCGTCATAATATCCCTAAGGAATTAGTTCCCATCGGCTCTCCGTCTTTTTTTGCAACGAAAAGTGCCTTGGACTCGGACTTTAGTTGCCGCAACAATCGCCTCTCGTAGAGAGGGCGTCATTTCTGTGCACGAAGCGGAAGGCGACGAATCGAAATTTCCCGACTTGATCTCGAGCCTGGATTTTGTTTCACGAAAATGTTTCATTCTAGAAAACTCGCGTTCGACAAACTCCTCAACGAGTGGAACAGCGTGCGTTTGCGCGCGCAGCCAACAGAGCATGTACCAGGGGATCGCCTACAAGAGGCCCGTGGACGTAGGGTACAGCAGCGCACGCTGAATCGGAGGAGAACATCGAGCCGAGCCTTCTGCACTCGTCAAGGGCATCTGCCGAGCGATGCAGCATGCGTTCATGTGCCACTGGCTGGCCCTCAGCGTTCGATTGGGTGTTATGGTCATGCGGAAAAATATGACCACGGCCAAATGTCACCAATGCGAAGGCCGCACAGACCTGTTACATAAACAAATGACAATGACACACGAAGCGTAGATCGTAAAATTTGCTCATACATAAAATGCGTGAACAACAGCCGCTAAAGGCCATGTATGCACTCTACGCTGCTCTCAACATCGTTCGACTGCTTACAATGGAGAGCGTAGGAAAGAGGAGCAGTCGCCGAAAAAGCCAGCAAAAGATGATGTTAATAGTATTGGAAATCCCCAAACTTGAGCTTTACGCCCCAAGTTCGGGGACCCATTCCTTTTCTATTCTGAGAGAGGGTTTGTGGGTGGCTACGGGCTGTGTGAATCGCGGCTCTTGGCTGAAGTTCCTGCAAGTGCTCACGGAGCGAAAGAGCGTCACAACGTCGTAGGGTAAAATAATAGCCAATCACGGCCGCCTCCCGGCCTTTTTGCTGGCTCCCTACTATCGGTTCCAGCTTCTTCTCGTAAAATTCGACCGTGAGCGGCTGCCTCCACAAAGATGGCTCGCACCAGCTACGCGGGTCTCGTATTCAGCACCGAGCGCTGTCGCATATTTATGGAAGCGTTGAAGACTCGGTTCAAGGACTCCTTGCGTCCATTGACGAAGGTGGAGCTCACCTTCTAACGAATTCCTAGCAATAGCACCCTCTGCACTACTTCAGTCTCGTTTTCGTCACGTGGGGCAAACAGTTTTCTTATCTATCTCCTCTTCTTCTGCCTCCCCACTTGCTCTTCTCCGCTGTGTAGCGAGTAAGAAGAAGATTTTTCGTTTTCATTTCGGCAGCTGGTGATGGCGGTCCGCCAGGATCACCGACTTCCGTGACCATAACTTACACTTTGATTTTTTCTCTCCAAATGAAAGTACATTGAACACATCTGCCATAAACCACGAAAAAACATGCATTACCCTGCTGCGGTGGAATACAATTGAGATGAAAGAAAATAAAGCGTCAGAACCGATTTGTACACGTCACGGACGCCGAAGCGTTCGCCGCTGTAAGCGTAGTTTTCGGCAGACGTTCCTATGACAGCAACAGCCTTAGTGTATAGTGTTGCTTACATTGTGCCCCTTGTTTCTTTTACGAGTTTCATTTTCAAGAAGTGGTCAACAGCGTTCGCGTCGATATTCCTCGCTTTTGTGCTCATACCGGCTTTAGATGCTGTTCTTGGCCTCGACGAAGAGAACCCGTGTGATGCCGAACTACATAGTGGACGCCATAAGTTGGCGTACAGGGTTGTGCTGTACGTATGGCCGGCCGTGCAATGGTCCTTTCTCTTCTGGGCAGCAAGGCTAGCAAGCGAAGGAGTGGATCTGAGCGTTTCATCTTTTATTGGCCTTGGTCTAACTGCGGGCCTTTTGGCTGCGCAAGGGGTGAATGTGAGCCACGAACTTTTTCACAAACGAAACGCTGCTGAAGTAGCGCTTGGGAAGGCAATCTTGGTTTCTGTGTGTTATGGACATTTTTATATTGAGCATCTTTACGGACACCACAGGCGAGTTGCAACGCCAGAGGATCCCGCAACGGCCCGCTATGGCGAATCATTCTATGCGTTCTTCCCCCGTACAGTCGTCGGATCCTTTCGCAGCGCTTGGAAAATAGAAAGAGAGAGATTAGCGAAGCGAGGCTTTCAAACTTTCTGCGTTGAGAATCGGATACTTAGATATTTCGCTTGCTCTGTTCTTTGGTTTCTGACAATATTTTTCCTCTACGGCCTCCGAGCATGTTGCCTTTTCTTGCTCCATTGTTTCACGGCTATAACCCTTCTTGAAATGGTCAACTACATTGAGCATTACGGGCTCGAGAGAGCTGTCATTAACGTCCTTCCGAATGGTGAGAAGATTTATGAGCCTGTTTCCAACTGTCACAGTTGGAATTCCTCACATCGCCTAACAAATTATATCTTGTTCAAATTGCAGCGTCATGCGGACCATCATCGACATGCCGATAGGCCGTATCATTTACTCGTTTCAACAGTAGAAAGTCCACAACTCCCTGCAGGCTATCCAACAATGATCATTTTGTTGCTATTCCCTGCACTCTGGCGAAAGTCGATACATCCAATTTTAGACCGTGCGAAGGTGCCGTGCGATTCGCGCAGATTTTTAAAGTGACAAAATGTTTAGGTAGGCAAGAATTCTCCGACTGTGCGCTTTTTCTTTGCTTACTTTTTTTGTGTGTTTTTTCAGTGCGCGGTGAAGTATCCATCAAACCCCTACCTCCAATTTACATTTCCTATACTTCTTCTCGGATATTCTGGTCGTTTGATACGTCCTATCGTGTGCCGAACCTGCCGAGAGCGACCGCAATTGCGCCGTAGCGCCGGTGCGGTCGCTGAACGGAGACAGAACCGCGTTGCCGTTCCACAGAGGGCGTCGGCTTGAGCCTACGATTCGCGCACGGCACCGCACAGCTCCAGGACCGTTTGAAACGCAGAGCTTTCGTGGAGGGCTCAGTATTGAGACAGAGAGAAGCTCCCAAAAAGCTCCAACCTGCATAGGTGACCATTGTAAACAGCAGTTTTTCTGCGTTTCGATAAGAGACAGAAAGAAAAAAATGTCGTTCAATCAAAGATTAGAAAAGCGTGGATGACGGGACTTTCAGTACTCGAAGCAACGTTTTATGGCGACCAATATCTCCTGAGTGCAATATCTCTCGGATAGAGCGAGGTGGTCCCGAAAGGTGAAAGCAGCCTTAGGCGAGTTTGATATTTTCTGTGGACCGAAGATGTGAAATTTCCTAGCAAATTCGCCTGTGGGTAAAACGGCAAGTGCTATCTCTTCGGACCACTTCACAGGATCAACGCTCTCTTGACAAGGGGATCGTATAAGCGTGGGCATGGAAGTCCGGCAAAATACGATCAGTGCGCTAGGGAAATACATGTTTCACCCCTTTCAAAGATATTCTTGAATCGAACTTCAGCTGTCGAAGTGTTCGGTGCACGATCTTGGAAAGGATACTTCCAAGACAGCGATATCTGCCTATACAGCCAAAAGTAAATGAAGAGCCGTCTCCCGCCGAAGTGAATATCAGGCAAACTCGGAAACTCACTTGTTTGTTTCGTCACCAACCGGGAAAAGTTCCGAGGCGCAGATGTTGTAAGTAAGAAAGATCGCTCTGATGCTATCTGAAGATGTAATGAAGCTTAGAAAGGACTTGTTCGATAATATGCAGCGCAGCTGAAGATTTCTACACTGAACCGACTACGACGCTTTTAAAACCGAACGTAGAAGGAAATCTCTACTGAATGATTTAAAAGCCCTGTGCCCTTTGTTGCACACTTCGCCGCAAGGTCATCTTGAAAACGCTGCATAAATTGCACTTTGATGTCAAGAAGATGCGCTTCATTCAGTGAATAACATAAAATGTATTCGATAATGAGCGCAACTATCTCAAAATTAAAATTAGGCATCCGAATTTCACTGCCATTATCTGAACAATTTAATCTCGCAATTTCGATTTATTGTTCTGTGTCACAAACGCGGATTGCGCGCCAAGATCCGGAAAACTGTCTAAAGAGTGTTTTGCGCCATTCATGATATGTCTTCTTCAATTGACGGCGAATATATCATTTACACCGGTTTCCGGATTGAATGGCAGCGTTCCCCTAACATGGGCGTGCGTCTTAAGTTTGGGTGTCTTCCCACCGTCATCGACGCCCACTTTGCAGACATTAACTTTGAGTGCTTCCTTTTCCTCTATTTTTGCTCATGCTTCAAATGATACGGTTTCTCCAGTCACTTCAGCTTCCACGGTAGCAGTTCAGGGATGCTAGTGGCGGAGTTGAATACCAGAGTCCAGCGCTTCATGGTGTTTTCTGCCCATTTCATGAGCATGCGGAAGTCGCGTTCGACGCCTCGCGTGCTGTTTCCATCTCCTTCGCATACGATCTCGGTGCGCCTTTCGCTGCTGTGATGCTTGACTGTGGTTAGCTGTTCGAATATACCAATCAAGCAGTCCCTTCCGGGCGCCCTCATATGGCGTCTGAAAGATCGCACCATCTCTCGGAACATGACTGTGACGGGCTCGGAAGGCTCCACTCAATGCACTCCAATATATTTGGCCGTAATGTCGGACCTATCGGCCGTGGGGCATGTTCTGGGCGATCTCTTCGGCGCCTACTCTGCCCGCTGCACACACCTGTGCGTTCTGTTCCATTCGACAAAGAATCTGTAGAACGCGGTGCAGTCAATGATGCAACATGCACCGGAAGGAAAACCAAGCTTCAGAACAAGTCGAGCAATTTCCGTCGATGTACGCACGCGTCGTGAAAATGCGGAGACGCACTCTACTGGAAGCGATCTCTACGATGGTGAAAGCCCGAAGACATTGCCCGTTTCCTTGCAAACAGGGGAAAAGGGAGCCTCTGGGAGCACATCGTTTACGAGTTATTGTGGTACTGTGGAATAGCGTATGACTGATGGCCACAGAATGCGGAAGATTTCCTTTCGAATGGAAATGATCAACTGGCAAGCCGAGTTCTGTGAGCGTAAGGCACGAGTTTGTGAACAATCTTAATCCGACGGTCTAAAGTACTTTTACTTTTAAATCAAGCAGCGAGAGTTGCCGAGCTCACGAGTCGACATGGAGAAGAAGGATCGAAAAAAAATTACGATTAAGACTTTTACGTATGCTAGAAGGAAAGAAGAACAGTCGAGGCCTATATGTGAGAATTGAATACCTATACTGATCGCGTTACGAACCAGGTGTTCGAGGGCGTCGCGACTCTTCTTGATACCAGTGACCTAACAAATTTCGACAGCAAGGACTCGACCGAGTAAAGTCGAAAATAGGACAGAGAACTGTGAAACTACATGTGAATACAAAAGCACTTACTGCCGCAATTCGAAAATGGAGTTTGGACACCTAAACAAAGTTCTGAAAATCGATACGCAGGATCAGAGCGTTCAGTTCAGTGTTTCATTTCAGTCTGAGACTGATGTAGTGTGCACTGTGCACTGAAAGCCGCAAATATCGTAGCTTAAAAGAGAGGTAACACTTGGTCGAGTAACAGCAGCTCTAAATTTTCTTCGTTTTGCGGAAACTTTGCGGAAGAACGCCGCTGGTGGCTAGAATAACGCACTCAAAAAGCGTGCTCGAAGCATAAGTTAGATGTAAAGGCCCATCTGGGCTGCTGCTGCTGCTTAACCGCTGCCTACTTCAACCGCGTCCTCAGAAAAGCAGCTCAAATCAAGAGCTTTATGACAAAAAGTCAGCGAAGCATTCACTAAAGAGGCTGCAACCCTGTAGCCGCCCGGGCTTTCGCTCTGAAACGTCGTGGTCAGCAAAAGGTTTATGCTAACTTGTCAACGAAGCCTTGCCAAACGAGAGTGAAGCTCTCAAATCACTTAAAATAAGCGCTACGGCAGGTGGACTTATACACCAGGCTTATGTCTACATGTCCTCGGAGCTGTCTCTGACGAGTATGCAGCTCTCGGGGAGCCTACGGTGAGGTCTGCAAGTTTTACGGTGTCGAGATAGATCCGGAAAACTCTGGCGTTGCGGCCGAATGACATCAATCTTTCTGCCTGCGTTCTGTATTTCAACGACCGTTTTCGTAAACGTACACGCTTTGTTTGCTGTGTTGTATGATGCAGAGTGAGTTCTCGTCGAGGAGAGCCACTGCTTCGAAGCTGTTTGACACAGGGGGAAGAAGCGCTATCTCGCTCCGTGGCGCATCTAACGTTGCTCCCTCGAGAGAGAGCATTCTTTTAAAGGCCCGTCTGGAGCGTGAACGTCGGGCTGCCCAGCGCGCTCAAGAGAGGTCAGCTGTGGCCATCCAATCACTGGCACGGCAGTACTTCGAGTGCAGACGGCTTTCTAAAATAATAGAAGCGGAGTTGGTGGAACGCGTCGCGAATCTTGCTCAGAGTGAGGGGCCGCTGCCATACGACACGCACGCGGCGGTACGATTTGTGCGTGCGCTCTGTTTCCTTGTCCAGCTTTCGAAAGCTCAGCATGACAAGGCACGGCTACACTGGTACGAACACCGAGGCCTTATCGGCGAACTCGTGCGCAGTACTTATGTTTCGATAGCTTTAAAAGGCCATATTTTCATATCGGCTGCTGCGCTCGGCGATGAAGCCTTCCTTCTTGAAAATGCTCGACGCTGTGCTACAGCCGTGCAGCGGTTCGCTAATACCATCCTTGCGCTTATGCGAGGCCGCACAACTGGCGAATCTGCAAAGGAAATATGCCGTATATGTGGACCATCCGCTGAGTTCGGGAGGTTCCTCATAGATGCACCGACACTGGTGATGACTAGTGATGACATAGACATGCCAGCCACTGCGCACTTGTTCAGCGAAAGCTTAGCGAAACTGATTGCAGAACATGGAGTTACGCTTAGCAAGAGTGCAATACGCAGAATATGCGATCTCACTCTGTCGCTTCCATCCTCGAAACACCACGTTTTCTTGCTGAGCTTTGTCGTCGATCGGGTCGGTCCGTTGGACGAGCTCGCTTCAAAACTAACTCAGAGCGACGTTTTCCTCAAAAGTTTGATGCACGCACTCGAATGGGATCCGGAAAACTGGAGGCGTTTTGCGGAACTATTGGAGAAGCACGATGCTATGAACCACCGCGTATGCGCTGTCCTTGCATTCTCTCATTCCCGAGACTACCTCCGTCAAATGTGGCATTCGCTCATGATTTCTTCATCGGGGGCCTTGCTTCGACTCTTCTGTGAGTCCTTCCGCGTATCAACCTTAGTGATGGACGACGATGACTTTTACTCTGCGACCAATCTGTCCTTTGTTCTGGAGATAATCAATGAGTTGAAAGAACAGCTGTTTTGGAGACTCTACACAACAAGCACAGGTGCCCGCCCGACTGGCCGGAACAAATGGGACTTGGCCGCGGCTGACGTTCTACAGGCGTCTAGTCGCTTGTTGCTAGCGCTATGGGCAAGGGATGCAAGGCGACCCTTTACAGTACAACGTGAGTCGCTCTGGGAAGTTCAGGCTGCACGCAAGGCACCGGAGCTGTTCGTGCGTGAATCTGTTCGGAAAAATAGCGGTATGCCGCTGCTGCGAATGGCTCCCTTCTCCATCTCTTTTGAGACGCGCGTGCGCATCTTCCACGGATGCATAGCACAGGAAAAGGCGCGAGCCGGCGGAGGTCAGTCTTTCTTCGGTATGAATGGGATTTGGATCACTATACGGCGTAACTTTATCGTCGAGGATGCTTTTGCGCAACTGAACTCTCTGGGATCCAGACTTCGTGAGAATATTCGAGTTAAATTCGTGGACGAGTACGGCCTTGAGGAGGCCGGTGTTGATGGAGGTGGTGTCTTCAAAGAGTTCATGCATCAACTGATTCGATTCGCATTCTCGCCGACCCATTATGGTCTATTTAAGGCAACAGATGGTGGGGAGCTTTTCCCTAATCCGGCCTCGAGTGTCATCGCACCGTCGAATCATTTGGAACAGTTTTCTTTTCTTGGGCGTATTCTGGGCAAGGCGCTCTACGATGCGATCTTGGTAGATCTCCCGATAGCATCATTCTTCTTACGCAAACTGTTGGGTATAAGTAATGATCTTAACGATTTGCGTTCTCTGGATCCGGAGCTGCATCGAAATCTGAAATTTCTTCGGCATGCTGATCCTAACTCGTTTGGAGACCTTTGTCTGACATTTACTGTTGTCGACAATGAATTCGGGGAAGCAGTTGAGAAGGAGCTGATTCCTGGAGGGAGTTCCATTCCAGTGACTTGGGACAATCGGCTGGAGTACATGCATCGCGTAGCTGACTATAGGCTGAATCGGCAGATCAAAGCACAGACGACAGCCTTTATGAGCGGTTTCTTCGATGTCATCGAGAGAGAATGGATTCAGATGTTCAATGAATGGGAGCTTCGTGAGTTGATCTCAGGCGATTGCTCTGGCAAGATTGACATTGACAACTTGCGCAGCAACGTAACATACTCAGGTGGATACTCCGAGAACTCGGGAACGGTTGAACTGTTTTGGCAAGTTGTGCAAGAAGATCTATCGGACTCAGAGCGAGCAGCCCTTCTCCAATTCGTGACAAGCTCGCCAAGAGCACCCCTGCTCGGGTTTCAGTATCTGAACCCCCCGTTTTGCATTCAAAAAGCTGGTGACGACGCATCACGGTATCCCACGGCCTCCACGTGCATGAATCTGCTCAAACTCCCCCCATATTCGACTCGAGAGGCCATGCGGGAGAAGCTGAAGTATGCTATTACCCAAAATTTCGGATTCGACCTCTCGTAGTAGGGAAAGATCTCCCTTTCGGCCGATGCAATCGGTGTAGTCTTCGTGTGTGCATGTGTCACTGCACAAGGCGGAAGCAGGTTGCGCTTCCGAAGCCCCTCCTCATTCAAGGACTAATCCAATGTGAAAAGACGGCCCCTCGCGTGGAAGTTACGGCTGTTGAAAGATTATCCTGTTCCTTTGAGACTTCTGCGCTTTCATTTGTGAAGCGCTTCCGAGCGGCTGTTCATCCGCGGCCAGAAACTGCGTATCTGAAGCTGTATGCGACTGACTGAAATCCATTGATGAAACAGTCCTGTAAATTGTACACCATGCACGCTACAACATCAGAATATTCAAATAGTGTAGCTATGCTGGACTCCTCTTGGACACCGCTATCTATACCTGCGTGGGAATAACATGGAACGGGTACGCGAACGTAGCACGGGCTGCGTACATGTATCGGGGCCTCTTTCCGAAGTAATCCAACCTCATACTTTGCTGGCTTTCTTAGCAAACGCTTCCTATTCTACTGCCCCCGTTCTCCGGCTTTAAAACATGGAGTTCTATTCTGTCCCCTCAGCTCCGTTTCAGCAGTCAAAGGTTGAACATGGTCGCATCAACGTCCTGGTTTCGCTGCTTCTCGTTGCGTTCCCCGCATTTCAAGCACAAGCGGGTGTCCTTACTTAACTCTCACGCTCTATCTTCGTTCTCTTTGCATACAGCCTCGCCGTGCCCCTCCCGGTGGTGAGACTTTTTTATGGTTAGGTGTTCTCCAACTCGCACCGCACTTCCCCATCAGAGCGCCGCACTATTCGCGCAAACACTTTCTTCTTCGCATGGTACACGTCTTTGACAAGTATATAATGCTACCCTTGAAGTCCTTCTCCGTTTTCCCTCCCAGTATCTTGAACTACGACTATGGGTCCTCTGCTGATCAATCCCCACGACGTGAGCATCGTCCGCTGTGCACGAAACCGCATGCTGTTCCATTCGCTGGAGGATGAAAGAACAGAAACTAACCACTAGCTAGCAACTCGATAACAGTTTCTTTCGACCTTGATAGTAATCATTCAAAAGCGGGAAGTTTACGTATCTTCAAAAGTTTACCTTCTAGGCGGAAGGTCCGCTAGCCGGACGAGTCTGCCGGGCTAGTGCTTCATGTTTCCTCCAGTGGCAGGTGCTGTGGCGAGACCTGTGCAACTCGTCCGCACCGCAATTCATTCTGGGACTAGGAGAAGGATTCTGCGCCTGGGCGTCGCCCTGGTCGCAGTGGACGCCTAGTATATCGCTTCGCGCTATCGCAGGCTCCCAGGATGATTAAGTACTCCGACTCCGTGTCCGATGAACCACGCCTCAAGCCGACGCCCTCACTGGTATGCCAAAGCCGTTCTGTCTACGTGTAGCATCTGCTTCAGTGGCATAAGCGTTATGGCGTGTGCTCAAAACAGGCACTCGTGCACTATATAACATTCGAAACGACCAGTATATCATAGAAGAATTATGAGTAATGGAACTTAACTGTGGGTGCTTTATGATGGACGCTTTCCCGAAAGCCATTATCCATTCCGAATTCTGGGATCCATGGTCAATGTAATCGTTTTGTTATCTGAAAAAAATTCGATGGGAGATTTTGCGTAACACATTGTTGCGCATGGTGAAACGAGTACCGAATTGCAAACCCGAATGGAGGACATTTTTTGAGATACACCAGGTCATCGAAGCTCCCGGACTGCAAAGCGATGATGCACTCTTCACTGGAAACGAATCTATGCAATGAGTGAAGTCAAGGTCCGAAACGCTTCCAAGCAATCTGAAGAGATGGGAGCCCTTGGAGTTATACCCGTAAGAGGTATCATGCTGCTGCATTCGAGCGGTATTTCGTCAATGGCTGGACAGAGAGGATGATTCATCTCTCGAATAGAAAATATTGCTTCATATGTACGTTCAGTAAACTTTTGGCTTGAGCATGTGAAAATGCTGTCAAACGACAACGTTGATAGATTTCGCATTGAATCCAGATAGACGTACCGTTGAGCCAACAAGTTGGCTTGGAATAGAAAGATCGGAAAACTGAAGTATGCGAGATAACAACATCGTACATGTAAGGAAAGGTGAAGAGTGGAGGCATGTACTTACGATTTAAGCAATGGTATCGGTTAGTTTACGTACCATTGTTAGAGGGCGTCGCGAATCATCTCGAAGACATCTACGTAACGAATACCAGCGTTAAAGGATTGTGGTAGTTGCTCTCTAAAGATGAGAGAACATTCCTAAAAGAGGTTTGAATCCGTAAGCCCTAATTGCTGCATTTCGAATGTCGAATTCGAGCGTTTATAAAAGTTCGTACAATCTCGAATTGCTCGAACATTACGAGCAACTCGGTGCTCCGTTTCACTACGACACGGGTGTAGAATTTTTTTGCGGAAATAACTTACCCGATCTTCGCCTTTCTCCAGTTAGCTACTTGATAGCCCCAGTGATGCACCCCCTTAGCGAAACTTTGGTTGATAAACAACAGCTGTAAGCTCGCTAGGGTCTCGAGTTACCACTACACCGCTGAGCCGCAGCCTACAGGGGTGGTTTCCACCCACAACTCTCTGATCCAGGAAGAATGATAATGAACTCGAGCACAATTCATCTGGCGCGCCGGGATGGCTTCAGCACAAATGGTTTAGTCAAAAGGCGCTATCAGGACGATCAAGATGCATCAAGCTGCCCTCCTTGCATCGAACACTTATTTGTGCTGGTCTCGTTTGCTCAGGGGTTTCACGGTTCTATGAAGAAACAGAGCGCTGACTGGAGCATCTGTTCATGAAAGCAAACAACCAGATGGATCTTTGACGCATGATTCAGCTCTTACTCACCACGCACTTACCTGTAGCTTCCCAAGCCGGTAACGAGAAACTCTTGAACCTTTCTCTCGAAATGTATCTATTCTCTCGATAGCGCTCCGCCCTAAAGTGCAGTGCTTCAAAGAAACTGGGCTATGCCTAGCATTCCGAAACAAATGCTTCCCAACCGGCGATGCGGATCAATTCTGGACGAGCGTATCTTGCCAAGTCTTTGTTTTTGACGCGGTTTATAGGGATTCGACTCAGGCGTTAATGATCGCATGTACAGGAACATTGCTTACAGTACTGTAGCCGGTGCAAAGCACCCGATTTCTGAAGGTGGATTCCTGTGTGCACTGCACATTTAGCTCTTCCTAGGCGTTCCGCTCGTTAGACGATTGACAAGCGCTACAGCTGCCGCATCTGTTTGATTGCGTCTGCGGCGACACCAGCGACAGCAGCATCTGTTGCTCGTGGGATGTAGTGATAGGTGCCTCCCGCTGCTTGTGCCAGTTCCTTTGCGAGACCCGTGCTCACAAATTTGTTCTCGCTATCAATGACCAGAATGCTGAAACCGTTAATACCGCGTATCTTCTTCGCCAAGTCCAGTACTTCATTCTTCAGTTCCTCTTTTGTGGGTTTCTGTTCAAGCTTTTCGCCCAAAGAAACTTTCAAGGGAATGTTTGCCCGACCGTCGGAAACGAGCACTAGCACACAACGTCCGATATCTCCACTTTTCATCGCGTTAACGCCTACGCGAGCCGCGACAGTCAGCGCGTGTGCCAACGGTGAGCCTCCGCCACATGGCATGGTCTCCAGACGTCGTTTTGCCATGCTAACCGAGCGCGTCGGTGGTAGCAGCACGCTTGCACACTCCCCTCCAAAGGTTATCAAGGCGATTTGATCCCTGGACTGGTACGCCTCTGCGAGCAGTCGAATCGCTGCTCCTTTGGCGGAGCTCATTCGATTTAAGGCCATGGACCCCGAAGCATCCACCACGAAAAGGACCAAAGCTCCCGCTTTCCTGGCCATACGCTTGGCTCGAAGATCTGGAGGCTCAATGAAGACCCTTCTTCCATTTTCCTGAGCATGGCGTGCGCGCCTCATTCTTTGGTAGGGGGCCGCAGAGCGTATGGTAGCATCGATAGCCACACGCTTCACTTTCCCGCGCGGAAACATCGCCTTGACGTAGCGCCCTCGCTCGTCGGAAAATATGATACCTCGACCGCCGCTGCGGCCCTGCTTCTGCTGCCCCTGTGCAATATTCAACAGCTCCGGATCGATGGGGACGCCTTCGGGATCAAACATGAACTCTTCGGGTACCTGCGGAGCCTCTTCGATCTCATTCTCATCCTCCTCTTCTTGTTCTTGCTCCGATTCATCTTCCTTCTCTTCACCATCCTGCTCATTTGATGGCGGTGGGGGTGGTGGAGGCGGGCGCTTCTGGGATACATTTTCCTCATCATTGTTGTCGCGATAGAAGACCTTTGCTCGGGGGAATATGGCTAGGCGAACTGCGATACGAAGGTCTTGTTCATTGACACGGAGGCGTCCTTCGAAGGCAGCATTCGCACGAGCCAGTTCGGCGGCGAAGATTTCGGCCCGATGGCCCTGGACGGCACCTCGAATGGACTCTTCACATAGATATTCTACCTGCTTACGAGCGATGACCACGTCGCGATACTCTTCCCGTGCGAATATAATGCGCTGTCGGAGCTCATCCATCTCCTGTTCGTACTTGCGTACAAATTCACGAGGGTTACGGTAAAACTCGGTAACGGCATCTACAGCCCGTATGCGTTCCTCGATAGAGAGCGGTGGAGAATCTGCGTTCACAATAGCTGCCATGCGATCTGCCAAGTGTGGACGGATAGGGCCTTCATCTGGGTTAAAAGTTGCTATCAGAAGAGGTTCACAGGGATAGCCGAGAGAGATGCCTTCTCTTTCCACCAGCACGCGACCTTCAGATACAACCGAAAGCAGCAGGTTAGCAATGCTCTCATCCAGCAGATTGATGTCATCAACATAGAGGATACCTCGGTGGGCCCTAGCTAGGACACCAGGTTGGAAAACAGATTCCCCCAGTTTCATAGAGCGCTCTATGTCGATGGACCCCACCAGTCGATCCTCCGTTGCATTTAGGGGCACTTGTACAAATGGTGCTGGAATGATTGCTCTTTTGCTTTCAGGCAAGTCTCCACGGGGCACCTCATTGTACGGTGATCCCAAGACAACCTCTATCGGAGGAAGCAGCGCTTGCACTGCTCTGGCCAGCACTGACTTGGCAGTGCCCCGTCCACCGGATATCAGGACACCTCCAACCTTTGGGTTCACAGCCGCAAGCAGCAAGGCCAGCTTAACTAAGTCATGGCCGACGACGGCCACAAGGGGAAAAGTCTCCCGTATGGAATCCCGAGGGGTTGCATCTCCGTCTTCAGGGGTTGATATTGTGTTCAACGTCACAGGGACTGTGTCCAGGCAGCGCAGCCTTGCTAACGCTCCCGGCCGTAGTCGGAAAACACGGCTGCCGAACGCTTTCTGCAAAGTTTGTCTTTGAGGAACAGTTTTGCAATTTCGCACGTTTACAGTCCACAGAAAAGTGGATGGTACGAAACAGTGCGACATTTCGGTGTGGAGCCTCGGAAGTTCAACCGTTGTTCGGAAGCGTGTGCGGCGGATGCAGCGCACTCCCGGTGCCGCCCTTGAGACTGCAGTTCCTATGGAGAAGCGGGAGGCGTTCTTGGCAGCTTATGCAAAGATACGGGAAGAGATTCTTTCTGATCTCAGTTCAGGGGACTTTCAGCTCCCGGATAACATCCTTGAAAGAGTGAAGTTTTGCTTGGACTACAATGTTCCGCACGGTAAGCTGAACCGAGGTCTCGCGGTTCTGGAAGCGTATCGAGCAGCACGCCGCTGCGAGACCTTCGAAGCGCTCTCGGAACAGGAGCGTCAGGATGCGTTGCTACTTGGCTGGTGCGTCGAGTGGCTCCAAGCTTTTTTTCTGGTCGCTGATGACGTTATGGACGGGAGCAAGACCCGCCGCGGCCGTCCGTGCTACTATTTGTTGGACCATATTGGTTTAAGTTCCGTGAACGACTGCCTGCTGATAGAGGCACAAATCTATCGTCTGCTCCGCAGGAGGTTTCGGGCCCGTGAAAGTGATCCCGAACTTTATCTGGACCTTGTTGAACTCTTTCTCGATACGACATACAGCACAGAAGTCGGACAGATGTTAGACCTCGAATCGAGCACCGGATCCGACGCTATGCTCGAAAAGTTTACTGAGCAGAACCTTCTCCGAATCTATCGCTTCAAGACCGCAATTTACAGTTTTTATCTTCCCGTGGCACTTGGAATGCGTCTGGCGGGCATCCGGAACTCGTTGTATTACCAGCAAGCGAAGGAAATCCTGCTCGAGATGGGTGCTTACTTTCAGGCACAGGATGATTTTCTGGACTGCTTTGGGGATCCTGTGGTGACAGGAAAGGTTGGAACAGACATTGAAGAAAGAAAGTGTACTTGGCTGATCGTCGAAGCACTAAAGTGCTGCTCTCCTGCCCAGCGGGAAATGCTGCGCTGTTCGTATGGCAAACAGGATTCCGATAGCGTGGCTCGCATCAAGGCGCTCTACCGCGAGCTTGGTTTACCGCAACGATTTCAAACCTATGATCAGGAAAGTTATGCCCGAATTCAACGCAAACTTGAAGCCCTGGATGCGGACTTCCCGGTGGAGGCCCTCAGATTTCTGTTGCAGAGCATCTACAAGAGATCGAAATGATAGTCTTTATTTAGCTAGCCCTTAAAACAGTATGGAGGATATCCTTGAGGAGAGCATCTAAGGAGCTATAGACACCGTTTCTAGGATATTTCTTCTTCGTTTGCATGAAAAATCGGCTCAGAACTAAACACCTCAGTTTCTCGTAGCTCAGGTGCACACAATTTTCTGTTAACAGGAGCAACTGGTACCTTTGTGTTCGCATTTTTTTCCTGAATCGAATTTTATATTAACACAGAGTGCAACGATTTTCAAAGATTTTGGAGGCTCTTTCAGTGGAATGAAACCCTAGCGAAATCGGCATCATCGCACTTTCCTCGCACCTTATCTGTCCTCAGGAGATCAGATTTGATCTGCTATACAGCCGAATAGAGTTCGCCGGTGTCCTGCCCGCGTGCGTGCTTTCGAAAGTATCTCGGAAAATGGCTCGTTCAAGAAAAAGAGCATTACCTGACCTGCGTTTATTGCACGAGACAACGACACCAGCATCAATATCAGCAGCACCGCCAGCTCCCTGCCGGAGGTCTATTGGACGCCAGCGCTGCCTTTCCAAAGCACAGCGTCGAATATTCCATTAGGTTTTACAGGCATCCGACGGCTTGAGCAGGCCAAGTGCGCAGTCAAGGAGTACGCCACTGAGACAGCAGGCCTTCCATGCACCAGAGTGATATGATGATAGGTTCGCGGGGAGCGAGCGTCGCCATCCCATCTCTTCGGGACAGCTTGGTCTCTCTGAAGCATACGTAGTCGCTCGTGGACGTCTGGATTCATTAGGGCCAGCGCGAGGTGCCCTTTGGAAGGGCCAGTTACCACACGGGTGCGATAACGCACAGGCCGGTAACACAGCCCAGAGACAACAGCGGGCGCGCCGCAGTTTTCTGGTGACTACTGCGCCTCGCTGCTGTAAAGCGTCTGTTGCAACACGGCATTCTGCCTCTGCTCAAAACTGTACAAAGCATATCCTGTGTCGCTTCGGCGCAGCATCTCTCCCAACATGGCGTCCTAGCTGAGCTGGGCGCCGGCGCCAACCCAAGCTGCAGCATATATACCACCGCGGCTGCGCCTGAGGAGCACTCGCATACATGACGTCTCGAAATACCGTCAGCGCACCCTCAGTCGAGCATAGGAGCCCTAGAACTCACATAGCGCACGCGAAAGTTCCCCGAAACGAAACCGCTCCAACTCCGATTTATAGAGACAGACCATGTATGCGGCGGGAATCGATGTACCTGGTAAACGTTCGCACAGTCTTCGTCGTGCTGACCGTTCTCGGCTGAAGACTCTCGTATGAAAAGCCCGTTATTTTATCTGTGCCCACGGTTCATCACAGAATCTCAACTCAATGCTGCAAAGTAGTTGGGGAGCCCGACGGCGACAGGTCTCACAATCCAACTTTGAACCACAAACTCGTCTTGTAGCATCAAATGAAGAGGCGCTTGAGCTCACTTCGAATTGAAAGAACTTGTCTGGATGATGCCAACAGCTGAGCAGTATATAGCGAAATCATTTAAGTGAAGCGTGAATTCACTTAGTAGAGGATGCAACCTGATCGATAGCTTCCTTTTAGAGTGTACAAGTTCTGTTCGCTTTCCGTACGCTAATCGATCTTGAATTTTTGCTGTGCATCACTGTGGAAGCGAGCTGCTGTTCTCTTGTTCTCTAACAGCCTTGGTGCGAATTTGTGTGATTGGGATTTCTCGGACCCATTCGATAACAGTCTGTACAACGACTGTGATCCATCCTCTCCATCCAGCCGTTCTACATGTTACCGAAAGTTTCGGAGAGCTGCTTCAACTCATAGTTCTCATCCGAAGAGCTTACCGGCGAACGAATTGGGCACTGCAGGATTATTTCAATAGTTGGTCCAGATCTTACTGTCTGCCTCACATTAGAGCAGTTCTGTTATATATATCTCCAGAGGTTATTGTCGCAACCAGCATTGCTGGCTCATGGGTGTTCGGGCCGGAAACAATGCCGCCCAGATGCTCGAGGAGCAGCTGTGATCCCAGCCGCGGCGCCGTATGCCATTGGCAGAGAGCGTACCAACGTGCCAACTGACTAAACTTTACAGTCGTTGCGGCGGTCCATACTGAAAACACCTTCGTTTGCTGCGTTTCAAGCCTCATGGACAGCTGTGGGGCTGCGTCCGTCCGGCTGCTGCGGCTCAGCCTGCAGCGTAATGGTAGCGCAGTGCGGTACATGAGCTCTCCAACGAACTTAAGCGAGAAAGCTCGACTTGTTTCGCCTGTGTTGCGAGCCGAGGGCACTGGAGGACGCTCCTCGGTCTCCGGGATTATTGCTACTGTTTTTGGTTCAACGGGCTTTCTGGGACGGTACGTTGTTAGTCAGTTGGGGCGCATTGGGAGCACAGTTTTTGTTGCCTGGAGAGGTGACGAACTGGACAATCGACATCTGAAGGTTATGGGCGATCTAGGTCAGATCAATCCTATTCAGATTGAAGCTCGGGACATCAATTCCCTGCGTCGATCAATTGCGGGCTCGAACGTCGTAATCAACCTTATCGGAAAATGGTACGATACGAGGTACTACTCCCTCGAGGACGTGAATATTGGTGTTGCGGAGACTATCGCGCGTCTTGCAAGCCTCGAACAGGTAGAGCACTTTATCCATGTGTCCGCTCTACCTGCTTACAGTAAGGCGAACTCGGAGTATCCAGAAGATCGCTGGTCTCGCTCTAAGATCGAGGGCGAACGGCTTGTTCGACAAGCTTTCCCGCGAGCGACGATTTTCCGCCCAGCAGATATTTGGGGCATGGAAGATCGCTTTCTTGCGAGGATAGCTACTTCGCTCAGTAGGCTAGGGTTTGTTCCCGTCGTCCAAGGCGGAAAAAGCCGGACTCAACCAGTTTGGGTAGACGATGTCGCCCGAGCAATTGTATCGAGTGTGCGCAATCCCGAGTCCACTGCGGGGAAGACGTACGAACTATTCGGTCCCCGGGTGCTTACCCGCCGTGAAGTAGTAGAATTTGTCGCAGACTCTACGAAAAGGGAGCTTAATCTTTTGAACTTACCCCTCCCTATTGCCAAAGTCGTCATGCGCCTCACGGGAATGCGGCTACCTTTGGTGAACCCTTCACCGCTTTTTACGGAGAGCGATGCCGTCAGAGAGGCGTCTGATGTGATAGCCAGCTCCATATTATCATCAGGGGAGGAGCGTGAAGCACTGGGCACATTTGATGACCTGGACATCATACCGCACGATCTTTTGAGCGACCTCGGTCGTAACACGCTGCGCCAATATCGCAAGGGTGGAGATCGGAGTTCGCTTTTTTACGTTGATTAGACGAGACTGGCGGGCCTCTGCATGGAGTTCCACTCTCGGCGTTCTCCCGTCTTGAGTTTGAGAGGTTTGTGTGCCGCTTCTCAACCGCTGGCCTCACAGGCTGGGATTCAGGTGCTCACAGCAGGCGGGACCGCGGTAGACGCGGCTGTGGCCGTTGCGGCGACGCTCGCCGTGACGGAGCCGTGCTCCACAGGCATAGGCGGCGATGCCCTGCTTTTGTATTTTGACGCTAAAGAGAAGAAAGTGTCCGCACTGTTAGGTTGTGGACGCTCGCCAGCAGCCTTAACACTGGAAGCCGTGCAGAGAGCAGGTCTGAAGGAGCTTGCCCCAGCGTCACCACTAACTGTCACCGTACCCGGTGCACCGGCTTTATGGTGTGACGCGATTGATCGCTTCAGTAGCGGATCTGTTCCGATAAGGTCAGTTCTTGACCCGGCTATACAGCTTGCAGAGTTCGGTTTCCCAGTGTCCCCGCTGACAGCGCTGCAGTGGCGGAGCAGCGTGGACTTGCTGAAAAGGTCCCCGGGCGGGTCTGCGCTGCTCGTGGAACGCTGCAGAGCACCGCGAGCCGGTGAAGTTTTCCGAAACCCCGGTTTAGGCCGAGCGTTGCGACTTATCGCGGAACGTGGTAAAGCGGGCTTTTACGAAGGTCCAGTAGCAGATGCGATCGTTTCGAGTTTAGCTTCGGTGCCCATGCTCCATGAGGATTTGCGTTCGCATCGCACGGAAGAGGCAGAGCCGCTTCAGGCGGAATACCGGGGTGTTCGGATCTACGAGATGCCGCCACCAACGCAAGGCCTCGCAACATTGATAGCACTTAAGATTTTGGATGGCATTGATCTCGAGAGCCTTCACACGGCCGGGCAAGACGCTGCCTTGTTGGATGCGCTGATACGGGCGATGCGCGTCGGGTTCCTAGTGGCCGACACCTACATAGCGGATCGATCACACGCACCGGACTCGTGTCGTTGTTGCGGTCAAGTAGACTGTGGAGCAGTGTGCAGACTTTTTACCGACGATTCCATGAGAACCTGGCGACGTATATTCCGCGAAGGTCGTGCCCAACTCAGCCAACAATCGTCATCCGCTGCCGGATTCGCTGGATCCGATACTGTCCAATTCTGTGTTGTGGATGAACAAGGAAACGCATGTTCCTTCGTTAACTCAACTTGCAAGGGATTCGGTACCGGCATTGTTCCGGAAGGTTTTGGTTTCTCGCTCCAAAATCGCGGTCTCGGTTTCAGTCTTGATTCACGGAGCCCGAACGTTCTGGGGCCATGCCGTCGTCCATATCACACGCTCATGCCAGGAATGGCAGTGCATGCCTCGTCTGGATGCCTGTTCTCAGCTTTCGGGGTCATGGGGGGTATGATGCAACCGCAAGGTCATCTTCAGGTCATCGTGAATATGATGGATCGCAAAATGGATGCGCAAGCTGCCCTCGATGCGCCTCGTTTTTTCATCGAGTCCCGAAACTTCCGGCCGGAGAACATTGCGCACGCTCCCCTTCTGCTGGAGCAGGGCATATTGCCGCATGTGGCTTCTGAATTGCAGCATTTGGGGCATCCTATCAAAATGAGTGATGTTCGAGGACCTGCTCGGATGGCTTTTGGCCGCGGCCAGGTCATAATGCGGGATGCAGATGCAGGCGTCTTTTGGGGAGGCAGCGATCCCCGCGCAGATGGCTGTGCTATAGCTCAAGTTTGAGACTGCATGCAAGTTGAATGGCGGTAGCGTCTATTGGTTTGTTTCGCGGATATCGCGATAGCTGATTGATTGCGGAGATGGTTGGCATTGAGTCGTATGTAAGCCAAGCTTGTATCTCTTTTCTGAATTGCAGATTTTGGGGAGTGAATAGCAAAGTACATCACAGATCGCTCGCAAGCTGTTCGCGGACGGATTTCGTTTGGAAAATTTTCTCCAAGCGAGGATCAATTTACCTATGAGCTGCTCTCGAACGCAGCAACGAAGCCTGTATCAATGAGAGAAACCTCGGTTCTCGAAAAGACGCTATGGTTTATCGTCAACCGCAAACCAGCATTCCCTTCTGAAAAAGAGACTGCACCGACCCAGCGACGTATGTGATATCGCATGGAGACCCGAATGGTCTTTTTCTTCTTTTAATGGCGTCTGTTCGAGGCCACAGTTCATATGGTACGGGCCCGAACTACGGACGTAGAACTCTTCGTCCGTCTTGGTCTAGCAGGCCGTGCAAGCTGGCGAAAGCTGCTCCAAAGTACATTCTGGAGGAGCGGGGCGACGATCGCGAAAGCCCAAAGGCAGGCTCCCTCGTCTTTGTATGAGGAGCATATGACAGTCGATCTGCGGAGACTTCGCAGCCAAAACCCGATATTGCTTCGGTAAAAAGGACACTGGCTGGACGGCTGCGTCCAGTCCGCATGACGTTCCACCAGGAGATTCACGCTCAAGATTGGTGCCAGCCAGCAGTTGCTGCGGCTCGGGCGAGACAGCAGCGAGTGCCAGAGTTGCATATAGCAATAAAAGCATGGTTTGTATATTGAGGCATGACGGTGCGTTGCTATGCTCTCTCGAGCGTGGCTTACCATGTGCACCTCTAGCAAGCTCCGTTTTCTTTCACTGCAAAGCGACTGGATGTATGTCACGTTTCCGCGATCTGCACACCGACGTTTGTGGGAGCGCTCCGACAATTTTGGATAACGGCATGCTTCATCAGAGCGTCTCTGAAATAAAATGCAGTTCGTTAAGTGTTGTATTCGAGTGGGAAACCTTTCTAAATCCCACTCCGATACGCTGCTGGTAGATATCCGGCTTCCATCGGAAGTCTGGCGGAGTGCCAAGAACCTCCACGACAGGACGCTGTCGCCTTTTCTTGCGTAGTCTGAGGAGACGCGGAAACGATTGGATCGCATACGGGGTCCAAACGAACTTTGAGTTAGTGAGTGAGAAGCGAACGATATTCATGCGCCTTGTGCAGAGTAAATAAGTTTGATACGGTGTGCTTCATTGACGTGCCTGGAACGCATTCATCGCTATCGACTCAATTCTGTTCTACCCCTAGGTAAATGTAATCAAATGCTTTTTCACGGTTTATCGCAGATATGTTCGAAATATGTTCATTTGAAGAAATAAATAATCTAAGAAATGATATGGAGATGCAAGTCGCGGATCCCGGGGACCTGGAGCCGCCGAGTTCGACAAGAAACGGAAAACAGTGCCGAGACCAGAGCAGCAAGTGAAGAGTAAGAAGCAGAAACTGGAGGCCGGACGCCAAAAGCTACACGAAAGGCGACGCAAGGATGAGATCGTTGCGAAAGCCAGTCTTCTTGGACATAAAAAGGGTCCGCAGAAGCTACAGATGCAAGTGTTCATCAGAAACCGTGTCGAGTCGTGCTCCAGTAGTGTTCCTTACGCTTCTTTAAAACTGATGCATATTGTGAGAGAGACATACCACTAAGTCAAGGACATCAACACAGCGAGACTTCGGAGGATTTTACAGGGTGAGCTTCATTCGCCACCTGATGCTTGGTACAGGGAAATGCCGAGGAAAACTCTCGAGTGCTCGTCCTGCATGAAAATCGCCCCTTTTGAATGCTTGAATGGCGTTCAACATAGGGTGACTCGCGCATTTGCTTCTACGGGGCGACCAAGAACCTCACGGACCCGAAGAACCACATGATCATGGACTTCGAACGATTTCTGAAGGAGCAGGAATGGAGGTTCTGTAATCCGTGAGGATATTCAAGAGCACCATGCCATTTGGGGACTTGTCAATCCAGCAAAAAAGTATCAGACATGAAAAAAGATGAGAGGAAGATATTTTTCCCCCTTCATGCGCTATTTCGTGTTCCTGCATCGAGAAATGGAACGCAAGTCCGATATGGAGCAGGGTGTGGAAGCAAATGCAGTGTCGTAGAATGGGAGGCTGCGCTTCAAGGGAACTGTTTCAACGTCGTTCCGGTGTGCAACATCAAGTGGCATTTTGTAACAATCGACTCCAGAGTCCTTTACAGCATCATGAAATGATCAGTCGGGAGTTCGATGACAGCAAGAACGAGTTTACGGGCGAAAACCGGATATTTCATTGAAAGAATATCTTCGGTTTGAAACGTCTCAAAACGAGCGAGCAAAAAATATTCACGGGGATGATCGAAACCGATGGAATATCCATGTGTGTACACTACAAGCGCTTGAGGGCGTATCGTCCTATCATGCGTTCGGAATCGCCCATGATGAAGGATGTAGAAAAGAAGGGGGAGGATCTTGGAACGCGGAAAGTGCAGGATGACGTCTTTATCGTTGGCGCAGACCCAGGGAACACGAATATCATAACCATCGCTGTATCCAAGCGTGCGGAAGATGGCATTCACGGTAACTTGCATCAGAAAGATATGCGTCTTTTGAGAATCTCGAGAGCAAGATACTATCGAGAATCGGGAATCATGAATACAAGTAAGAAATTCGAGACTTGGAATGCAGGAATGAAGTATCACCTGGAAGTTTTGAGCGAGGTGACCAGCCGCGGAGCGGACTTGAAAGCTTTTCGGGAGTTCATGGGGGTTCTCGTTGCCCGTTGCGAGGCGCTGTGGAAAGAGTATACAAAGTTTCGATGGGCCTGTCTGCGAATGAATCTATACTGCGGGAAGCAGCATGTGTTCGCGAACTTTTTCAATTAGTTAAGCGCCCTGAAGGAGGATGAAAGTCAGAGGCTCGTAGTAGCATACGGAGCAGGGCGCTGGGTGTCGAAAAAAGGGACTTCGCCAGCTCCGTCAACAACAACGTACAAGGAGTGCACAAGGCGTTTCGTTACGATACCGATAGATGAGTTCCGAACGTCCTATACGCACCATGAGCAGGGGTCTACACTTCAGAAAGTCGAGATGGAAAAGTGCCAGCGGAGCCCTGAGGATATAAAAAAGTACGGAGAGCTTATAGAAGAGCGAATGGAAAGGATGGCGAAAGTTCGAGGGCTACTCGCATTAGTGAGTAGAACCAACGGGAGGAATCGTGTGAAGTTTGTGAACCCAGACTTGAACGCCCCGATTAACATCAGTTGTGCGGTGATGGAAAGAAGACATCCAAAGTGGACACGAAAGAATTTTGTAAGAGAATTCCTCAAAGTGGAACTATCTGAGAAAAATTTGAAGTAGCAATGGGTGGCCGGTCCGAAAAGACTGGGAGGCGTCTGCACATCAGGTGTAGAGTTCTTGTCTGGGGCGGGTTTCTCGTCACTAGTGTACACTGCAGACTGCAGCGTTTGTCTTTTAAAGTGTTCGTTGCTGGCAGTGAGTGCTCTGTTTATGCATCAGCAGGACCCTGACGAGATACCGCTTTCTGAACTCCTTGGGAACTCTGGAGAATCGGTGCCGAGAGTTGTTTCAGTTGCCAGACAAGGTGGCTTCGGCGCACCGTCGATACAGGTTGCCAAGAAGTCTTCCTCAGCTGCACTTTCGGAAGATGAACTGCCTCTAGCTCTACTTATTGGTACGGAAAGAAAGAAGGAGTGCAGTAGAAGGAAGGGCAAAGTCGAACCATGTCGAAAAGCGCCGAAAAGGAAATGCGAACGAATGAAAGCCGAAAAGCACCGCAAGGCGAAAAAGTTGCAGGCAACAAGTACTAAACATAGAGCGGAAGATGAATCGATCAAGTGGTGCAGCCTCGAACATAACGGAGTCTTATTCCCTCCGGAATATGAACCGCACGGACGGCCTCTACTCTACGATGGCTGCGAAATAGCGCTCCCGCCCGAGGCCGAAGAAGTGGCCACCTTTTATGCGTCGAAGTTGGGAACTGTTTATTTAGAAAAGGAAACATTTCGGAAAAACTTTTTTGACGACTTTCGGAAGACCTTGCCCGTTGATTTACGGAAGCGCATCGTGAAACTCGAACACTGTGACTTCAGCCGTATCCGGGAGTATCTCGACGAGCTGAAAGAACGAAAACAAAGCATGCCTCCAAGCAAACGGAAAGAGTTACGAGAAGCGGAAGCGCAAAGAGTTGCGCATTACACGGTTGCAATCGTTGATGGACGCAAGGAGAAAGTGGCCAATTATCGTGTCGAGCCTCCGGGTCTCTTCCTGGGGCGCGGTGACCATCCGCTAATGGGCCGAGTCAAACGTCGCATATTCCCAGAGGATGTCACACTGAATCTTGGTCGTGACGCACCTATTCCGCCGTGTCCATTTAAAGGCCATGACTGGGGATCCATCGTGCACAACCAGAGGGTCACGTGGCTGGCTTGCTGGCGAGATCCAATCTCCGATGAGTACAAGTACGTCTGGCTGAGTGCGTCTTCGCACTTCAAGGCGATGAGCGATCAAGAAAAATTTGAGAAGGCGCAGCAGCTGAGCAAGCATATCACGAAGATACGCAATGAGTACACGAAAGGATTAGAATCTGCTGATAGGCACACGCAGCAGAGATCCGTCGCACTGTATCTTATTGATAAGCTTGCACTCCGAGTCGGGAACGAGAAAGGAGAAGACGAAGCGGACACTGTTGGTTGCTGCTCCCTGCGGGTAGAACACATAACCCTTCAAGAGCCTAATATAGTGCAGCTCGACTTTCTCGGCAAGGATTCGATGCGATACTTTAACAGAGTGCGAGTCGAAGCGCTAGTTTTTCATCGCCTGCGAGAGTTCTTGAAAGGAAAACGAGTATCAGATAATGTATTCGACGAACTGAAAGTCGAGGAACTTAATGACTATTTGAAAAGCCTAATGCCGGGCCTATCTGCGAAAGTTTTTCGCACCTACAATGCATCTTACACCCTTGATAAGCTTTTGCACAGCGTGAAAACCCCTGGACCGGATATTCATTCGCGCCTTCTGTTCTACAATGAGGCGAACAAAGATGTAGCTGTATTATGTAACCATCAGCGATCCCTTCCAAAGACTCATTCGTTAATGCTTGAAAGACTGCGCGATAAGCTAGAGGAGAGCAGAGCGTATCTTGAGGCGCTCAAAATGGCTCGAGGAAAGGCTCAGGCATCTCCAGACAGCCGCGCACAAGTAACACGCTGGCGACGGCCAGTAGTTGAGATTCCCGAGGACTGCTCCCTCGCTGAGCGAAAGCGCATTCGCGAGGAGGCCGAAAAGCGACCGAAAGAAAAACAGGTAGTGAACATGGGGCTCGCGTCTATCACACGAGGAATAGCGCAAACACAGGAAAAAATCAGGCGCCTAGAGGCTGACCTGAAAACGAGGGATTCGCTCGCTACGGTGTCGTTGAGCACCTCTAAGATCAACTATTTAGATCCGCGAATAACAGTTGCTTGGTGCAAAAGACATGAGGTTCCTATTGAGCGAATATTCCCTCGCGCGCTACAGGAAAAGTTTATGTGGAGTATGGGGGTAAGCGAGGACTTTCGTTTCCCAATCAGCAACGTCGTTTCGAACGATCCCTCAGGGGCTTCCACATAAAAACTATTTTCATCTAATCATTCTAATGCTTTACAAGCTGTGAGCCTTCAGTAGGACGCCAAGAGTTCTCAGAACGGCTCCGCACGGCGTGTTTTCTACGTTAGGTTGCCGAGCGACCCCGTAGCCGCTGCTCAGCCCTCAGAGCAGCCGTCAGCTCCAGACATGAGGTTTCTATCACGTGATCAACGTCAAAAAGATTGCACAGCGTCGCGTGTTGGCAACTCGGCTGTCTCGCATTCAGGTCCTCGTCGTATTTGCAGTTTTTTCCGTACGTTCACTAGGGCTCCTTCTTGACCATAAAAGCAGGCTGCCTGCAAGAAAAGCAGAGGGCACAAGAACAAACTCACCCAAACGAGCTGCTTTTCCAAGCAAAACTGACCAGTTTCCCATGAGAAGCGCACACTGTCAGATATACCGAGTTGTTCGGGAACAGCTGCAGGCGCGTCCCTCAAAGCGCAATACAGTTCGTAAACAACAAACACGGCGCTCGGCGTATATCCCTCGCAGAACGTGACCCGGTACTTGTACTGCACCCGATGAGAACGGACGGAAAAGTGATCACACGCGTTACCCTGCTAAAAAAACGCGGCTTTTGGCAACGTCTTGATGTGCAACCTTTTCTTGTCGCCTACGTAACACTCGGAGTTTTGTTCGCGGTAAAACAATGGAGTGCGTTCAGCACGCTTCTGTGCCTGGGAGCGGCGGTGATCCTACAGATCTTGTGCTGGTTGGCCCGCTTTTGGTCAGCGCACTTTGATCGTCGAATAGGCTATTTTGTCACGAGCGACCTAGTTCAAAGTACGCATCTCTTAGTCGAGCCGCGGGTTCATCGTGGCCGTCCAGAAATTGTAGCACTTCGAAAAGAGCATGACAAGTTTTTTTTCGAGTTTCAGTGTCGTCGTTATTACTTTGATGATGGTGAGCATAGGTTCTGCAAGCTGCGGTACCCGGATGAGTTTCCCTTGAGCTTCTATCTCCATGAGGGTGTGAAAGGCTTGAGCACAGCGGAGGTCTCTACAAAGCTCGAACAGTACGGCCAGAATAGGTTGCAAATTCCTATGCCCAGTTTCTGGGAGCTCTATAAGGAGCAGCTTACAGCACCGCTTTTCGCTTTCCAAGTTTTCTGTGTCATTCTGTGGTGTCTCGATGAAATGTGGAAGTACTCTCTCATGACGCTCGGTATGATGCTTAGTTTCGAGGCAACAGTCGTCCGATCACGACAGCGCAGCCTCCGAGAGTTGCGCGACATGCGCATCCAGCCGTACCCGTTGCTCGCATACAGGGACGCCAAATGGAAGCGGGTGCTCTCCGATAAGCTAGTACCGCTCGACCTTGTGGCCCTAGGCACAAGTCCCCAGGGTTTAGCAGTGCCTTGCGATATTCTTTTGCTGGCAGGAAAGGTTGTTGTGAACGAATCGCTGCTAACTGGAGAATCTGTTCCTCTGATGAAAGAAGCCCTTAGAATAGAGGAATCAGAAGCGGCCAGAAGTGCTGGAAGCAATGGATCGGAACTTCAACCGCGAACCAAGGACAAGATGCATGTCCTTTTCGGCGGGACAATGCTCTTGCAAACTGAAACCCCAGGAAATGACTGGGGCTCGATTCCTCCACCACCGGGCAATTACTGTGTTGGTTGCGTTCTCCGCACGGGGTTCGGATCTGCACAGGGAAAACTGTTGCGCACGATTATGTATTCCAGCCAGACAGCTTCGGCGAACAACCGAGAGAGCTTTCTCTGTATTCTTTTTCTTTTGGTATTCGCGGTAGTAGCCTCGGCGTACGTGCTTCACCACGGTCTGCGCGATCCTTCAAGATCTCGGTATGAACTGTTGTTGCACTGCGTGCTGATTATCACGTCGGTGATCCCGCCTGAGCTCCCAATGCAGCTTTCTCTCGCAGTTCAGGGCTCGCTTGCGGATCTCGCAAAGATGGGGATTTTCTGCACAGAACCGTTCCGGATCCCGTACGCCGGTATGCTCGACGTGTGCCTTTTTGATAAGACGGGAACCCTAACCGTCGACAGACTTGACTTTGCTGGACTTTTGTGTACTGGCCAGGACTCGCTGACCCCAGCGGAAAACATGCCGAAACATGCGATACTGGTTTTGGCTGCTTGTAACTCGCTGGTTTCCCTGAGCGGAGAGGTTTCCGGTGACCCCATCGAGTCAGCTGCCTTCAGGGCAATCGGTTGGACCCTCGGTGCCAACAATACAGTCTACGCGCGGGAGGGATCATGTCGGGGAACACGTATACAGATACTGCAGCGGCACGGTTTCGATGCTACCATTCAGCGGATGAGTGTAGCCGTATCCGTATCAGATGGAGAATCTACCAGGACACCGTACCTTCTCAGTCTCGTCAAGGGATCTCCCGAGTCAGTTCGTGGTTGCCTGAGGGAGGTTCCCCCTGATTATGATGCGCAGTATCGCCAACTCGCGATGGACGGTATGCGCGTGATTGCACTCGCAACGAAAGAGTTGTCGGCCGAAATGACCCATGCGGAGATACGGCGGCTCAGCAGGGGTGCGATCGAGTGCGAGCTTCAATTTGCAGGTTTTGCTGCCTTTCGGTGTCCTGCGAGACCAGATTCCCGTGGCGCAATTAAGGCCCTTCGCAAGTCAAATCATCTAGTGGCGATGATTACAGGTGACTCGCTCATGACCGCGTTGTATGTCGCGCTTGAAACTGGAATTTGCTCTCGTAGGAAGAAGAATCTTATTCTCTGCACGAGGCCGGGAGAAGCAGCAACGAGCGATTTTGTGTGGGTGAAGCCGTCACGCGCCATGCATGGGAAAATCGAAAATAGTCGGAAATTTGAGGCTGCTGAGTTGCCCAAGCTTGGCTCTGAATACAATTTGGCGATGACTGGTGACGTGCTGAACGAGTATCGGATGCGTGGCGCGAGCTTGAAGGAGCTGCTTCAATATGTCCAAGTTTTCGCCCGAATGACCCCTTCGCAAAAAGAACTCGTTATCACTAGCTTGAAGGATGCCGGAATGTACTGCCTAATGTGTGGTGATGGGACCAATGACGTGGGCGCCCTCAAGCAGGCGCACGTCGGCGTGGCGCTGCTACAATCCGTCGCCAAGCAGGATACTCTAGGATCGCCCTCTGCACAGAGTCGCCCGTCATTGGATCCGCAGCTCGGGTCCACTGCCGCAAATGCCAGTTTGCGAGCGCATGCAAGCACTTCGACAAGATCTCACAATGGGGACCACAGACGTTCTGAATCCTCGCATGGACCTAGGTCGGGCTCTCTGTTGGAACTGGATAACGAGATGCCAATTGTGCGGTTGGGAGATGCATCAATCGCCTCGCCCTTTACGTCTAAGCGAGCGAGCATTGCTAGTTGTGTGGACATAATCCGACAAGGTCGCTGCACGCTGGTGACAACGTTGCAAATGTATCAAATTCTTGCTCTGAATTGCCTGATATCTGCGTACAGCCTCAGTGTGCTTTATTTGGAGGGAGTCAAATTTGGTGATCGGCAGATGACGGTTACCGGTATTCTGATCGCAATTGCATTTTATTTTGTATCGCGCGGCAAACCGCTTGCTCGGCTGGCGCCACAGCGTCCCCCTCGCTCCATGTTTACACCAAGTCTGTTCATATCGCTTGTGGGTCAGTTCGCGATTCACCTCTTCGCGCTTGCATGCTGCACAGCGCTGTCGCAGGCATACCTTCCTCCAGACTTTGAAGTGGATCTCAAGGGGGAATTTGCGCCAAATATCCTCAATACGATCGTTTTTCTTCTGTCAACGATGCAGCAGGTCTCGGTCTTTCTGGTCAATTACAAGGGCGAACCATTCATGCAGAGCATAACGAAGAACAAGGCCCTGCTATATTCGCTTCTAGCTTGCGCTTTTCTAATGCTTGCTGCATGTCTGGAAGTGTCGCCCGAACTGAATCAGTACATGGAGCTCGCAGCGTTGCCTAGTTGGCAAGCTCGTTGGCTTGTTTTCGCTCTCCTGAGCGGCGACTTTATCGCAGCTTGGATCTGGAACATTCTTGTGCATTACCTCGCAACGCTTAGTTCTCAAAGAATTCGATGAAAAGCTCTGAGCCCTTGTATTGGCCAGTGCTTGCATCGTAGTTCCTTGCCAGCGCTAGCGCTGGACCAGGCCCAGTCGAGAGATCACTGATCATAGCAGCAGCCTCATAGACGAGTGTACTTGCATCGCGCGTCGCATAACGACGCACGCTGATGTTTGCCGGCAAGCTCAGAAAGTGTACCTCTCTAAATTCTTGTCGAGTATCTCCTGCAAGATCCCGAATCGTTTCCATAGACACGTGATCGTCTAGCGAGCAAATGCGACGACGCAGGCCGCGGGGTGAACCTAGCCGGCGTTCAAATGTAACGAAGCTCTCAACTTTGCCGCCGCAACCGATGAGCTGAACCCCCCCGTTAAACGGCTGATCATACATTTCGCGCCGAACGACAATCTCCCGACCAAACGGGTGCTTCGACTCCAGCGGAAACGCGGTGAATTCGATTTGGATGCGACGCAGCTCTTTCAAATCGCGAAATATTAAAGAGAACAAAACTTTCTCATCGTGTGCTGAGGTCGCTGATAGACGTGCTGAGAAGCATCCACATGGGAATACTGCATGCATATCCGTTCTGCTGAGATCTATAGTGATATGCTTTGCCTCTGCACTCACAGCATCTTCTTGGCAACCAACCTTCACGTCTATAAGCTGCCTTTTGCCAAAAAGCGTGGCCCCATCAATAGCCTCTGAGTAGTTTTCATCGAGACCGAACACACGAACGTGCCAGTCGCGGTACTCCTGAGGAACAAAACGCTCTGGTACTTCGAGCGGTTCTCCAGTCGTCGCATCGAAATACGCCTCAAAGCCGATAAACTCCCCGCCGGAGCGGGTAGCAAACTGTTTGAATTTCTCGTCAGGAATCGCATACTTCAAGTTCCGCAAGAGTTGCGCATGTATCGCAGGCACAAGCCGCACGCGTCTCTGGTCCCTGCGGCAAACCGCTACACCCCCCTGCCGCACAGATGCTTTGACGCGCACTGGGTTCAAGTACTGGAGCGTAAACATGGCAGCCAACGGACTATTTCCGGGGACAAGTATGGCGTGTTCTTTGAAAAACTGCCAGACCAGTCCGAAAACGGTTGCTTCAGACCGAAATTAGGAAGTGATATGTTTTCGGGAGGATTTTCCTCTCGCTCTCTCGCTAAACGAGCAGCGGCACTGTCGACTATAGTGAGGAAGCGCTGTGAGTGCAATGTTCTGGACAGATAAGAGCTTCCGAGCTTTGTAAGACGTCGCTTGAGATTCGCGCAGCGAGCACATGGCGATGTCCGTGTCAGAGGTAAATCGAACATTAGATCGCTCGCTTTGTTTATGCCATCTTATTTTTTCCGCACTTTTTCGATGTGCATCCTCGACATTGGATGTGCAGCACTAAGGACTCACGGGTTCACAAGTACTCTGAGGATTCCAGGTCATCTTTTCGAAGTGGCTCCTTCGACGCTTCCTCTCTCGAGTTCGTCACCTCACCTTTATCAATGTGAGTTGCGAAGCGCTCGGGCAAGAATTCGTAAAAGAAGCGATAGCATCCTCCAACGCATATGTAAAAACCTTCAATCTTTTCTTCTCCTCACGCGTGGTATGCTCAAATCGCAAATTGTTCAAGCATGGCTCTTTCCGTTTCAAGGCAAATCGTGGACACTGAAACGCGCCCCCTGAATAGTAGGAAGGGAAAACTGAACGTCGTTCCCTGAGGACCTGTTCAGCTGCTGATGCCGGAAGATCCCTGGAATTCAGCTGTAAGATTTATCGATTCCATGCGAAGAACAGATCTTCCATTCTCTTTGACGAAAAAGAAAAGGCATTTCACAATAGCATGGTTCCACTCATGTGATTTGGTCCACGGCGCTAGAGTATTTTTTGTTTTTAGGGTAAAGAATCATGGAAGCGGACTTCGGTCATTGGAGCTTTCGCTTCACTTCAAGAATACGTGACCATTTGACATGACCTGTGTACAGAAGGACCGAAATTTCTGAGCTTGTACTTCGGCATTGGTTTTCCTTTCGATACCCGATTCATCACGGACAACATATCATTCCAAAAAGTCCTCTCTCGAATGGATCCGCTTGCCCGTTTGCGTAGAAAGGAAGGGCTACTCACTGAGAATTTTGCCCAGAACAAATCCGCGATCCTCGTGCACAGCAACCCGCGTGGAAACAAAGGAGGGCATCCGGGGGATCATTCTGTACCAGTCATGAGATTATATCGAGCGATGAAGCGGACCGTCACGTCCGACAGGGCTGCACCCGGAAAAGGAGTTTTGTTGGACATATGGGAACACCTAACAATAGCCAAATGTTACTGCTGCGAATCGCACATCGAGGCTGAAAATACAGGAGATGAACATAGCAACCGAAACTTAGATCGCTACTTCCGTCTGTGCATGAAATGCTCTGACAGAAGCCGGGTGCAGCCAAATCGAGACTTGAACGCTGCCATCAACGTCCTTCGACTGCTTACAACAGAGGTAGAGGAACAAGGGAGACTCGCGCGTTCAAAACCGGAGGTGCGAGCTATAGAGAGTGGAGGAAGAAGCAGTCAGTGAAAAAGGTCGCAAATGCTGGTGTTGGTGCAAATGGCTCTAGACCCGAATGTTTGGACGCATGCCAGCGTTACCTTGGTAAACACGTTCCGTTTTAGGACCACACGGGTTTCAGCGCAACGTCTACCAGCACAGTGACTTCAAGCGCAAGCACCATCCAATTCGTTCGTATCTAATACTAAAAATCATGTGGACGAACAGCAGGGCAGCGCCTTCGCGGATCCATGAGAGACGCGCTAGCCGAGGTGCCACTTTGCGTCTCTGGAACGGTGCTCAGTGTCAGACACCTGGGGAATCCTCATGAATAAAGTCGGCGGCAAAGACGGACATTGTGGATTATTGCTCTAGAGGCATCTAGAAAGAGTCGCTTCGATATTCAGGGAACAGAATTTGCCGAACTAACGCACGAAGGCAACCATCTCCAGAACCGAATGCACTGAATCGCAGTTGGCCACAGCATGCTTGGTTCTCGGAACGACGCATGGAACGTGAATTTTTTGTTGTTGTTGAGTGCGCAAGGAATATGCCACTCACGTTTAGGAATGCTGTTTTGCCTCAGCGCGAGTGCGAGGTTGGTGAACAAGTCGCTTGGGGCGCGCCTTCAACGCGGTCTATTAGCGCTGGGCTTGGCAAGTCGGGCCAAGTCGTTATTGCACCGCTGGGGCACTCTTCGTTGTGCGAGCACCGGGACGTGCGTTTTCGATCGTCAGGTTAAATACCTTCAGCGCCAGTGGGCGGCTAAAGAGGCAGACTTTTCAGAATATGAATACCTACGCAGTGAAGTAGCGAAACGTCTGTGTGAAAGACTGCTAGACTTTCGCTGCTCGTTTCGGCGAGTATTGGACGTGGGAGCTGGAGCGTCATATGTTCGGCGTTCCTTGGTTGGAAACAAGATCGTTTCTGGTCTCGAGCTGCTCGTAGAGGTAGAGCTGTCATCAGCTATGTTGGAGCATGGTCTAGAGCGTCTTCCGCTGTCAGAAACACCGTTTCGCACTACACAGCTAACTGCGGATGAAGAATTATTCTTGCCGGCGCTATGGCAGGGAGGTTATCTCGAGAAAGCGCCGTTTGATCTTGCTATCTCATGCATGGCAATGCATTGGATCAATGATTTGCCAGGTATGCTCGCTCAGGTTCGTGCAGCACTGCTACCAGGAGGGGTCTTTCTGGGCGCGATGCTCGGTGGTGAAACTCTACACGAACTCCGAGTCTCCTTGCAACTTGCTGAGGACTCACTCCTCGGCGGCGTCGGGATCCATACCAGCCCCATGGTAGAATTCCAGGATACAGCCCGACTTCTCACGCGGGTTGGTTTCGAAATGATCACGATTGACGTCGACACGATGATTGTACCGTACCCAGATATGATGACATTGATAAAACATTTGCAAAAAATGGCTGAGAGCAATGCACTAGCGGGGCGGCAATCATGGCTCAGTCGCAAAGTCTTACAACAGGCATCAAAAATATATCGCGAACGATTCTCTCTCCCGAACATGCAAATAGAAAACGCTCGCGGTGACGGACAGGTTTCCGTTTCAGATCACTACAATGACTGGATCGGGGCAACTTTCCAGGTCGTCTACATGGTAGGGTGGGTTCCAACCTGAGAGGAGACCCAAATCAGGCCTAACAACGTCTGAACTGGATCAATAATCATGAGCGTCGTTGCTCTGCAGTCATTTAATTTCTACATGCGCACCTTCTCCAGCTAGACTCGAAACGTTCCCAGCTAATGGAACCAATCTGTTGCTGCATTCTCTGGGTGCCTGTTGATGTGCATACGGCCCAAAAGCGCATTTGGATGATTTTGCATTGTGATCAGATTGGCCTTCCAGACGTACAGGGTGTTGATATGCATGCGGCTCGACAGCGCTCATGGTTCATAATGCAATGATTAGATTGGCCTTGCACATACTGCAGGCATCTTTCCGATTACACAGTATGCGGTCATCTTGTGGAGAAGAGCAAGCGAAGCGCACGGGTGGCGTTACTACATGGGATCGCTCGGTCCTCGTTGAATAACCTTTTCATCTCAGAACAGCTTTCAAGATGAAAAAAGATCTTGCATCGGTGCAAGCATGAATCGTATTGTGATGCTAAGATATTTCCCCAGCGTATGCGCACAATTTTTAACGCGCAGAATGCTTTGTTTTTTAAGGAAACAGCAGACGATTGGCATGTCGACGACACGTAGAAATCGCAAATTCTTGATACTGACGAAGAGAAGCAATCGTTCTGTCCCCCGCATGTTCTTTGCGAGATGCAAAAACTGATACTCTTCGGGTGAGAACAAGGTCTGCCCGGTGAAACTCGACTACTCGGCTTCATCATCGGAGCGAATATCGCCTTTCGAGTACTTGGCGTTTCCGGGGTGCAGTACTTCACGGTACATCATCTTCAGAATGAGTGTGAACCAAAAACAGTGAAGATACAAAAGTATATTCAGGAAAAGGGCGAAACCAATCAATTGCACGATATAGAACCCCCAGTAGGCAACCCAAATTCTGTTGGCGAGCGGCTCTCTGGTAACCTCAATCCACGGCTCCGTAGATACCGACAGAATGATTCGCGGGAAGAGGAATAGCCTTGTAATATAGAATACAATGGCAAAGCACACGAAAAGCACTATATTCGAGGGCCACAAGCCAAGATAATGCACTACTTTCGCAGTGTACAGTAGAATATCGCCCGCATCATGCAGCATGAGAATGACCAAACCTAGACGCATCCAGCCCCACATATAGGACAATGTGATAAGCGATATTGTTGCCAAGTGGTGTACAACCATTTCAGTAAAATCTTTCCTCTTCGTATCGTGCGTCAGAAGAAAAATGACACTGGAGATGTAGTAGCAGAGCTCTGAAAGGTAGTAGAGTCGAAAAACTGTTGATATTGGTGGATACAGCTCCCAGAATGCGCTTATGCAGGCTCCATCAAAGAAGGATACTCTCCAGTTTTCCGAGCGATATACATACAACCCCGCGCACAGGCTGCAGATATAGAAAAGAGCGTAAAAGCAGTTCTCGGCCATCTTTGACGCTAAACGAGGAGATTTGCGACCCCTTTCACTGAACTTTGCAAAAAAAGGTTTCAGAATTAGCCTCTCGAGAACGTAGCGGCCCAGGAGCGCACATGGGAGCAGAGCAGCAACGGTGAGCCAATCCCTCCGCGGCTGGTAGTCCGGATTGTAGGGCTGCCAGGGTATTTCATTCAGAAGCTTCACTCGATCGTAACGCAGCCTATGAAGAAGCAGGTCTGCTCTCCTAAAAAACTCTTTTCTCGGGACCCGTGTCTGTTTCCCTGCCATTTCGCGCCTCGTTTCGTACGCTGCAGGCGTCCCGGAGCGTACGCCAAAAAGGCACCGTTCTGCAACTCTCTTCCCTGGGGACTTATCGTCCTGCTGTGGGAAGTGCTATTATGTGGTTACGTCTGGAAGGAGCTTCCTGAGGGCTACACTTTTTTGCTGAGGAAGAACGAAGCTCTTTTGAACATCAATTGACAGCAGCAAGGAAACTGTCAGATTATTCGTGAGACACGCCGTTTACATTGTCATGATCAGTATCTCCCGCATGAGCTTCAACACGTACAAAACATCTCTTGCTCGGATACCTGTTTCGACACTTGTACCTATTTTGAGAGCAACTGGATTTCAAACTGCTGGTAAGTATCTCGGAAAATGGCTCGTTCAAGAAAAAGAGCATTACCCGGCCTGCGTTTATTGCACGAGACAACGACACCAGCATCAATATCAGCAGCACCGCCAGCTCCCTGCCGGAGGTCTATTGGACGCCAGCGCTGCCTTTCCGAAGCACAGCGTCGAATATTCCATTAGGTTTTACAGGCATCCGACGGCTTGAGCAGGCCAAGTGCGCAGTCAAGGAGTACGCCACTGAGACAGCAGGCCTTCCATGCACCAGAGTGATATGATGATAGGTTCGCGGTGAGCGAGCGTCGCCATCCCATCTCTTCGGGACAGCTTGGTCTCTCTGGAGCATACGTAGTCACTCGTGGACGTCTGGATTCAGTAGGGCCAGCGCGAGGTGCCCTTTGGAAGGGCCAGTTACCACACGGGTGCGATAACGCACAGGCCGGTAACACAGCCCAGAGACAACAGCGGGCGCGCCGCAGTTTTCTGGTGACTACTGCGCCTCGCTGCTGTAAAGCGTCTGTTGCAACACGGCATTCTGCCTCTGCTCAAAACTGTACAAAGCATATCCTGTGTCGCTTCGGCGCAGCATCTCTCCCAACATGGCGTCCTAGCTGAGCTGGGCGCCGGCGCCAACCCAAGCTGCAGCATATATACCACCGCGGCTGCGCCTGAGGAGCACTCGCATACATGACGTCTCGAAATACCGTCAGCGTACCCTCAGTCGAGCATAGGAGCCCTAGAACTCACATAGCGCACGCGAAAGTTCCCCGAAACGAAACCGCTCCTGTTCGAAGGCCGAGCTCCAGGCACGCAGCAGAGCGATCTCGAGTGATCTCACCTGTGTACCTGTAGTCTCCAAGTGCATTGCCCACTGCGTAGCCGTCCGATCTCAGGTGCAAGCTCTCTGAGAGTTGTCGCGTTCATCTGGCCTAGCAGTGGAGCACGGCGCGCTCTCGCTAGCACTGTTTGCGTGAGGCCGGTGGCACAGTCGCTGGGCTTTGGAATGGTTGTCTAAACACAATAGCCGAAACGCGCTCGACGACGGCTCTTGCATGAAAATGTACCTGAGTGCCCGTGTACCTCTATATTTGTATGCTCCTTTCCATGTACGCTTTGGAGGCGCTCAAAGCGCAGCTCCATGAAGGCGAGGACCAATCGAGTCGCCATCTGGGATGCAAGCTCCAGCAGCGCTGCTGCACTCGAGTGATAATCTGCTGTGCTCTGCCTTATCCCAAACAGTTCATCATCTAGCACCCCGGCCAGTCCTGTTCGTGCACAAAATAACTCGTTCCAGGAAATCGAGCCGATGTGTCAGCAGACAGGGTGCTTTCAAGCACGATGCTTTGATATTGCGTTTCGTGACGCAACCGTGAAGAAGATGCTTTCCGCATGCGCAGCCACGCTGATGCCCAAGTGGAACCTCCCTCTCCCCCACACACACACTCCAGTTGCAATGCTGTCCGGCAATGTTTTGCACCAGATCAACTGTGCGACAACGCTGTTGGGCAGCTACATCTCGTGTGCTACGAGCTCCAAATGCAAAACCTCGTCTTCTGTGATAGTAGGCTTATGAAAGACTTTAAGGCGTGACCACAGCACCCTGAGGCAAAATCTGTGTGCTAAAGACTTTGCAAAACAAACGAGAGTATCCACGCGTTATTCCGGCAAAAGTCCATGAGCGAGATACGGCACCAGCAGACGAGAAACAGTCAAACAAACGAATACGAGGCTCCTCCAGCACGAAACCAGATCAGATGCGGCTCGCTTTCACGTTCCCCAATACATTATTCGCATGATGACCCAGTGTAGCCTCTATATCGTAAAGCAAAGCATCACCAGGCCCCGCGTTGTCAAAGCGAGCCTCTTCAAAGAGTGCCAAGGATCTCCGCACTTAAACTGCAACTTAGTTTGCTGTTGTGCGGCTTCTAATTATGCCAGCCTTGTTCGATAAAATGGTAACACCGTTGTAAACGCTCAGATTTTCCGTGCAGGTTTTCAACCGTCCTTCTTATATCTTCGAGGGCGAACTCTGCTTTCAAAAGTGCAAGACTTTCACGTTGAGCCCTAACGGCGTGTTTTGCCTGTTCCAGACGCAGAGTTCGGGCATGCACGCGCTCCAGTTCGCGAACTGCCCTGTCAACGTCGAGCGCGGGAAGGACTTCGGCGGCCGTAAACACACCAGCGGCCTGGCCGCTTGCGACCACTTTCCGCAACTCCTCCACACGAGATGCCGCCCACTCTTCTAAATTAGCTTTCTCACCAGGCTCGGCTGTGGACTGGTCTACGGACATATACTTGTGGCACCCGTCTAGGACGTAGCAGGCCGACAATTTTCGGTTCCGGGAAAGAATCGTAAACAGGGTACGATCGAAAACGGAATAACTATGTCGCTACATATACAACTTCGGAAACGCCTCCGCATTGCGCGCAGAGTGGATTCGTTTATGACCTTGCAACTGCATTGTGCTCCACCCCGGAGGCGATGTATTGCAGAAGGTCTTCGACGTCACTGTATAATGCGTTCTATAGATCATAGATGAGTTGCCTGTAGGGTATATATCGTTTCTGAACAGTGCAAGGTGTACTGCATTCTCTCTTCAGGTCACTCATACCACAGAACTCACATGGTTGAGAAACGCTGGAATAGGGTGCATTCGCTCCGCGGCGTAAACAGGTATTCTTAAAGCCTGTTTTCGGTCAATCGTAGAAAAGCGCCCCAACAGGCACTCTGCGGAAAACAAAAGCGACTATAGCAGCCACCACGGTCGTCTTTGTTTGTCGACATCTCGTTCGTGCGGCCCTGGAGACATTGCGACACAGTCGCAAAAAAGAGTCCTGTTTCATTCATGTCCGTCTTCCGCATAAATCGCAACGGCAGAGTTCCTGGAACGTCTCCGCCGGTATGCGGCGTAGGGGCTTCTGTTCGGTTGCTCAGCCGGCGAGACCTCCTTCGCGCGAAACAGCCGGATCGTACATGGGCATCCGCATACAGGGCGCCCTTCATATCTAACACCAAACTCAAGGAGAGTTCGGAAATCATCATCTATTCCAGCTGCAGCGGACTCATTTCGAGGTCTCCGTTTCGCTGTTGCAGAAGGCTCATACAAGAGCACCAGCCACCTCGTCGAGTCATTCAAGACACACACTCCCTGACGCCTGGCGGAATCCTTTTATATAGGACAATACGCCAATGCACTCTTTCCCGTCGCGCCCGGGCTTTGCCGATTCTATCGGGGTAGCGCTGCTTTCCATTGCTTCGTACAGTCCATGGTTGAGCCGCATCGAAGGAGTGTTTCCTTTCGTGAAACGTGATGATCGCTGCACATGGCGAATCGCTGAAGCGTGCACCGCAATGTAACGCACCGGGGCACATATCGTCGTCCATCCGCAGGTCCGTCTGTCTCCGGGCAGGTCGTCGCCTAGAGGCGCGAAGAAGTGCGTTCAATTTGAGGAAATGAAAAATTCATGGGATATGTAAGCTGGGATGTACGTTTCAGAACGTCGACTTTAAGAAGAGCCAGCAGGGCGTTTCGGCGATGGAAAAACACGAAGACCTGATAAAGAAGGAATTGGCACAGAGGGCACGAGGTCGAGGACGACTTGCACTGGTCGGTCCAAGCAGCATCAATAAAGGCTTGGGGATCGTGGAGCGAGACCTCAATGCTGCTATTGATATATGGGGCTTTGCGGTGCTGAAGAAGAGACCCGCTGAGCTGAAGCGAACCAACTTTGTGGGACAGCTTCTCCAGGCCCAAGTGAACGTGGAGAAACTGAAACCGATAAGAGGCATTTAGTCAAAAAAGGATGGGAGGCGCCTACAGGAGCATTTTAATTTACCTAAGGGTCACGAAACTTTTTTGCTCGTTTGACTCTGCACGATGGCAAACTGAATGGAACCTCATAGGAAATGCGCATTTCCTGCAACGGAGGAAACCGAGTGGCACCATACATCTCCGGAATTGACGGCAGGCTTGCGGTTCGTTTTGGATTGCTTCCAGTGCCTCTTGGGTGCATTCCATACAGTTTTGTTTGATCCAGCTTTGCAAAGCCGAAGGAATAAGACTAAAGAGTTCACAGAGCGTCGGAAGACAGCGCGCGACTCGCAGAAGTTTTCCTTCGGTGCATGGAAAACGAGTCTGTAACGAAGCAACACACCCTGACGACATTTGCTGCTCTGTACGTCTCCGTACCCATTTTGTACGAACAACGGGCTCGTTTGAGATGCCACCAAACAGAAAAGCTGGCGGTAGCGATGCACGGTCCAGATGTCGCCAGTTCTATCGTTTCCTGACTCGCTGCTGCTGCTGCTAACCGCACTAAAGGGACTCAAAGTCTGGCCAGACTCCGCATCGCCTACCTGCGGGCGTTTGGAAGAATTGCATCAGATCAAACGCTACGGCTTCGACCTGGAATGATAATTTGACTGCACACATACCAGCTTGTCAACTATAGTTCAGGCACGCGTCAAGAGCTCTGAGTGTTACGCTCCAAAATCAAAGCAAGCGCTCTTTCACATCGCTCGCCACTGACGGTACCATCGGAAACATTCATTCCCCAGTCCATTCGAAAACCATGTGTCCTTGTGCGGAAGTGCGGGACAGCGAAAGCAGAAACATACCAGATTAGCCAATGAGATCGACGCCTTCTCTGTAGCATCTTTCGGTGACGAACTTTTATCGGGTTTCAAGCTGTACAAAATGGACAGCGCTGCCATGCAAGCCGCCGATGTTCGCCCCGACGCCGCTGCATATGTGTTGGTACAGACTGGCCGGGAGTTGAAGTCCGCTTTTCAGTGCCCGAGCGGCCGTATGGAGTGTGCTGCAACACTGGCCTCAGAGGCAAGAGACGACTACGATGTCGAAACTTCCGCCAACACGCAATCTAGCCTAGAAGAAACCGTAAGGAACCTCGAGCGATGCCTGAACGAGCAAACGTGCTCGGAAGGTACTGGGTTATTAGGCGAGTCAACTGTTCTGGCTGAGCTTCGAGACGCACTTCCCGCGAGACTCGCCAAGGCCGATGACTCTGAACTTGAACTTTTCTTTGAGATCATTATCAGGGTGCTACCAAAAATAACGAATGGTTTCTGGGACGGCGTGATCGCCGCTTTGCTCACGGCCGGTGTCTGCCGTTCCACGACGAATAAAATTGCGTTTCGGGGGTTCGTCACGAGTCTGGTACTGCAAGACGTTCAGTACCTAGAACCGGTGGTTTCTTTCCTTGTTCAGAGTTTTCCAACCTTGTCGGAAGATGGCTGCGGTACTGTGCATGACGTCCTTAGCAACCTGATATCGCTGATACCCCGAACGGAAGAGTGTTACCTATTTTATCTCGAAAAGTACTTTCCGCATGCCTCCCGTCCAGAGAAGCAGTTCATCATGTACGTAAGAATGCTGCTTTGCTCATTAAGCTACGCAAAGACGCGTGTTTCTGCGATGCTTTCCCTTCTCTTTCGAAGGCTGGTGATTTTAGAACTCGAATATTTGGCTGCGCTTGATTTCCCCACAGGACTGGTGACGAGCCCAGAGTCTTTTGTTGAAAAGCATTTGAGCGACGACGGCAATCATGATCTCTCCGTGTTTGAGCTTGGAGATTCGGAAAGGACCGAAGCTAGTATTGAGCAAGATAGCTCCACACTAGTGGATCCTGCGATCGCGGAGCTATCTGCCGAGTCTTTGAGCAAAAAACTCGACACATGCTTAGACGAAGTTTTCTTGTTTTGCAGTCAGATAACTAGAAAACAGATTGATACGTTTCTAGATGCTCTATATGTAGCATTTGAAGCACACGTGATGCCAGTTGCGACGAGTCGCCGTGTTCCATTCATACTCTTTGTGTTTTTGAGTCACTCTGGGTCGGCAGCGTTAGAGCTTATTCTGCGACATCTTCTTACGTTTTTCTTCGACACTGGGCGCCCGTTAAGCTCACGATCATTGGCAGTTCTTAATGCAGGTGCACTCGTTGCTTCTAACGCTGCTGCAAATCTATTGATGGCTCTTCAGTGGATGAAAACAGTTAGCTCCTGGCTGCATAACCAGTTGGATAGGGCATACACGAGTCACTGTCCAGAACTGCATAGTTTCGGCGAGGTCTCGGAGGAGCCTGTGTACGCGGGCATGACTGGCGTGCTTTACGTATTGGGAGCATACGCGTCTCATCTCTCTTTTTCTGACTTTTACAGAGAGCAAGTTCGTCGCATGAGACTCGGGCGCCTGATACACATGATGCCAAATCTGATGGAAAGGATTCCGTTGGAGTTGCTGCAAGCGATTACAACACTCCCAGAATTCGCTTTTGTCTTCGAACTTTTTGTTGATGAGGTCAGAAGAGTGCCGCGATTCTCTCTGGATGACCTGATGCCCTTTCGAGTTTACGGTCTACCCAGATCTGAGCAGCACGTACGCGACGCGCTGCGTCCCTTCAAGTCGGCAAACGTGATTTCTAGCGAGGAAGAGATCGGCAGCCAACTCGATGATCAGGAAATCGCACTTGCACTTCGCTGAGTCTCGGAAAATTGAGCTGAAGCTCGCATAGTAGGCTGTGCGCACAGCGTTGCAGGAAGACTTTCGCGCGCATCCTTGTGGAGGCTTTGTGTAAATTCTCGTTTTCATCGCTCTGTTCGCGAGACTGACATGATCTGCTATTATCGTGTGATTTTCGTTCGATTAAGATTTATTCTCCTTATAGAATACATGTTTTTCGACTCAGTTTTTCTACTGCATGCCATCCAGTCTGATTGAGCGCGCTTTGTGCTCTCTCCAAAATTTGGAAAGTTCAAAAATTTTTCCGGAGCTCCCCGTCTCGGAATGCATCCTGAAGAAAGCTGACCGGCATCTATTACAACCATGTCATAAAAAATGGAAAGGGTCGCTTCATCTTACTTGGGCATATACGCGAAAATTTGGGTCCCTTCATATTGTCATCAACACCAACCTTTGCGGGATATTTATGCAGCTGCTTCCTTTTGCTCTCCCACCTCCGAGTTTAGATGCGCCCGTCTCTCATGTCGCTCCAGCTGCGCTCTCGGCAGTCGAAGGATATGGACGTCCCCGTACAAGTCAAGATTTCGTCGCTTCAGCCCGTTGTCCACGCCTTTCCTGCACAGACTGTAGTTCCGATGAACGCTTCGCTTGCCATTCTCATCTTCTGTACGTACAGTCTCGGCGCGTCATTCGAAACAGATGCACTCCGCTGTCGACATGCGTTCTAACATATCGTCCACGTCGCCATGGCCGGCGGCCGCCATGCGGACCATGAACGCTGACTTGAACGCGCGCTACATGCCCTTGACGAGTGTAAGAGGTTTCCGTAGATGCCGTTCTCAGTCTCCGCGCTCGATGCCGCACCCGACGATCACGGGCTTCTTCGGCGCGATGCCTCGTTGCGTACGCTGTCCACTGCAAAAGCGAGCGCAAGCAAGCGCAAGCAAGCGCAAGCTGTTCCATGGGATGTCGGACTCTGGGCACGCGATGCTGTCCGTGGTGAACCAAGCAACGGAAGGAGAATCCAGACGGGAGATCAAACCGTAAAATTCCGACCCGTCTGCGCTCTCTTCATGCAAAGCTGTGACTCCCTCTACGGGTTGCTATCGTGGCGATGGCTCAGGGCCGAGCCCAGACCCTTCTCCCTCGAAAACAGAAGCGATAGAAGGCTTCGGGAGCGTACGACGCCAGAAGTGTCATGCTGCTGAGGAATGCCGCTTGGTCGTTGGCAACAAAGAGAGGTACGTTTGTGGTTCGAATAGAATCGATGACTCGACGTGACATGGTTAGTCAACTTTCGCCATGAGCTTGTGAAGGACTTGGCGGGAGGCGAAGTCGACTTTTTGCCGTTGTCAAACGACTAGAGCGAATCACAGCGCCACGAGTTGCTTCGCGACTGATAGATCGAAAATTGGAAGAACGCGTGCTTTGAGCACGCGACGAGTACGGAGCTGAGAAGCGTTGAGGCTCTGATTGTGGGATGAAGTATGGTACAGCTTATTTTGCTAAGCTTTTCTCGAGGGCGTCGCGAATGCTTTTTACGAGAGTGGAAGAATGAATGCCCTTCTGCGAGAGTCAGAAGAGCGACCAGGAAGACACAACCGAGAATCCTAGAACTAGGCATGGATCCTAGGAAGACCAGTTCTGCTACACGTCGAATGTGCAGTCTATACATTTGCAAAAGTTCGGAAAACAATGAGAAATCCAGGAATAGAGGACATGGATCAGAATACCCTTTTATGCTCTTTCAACGCACTTTCGTTCCATCCCAGCTGAAGTTTGCAGAAGGTCTTCGACGTCACTGTATAATGCGTTCTATAGATCATAGATGAGTTGCCTGTAGGGTATATATCGTTTCTGAACAGTGCAAGGTGTACTGCATTCTTTCTTCAGGTCACTCATACCACAGAACTCACATGGTTGAGAAACGCTGGAATAGTGTGCATTCGCTCCGCGGCGTAAACAGATATTCTTAAAGCAAGTTTTCGGTCAATCGTAGAAAAGCGCCCCAACAGGCACTCTGCGGAAACCAAAAGCGACGATAGCAGCCACCACGGTCGTCTTTGTTTGTCGACATCTCGTTCGTGCGGCCCTGGAGACATTGCGACACAGTCGCAAAAAAGAGTCCTGTTTCATTCATGCCTGTCTTCCGCATAAATCGCAACGGCAGAGTTCCTGGAACGTCTCCGCCGGTATGCGGCGTAGGGGCTTCTGTTCGGTTGCTCAGCCGGCGAGACCTCCTTCGCGCGAAACAGCCGGATCGTACATGGGCATCCGCATACAGGGCGCCCTTCATATCTAACACCAAACTCAAGGAGAGTTCGGAAATCATCATCTATTCCAGCTGCAGCGGACTCATTTCGAGGTCTCCGTTTCGCTGTTGCAGAAGGCTCATACAAGAGCACCAGCCACCTCGTCGAGTCATTCGAGACACACACTCCCTGACGCCTGGCCGTATCCTTTTATATAGGACAATACGCCAATGCACTATTTCCCGTCGCGCCCGGGCTTTGCCGATTCTATCGGGGTAGCGCTGCTTTCCATTGCTTCGTACAGTCCATGGTTGAGCCGCATCGAAGGAGTATTTCCTTTCGTGAAACGTGATGATCGCTGCACATGGCGAATCGCTGAAGCGTGCACCGCAATGTAACGCACCGGGGCACATATCGTCGTCCATCCGCAGGTCCGTCTGTCTCCGGGCAGGTCGTCGCCTAGAGGCACGAAGAAGTGCGTTCATTTTGAGGAAATGAAAAATTCATGGGAAACGTTAGCACATGGAATTCGAAGATCCTGGAGGGCCGTCATCTCCGGCCTCGAAAGAAAATGAAAAATTTCTCGTCTCGAAGACCATCAAGCAAAGAAGAGCAAGTGACGATGACGTAGAAGAAGAATATGAAAAAGGGAGACAGCCGAGAAGACTCTTTTGACCGACGGGGCGATGACATTACTAACGTGGTACAGAGGGAACGATTACCAGAAATTCCTGGAGAGATGACTTCAACCAACGACTATGCACGCCAGGAGTACGCGAAACGAGACTTTAATGCTGCTATCAATATCGAGAGATGTGCGGTGCTGAAGAAGAGACCCGCAGAGCTGACAAGAGCCAACTTCGTGGGGCAATCTCTCAGGGTAGAAATGTACAAAAAGAAACTGAATCCTGTAGCAGGTAGCCAGTCGAGAGAGGCTAGCAGATGTCTGCGCGCGAGCATGAATTTACCCGGCGGTGGCAAATTTTTCGTTCTGGTGGCAAAGATGAGCATGCAATGTTCACCAACAGTGGATGGATATCACAGTTTTGTTCCGCTCACTCCATAAAGTCTAACCCCTTTGCCCGTAGAAATCATGTTGCTAGTCCAGCGGAGGTAAATAAAGCGCCTGTCAGTCGGCTTTACCAAGCCTTCCGCTCGACTGGCGCTAGGGCACGAGTAACGTTTGCGGGGTGCCCCGTGGAGCCTGGACCCCGCTTTACTGCACCCCGAAGTAGACCCGTTGAAATGCGGAAAGCCTCTTTGCTCATGCAGCAGAATAAAACTGCAAAAACGGGTGGTAGAATAGCGACGCGGGTGTCGTCTGACGTGCTGTTGACCACTGCAGCGTACGTGGCGTTATCGGTCTTGAACCGCGTAGTTTACCGGATGGACTTGCAGATAATGTATTCGTACACATTTTTCCTCTCACTTTTTGTCACCTTGTGCTACGTGCTGGTTTATGCCTCTATTCTCTGGATACGAGTGCGCATGCGTATTGTCCCTATGACGCAGGTCAAGTGGGCAGTGAATAACTGGCGTCTGTTCGCCCTCATTGGGGCACTGGAGGCGCTTACTTTCGTAATCGGTATGTTTACTGCTTCTCGGCTTCCCGGTGCTCTGCTTCCAGTACTGAATCAAGGAATCCTCATATTCATTGCCTTGGCCTCGTATGCTCTGCTAGGTCGTCGCTACACGCTCACCCAAATTTATGGCATGCTTGTTGTCCTCGCCGGTGTGCTGATTTCCATTGGCCCTCAAACTGTGAACGAAGCAGCTTTGAATCTCTCTTCGGGAGGCGTATGGATGAATGCGTTTTTATTCTTCGGATCCTACGCATTCGTTGCCTTAGCCGTTGTACTCAAAGAGCGCGTTTTCAAACGAAGTGGCGTGCAACCGGATCTGTTCATTGTCAATACTTTTTCGAGCCTCATGCAGTTTGCTGCTATCTCGCTCATGCTGCCTTTCACAACACCTTTTGCAGCTCGCTTGGCTGAAAGCCCCTCCATTGGCGATTACTTTTCTAGTGCACTCAGCACATTTGCGGGGCGTGAGAGCAGTTGGATGCCGTGGCTAGCTCTTGCGTACGTTGCTGTGAATATTGTATTCAACATCACGGGTTTGCGATTGCTGAAAATCGCATCCGCTCTCGACTCCGTGGTTGCATCGTTGATTTCTGTGCCGCTAACAACGCTAGTTTTCTGCCTGCCAGTACCGCTGCTGGTCCAGTCTCGTTTTTCGTTTATGGTCCTGCTCGGTTTAGGCGTGCTCTTATTTGGAATATGGCTCTATAATTTGCCGCAAGTCAAGGAACGAGCGGATGACTAGGTACTGATGGCCGTGCGCTTGAGAACACCCATGTAGCGGGCTTTTTCTGCGGCAGTCTGGAAACGCCCGTGGCCCCACTTGCTCGAGGTGTCGATGAACTTGAGCTCTATCTTTTCTTGAGCACGACGGCTAATCTGCGGGAATAGGGATTTGCGTAAGATTATAGGACGCTTCTTAGGACCTTGCACGGCGCCGCGAAGCATAACCCAGTCCTCACGAATGACACCGTAGTGTGGGAATCCACCGAGCGGGGTTATACCCTTTTCCGTGAGATCATACTCGGTCGTTGCTGACTTACCATCACCTTTCTTGCCGATTCGGTAAACCTTGAGATTCATTTGAGTTCGATGATGGTAGCCTCTCTGGCCAGCCCTAGGAACAGTAAACTGCACCCGGGCCGGGTGCCACGCTCCAATACATGCCACTTTTCGAAGTCCACGATGCGTCTTCCGAGGCAGACGACGGACACCGAAGCGCGTGACTACGCCCTCAAAACCCTTACCTCTCGTAACACCAATGGTATCGACCATTTCATCGTTAGAGATTACGTCATCGATCGAAACGGTCTTCTCCAGCAGACGCTCCGCAAAATCAACCTTTTCAGGGATAGTGCCGCCATTGATCTGAATTTCCAAGATATGTGCTTTCTTCTGGCGTAACCGGAACTTTCGCTGCTGGGTGTGCGCAATGACGCGCACCACGCTGCAGTGTCGGCGTATGGTGTCTAGATCATTGCGGTATTCACCCATGGAGTATTTGGCCAGCGCATATTTGGTGAAGGCCTTCTTCTTCGCACGATACCAGTTTTTGTAGAACCTGCGTTTCACTTCATCGTTCAAGTGCTCTGCGAAAACCGTCCTTATTGCTCGAAGGCCGCGGGGCGTTTCGCTGTAACCAACGATACCACAGATCACGATCGGGGGCGCTTCCAGAATCGTGACAGGTTCAGCGACCTCCTTCTTGTGGACCTTGCTTCCAGGACGATCGATCTGCCGCACAACATGTGTGCAGCCCGCCTTTACCACCGGAAAAGCAGTGAGGTGTGGCGGCACAGCTGGTCCAGGGTCCCGTGGCCAGGAGCGCACGCGTCCTCTGTGACGCTTCGTTCTTCCCCGGGGAAGGAAGCCAAGCGACCCGTGCCGTGGAGCTTCGTACTTGCGGTGCGACATAGAACAACAGATGGTCCAGAGCAGCGACGAGAAGCACGAAACCTTGCTACAAAGCGGAGCTCGAGACCACTGCGAACTTTGGTGAACAAAAAAGAATCGTCTATCGAGTGGAACAGTAGCAAACCGCAGATCTAGAGCTTAAGCGCCTCGTCTGTTGTTGCTGATCCAAATTAGCGTATTTGCGAGGAAAGCAGACGATTACAGAAGCACGCAGAGCTTCAGCCGCCGTCGTCTATGAAAAGCCACCCTCGTCGAAAACACAGCGACTCGACGGTGCTGCGACGCTCTGTGCGAGCGCGCATGTAACTCGGCACGAGGCCCCAATCGACGCCGACGGCTCTGGTAATCATTAGACATATATTACAGTAACTTGAAAAATTAACACTAAGTTGCCCATCGTCCGTGAAACTACAAACGTTCGGCAGCGATGCATGATAAATCAATATCCACTCACAAACACCTCCAAGCCCGTTTTAGACAGCCCCTCTGCTATCGGTTTCAGCTCCTCCTTCTGCAATTCGAGTCTGAGAGGCTGCCCCACAAAGCTGGATCGCCTCAGATCCTCGGGTCTCGTCCTGGACACCAGATATCACCTGATGTTGATGGCGGCGTTGAAGTCTCGGTTCACGAATACCTTTCATTTATTGCCGCTGACTGAATTCATCTATGCGAAGATTCTAAGAGCTCGCGCCCTCTGTGCTACTCAAGAATCGCCTGCGTCTCGTCGGGCATGCATCTTTTCTCGCCTATCTATTCTCTTCTTTGTCGTCGTCGTCACTTGCTCTTCTTCGCTCAGTGGTCGACGAGAAGGGGATTATTTCCATTTTCCCGGTGCCTGGCAATGACAGCCCTCCGGAATCCCTAGATTTCATGTCCATACCTTTCGCACGGATTTTCTATTTCGTCAAATGGACGCACTTCTGAATGCCCGTAGTCGACGATCTGGCCGGAGGGAGAAAGACTTGCTGAAGAACGACGACGTATGCTCCGACGTGATTGTGCAGAACGCTTCAGCGATTCGCCCAGTGCTGCGATCATTACGTTTCACAATAGAAAATACGTCTTTGATGGGCGTGAATCACGGAGTACAAGGAGGAATAAAAAGCAGGTCTACTCCACGATAGAATCGGCAAAAAGCTCGAACGCAAGCGCAAAACCAACTCGAACAGGCGCGCCTCTGAACTGAAGTAAAGAGGCATTACTACGGGAAGACACTCATGAACAGCGAATTCGCATTCCGAAGTGAGGGGCAAACGGATCGCTCTCGCCTGGCCCGTGTCACGCACCGTACCTGAAAGCGACGTTCCTGCTGACTTTTCGTAAGGTACTCTATCCGGCCCCGAGCATAGCACTGTTCTCGTGCAGCAATGCAGTGTATGGTGTACAGCGCGTTCGCTTCGAGCACCGATCTTGAGCATATGCACTGTTCGTGACATGGAACTCCGAGCCCTAGGATGCAGTTCCCAGATTTGCATTCTATATGCAAGACGCTCGGTGATAGCCGCCAGTATCACTCTATGGATTACATCTTGGATCATGGGGGAACGCGCATGAGAGCGCGTCGTTCTTACGGTGCTGAAGCAGCATGCTCCACCCGCACATCATGAGATATCTGTGCTGTGGAGCTGCCAGCACCCAGATGCTAGGGCAGCAGCGCGAACTCGGCGCTTTTGTGCAGTCAGCGCACCCTGAAACACGCCTGCAGGGCCATGGGCACGGCAAAAGCAGCCACCGTGTCTGGCGGAAAGCCACAGCACCACTTTCATGGCTTTTCGAGGAGAATATCGTTTCCGGTTAACAGCGACTCGGAATGAGCGTACAAGGATTGCGAACGATGCTTCGTCACAATACCGATACATGAGCTCCAAACATCATATATACACCACGAGCTGCGGTGTACGTCCCGGAGGGTCAAGATAGAGCAGTTTCAGCCAATCCCTGAGGATATAGAAAAGTACAGACCGTTGACGGAAGAGCAGATGGAAATGAGGGCGAAAGTTCGAGGACTCCTCGCACTGGTGGGTACAACCAACGGGGGCAAGAAGCGCATGGAGTTTGTGAACCCAGACTTTAATGCTTCTATCAATATCAGACGATGCGCGGTGCTGGAGAAGCGATTCGAGGAGCTGACAGGAGCCAGCTTTGTGTGGCAGCCTTCCATGGTCGAATTGTACGGAATGAAGTTGAAGCCAGTTGTAGGTGGCCGGTCGAGAGAGACAGTGAGGCTTCGGCAGTTCAGCTGAAGACGTTTTGTCCAGGGCGCGTTTGCCGCCACTACTGTGCACTGCTGACGACTGCTTTCGACTTTTGAAAGGCGTTTGCCAGCGGTGTAAGCGTTGGCGCACCTCCGGAGGACTGACACAGGGCCCGGGCGGTCATCTGTGCAACAGTCGCATATGCTCGGTACCCTGCGCTCATATCTGCTTCGCCCGCTCACCACTCGTGGACGCAGTCACTGGCACGCAGTACCGAGCCGAGCACTCGTGGCCGTAGCAGAGCGCCCTGCTGGCCCTGGAGGCGTGCAAAAGCGCACCGAACGCGTCGTACCGAGTGAGGCCGCTCGACAGGAGCGCACTGCCCGTCTGCGTCGCGCCGTAGACCTTCTACAAAATCGCATTTATCCCTTTCTAGAGCAAAAGGTTGCTGGCGAGGCCGAACGCAAGGACCTCCTGGCCGTTCTGGAGCAGGACTCGAGTCGCTTCGAAGATGAACGAGCCATTCGTGACTGGGTTGAGTCACAGATTCAGGAAGCGATTCGGCAAGGGGCGTTCGAGCGGCTCCCACGAGGGCCACTGCAGCTGCCGCAACCACCACTCGGTGTCGACCTTGTCACGTATACCATGCATGGTCTTTTACAGCGGCACGGACTGCGACCTGTCTGGATAGAATGTATGCATGAAGTAGACGCCGAAGTGAAACGTATTCGTCTGGCTCTGGAACGAGCGTATCGAGCTCGAGTTGCTACCGCCGAGGACACGTCACCTGCGAGCACAGCACAACGAGCTGAGCGCTGGGAGGCAGCAGCGCGGGAGCTCCAGGAACAGATGCATCAAGTGAACCGACGAATTGATGCTTTTAATCTCATGAAACCCGAGCGCCTGGACACTGTTTTCCGACTGCGCATGCGTTGGGAGCACGAATTCATGCGCGTCAAGCAACGAGTGGAAAGCGAGTACTCAGCTGAACCGCGTAGCAGTTTAGCTCCGGAGGCAACGGACCCGAAAGCTTGACGGTTTCATTGGATGTTTATGAACATACGGAGCGCCTTTACAATCGATAAAGGTCATAGCGGTCAAGTATCTAGTGGTCGTTGATCCCGATGATATTTGCCATGGCGAGCATGATGATGAGAATGAGCATCTTCACGCGATGGATGTGCGATGCATCATACAGTAGATCATGCGTTCGTCTACGTTGATCCGATAACACTCATGTCAAAATACAGTTCGATGGGATCGGGTAGACAAGTCAGGTGTACGTCCTTAAATTTTGATCTCTTCCCATTGTAATAAACACCAGTCCGTGTCGGATTTTTTTTGCAACTGCTCGCTTATCGTCTCCCTCGCACCGCTGGCTTTCAATTAGCTGGTACCTCCTAGTCCTGCAGCTCGGTCGCCAACTCTTGAGAGCTGTTTACCGCAGCGTTCAGGTCCGGTATTCTGCTGCTTACTCCTGTTGCGCACCAATTTCTTGCACAGGCAAAGGTTGCGATCTAGGCCTCGCTTCCCATGTTCATCGTTCCTGTGCATATTTTTGGTGCGCTCGTCACTGCTGTGACACTTAGTTGTGGTCAGGTGCTTCCGTGTGACCGCCGCTTACGCTTCTTTGCGCGTCACCCTGTGGCGTATAAATGCTTGCCTTATCGCTCAGTGCATGCCCTCTACGGATACGGAAGGCGTCCACAGATTCCCGCATCCGTTTCTGGAACTCGAGCCATTCCCTGCGATCCTGGGCTTGTCATCGTCAATGCTTTCGGCGAGTACACTGTCTGCTGCATGCGCTAGCGCACACTGTCCCAGGCAATACAGGGCTTATGGAACGCCATGTTGCCCGTGATGAGAAAAGTACCGGAAGTAAAATCCAAGCCGGAGAACAAGTAAGGAAAATTCGGTCCGCCTGTCCGCCGTTCGTGCAAGGCGACGATGCACGCTCCACTGGAAGCAAGCGCTGCGAGGACAAAACAACGAGTCGAGCAACCCTTTCCACGCAACTAGAAGAGATCGAAGCCTCTGTGAGCACATCTCGCGGGGTGTATCATGCTGCCGTCGAATCCTGACTCGTCGATGGCCACACAGTCAGGATGATTTATCATTCGATCTGAACTGATTTTTCGACCTGAAAAGTTACGGGTACTTTCTGCATGAGCTTATAGAAAAGGCCGTTAACCAGTGGCGTCCAGTTTATGCCTTGTCAATCAAGCCGCGCAAATAGCTACGCCCGCGAATTGCCCTGAAACAAAAAATTCGAAAACCTGAATCACGCGTGATTTCAGCATGCTTCTCGCAAGGAAACAGGATGATTCGAGCCGTGTCCATATGCATCGGATTCTGATATCCATCATTTCACGAATCCTTGTTCGAAGGTTTCCAACATCCTTTTGTTTTCCATAACGCTACAAACTCCAGCTGCAAATCACGAAAGCAACCCCTCGAAAATTCAACAGAAAACCGGTTTGCGCATTCCTGAACTCGTTATGGATGAACCTCGATTGTTGAGACTGTACATCTAGCATTCATTTCAAACAAAAATAGTTATTCATAGACAGCGCATATATCTCGGTAAACATCGATCACAGGGATCCGCGGCGCGCGCGCTCGCTCGCGCATCTGGCACAATCGATCCAAACCTGCACGCACGCGATGCCAGGAGCGATACTGCCCCGCGATTCGACGCAGCGGCGATGCGCAGATTCCCAAGCAATATATCTGGCAGGGGCGCGGAGCGTTGCCGGTTGAACGCCGCCTCGGTCGGTGTGCTGCGCGGCGAAAGGCGGCAGCATGCGGCGCAACGCCGTGTGCCTATGCCCGTACCTGCTTTTCAGTCCATGCTCGCTTCTATGTGAGTGCTGTGCGGCGCTGTTCGGCCAGTTGCGCGTCATTCTGACATCCACACAATTCGCAAACGTATAGCGCTTATAGAGAGATAGCCGTTCCGCGGGGCGAGAGCCCGCGATCGCAGTCGAAGGCACCAGGAACTCGATCAATGCCGCACCGGGCGCGACGCATCTCACGCTGTGGTGCAGCGCAGCGCGTACCGGGCTCTAGAGGCAAGTTGTGCGCGGCAACGATCTTAGGCCTTTATCGATTGGTGCAGCGTCTCGCGCGGTGCACGCATTGCGCTTGGTGAGCGCACCCGGGAGATCAGGCAGACATGAGACACGACGCGCATGTCGCCGTTGAAAGGAAACGTGATCTTAATCTCTGGCGTGTGGCCGTAATGTAAAAGTTGGATTTCCGGTCAGGTCGTAGCCAAGTACGGCTTCTATTTCAGTTGTGTTTCAACCCTCAAATAAGAGTATTCGAGTATTTTTCGTGGTTTAGAGCAGAGACGTTCATAGTGCGTTCTATTTCAAAAAATAAAAAACCAATGTTCTGGACAGCGACGTGGAGGACCCTGGAGGGCCAGTATCGCTGGCTGGCGAAAAAAACGATACATAGAGCCAAACATAGAGGAACGAGACAAGACGAAGAAGCAGAAGGGGGAGGCCCTACGTTAATGGCTGCAAGAAAGACGACTGTACGACGAGATGGTCGTGAAAGCCTGTCTTCTCGGACATAGCAAGAATTCGTAAAAGCAAAAATTGCGGGAGTCCATCAGAAACTGTTGCGAGTTGGACTCCATGAGTTTTCCTGAGGCTTCTTTAGGACTGATGCATCTAGCGAGGGAGATGTATCGCGACGTGACGCACATGGAAACAGTCGATGTTCCTGACGAGTTTTTCGACAAGACGTTTATTCGTCAGCTGATGCTTAGTACAGCGGAAGCGCGGGAGGAAAATGAGCGGGTGGAAGTCCTCCACGAAAACTTCGCGGAATTCTGCTTCGAGGGTAATCGATACTGCGGTGACGGAAATATTTACACATACGGGGTAATGAAGTACATTACGAACCTGAAGAACCAATTGACGATGAACCACGAACGTTTCATGATACGCGACGTGTTTGCACTCTACCCGGGCATCTCTCGCAAAGGAATATAGGCGATTATCAATGGCATCACGAACAATCGACAGTGTGAAGATGAGGTCGAATTTGTCGACAAGAAGGCGTCACGCAGGAGCACAAATTAGGATTCTGTAATCCGTGCGGTTGTAGAAGAGCACCGTGCAGTTTTGGGTCTGGCGAATCCAACAGACAAGATATCAGAGCTGAAAAAAGATAAGGAAAGATACTACCGCCTCGTCATGCGCTAAGTTGTGTTTCTGGACCGTGAACTCGAACGCAAAGCGGAGATGAAGCTGAGTGAAGAGACAAATGAACAGTGGGAGAGACGGAAGGCCTTCCGGATGGGTAAGCGCTTCAACGCGGTTCCATTGTACAATATCAAGTCACATTTTGTGACTATCGGCTCCGGCGTCCTCTACGGCATCATGAAGGAGATCAGTCCTGAGTTCAATGTTAGCAGGGAGGACTTCACCGGCGAAAACCGGAAGACGTACTGGAAGAATATCTTCAATTTCAAACGTCTGAGAGTGAGCGAGCAAAAGTTGTTCACTGGGATGATCGAAACCGATGGAGTAGCCTTGTGTGTACACTATCGGCGGTTGAAGAAAGATCGGTCAGTCCCTCCCTCAGCTGCGCCCGTGACGAAGGATGAAGAAAACAAAGAGGAGGATCCTGCGATGCAGGAGGTGGAGGATAACGACTTTGTCGTTGACGAGGCGAAGCACGAAGAAAAGAAGGAGGCGGGTCCTGCGACGCAAAAAGTGCATGAGGACGACTTTGTCTTTGGCGCTGACCCTGGAAACACGAATTTTATAGCCGTCGCTGTGCCCAAGCGTGCGGAAGATGGGACTGACGGTAACTTACGTCAGAAAGATATGCGTCTTTTGAGATTCTCGAGAGCGAGATACTACCGAGAATCCGGTATGATGAATGAGAGGAAGAAATTTGAGAAGTGGAATCCAGGAGTGAAGGATCACCTGGAAGCTATGAGCGAGGCTAGTAGCCGCGGAGCGAACTTTAAAGCTTTTCGGGAGTTCATGGAAGTTCGCGTTGCTCATTGGGATGCGCTGTGGAAGGAGTATTCGAAGCCCATGTAGGCTCGTCTGCGACTGAACATGTATTGTGGGAGGAAGCGTGCATTCGCGAATTTTTTCAACGAGTTGAGCGCCTTGAAGGAGGATGACAGTCAGAGGCTCGTAGTGGCATTCGGAGCAGGACGATGGGCGCCCAAGAAAGGCACTATGCCAGCTCCAGCGAAAAGACCCTACAAAGAGTATGCACGGTGTTTCGTTACGATACCGATAGATGTGTTCCGAAAATCGTATACACACCATAAACTGGGCTGTACACTTCAGAGGGCCGAGATGGAAAAGTGCCAGCGGAACCCTGAAGAAATAAAAAAGTACGGACCGCTGACGGAGGAGCAAATGGAAAGGAGGGCGAAAGTTCGTGAGCGACTCGCACTAGTGAGTCGGACGGACGGGAAGAAACGCATGGAATTCGTGAACCGAGACTTTAACGCCGCTTTCAGTATACGTAGATGTGCGGTGATGGAAAAGAGACCTCCCGGGCCGACAAAAGGGAATTTTGTGGAACAATCTCTGAAGGTGGAAGTATATGAGAAAAAGTTGGAATCACTGGTAGGTTGCCGGTCGAGAAAAGCTGGAAGGCGTCTGCAGATTAGTTGAGAGGTCTTGTCCAGGGCGGGTCACTCGCCACTGCTGTGCACTGCCGGCGACAGCTTTTGTCTTTTGAAAGGCGTTTTGCGGTGTGATGGCGACAAAGAGTTTTGGTGTATCTGGGACCAAGCTATTGATGGGTTTCGTGCAGCTGCACCGGGGTGCTGGGCAGTTGGAAACAGCTTGGGGTCGTTTCCGCAATTTTTCAGCTGCTTGCAGTCGCCAGCAGCACATTGTGCATCATCACGGAACTTTTTCGCCCCGGGCGAGAGGCCTTCGTCTTTATAGCGCTATTTCCTCGCAGACCCCTTCAGGGAACTCACACCCGGACTTTCAACCGCAGCGGAAGCAACAGCCGTCAGACGCTGACTGGGCGGACGTCATGGAGCGCATCGAGCGGGACGTCATGTCGAGCAAAGTTGTTTTATATATGAAGGGGGAACCCGAGGCCCCACTCTGTGGCTTCAGCTACAAAGCTGTGAGCATCCTGAAAGCCATGGGGGTTCCGTTCCAGTCGTATAATGTGCTAGCGGACCCGCTTCTACGGGAGGCGATCAAAAAGTACAGCCAATGGCCCACCATACCGCAATTATTTGTCGATGGCGAATTCATTGGAGGGAGCGATATTATGGAGAGTATGTACCGCAGTGGAGAGCTGAAACAAATTCTGGGTGTCTACGGAAAAGCTACCTAGTATCTAGCTCTTCGCCTACCAAGGGCTGGGTGCCCCAGGCATGATTCCTTCGGACGAGACGTGTGGATGATGGGAATGGTTGTAGTGATGTGGTTATGGATCCTTCTTTGGCCTAAAGCGAAGATGTAAGTCGGTTCAACCTCTGTCTTGGAACGAAATTTACGAACTGCTCCAGAACTAATTGGCGTGCATCAGCATTTGCAGAGACGGTCCTGCTGGACAGATCCTGGTAGCCGCGAGGGAGGTTCAGCCAAACCAGGCCATCTCGGGAGAAAAATTTTCCTCTGGGCACAACAACCAGAGATGCTCACAGGGCATGCGCAGTCTCCTCGTGCACCCTCCATATTGCCTCTCCAATCAGGTTCGCACAGCTAACAACGCGGAGCTGTGGAAACTGTTTCTCTGGCGGCACCGGTACAGTATCTGTGACTATCACCTCTTCGAAAAGGCCTGAAGACACGCGTTTGAGCGCCACCTCGCTGAACACGGCATGTGTGGCGAGCGTCAAGACCTTGGCAGCACCACTCGACCTCAAAAGCTGTCCCGCAGAGTAGACGGTTGCAGCAGTATCGATCATGTCATCCACCACAATTGCTACCTTACCCGCGACATCGCCAACAAGATTCATGACTTCATGCTTTGTTCTGCTGTCGCGACGTTTATCCACGATCGCCAAAGGAGCATCGCCAAGTGCTTTTGCGTATGCTCTGGCGCGGGCAACTCCACCTATGTCTGGTGAAACAATGATGATATTTCCAAGATTTTCGAGGCATGTTTGTACATAGTCAACCAAAACAGGTGACGCATAAATGTGTTCCACGGGAATGTCAAAAAAGCCGCATGATTGCGGCGAATGAATGTCTACGAGAATCACACGGTCCGCGCCGCTTTCACAGATCAAATTCGCTACAAGTTTGGATGTGAGTGCCTCCCGGCGCTTCGAATCCAGATCAAAGATCCGATCAGCTCGAGCATACGCGGAATACGGGATGACCGCAATGATTTGAAACGCATGGGCTCGACGACACGCATCTATCATAAGCAAGAGCTCGATGAGGTTCTCATTGACCGGCTGGCACGTCGACTGCAGGATGAAGACGTTGCAACCCCGCACGCTTTGGACGAGGCGCACGTATTTTTCCCCGTCGGCGAAATTTTTACAAATTAGCTCATCAGGCCCCTCTTTGCCAAGATATCGCGCCACGCCAAAAGCTAACTCTTTATTCGAACTGCCGGCAAAAAGTTTCAGTTTCGCCGGTGCAAAGAAGACTCCTCCAGAGGGCGCCAACGCTGGGGGCTCTGCAGACTGCAGGCACCACACTGCAGTGTTCCCTCGCTTCGAACAACAGGTGGCTCGGTTGGTCCGCTTGGCGGACAGCCTGCTGCGTCCATCTGCGACTGCAGCGGTAGAGCACGTGAATAAAACTTTCGAAGACGGCCTTTGGAGAAACATAAAACGCTCGCCGGCCTCGTTGTTCAGAGCGCCATTTCTCTGGCTGCAACTCGGACGAAATCCTAATACGAAAACAATAGCAACGCTCTCAGAGTATCTTTCGCGATATCGGATAAAAGCACCACAACCCTTGTAGAAACGAGTGCAGTCCACGCCTGCACAGGTACAGTCACAAGCACCGGCACCAGCCTGCAAACACGTCAACGCGACCGTCAGCGGCAGACGGAGCTGGTGCACCGCACGATAAGCTGTGCAGCAAAATCGTCGCCGCGATGTCGATTCAGATGCGTTCTGCAAAGCGACCGTATGGCGCATGAGCCGCGGAGATGCCATACATGTGTCCAGTAAAAGGGTATTCTGATCCATGTCCTCTATTCCTGGATTTCTCATTGTTTTCCGAACTTTTGCAAATGTATAGACTGCACATTCGACATGTAGCAGTACTGGTCTTCCTAGGATCCATGCGTAGTTCTAGGATTCTCGGTTGTATCTTCCTGGTCGCTCTTCTGACTCTCGCAGAAGGGCATTCATTCTTCCACTCTCGTAAAAAGCATTCGCGACGCCCTCGAGAAAAGCTTAGCAAAATAAGCTGTACCATACTTCATCCCACAATCAGAAGCCTCAACCCTTCTCAGCTCCGTACTCGTAGCGTGCTCAAAGCACGCGTTCTTCCAATTTTCGATCTATCAGTCGCGAAGCAACTCGTGGCGCTGTGATTCGCTCTAGTCGTTTGACGACGGCAAAAAGTCGACTTCGCCTCCCGCCAAGTCCTTCACAAGCTCACGGCGAAAGTTCACTAACCATGTCACGTCGAGTCATCGATTCTATTCGAACCACAAACGTACCTCTCTTTGTTGCCAACGACCACGCGGCATTCCTCAGCAGCATGACACTTCTGGCGTCGTACGCTCCCGAAGCCTTCTATCGCTTCTGTTTTCGAGGGAGAAGGGTCTGGGCTCGGCCCTGAGCCATCGCCACGATAGCAACCCGTAGAGGGAGTCACAGCTTTGCATGAAGAGAGCGCAGACGGGTCGGAATTTTACGGTTTGATCTCCCGTCTGGATTCTCCTTCCGTTGCTTGGTTCACCACGGACAGCATCGCGTGCCCAGAGTCCGACATCCCATGGAACAGCTTGCGCTTGCTTGCGCTTGCTTGCGCTTGCTTGCGCTCGCTTGCGCTCGCTTTTGCAGTGGACAGCGTACGCAACGAGGCATCGCGCCGAAGAAGCCCGTGATCGTCGGGTGCGGCATCGAGCGCGGAGACTGAGAACGGCATCTACGGAAACCTCTTACACTCGTAAAGGGCATGTAGCGCGCGTTCAAGTCAGCGTTCATGGTCCGCATGGCGGCCGCCGGCCATGGCGACGTGGATGATATGTTAGAACGCATGTCGACAGCGGAGTGCATCTGTTTCGAATGACGCGCCGAGACTGTACGTACAGAAGATGAGAATGGCAAGCGAAGCGTTCATCGGAACTACAGTCTGTGCAGGAAAGGCGTGGACAACGGGCAGAAGCGACGAAATCTTGACTTGTACGGGGACGTCCATATCCTTCGACTGCCGAGAGCGCAGCTGGAGCGACATGAGAGACGGGCGCATCTAAACTCGGAGGTGGGAGAGCAAAAGGAAGCAGCTGCATAAATATCCCGCAAAGGTTGGCGTTGATGACAATATGAAGGGAATCAAAAGTCAGCGTGCACTTGCTCAACAGGCGACCTCTTACAGTTTATTCTGAAATGGGTGTGAAACATCGTGTTCCTAATTGAGTCTATCCATCGGGCTCCCTGGCGTGCTCAGATAAAATATGGTCAGGGCGAGCCATCTCGATAGTTGCGTGCAAGTTGATCAATGGTGAGCGGAGTCCCTCGCCATGCCATATGATGCATTCGCCCTGTCAGAAGGTGTACCTTGCCGCCGTAAAACTGTCAAAAACTAGAGAAGATGCCTCTACAGAGGTCTACACAGCAGACCCTTTGTTGATTCCCTCTGAAGGGCAAATTCAACATTCTTCCGTCAGGCAACCAATTGCGGCATTGGTTTCAGAAAGAGAAGTTCGGGTCCGACCGAAACCTCTGGTCAGGCTGAAAGCTAAACGCAAGTTCGATGAGTCGCTCTCGTTCCATGCCGTCAAGCACCACGTGGTCGGGAAGCGTGCAGCTGAGCTCCTTCCGCACTTCAAGTGCTAGCCAGTAGGAACTGCATGTTCGCCAGTTTGAGCGTGAACGCTTCCACCCTCGTCTTCAATTATAAGCGTTTCGCTCGCAGACCTGCTCGCACCTGGCATTTTACCCGTTGCGTCCCAATGGCATTTCTTAGGCTTTTCCAGTAGATCTCATGAAGAGCGATAGTGGAGTCCGCAAACAACTACGTGATCAAGCTCGATCGTGCTCACGAAATCCGTGGGAAGATTCACGTCCAAAAGAACGTGCTTCGTAAGGAATTGGCTTAGCAGAGAGCACGTGCAAACGCAATGGTGCGCAACTTCTCGGAATGAAAACACCCGTAGCCGTTATCCGCCTCCTCTGAGAGTTCGCAGCACTGGATCAGAAACTAATAAGAAACTGACGTTGTCCGCGAAAGCATTCTCCTGAAAGCAGATCGTAACGAGGTCGTGTCTCAAGAGAAACTTCCTTGGGTTTCTGTTTCCATCCGCCAGATCTGTTTGCGAGACGAACTCGGCTGCCTCCATACCAGAAGAAACGGCAGCGCCAAATGCACGAACACGTCCTCGGTTCATCGCTCGCCTTGACTCATCTCCATTTCTGGAAACACTTTCCACATAATACGAACCCGGTGTAACACGCGCTACGTATTGGTGCATTTTGGTAGAAGCGGGCGGCAACGGTTTTCCGCATAAACTTTCCCAGAAAAATCGGTGCAGATTTTCAAGCAGGAACTGATGCATGTCGCAATCGGAGGAACTATGTGCGATCTGGATTATGCAGTCTCTGCTAGGAAAAGGATATAACATGCGTTGTGTCCTCTAGGATATTCCAGGCAGTCTGTAAAGCCGAGGAGACTACTGAACGCCTGTCCACCGGGCCCATTGAATCCAGTGAACACCGCCTATATATGTATTCGCGAATCGCAGCAAAAACGATATCGTCGTGAAGACAATCGCAGGAGCGCCAGCTAAAAGCGGCTCCAGCATACGAGCCTCCACAGCGCTCACGGCCTGGTATCTGAGGTTGCTCGAGAGTCCCATAAAAGCCCCCCAAGATATCGAATTGGCCAAGACAGGGGCAAGCTTCACCGAGCTCGATGCTGATTGAGGACCGAGACACCTTCGCGAGTACACGAGCAGTTTCGTAAGTGAGTGACCAACAACGGACGCACAGAATCCTACAGCACCAAACTGCAATCCTTTGAGAAGCAAACAAGCCGAACGTTGACCAAGGGTATACTGCATGCCCGGTTGCAGAGCAAACTTGGGTAGCCGCTCTAGATGCCCAAGCAACGAAGTGAAAGCAGAGTTTGTCGCGGGCATTCGATATGCATTCATCGTTGGTGAGAGCAACCAGACAAGGGAAAAGTCACCTACAAGTTCAAGCATGATATCCGATAGGTAGAAGTCAAACTCGGACCAAAAATTCCGGCCCCGCTGTTTAACCTCCGCTGCACTTTTGGAAAAGAAGCCGATGACTAGCTCCACCGCCATGACCGACATAAAACGAGGATTTGCAACAAGACGACTTCGAAGACCAGGCCACCTACTGGCCAGCGCACCGATTAGAGGGATTTTCTCGATAATGAGGAGGCGTTTCAGATCCTTCACAGCGAGACTGCCCTCACCGACTTTGCGCTGGAACTCCTCAGGAAGGGAAGAAACTCCGCGTTCCTCTCTCCTTAGCAAAGCTTCAATTTCAGGGTCGAGGGCCCTGTCCTCTTCATTATCGTCATTATCACCACCGTACTTCCTCGAACGTGTCCCATCGCCCGAACCGCCGCCGGGTGCCACTGCGCCGTACTCGTAGCTTGGGCTAACTTGGAACCTGGGCTGTTTAGCGTCCGCTCGTACACGACGTCTTCCTTCGACGAGGTGGTAAAATAGCTCGTTCCTAACTGGATGCGCAGATCCATCCTCCGCCAGTTGAAGTCCATTGAGCGTAATGGGCCTTCGATCCAGGCAGCTTGCTCGTGTCCTCTGCAAAGCACGCAGTTCGACACCACTCGTGTGGCTGCGTTTCGTCGGAGTCGAAAAAGTAGCGATCTTTCTGCAGCTTAAACGTAAACTAGCTTCGGGCCAACGAATCAGGAAGCATGGTAGATCCACCTTCGATGAACGTTTCAGCATTTTGCTACGCCGGCGAGGGATCGACACACAAAAAATACAAACCGTGGCCACTGAACAACACCGGATCTGTTGTCCAAAACGTATTCAGTTCGAATGGAGCATTGTACTGTTCGCTGCGCTCCTGCCTTTCGATTTTTATTCCGAATTTCTGTGCCGCGTCGGCATTCGACGCCCAGCAACAAAAGCTTACAGGCTCATACTTAGTTTTAGGAGTCTTCTTAGAGTTTGCAGAGAGATTCCGTCGACTCTTCGATGCCGGGATTCGTCACTTCATCTGAAACAAAATTATTCGCGACGCCTTTGAGCAAATGCTCAAAAATACCCGTTATCACAATCCATTCCATTCGGACAGGCCTTCAGTCTTCTCCCGTCCTTCCATGTAACATGTTCAAATCCTGCGTACTTCAATTTTTCCATCTTTCCGTTTCAAGGCAATGCTTGGGCACAGCAATGCACGCCGCTGGATTCACAGAGAAAGAAATTTGACGTCGTCCATTGACGATTTCTACATACGCTTAATCCAAAAGCTCAATGACTTTCTCACGTCTAACAATCGATCTAGTTCGAAATAAAACCCCCCTTTCTCCGTCAATGTCGACGACATGGTATTCGGCTCCAGCATGATTCCTTTCATGGCATATGTTACCAGAATCTCCAGGCTCCTTTGTCCGCATTGAAAACGTCCTAGTTTCTGGCCAGAATCATCACAGCAATCGCTTCATGTACAAATTCCGTCATCACTTTGCGCAAAGGAAGCGTAGACGGAATGAAAATAATCGACTTGTTCTCTAGACCGGATTCGTGTATGGTATGTTTTTCGTTAGGGGCAGCATCGCGTTCTACAAAATGCTAAATCGGACGGGACAGTGCGCTTGCGCGGTCAGTTCACAGAGTAATCGCCGAGGAGATCCTCGAGAAGTAGCCCCTGATTGCACAGTACTGTATCGGGCGCAGAGACGGAGGACGATATCGGGGAAAGCCATTAGTACCTGTCATGGGCGTGCAATGAGCGACGGAACAAGCGTTCACGCGACGCAGGGTCGTACTCAGAAGGCAGAGGAGGTGTAGTGAATTTATGGGACCACTTACCACAGCCAAGTGGTATCATTATCAAGGAATAAGCTAGCCTGCATGCAGAGAAGACGAATATGGCAAGGGAAGGCTGGATGGCAACCTCCGTCATGGAATGGTATGCCTTGGCAACAGCGAGAGGCGCCAAAATAGGTTCTTGAACGCCGTCGTCAACAATCCTCGCTGGCCTATATCGAATCTGGAGGCAAAGTAAAGACCAGAAAAGTTAAAAGCCGACTTCGGCTCGGTGATTACCGAAGAAGACGCATAAAAAGCCATCAAAGGCTTCTGCAGATGACAGTGGGAAGCGACCAAAACTTGAGATTTTGTACACCTGGCTTGTAGTCTTTCATCTCAACTTTGTTTCGCCCTTGCTGGAATGTATTGCGGTATATCGAAATCACTATGCTGTGTGCCGCATAGATTATAGATGAGTTGCCTGTAGGGTATATATCGTTTCTGAACAGTGCAAGGTGTACTGCATTCTTTCTTCAGGTCACTCATACCACAGAACTCACATGGTTGAGAAACGCTGGAATAGTGTGCATTCGCTCCGCGGCGTAAACAGATATTCTTAAAGCAAGTTTTCGGTCAATCGTAGAAAAGCGCCCCAACAGGCACTCTGCGGAAACCAAAAGCGACGATAGCAGCCACCACGGTCGTCTTTGTTTGTCGACATCTCGTTCGTGCGGCCCTGGAGACATTGCGACACAGTCGCAAAAAAGAGTCCTGTTTCATTCATGCCTGTCTTCCGCATAAATCGCAACGGCAGAGTTCCTGGAACGTCTCCGCCGGTATGCGGCGTAGGGGCTTCTGTTCGGTTGCTCAGCCGGCGAGACCTCCTTCGCGCGAAACAGCCGGATCGTACATGGGCATCCGCATACAGGGCGCCCTTCATATCTAACACCAAACTCAAGGAGAGTTCGGAAATCATCATCTATTCCAGCTGCAGCGGACTCATTTCGAGGTCTCCGTTTCGCTGTTGCAGAAGGCTCATACAAGAGCACCAGCCACTTCGTCGAGTCATTCAAGACACACCCCCTGACGCCTGGCCGTATCCTTTTATATAGGACAATACGCCAATGCACTATTTCCCGTCGCGCCCGGGCTTTGCCGATTCTATCGGGGTAGCGCTGCTTTCCATTGCTTCGTACAGTCCATGGTTGAGCCGCATCGAAGGAGTGTTTCCTTTCGTGAAACGTGATGATCGCTGCACATGGCGAATCGCTGAAGCGTGCACCGCAATGTAACGCACCGGGGCACATATCGTCGTCCATCCGCAGGTCCGTCTGTCTCCGGGCAGGTCGTCGCCTAGAGGCGCGAAGAAGTGCGTTCATTCTGAGGAAATGAAAAATTCACGGGAAATGTAAGCTGGGATGTACGTTTCAGAACGTCGACTTTAAGAAGAGCCAGCGGGGCGTTTCGGCGATGGAAAAACACGGAGACCTGATAAAGAAGGAATTGGCACAGAGGGCACGAGTTCGAGGACGACTTGCACTGGTCGGTCCAAGCAGCATCAATAAAGGCTTGGGGATCGTGGAGCGAGACCTCAATGCTGCTATTGATATATGGGGCTTTGCGGTGCAGAAGAAGGGACCCGCAGAGCTGAAGCGAACCAACTTTGTGGGACAGCTTCTCCAGGCCCAAGTGAACGTGGAGAAACTGAAACCGATAGCAGGGGACTGGTCGAGAAAAACTAGGAAGCATCTGCACATCAGTTGGAGACGTTTTGTCTAGGGCGCGTTCGCCGCCACTACTGTACACTGCCGTCTTTCGACTTGGAACGGCGTTTTGTGTGCGTGTGCGGTCGTCGATGTACGGGTTAGGCTCTTGAAGCTAATCTTATGGAGTAGACCAGAATACAGTATGTGCTTTTGTCGGGTTCCTCGATCGTGTCAGCCGAGATGCAAGGCTCGAACGTCTTGGCAGATATGGACGCTACATGTGTGGTGTGCCTCTACCATGATCACCGGATCCGGGGAACGTAGCGGGCACCATAAGTTGGCTACGACGATAGCATGGAAATGACTTGAACGGTCACCAGTACCAGCCTATGACGCAGGATAGAAGCATAATTCAGGTCAGTTCCTCATTCCAGCGTCAGTGCAGCATGCATGACAAGCATCGGCATTAAACGTATGTCCGTGTTCAGGAATCCCACCGTACCTAGTTTGGTTACGATGAATAAAACTAACGAAATTCCTTTTGAGAAGAGTGATGCATACGTCATCCACACAACGGTAAGCCGCAGAGAACGCTATGCTTTTGATAGAAGCATCGCGAGGTATCGCGTCAGGTCCCAACATTTCCATGTATGTCAAGGCGGTACTGCGATGGGCAGTAGCTTCGGCACCAGCGACAGAGTCTATAGCAAGAGATCGTTCTACATGAGTTTCCTATTTTCGATACTTTAGTTTGGCTGCAATGCGATGCGAACACGCATGTGCCAATGCGGGGTGTCGGACACGTGTCCTTCATCGATCGGAGTGGCGTCTCGTGCGGTGGACGCATTGCGCTTAATGAACGCATCTCGGAGATCAGGCAGTCAACTGACGCGATGCACATGCCGCCGTTGAAGGGAAACGCGATGCTGACCAGGAGCGTGTTGTTCAGCTGTAAAAAGTCGGATATCCGTTGAGGTGGTAGCCAAGTACAGTCTTTCAGCTCGTTTCTGTTTCAGCCCTCAAACAAGTCTAGTCAAGTGTTTTTCGCTGTATGTAACACAAGGGTTCAAAGAGCATTCTTTTTCAAAAAAACTAAAATAGGAAAGCTATGAAAAAGCAAATCGACGATCCTGGAGGTCCAGGGTCGCCGGCTGCCAGAAAAAAACAAAAAACAGTACCGAGTCCAGAAGAAAAGGAAGAGAAGAAGAACCGAAAGGGGGAGGCTCAACGTCTAAGGCGGCAAGAAAGACAACTGTACGACGAGATGGTGGCGAAAGCCGGTCTTCTTAAACATATCAAGGATCACTACAGGGAAAAGATGCGAGACGCATTCGAAAAACGTTTCGATTCGTACTCCAAGAGTATTTTCAAGGCGTCGTCAGGACTGATGCATCTAGCGAGGGAGATGTATCGCGACGTGACGAACATGGAAACGGTCGAGATTCCGGACGAGTTTTTCGATAAGACCTTTATTCGTCAGCTGATGCTTGGTACAGAGGAAGCGCGGAGGGAAAATGAGCGGGTGGAAGTCCTCCACGAAAACTTCGCGGAATTCTGCTTCGAGGGTAATCGATACTGCGGTGACGGAAATATTTACACATACGGGGCAATGAAGTACATTACGAACCTGAAGAACCAATTGACGATGAACCACGAACGTTTCATGATACGCGACGTGTTTGCACTCTATCCCGGCGTCTCTCGCAAGGGGATATGGACGATTATCAATGGCATCACGAACAATCGACAGTGTGAAGATGAGTTCGAATTTGTCGACAAGAAGGCGTCACGCAGGAGCACAAATTAGGATTCTGTAATCCGTGCAGTTGTAGAAGAGCACCGTGCAGTTTTGGGTCTGGCGAATCCAACAGACAAGATATCAGAGCTGAAAAAAGATAAGGAAAGATACTACCGCCTCGTCCTGCGCTAAGTTGTGTTTCTGGACCGTGAACTCGAACGCAAAGTAGAGATGAAGCTGAGTGAAGAGACAAATGAACAGTGGGAGAGACGGAAGGCCTTCCTAATGGGTAAGCGCTTCAACGCGGTTCCATTGTACAATATCAAGTCACATTTTGTGACTATCGACTCCGCAGTCCTTCACGACATCATGAAGGAGATCAGTCCGGAGTTCATTGTTAGCAGGGAGGACTTCACCGGCGAAAACCGGAAGACGTACTGGAAGAATATCTTCAATTTCAAACGTCTGAGAGTGAGCGAGCAAAAGTTGTTCACTGGGATGATCGAAACCGATGGAGTAGCCTTGTGTGTACACTATCGGCGGTTGAAGAAAGATCGGTCAGTCCCTCCCTCAGCTGCGCCCGTGACGAAAGATGAAGAAAACAAAGAGGAGGATCCTGCGATGCAGGAGGTGGAGGATAACGACTTTGTCGTTGACGAGGCGAAGCATGAAGAAAAGAAGGAGGTGGGTCCTGCGACGCAAAAAGTGCATGAGAACGACTTTGTCGTTGACGTGACGAAGCATGAAGAAAAGAAGGAGGCGGATTCTGCGACGCAGGAGATGGAGGATAACCACATTGTCGTTAGCGCGGCGAAGCATGAAGAAAAGAAGGAGGCGGATCTTGCGACCCAGAAAGTGCAAGATAACGACTTTGTCCTTGGCGCGGACCCCGGGAATACGAATATCATAACCATCGCAGCACCGAAGCGTACGGAAGATGGGACTGACGGTAACTTACGTCAGAAAGATATGCGTCTTTTGAGATTCTCGAGAGCGAGGTACTATCGAGAATCGGGAATCATGAATGCAAGGAAGAAAATCGAGGCATGGAGAGCAGGAATGAAGGATCACCTGGAAGCTTTGAGCGAGGTGACGAGCCGCGGAGCGGACTTTCGAGCTTTTCGGGAATGCATGGAAGTTCGCGTTGCGCATTGGGATGCGCTGTGGGAGGAGTACACCAAGCCCCGGTGGGCTCGGTTGCGAATGAATCTCTACTGTGAAAAGCAGCGGGCGTTCGCGAATTTTTTTAATCAATTGAGCGCCCTCGAGTAGAATGAAAGTCAGAGGCTCGTAGTAACGTATGGGGCAGGGCGCTGGGCGCCCAAGAACGGCACTACGCCAGCTCCAACGACGAGGGTGTACAAGGAGTGCGCAAGGCGTTTCGTTACGATACCTGTAGACGAGTTCCGAACGTCCTATACACACCACGAGCTGGGGTGCACACTTCAGAGGGTCGAAATGGAAAAGTGCCAGAGGAGCCCTGAGGAAATAGCAAAGTACAGACCGCTGATGGAGGAGCAAATGGAAACGAGGGCGAAAGTGCGAGGGCTGCTTGCATTAGTGTGTACAACCAATGATGGCAAGAAACGTACGGAATTTGTTAACAGAGACTTTAATGCCGCAATCAATATAAGGAGATGTGCGGTGCTGGAGAAGAGACCTCCAGAGTTGACGAGAGACAACTTCATTGGACAACCTCTAAAAGTTGAAATATATGAGACAGGGTTGGAAGCAATAGTAGGTGGCCGGTCCAAAAGGGCTGGGAGGCGTCTGCGCCACAGATGGCGACTTCTTGTCTAGGGCGGGTCACTCGCCACTTCTGTACACGCCCGACGTCGTTCGACTTTCGAACGGCGTTGTTGGTGTGCGGTGTCAGCGCCGTCCATTTGTTTTATTCTTCTCAAGGCGCTTCCACTGCGGTTTGTGGTCTTTTGACGATGTTCTTGGGTATGAAGCTGAAAAGATGACTCCCCGCCCCCATGAAGTGTCTAGTTGACGAGCAAGGGGACGTTCGGCCCTGCTTCCCAGGAGAAGCGACGGAAAAGGACTTGCCAGCTCCTGCCCATATTCGAGTGGACGGGGAAAGTTGCCGTCTGTGAGAGAGCCGAAGGTGCTTGCTTTCGGCAACACCTGCTGCGACGTGAGCGAGCACTTTGGTCGGGGTACTCTTGTAACTGGCGGGGGTGCCAATACGTGCAAGTGCCTTTCAGATCGCCACCAGAAGTGCACTAAACGGATCCAAACCTCAGCACCTCCACTTTAACGCTTTTGTGGGTCCATGAACACTCCGACGACGCAAGGGATCGTGACCGCGTCGCGCTTTGCCCAGAGAGGCCCGTGGCAGGGAAGGCTGTAGAAATCTTGCCGTTGTCGAGCTGCATACGATAGTGAACGTTCGTCAAATCGCACACATCCCTCGCCGATGCAGTGAAGGTTGCCATGAACCTGTTGAAACGCATGCATATCGTCGAACCTGGGAATGATGGAAACATTTACGCATTCTGACACCTCTTGGGTTAGTGCGCATCGTACTCTTCGCACCATGAGCTAATCTGGCGCCAGAACTGACCTGGGTTCCGTGAATTCCTTTCGAATGGACCATCTCGCTGCAAGTAAAGTTAGAATGCAAGCTTCCGCTCTGTCGTCTATGGAAGTCACCGATCCCCACGGTTTGTAGAATGAATCAGATTCTATTTGGAACCGCGGTGGAAAAGCCTCCACTCCCTTTGCATTGACGAGCTTTAAGTAGCATTAGACGCCGCACGGGAAATTCTTCAAAGGTGCACAAGAACGAGTCCTCTGCATAATTCGCACGCGAGCTTGAGTGGGCATTGGTAGACGCGTGTCCTAGCACGCATAGAACGAAGATGACAGACTACTGCTTGCGGCCCCCAAATTGGCGGCATTGTTATGTGTTTCAGTGGACCAAACAGGTAGCTGCACTTCTCGAGCGTGACTTCAGCTCAGGCACGATTGAAGAGACGAGATCGACCGGATCGCAGTCGCAATTCGGAATCGCTCTCCTCCTGACTACGCAGGGATGCACTAAATACTGGTAATACGCGGAAGCAAGCTTCGAGCTGACCCTTGCTATGGTCTGCCTGAGCCTTCCAGTCCACTTGCGGGACCGGTAGCGGCACATCCAGCGCCATCGAAGGCGTCTCTCATAAACGCGATTCCTGGAAACTTGCCAAATCCAGCCATTGTTTCTGAGAAGAATACAGTTCCAGGGCTCATGGTCGAGTCCGCAAGTATCCGCATCAAGGGCGAGATCCTTGGAACAAGAACTGTCAGCCGGCATCTATCCGGACGAGGCCGTCTCGTTGCATGAATCCCATGTCATAAAAATATAAATAGAGCATATAACCTGTGGATCACGAAAGCAAATCTATGCACAACTAGCGTCACATAGCCGCACATACGCAACGCAGCTGCTCTGGCGCTTCTGTCGCGTCGAACACGTTACGATGCAGTGCGAAAACGGCACGCTTCTGAGCTACATCAAGGTCCAGGTATTTTGTACCAAGCGGTTCTATGAACCCCAGGCAAAACAATAATCTCCTATGCGCAACGGAGCCCGCGATTTCCCGATGTGCATGCCGTGCGATGTTGCTCTTGTGTGAAAAAGCGGAGCGCCTGCTGCCCTGTGAGTTCGCCATTCGCCGTGTCTCCGCGTCCAGAAGGCACCATGGCCAGAATACGCTGCCGACAAGTTCAGCCTTAAAAAAGTTGCCGTCCAGGCTCTAGGTTAACGCACGAAAACCCCCCGTACAGCATTCATGGCATGGGAGCCGCTCCCTTGCGGAAAACCTGAACTCGGCGGAAAGCGATTGTGCCCGGGCGGCCGGATGCTGCCACGACAAAATGTAGACGTTGCAGTAGACGATTTCGGCGGAGCTTTTCCTCTTTTTCCTTGTTACTCAGAGAAATCCCACTGGACTTTTTTGGTGACGCATCCACACCAGAGTATTGGTATGAGTCTGTCTCCCCGGCATCAGAAAGGCGGTCTGAGTTGCGCGCAGTACCATTTTGATGTGTCGGTTCCGAACTCATATCGATCAGATCTGTCTCGACACTGTCCACCATCATCAGACGATAGACAATGACCCGCTGCTTCGCTCCAATACGATGCGCTCTGCTTATGATCTGATGCTCTTGGGAGCGATTCCAAACAGGTTCCATGATGATCATGCGTGTTACAAAGCTGAGGTCGAGTCCCAGTGCGCCTTTTTCATCCATCAGGAGGATCCAAGTGTGCGGATCGTAGATGAACCGGTCGATCTGAGCGCGTCGCTCTGTTGGACTCAAGCGCGAGCAATAGTATGCAAAGTCAAAATTTCCTTGACACAAATGGTAGTGAATGACGTCGAAATGATGAGCAAAGTTTGAGTAAATGATCACTTTTTCCCGCTTGCCGTGCGCAACACAACTCTGTCTGCTGTTGCCTCCTTGATCAGAACAGGGAGCGCCCTCCCGGCTCGCTGTGTATGTCGCGCTGGACCACTCTCCGAGAAGCTGCAGCATGCGGGCGATCTTACTCGTCATTTTTCGATCCCACCTGGGAACCCAGGCCTCTTGAGTGAAGCTGGGCTGCATTTCGATCAAATCGACCGGCTCCTGGCGGCGACCGAGCACATACTTGCGGCCACATATGTTGCACGCATACCTATTCGTAGCCGCACAGTCAAGGCACTGGATATGAGCACACGGCGTAACGATTGGCATGAGGGAGCCAATGCGACCACAGGATTCGCAAATACAGCCTTGGGCATATACAGGGTCGCGAAGCACGCGCTCAATATGACGTAGTCTATCTTCTATGTAATCGACTGGTGACAGTGCCGCGGCAATGTCGGCGCCGGCGTCGCCGAGCGCTGGAGGCCCACCACAGTGTTCTCCAGGAGATTCTGCGGGGGGCAAAGGTTGTGCGCAGCGTTGTGCGAAAGGTCCCGTCTCTATGCCCGTAGACTCGAATGCTTGCATGGGGTAGCGCAGCGCTTCGACCGCCGTCGATTGGGTCCCCGTCTGTGCAAGCTCTGGATCCAGGTTGCCTGCTGCCAAGCTCGGGCTCAGCGACCAGAGGCACCGCCGCACTGGGGCAGCTGGAGCGGCGTCCAAAGCGTTCCACGCAGAGTGATCATGCTTCATCAGGACCTGGGCTCTTCTCCGCTTGCAATCGGATGATTGGGCTAGAGTGGAGCTTCCGGTGCTCACAGCTCGATCCATTCCGTTTTCGAAATCAGCAATTGCGTCCCCGCTACAGGGGCTCCACCAGTCTTGATTCGTCTCAGGTACGTGGCGCTTTGCACCGCAACGAAAGCCCAACGATGGGCTCGTATTGTCCTTTGCAGCCTGCATAGATTGTCTTAAGGTGCGAAGAAGCTCTTCGAGTTCCTCTCTAATAACTTCAAATTTCATATGGCCTGTCACGCAACAACAGAGCCTTAGGTTCTGCAGTACAACTCGCGCGGATTTTCTGTTTTCGGGATTCAAAAGCGATTCCCGATGATTCTCGTCGAAAAAGTCAGCTAGGAACAAATTACGCTTGACTACGGACACAAGCGCATTATAGGCATCCGCCTCCTCTTTGGTGAAAGAAAGCATTTCATCGCGTACTTCCAGATGAGGTATGTCCTGAACCTCTTCCTTCGTGGACCGGATCATGATATGGTCTAGAGTTTGCTGTAGGATATGAATGCCCTCGTAGCCTAGTGCGCGCTCCAGCGGTCGCTGAACGCACTGCTGGAAGACCGCACGGCGCGCCCATACGAACGGTTCCAGTCCAAGAAAGGAAAAAAGTGGGTACAGGTGATGCACCTCTGCAATTCCACTCTTGGTAGTTGGAGTTGGAGTTCCAGTCATGATCCATCGCCGCTCTGCTAGTACTATGAGGCAGCAGCGCTGCAGACTGGTGCATGAAAGCGAACCCAGTGAGTGTCCCTCGTCGATAATCATACGTAGCCAATAAACCCGATTCAAAATGCTCAGCCCACGAACCAGTGAGCTATACTCGCTGCGAAGTTCGTTCAATGATATGAAGACGACATCGTAGTCGGCGATTTCCCGCACCACAGCATTTCGAATCTGGCTGAAGAGGCAGTAGCGGAGCTCATGTGGTGCTCGCACGAGACGACGTATCTGAACCGTCCAATGAGGTATCAGGTTCTCGGGTAATGCTACAAGTGTCGTTGGAACGCAGACAATAAGGTGATAGTCGAAAGCACACTCTATTTCTGGTACGCGCCTGCTCTTGCACCGTCTCCGAAATGGCATCGCAAACGGCTCTATCGCTGCGCTGGGTCCCTGCGCGTACTCTGATGGCTCCATGAGCAGCGTACCGTCCGCGCCCTGGTTTCCAGTGTGTTCATTCGCCAGCGCGCACAGACCCGCGCATTCCAGGATTGTGCTCCGCGAGGCTCCCCTGCACAAGCGAGCACCCGCAGCGGAGGCAGCGGGAATGCCCTCCGATGCGAGACGGAGAAAACCGCTCGGTCCCTGCAGATATTTTCCGCTAACAATGAAGAACCAAAGTTTTTCGCGTCCCGGCTGCACATATAACATTTCCGATGGCGGCAATACGCAAGTCTTTGCTGTGTATGGGTTTTGCTGGACCACGAGGCGCAGATAAGCTCCTATAGCGCCCTTAGCGGCAACGCTTCCGACGATCGATGACAGCACACCTTCGTGGCATTGTAGCCAGTTGCCCAAAAACCGCAGCAGTTCCGGTACCTGTCCCGTACAGCATCCGTTGATGTGGTTGTGAAACATATCTGAATACTCCTCCAGCCGACTGCGCACTGCTCCAACATCCTGTGTGAATTCATCCAAACTTGCTCTGCTCAGCCTCGCTCGCGCTTTCTCAATAACCTGGTCCAGGAATTGTAGTGTTTGCTTACAAATAAAGACGGCCAAATCGGTTTCCGAAGAGCCGAAGTACTCAACGTCTACGGAAAACAATGGAATGGCGGGAATTGTACTGCGTGTACGTGCGATCAGCGCAAGTGCAGTTACGGTTTTGCCCAGACCAGGCTCATCACAGAGCAACCCTCCGCGACAATCATAGCAGGTGCTTTGATTGCGCTCTAGACGCCGATGCATCCAGTTGAAATAGAGATCTCCGTCCAAATGCTGAAGAAGAGGGTTTTTCCACTGGGGTAGTGGCGCTACTGGCCCGCATCGGTGCTCTCGATGACGCTCGCGCGAGAGCATCCACAAGACAGCTGCCTGCTGGTGCTTAAACAGCTCCACATTCAGCTCGGGTACGATCGGGTTCGTTAGGCAGCGGAACCAACTCGACAGCTGACCAAGCGCCAAAATCGTTGGGCTATCTGTGTGCTGAAATATCTGCACTAGCACATTTTCCGGCAGAGTTTGTAACGAGGAGCACTGCGTATACGCTGACGCATAGATGTTCTCGAGGTGCTGCATCGCTCTGTGCTTCAAATGCAGGAAAGCTTTGAGTTTCGATGGTAAAACGCGGATAACTTGCGCCAAGCGAAAACGCTTGGGCGTCGCAGAGTGCCTGTTATCTCTCGCGTCGCACGCTGTGCATGGATAAACGCCGCAGCTGGGAATTCGAGGCGACGGCTCCAGGGTGCTGCCGAAGAGACGCTCCATCAGGAGGTGACGTGCAAGCCATAGAAAAGAATCATGTGTTGCGGATCGCTTACCTGGTATCAATCCAATGGTTGCATTTTCTGGTGGCTCTTTCTTCAGATGCGGCGTTAGAGAAACCACGAACCAGATCTGGCGATCGATTTCCTGCTTGACACATTCTAGCACTTCAAAATCAAGAAACTGCTGCAGCGTGCGCAAGTATCCAGCGACTTGTCCACTGAGCAGCAGAGAATAGCCATCAATGCTGACGTGCGTACCCTGATCTTGCTGCACAGATCTCTCTACTAATCTGACGCTGGCGATTTCCGGTTTTGTAACATTCAGCGGGCGCACGTCCCGGGCTATGATTCGGAGCCTGGCTTGATCCGCAGCGTGGACATTGCTGTCATCTGAAACTATAGATAGGCGAGCAGCACTATGCGATTTCTCCCTGCACGGCTGCATGTCAATAAATTCGGGTACTTTCCCATTAAGGTCGACGCTAACGTCGTTACCGGGGGCGCAGCCGCTGCCGTTGAGAAACCGCGCACCACAACCAAGTGGCATAGATCCTCTTTCGGTGTTATGCCCGGCGAGTCCGAGAGTTTTCACGAAAGGAGGCAACCTGGTGGCCGTTTCGGAGACGCCGCCGTGCACTTTTTCGACCGGATACAGCACAACCTTATTCCCAAGCTTTGATGCTGTTGTCCAGTCTACACAAAAGAGGTCCTAAGCGAGTGCGTCGTTCGTGGTTGATGGCAATTTTGCGGACGAAAACTACGGCTCCCGCAACTCACATTAAATTATGGTCGCTCAACTCTGTGGTTTTGCGAGAGCTCCTACTGGCTGAGACCAAATCCAAAACAGGTGCTCCAGAGGTGCTGAACAGGAACGCTTACGATTGCATACCTCGACACAGCCCAACGTTTATCAAGGGTACTGTGAAACGCCGAAGCGACTAACGCAAACCTTCCTGACTTTCGGTCACGATCTTCGTACCGCAGCAAGCTCTGAAACCAACTATCTTTCACACAGGATCAGTCCAAGACTTTAACAGATAACTCAGCGTAAAATTGTTCGCAGGCTGCTCACGCCCAGGCGCAACAGTCTAGGTTTGGAGTACCTTAATTATGTTCCACCCCATGTGGATGCTATTGAATGCTTTTTCGCAGTTTACGGGAGATTTGTTCGAAGCGCGTTCATTTGAAGAAATAGGAAATCTAAAGGAAATGTTTGGCCATGGAAGTGGGGGATTCCGGAGTGCCGTCATTGCCGCCTACTGCTGGTAAACAACGAAAAAATCCTCTTCTCGCCGATCATCAATAGCAGATGAGCCAGTAAAGAAGAAGAAGGGGAGATCGGAGAAAAAGCTTTCTGCGCGACGGGGCGATGACGAGACTTTAGTGGCGCCGAGGGCGCGAGTTCTAGCAATCTAAGCACTGATGGGTTCAACCATCAGCAGGTAACACATGGAGTTCATGAACTGAGATTTCAACACCGCCATCAATAAAAGACGGTGTGCCGTGCCGAAGACGAAACCCGAGGAGCTGACGCGAGCCAACTTCGGGGGATGGCCTCTCAGGCTCCAAGCGGACAAAGGGAAGCTGAAGCCGATAGTTGGGGGCAGGTCGAATACAAGCTGGGAAGCGTCTGCGAGAGGGTAGATACATGTACCCTCCATGGTCGTTGGACATTTTTCGTTCCACGAAGCATTACAGGGCAATTAGCTCTGCAACGATTTTGCGATTGGTGACTCAAGTCCAAGTCCAAGACTCTTTCCCGATGGAACTGAGGGGACGGGAGCCTTTTGGAGCATATCCCCTCGGATGAATCATACTGTTGTCGAAGGCAGGTTCGTCGATGACCGCAAAGAGCGGAGGATAATTTTTTCGAGAAAATCGATTCTCTGACGTCAGACGTTCAGTGAACTTTGGACACGAGCCCATGAACTAGTCCTGAAGCTCGACATCGAGTTTTCTCTTTGTCGATCCTGCACCGCGGATCGCTGCGCCCATCACATGCCTCGAACGGAAAGATCGTGAAATTGAAGAATACGTGATTGAGTCATCGTATATGTAAGTAAAGGAGAAGAGTCGGAGCATGTATTTATGCATAAAACAACGATATCCGTTATTTTTTGAGCACTGGTTCGGGAGCGTCGCGAATCATTTACATCACAGAGATGTAGCGGATTCCAGCGGGAAAGCGCCACTGGAGCCAAATCGAAAGCCTACTGGTATTTCTAAAATCATCTATGAAAGTAATAAACCCTCAATATTGCACTAAGAATATCGAGCCTGAACAACGAGAAACAACTCGGAAGAAACCTATTTGCAGGAACGGAGCGAGCAGTCCAGCGTTCCATTTCAGTGCGACACGCGGCAGGAGCGTGTATTCCAGACTCGCGGCCCTAGCATCTGCGATGCACCCGCCAGCGTCGAGCCGACAGAGGCAGCAGGCTCGCAGAGCGTATGCTCGACATTAATCATGATCATACATACCCATAACTTCCAAGAGTGATCGGCGTCTCTCGAGGGTGCGAGATCTTGTATAAACATGTATGTATAGAAACTTTATATCCCTGCGGACTGGCTGGCGAGGCACGCACGCGACCGGAGGTGCGCGGCACCATTCACCGCCGTGCGCGCGTTCCAATACGCATTTGTGAGTAAGTGCTTGAACTCATACGGAAAAACTCGTGGGAATAGTGACGCAGAGACGTAACTCGCGCACCAGGAGCGCTTTGTCACACTGTTAATTAGGGATTCTTAGAAGTTTCCTTAGAAGTATCGAGGGTTATTACTCAGAGACATTGGTTTTTGCGGTTAACGTAACTAGTTCGTCTGGTTGACAGCGACAGTGCTCTGTTCCGTGAAAGCCGAGGTCTTTGTGCGAATGGCGTGTTTGCGAGTCGCATTCACTCCTTCGGGGGCTGTATCTTCAGAGAAGTTTTTGATTAGGAGGAGGAACTGCACCAGTGTTCGGCGAGCGAGGTCAGGAACGAGCTTTGCAACGCTTCCGCGCTGTCACGTCGTACAACGTTCTGCTGAAGAACCTCGGAGTCACGCCCTCTGCACTGTGCTAGAGCGAAAACGTGCTTCTTTGCCGTTTAACCCGAAAGTGTGGACGCAAGGATCCGCATCTGGGACTGAGAGCCCGTTAGCAAGTTTATGTGGTGGAGGATACGGCGGCAACAGTGGCCACAGCGGCGGCGGCGGTGGTAGCGACGGCGGCCGAGGTCGTAACGAAAGACCAGACGGGAACGACGAGAATGGACCACTCTCGCTTCTGACGCAACTGGGGGCCTTGCTCTTCTGTATCTGGCGAAGACTAGGTGACACAAACCCGGAATGTCTCCGTGCTTCTCTGTTCGGGACGGTACTACTGGCGACGCAATTCAATGAAAATCCGCATACGAGGAGGCACGTTGCGGGCTCCGTCGTAGATGCAGCAGCCTTTGTTGGCGACTCGCAACGACCCGTTGTTATTTTGTTGTCGTGGCTCGGTGCACAGCAGCGACATATGGTGAAATACGCAGAGTGGTACAGAGACCGTGGCTACGATGTGATCACGTTGTTTAATGGTCTCCAGACGGCGTTGATTCCGGCCTTCTCGCGACGACAAGCACTGCGTGTGCTACATTTAATGGACGAAATCCCTGAAAATAGACCGATAGTGGTCCATTCGTTTTCTATTGGCACAGGAATCTACGGCTATATGCTAGACATCATTCAGCGGGGCCAGTACGTCACAGAGGATATGGGTCGAAAACTCCAGCGGCAGATCCGAGGAGTGATATTCGATTCGGGACCAGGACACATGCAGGCGAGTTCTCTAGCCCAAGGTCTCTATGCAGCCTGTCCAAAAGTGGGGTACCGTGTCTGGAATGCTGTTGCGGAAGCTCTGTTTCGATTTCTGAATGTTGCTGAGGGTTTCCGGGCAGCGGAACACGCCCTGCAAAACGTGCAACTCCCATCCGTTCCGCAACTCTACCTCTACAGCCTCGATGACAGCATTGTGAAAGACCTTGACAAGAGCGTGCGTGAGTACATCGATGCTCAGAGACGTCGGGGGCTGGAGGTCTACCAAAAAGTTTGGGAACAGAGCCAACATGCCACACATTTCAAAGTGCATCCCGAAGAGTACAAGGCACAAGTGGAGAGCTTTTTGAAGCGAGCTTTGAGTGATGTTGAGGTCGGCATGCGCGGCATGCTCGACAAACTGCATGAGGCGACCGGCGATTCCGAGTCGAAGGCTAATCCGACTTCGATAACAGCAGCACCAGCAGCAGCAAAATGAAGATTGCTGCAAATCCAGAGACAACAGGGCAATATCTCCGACCAGATTACTCGGCCACGTTGCAGAATGCGACTAGGGCGATCCTCCGCGACGTTTCTGCATGGACGAGCGTTTCTTCTGTACTTTTAATGCGCCCCTAATCTTTCTGGATACATCGATATTAGGTTCGAGTCCAGTTGGGATGCGCAGGGTCTGCAAGCTCAACGGAGCGAAAAAGTTTCGCAGCTGTAGGGTAAATGGATATCCAGTCACAAACGCCTCCCAGCCGTTCTTGGCGGGCCCCCTGCAATCGCCCTCAGCTTCTACTTTTGCGCGTCGAGCCTGAGAGGCTGCCCAACAGAGTTGGCTCGCGTGGGCTGGTCGGGTCTCGGCTTCGCCGTGCATCGTCTGATATTCATGGCGGCATTGAAGTCCCGGTTCACAAACTCGTTGCGTTTCTTCCCGCCAGTTGAACACAGTAGTGGGAGAATTCCTCGAACTCGTACCCTCTGTCCCACTACAGTCTCGTCACAATCTTCATCTTCGTAACATGCTCTTCTTCGCTGCGAGGTTGGCGAGAAGAGGATTTTTTCCTTTTTTTGTTGAACTCGGGGACAACGGAACTCCGGGACCCCCAATTTCCACGTCCAAACCATTTTGTAGATTTTCGATTTCTGAAAAAGAACGCCTTTCGAGCGAATCTGCTATAAACCTCGAAAAAGCATTTGATTACACCCACCTAGGGCCGGAACACAATGTAGGTGAAAGATTATGAAACGTATACAAGCACGCTGGAGTCTTCGTTCCACTGGCACGGACAAGTCGTTTATCACTAGGTAGGGATAACCCGTGGATCAAATGTCCATCAAGGTCTGGCACCATCGCAAAGGAGCTGCCAGCATCCTCTGCCGTTTCCTCTTTGGGAGGTCAGCACTAGGCATCGTTTCTTTTGCGTTCCATCGCAATTCTAGGATGCCACATTTGCTTTCATGGCCGTCACATCCATTCTGATCCTCAAAGCCTCCACATAACATGAAACCGACGCAGGCGCAGTGCACGTGGCATCTCATCATGCTCGCTAACGTACACAAACCGAAGATTCGCTCCAATCATGCATCAAGGGAACAGAGTACCAGCAAAGTTGCAGGCATCACAGCTACCGGAAAGCTGGCAGCGCCCCCCATGACGGAATCACTAGCAGTAGCATCCTTGAGGATGCTGCAGATGGCGTTTCAAATATTGCTCCGCGGAGGCCTTGCCTTCAATGATGATAATGCAATCCGGCAAGTCAGTGAAGGGGAAACTCAAGCCTCCACGAAAAGAACCAAGGCCGCAAAAAGTTTGCATATAGCATTCCAACCGTACCAAGGCAAAAGCTGATAGGCAGCCAGGTATAACTTTTCATCACTGTTCGAATACTCTGTTAAATTGTCCAAAAAATCACCGGCACAGGCCCGCGGCAAACGAAAAATCAGTGTAAACGGTAACGGTCTACCCGCACCGGGATAAAACCAGCCGTTGAGAAGCACATCAACGAGAAACCATACCTGCAGTATGCGCGCGGGTGAAACTTGGAAGATTTCCGTTTGTTGCACCTTTGAGAACCACCTAGGAACTTGTCTGGAGCGAATCGAACGGGCGACTTTTGCACCTAAACTTGACCCCAAGAAAACTGGAATCATGGCTTGGAGGTTAACGAACAGTGCCTCCGGGCGCGAAGGCTCTCCACTCCAAAGCAACAGCGTGATCAACAGGCGCAAGCCCAAATAGTATATAACTGGGCCCGTAAACCAGCATGGTATGATATTTGTATCCCGTATCAACCAAAAAGTGGAGCGTTTCCACTGAAAAATTCGAAAAAACCACAGCATGAGCGGATTGAAATTGAGTCGCTCCAGAAGTCGCAGTCGTTCCGAGTGTCTCGCTGCAAGACGCGGCAGCGCACCGCACTGCGTACGGAAGATGCTGCCTTTGCTAGCGGACTCGTTCCAAGGCTCAGCCGAACCCGCCCCAGGTGAATAATTGTCCGTGAGGGGCGCGCGCTTCCCGTTGGAAACGCTCGCAGCAATAGGTTCAACATTCGCGGCATGTGCAGACACATCCGGAGGCGTTTTTTCGAGAGGTACATCCTGGGCCTCGCCGATACTGGCCCGCTCGTTGCCGCTTTCGCAGTCGATCCAGCAGACGAGACTCCAGAGCTCTGTGCAGCAAGCGGCACCAACGCTGCATGCCAGTGCCGTGGCTACATCGATCGCGACAAGCTTCACACAAGAGGAGGGAGGACAAAAAATACCAATAAAGTAGAAAAACGCCATTGCAGAATTCTGCAGGATGAGAAACAAAATGAGGAAAGTGCGCGACGCCCATGCTGGAGTGGGGATTCGGGCACATGTCGCATGCATATCAGAATCGCGAGGAGCCTCGATGGTATTCGCAGTGGATACCCCGAAAGCACTTGCAGATTCCAGAGGTTTTGAGGTGTCGGAAACGTGCGAAGCACGCGCAACGGTCGACCCCGGTCGATCAAGACCCCGATGAACCCCGTGCTCGCAGTCGACAGGGATGTGATGGACGCCATCATCAAGCGATGACGCCCTCTGCCGCGAGATGCGGGACCAGTTATGACCCTGTGGAGTGCTCTTGAGTGATCTCGGGGACTCCCGCCGGGCGCCCCGATAATGATTCTGGCCAGCTAAGATGATGACACCGAGGATGAGCATCCAGAGAGAAGCGAGTTCGCCCACGGAGCGCCGTTGTGGTATGTAATGCGCGCAGGCTTGCAACTTGCGGCTCGCTGCCTCATTGCCGCAGGACCACGCGTGCACCACTTGCCGACTCATGACAGGGTCGACTAGGTAAGGGCGCGGATCCTTGTTCGGATCCGTTGGCACGAATCTAACAGAGACCGCCTGAGCCGAGTTACGGTTTCCAGCGGATGCGTTCCGCATAGCGTCGTGCACCTCTGGTAGCTGCGAAATCCGAAACTCGATGTGAGATACGAAATATCGCGACTCTCCCACACTTAGCGGATCTGAGACATAATGAACTAGGAGTTCTGAGCTCGCGTTTTCCCGACGAAATCGATTGGTATCGAAAGGTCCCGTGTTAGCAGGAGATGCTCGCGTGTGCTGGCTTACCGCTGTGGGACTATCCGTTCCACTCATCATCCTTACGCGGTGCACATCGAGCCACATAGGACCCTGGGATAGCACCTCAAAAGAGTTCGCGGTTTTCGAACACTGCAGCGTAAAGCGCGAAGGCTTGAGAAACAGCAGAGCCGGGCCGCTCAGCGCAACACGCTGTTCGCCACAGAACTTTTCCAGAAATCGCAAGCGCCTTTGCTCGAACTTGATTGGTCGACAAACGCCTTCATCTGTACAGAAGTGTCGACAAGAGGTGAGAACGTGTCCAGGACGCACAGTGAGGTGAAGCGGCTGAAGCTTTCCATAGTTTCGTTGATAGGCACGCAATCGAACAACATCGCTGCCACCACAAGGCCTTTTCGGCTGAAGGGAACACAACACAACGAAAGCAAATGTCAGAACCAGATATTTTAAGAAGTGGTTCACTTTATGGGAGGCGTGCATGGTACCGCTGCTCACACAAGTGCCAACACCGCACGCGAAGTTGAAGCAAAATTAAAAACTACCCGCCAAGTTTGTCTGCGCCATCGCGACTGGTTGAAACTGCCTCAGACCCGATGCCAGGGTCCAGACGAATCAACTGCATGGAAGTTCGCCAAGAAACCATCGAAGATTGTCTAACGCATGCAAGGCAAGCGTATCCCAACAGAGGTCCGTAGTTTCAAACTGGATACCTCATCGCGAGTTCTTTTCGGCCAGGGTGGGCATGCTCGCACTGATCGAACTGCGTTACCCGGAAATGCACTCTATCTGCTTCACCCGTGCCAGGTCAAAATGAAACTGGTCCTGCCACCTAGCATGGACGTACAAACTAAAGTTTGGGTCCCTTTTCATCGTCAGTAACAGCAGCGTTTGCGAGATATTTCCGAGACTGCTTCGATTGCTGTCGCTCATGTCCGGCTTTAGAAAAACGCGTGTCTCCTGTTGCCATCCAGATTCGATGTCACCAGTCGACCGATGTTGACAGCAGCCTCAAGACTCGATTTTGGAGCTTCCGGTTGTTGTCGATGCACTTCATGCAAAGCTGGAAGCCGCAATCTATGCTTCGCTTGCGTTGCTCATGGCCTTTGTCCACAGCCTCGGTGCGCCATTCGCAACGTTGACACCTTGTTATTGTCTGCTGTTCCCGCATGTCCACCATAACGTATCGTCTGAAAGGACTTTTTTCGTGCCCGAACGCCTGGTTCACCACTCAGTGCATGCTCTTGACGGGAACAGGAAGCTCGCCTCGGTGCCAAGGTTTATTCCCGCGTCCGACGCCATCTCCGACTACCACTAGCTTCTGTTATGCGATACCCTAGACGAGAAACCTGTCCTCTGTAGAGGCAAACGCATGCCATCGCGTTCGATAGAGGGCGTTTGGCATACAATACTGCCCATGATGAAAAAAGTAGCGGAACGCGAATTCCGGCTGCAGAAAGAGCCACGAAATTTCGATCCTTGTTCGCTCACTTCGTACGACGCGAGGACGCACTCTCCACTCGAAGCGATCGCTGCAATGCCGGGATTCCTCGTCAAAGACCCCTGTCCATGGAAAGCGAAGAGACGGGAGCGTCCGGGGGCGTATCCCGAGAGGCGCCTCATGCTGCAGTCGCGCGCTTTTCGTCCATGGCCACAAAGAGAGCTGGAATTGTCTTTCGAACGGAATCGATTATTCGGCGGGACAAATTCACTGAACTTTCGACTTGAGCTTGTGCGGAAGTCTTCAAAGGAAGACTTCAATTTTTTTCTGTCGTCAACCCAGCGGTGCAGATTGCCGCGTCCAGGACCTTCCTTGAAACAGAAAATCGAAAAACTGGAGAATGCGTGGTTTATGCATGCTGTATGAAATGAAAGGAGAAGAGTGGAGGCTTCTACGCAAGAAGTGGATGATAATATCGGGTAGTTTGCGAACTCATGTACAAGAGCGTCGCGACACATCTTGATTCGGGTGATGTAACAGATTCCAGCAGCTACGCGTCGCAGGAGACACGGACAAAAACGACCGGGCATCCTAAGAATACGCACCAGTCCATACATGCTTGTTGCTCTGCTTGAGATGCCGAGAATCTACATCGAAGAAAAAGTTCGGAGAAAAATCGCAAGGCAGTAACAGATGGAGCAGTTGAGTGTTCTCTCTTCATCGAACTAGGCTCTGGAAAGGGTGCAGCATAGAATGCGCTAAGACCCTCCCGTTCCGATCCAGGGCGGAAGCTGCAGATTCAGTCAAGTACTGTGCTGGGGCCCTGATACAACTCGATCACGAGAGCAGTTCAGTGCGCTAAGCATCTGTGGAACTTTGGCGGAAAAACGCACCATGAAGCAGACGGAGTTGCCCCAATAGTGTGCATCCACGACGATCTTGTGGGTCTAGTCTGCCTGAACTTTTTCATCCGAGTGCGACCTGCAACATTCAATTTCAAGAGGCACATAAAAGCGGGGCAGCCGCGTCGCCGTAGCCGCCCTCGAGACAAAGAAACACCTGCAGCAGAGCACGTCTAGCTCTTGCGAACGGCCTATCAGCGTTTTCGCATCGAAGTATGTTCTGTCGAGATCAGCTTCCGAACGAAGCCGGTAGCACTATGGACACGGGTGCAGTTTCGAAATTGACATCGTATGCGCATCGCAGAGCAACTCAACCCCATTATCCATCGATCACGATTCATCCAGGTAGTCGACATCCGATGCCTCCCCATCGTCACCGTCCTGGCGCTCTCCCAGGTCCGTTTCGCCGTCTCGCTGGATAAGAGAATCCACATAATCGGATTCTGCAACGAGCTGTGCACGTTTCGCCGCACGCTCTACAGCTTCGCGTTCACGGCGACGGTTCTCCCGCTCCTGGTCCCGTTCGCGACGAGCGGCTTCCAGTTCGGCCGCGCGACGCTGGAAGAGTGTATCCATCATCGCTCGCTGATTCTCGGTCTTCAGATGATCTTTCAAGCTGTACATTCCTCGATATGGTCCACGTTGGTTATAATCACACAGCTCAGAGATGACTGGCTTCAATCGCGCTGCCGGGATCTGTAAGTTCTCCGCCAGGTCCTGAAGGCGCCACCAGAACTGCTCCTCGAAGAGACGGAAAACGCGCGTCGTGACGGACTCACGCCATTCATTTTCATCTTTTGCGTCAACAATAGCCCGGGAGCTGGCGTCCCGCCTGAGTAATCGCGTCTGCAGGCGGTTCTCGATCTGACGCGCGAACTGAGACTCTATTTCCTGCGCCGCTCTCCGTACGCCAATGAATGCCGGACCGGAAACCGGTGTTTCGCCACTAGCTTTGCTTGCGGATCTCGCCATCAGTCCGGAGACGAGTGCCGGTTGCGATTCTGCATCAGGGCGAAGACGTTTCAGCTCTTCTTGGCGCAGGTCAGCGTCAGAGATGGATCGAATTCGCTTACCCGCTTTGCGTACCGTTGTCTGATGCATCGTTGCACGACGGCGGTGCATTGCTCGCAATGCGTCATCCAGACGAGGCTGCAGACCACCGATGCTTAGAACCGTCCCTTCAAGCCGTGCAGGCGCGTATGGATCGCTTGAGTCTATTGAAAAGACTTGCATGTTAGGATTCTCTTCGTATATCCGAAGATCGTATCTCGTTGGAATTTGGTTCCGTTCAACTGCATCTGATGCGGCCTCTTCCCAACTCTCTGGTACATGTGACCGAAGAACCGGTTCATCGAGGATCACCTGCGCAACAACGTTGCCCGAATTCGGTGCTCGGGCAGCCTCGTGGGAACTGACTGCCCCGTCTTCAAAAGGTTTCAGGGCGGAGCTGACACGTAGGCGCCCGATGACCGTCCCCGTTCCAGGCGGTAGCGCGGTTTTTGCCCCCGTTCCCAGTTCGACAGCAGCCTGCAACTCCCTCTCAGCGCACTTGTCAAGAATCTCGCCGAGAAAGCGAGGCATGCGTAAAACATAGAGACCACGGTCCCGGTTCGTGACGTCCAGGAGCCCCACAGCAGCGGACGTGCCCTCGCCACCGCCGCGGTACGACTGCGCGTACACCGAGCGTTTCCGCCGCCGCCATCGGGAACGGGACCACGTCCGCGACTTGTTGCGCGACGCTCTGCCTCCGCCGAACCGCATGCGTCACGCAAACGACCCGGACGTCTGGGGAGCTGATGCGTACAACACGGTTTCACCTCGTTGACAGTGGTTTCCCGGCAAGCAACGTTATCGCAAGGAGAAGAATTTCCCTCGTCTAGAATCACGACGCGGAGCAATCAGTTCAAGTCCGCCGAAACGTAGCCGCAGCAAGTTCGTTTACCGGCAGGTGCGAACGCTATCACAGCAGACGAAACAGTATGTGTGTTTCAATGACTGGCATTTCCATTAAGGGCGTCGCCTACGCCTCGAGGCCCAGGGATAAAGATTCCACGATTGTACAGTTTGTTTTCAAATGTATAGATTGTCCATAAAGTACAAGAATGCGCCCGCGCTACGTCGTCATCTATTCCGCCACGCAATCCTATCAGTGACATTTCATTGCTCTCTCACACGAGCAACACAATGGCAGGTAAGAAAAAGTGGTCCAAGGGAAAAACGAAGGAGAAATCCGACCATAAAGTAATATTTGATCCCGAAACGCACGATCGCCTGCTTAAGGAAGCCGCAAAATACAAACTGATTACCACGAGTGTCCTTGTGGAACGTTTGAAAATAAACGGAAGCCTCGCCCGGTCTGCGATTCGAGAGCTCATCGCGAAAGACCTCGTGAAGCCTGTGTCGACACACCAGGCACAGTTGGTCTATACGCGTGCGACGCATGGTGCAGCGGAATGAATGTTTTGGGAAGGAACCTCCGGGAAACGCTCGCTGGTAGGGTCGTTGTGGGTAGGCTCGTTCGGGAGCGCGAGTGCTTACTTTTGCCGACGACAGCGTTGACTTTGTAGCGTTTCGCTGGATAACCGGTGAGCACACGCGTCTTTGAAACACCCGGTTCACCTTGCGTGTTTCAACGTCGTCGTGTTTTTACGGAGCGTGTCGAGCTTCTTGCAGGGTCTGCGCTACTGCGTCGAGGGTGGTCTCGATAAGCGCTGCGAGTCGCACGTGTTGTGCTGGCGGTGCAACTTCAACGTCTTGTTCTCGTCGTGCCCATTGTTCCAAGTTGTTCGATATGATGGCCACGAACGACGCTGAGAGTCGCTCGCAGCGGTTCGGAAGGTGCCAAACAATGTCGTGCAGGCGAAGCTGGATTCCGCACAGTGCCTGAGATGCCGGCTCTAGCTTGAGGATGACCTCAACACGAATATGTTTCGTTATATCAGAAAAGAGTGCATGCACAAGGCCAGCGTGATCATGGGACTCCCGATATTCAACTTCATATGGCTTGGTCCGCTTCCATATGCTAATATTGCGGAGGAGAGCCTGGAGTTCAGTTACTGCTCTAGCGACGGCGAATAGGACCCAGCGCAGTTGCCAAAGGGGCCTCCCGGAGATGGCTCGCATCACGCTGAAGTGCTCTCGCTGCTGTGCTGTAAACGATGCGACAACGGCTTGCGCTACACGCTCGATGAGAATCGGCGCTTCCGTTGCCTCGTTTGGAGGCGTCACGCCACACGCCTGAACATTGTTGAGGACGAGTGAACCGCATGCGTCGGAAGGCATTTTCTCTTGGACAAAAGAACATCGAATGTCTACGGTAGACCCGACACGGACACACAGCGTGTCGTTCGAAATAGAAATCGGTCGGCAGGCCGTCAACGACACCAGGATATCAAATGAGTCCTGTTGTTCAGCGAGCATTAACGAGCAGCTCGCTGCATCGCCGAGACGAGCCTTTGCCTGGAGCTCCTGGTGCCGAGTTCGCAAAGCGAGGCATTCGGTTGCGAGCTGGGCCTTGTGTTCAGAAAGCCGGTTGAGTTCGTGATGGAGCTGCTCGAGGCGCGAGCGTGTTTCCTGAATTTGAGCATCGCGCTCTTCGACGTGTCGTAAAGTATTCTGGTTGTGGAGGTTTCGCTCGTGTACGAGTTTTGGGTCCGTGGAGAGCTGCCCCAGTCCACTGGTGATCGCATCCTCAGTGGCAGCAGAGATCGTGGCGCGCAGGTTCTCTGCTAGTCCGCAGAGTTGGGCGAGATCGTTCTGCAGGTTTTCCTGTTGGGCTCTGAGCTGTACCTGAATCCGTTGCTCGTGCCGCGCTCGCCAGAGATACCACTCGCAACGAGCTCGAAGACGGCCAACGTTTTTCAATCGTTTGAGTTGCAGCTGGTATCGAGTCAGTAGATTCGGTTCTGAGCCAGAAAAGTGGAGCTCAATGAGCCGCGTAAAGAGCCAACGGGTACGGAATTCCTCCTCAGCTTTCGCGATTTCAGTGGCGAGCTTTCCATTCTCTGATGCGAGCACTTCACATGAATATTGAAATGCGCCAAGCAGAGCGACTGTTATGCAGGCGACTCTGATGTGCTGTTCGAGCGAATCCGGCTGTACACATATTCGGTTGCTGGGAACCCCAAAAGAGGTGATGCGCCTCCTCGTAGAGAGATCGTCGAGGAATCTGACCCCAGCCGCATAGAGGAAATCCTTGAATACAGCGTTTCCCGGCGCGGAAGCGACGGACGCCTCTGACGCGGGAAGCGAAGAGCTTTCGAGCCCCGTGTCATCTCGCGGTGCACCTTTGCCAATCGTACTGCTCTGAGTCGCTACGACAGTTTTCGCTGTTTCATTAGGATCCCGCTCCAGACGCACTATCTGGTTACTGTATCGTTCTTGCAGGACTCGGCCGAGTGGTTCGGCCTCTGGCGAGGCACCCAACTTCGAATGCGAATTCGCTTTCATTCCCGAATGGACTTCTCGCAAGTGTATCTCTTTGGATGCAGAAAGCGTCTGCACAAGCGACGCTTTCATGCTCAGTCGTCGAACGCTAGCTGCCAACGATCGACGCCGTGCAACACTTGTACTCGTATCGAATCCGTGCATACTACGAGTACTTTGTTGAATCGGGGCACCGACGGATCCCAAAGTGACCCGCCGCTGGGGGCTCTCGCTCTGCTGCGGAATCAAGTCTCGAGCCGTCAGGTCCGGCGACAGGGCCGGACTCTTTGTGTCGGCCGCGAAGGACCTAGACGCACTGTTCGCCTGTTCGGACGCTACGCGGCAAACGCCCCCATGTACACTGATTTGACTGTTCCCGTTTCCCTGTGGCATTTGCTGAAGATGCAAATCAGATATCTCGTTGTCTTCGTCTATCAGGGCAGTTAGCCTCGGCACCTGTCCTGTTATGTCTTCAAGGAGGGCACTGGTTTCCGGAACCGTCGTGAGACCACCAGATTCCTCGTCTCGCTGCACCTCAGATATTGAACCGGCTATCGGTGAATTGGACTCTTTCCTTGGGGGAACGCAAGTCGCTACCGTGGGCGATGTGTTCGCGACGATCCCCAGTTGAGCATCACGAATATCGGTCGACCATAATGATCGCCACCGTGGCGTATCCTCGCTGTTCGCACAATTCCTGCCCGAGTCGCTGTGATGAGAAAGCGAAGGCTCTTGGGACGAGCTTCCCTCCTGGATGCTTGGGAACTTCGGGGGCTCGTCCTCGTAGCGAAGCTTGCCAGGTGTGGACGACGGGCGTATGTTGTCCCCCGCATCGGTTTCATGGGCGAAGCGCTCGCGCGAGCGATCTCCTACAGCAGTTTCTTCCGAGTCAGCGTCGATGAGAGCAGCCAGCGAAGGCACCTTGCCAGTAATATTATCATCGATCGAGTCCCGCCGATTCCCCCTCGTTGTTCCCTGATAGTCAACGTTGCTCGTTGCACGCCACGAGCCGGTCGATAGCCTTGAAGATCGCCGAGGGCGCGGCAGAGGTGGCCGGCTGAGCGAAGCCCGCCGGCCGAAGCGCTCGCCCCCGGTTAGCAGCGTTCGCGTGACGCTCCTCGTTAGGGACGTCGTCCCAGTCAGAGGCATCGACATGCGCGGATGTCCGACTGCTTTCGTGATGTCTTCATCCATGAACAGGCTGAGGCCCTCACTGCTTCCGCTGAAACGTTCTCGGTACTGAAGCGAGTCGTCCTCATTCGTTGAAGACGTTGCATCATCTGCGGCGCCGGAGGCATAGGATCTGATTCCGTAGGCCACTTGCGCTAGCGTCGCTTCGCTCAGACTGGAGCCGCTCTGTATCGTGTTGTCGTCGTCGCTCTCCATCGACCCCACAGTCGGGCATGCAGTCGCGAGCAAGTGCGGCAGGTCACGATGCGGACTAGGCGCGTCTAGTGTGTTGTTTCCAGTATGCGTCTTTGCTGCTGCGGCACGCACATTCGGTTCGTGCTCATAAGCGCTGGGCGTGTTCGAAACGCGCCCTGCAAAGCTCGACGACGCAACACCGGGATATGCGTGGTCTCCCTGCGGCTCCAGAGACTGACGCCTCGACGGGGACGGTGCCGGCGGCGAAGACCACTCAAACTCATGACGTTCGTAGAACTTCACTTCCTGACCTCCGAAGGAGACTCGCTTGTTTTTCGAACTATGGATTGAATTTGTCTTGCTTTTCGTAGTCTTCTCGGAGAAAGTCGGTGAAAGCGCACGCTTCAGGGCACGCTCTGGTGTTGTCTGTCGGGTTTCTTCGGGAGTTCTCCCCCGGCTTTGCGGCACATCTTCGCTAACAGGCTGTACTGGAGTCAATGGCGCTCGCGAGCCACTCGCTCGTCGCTCCATAGCTCCAAATCAACGGCGGCAACGAGTACCAGAAAGCACCGTTATACAAGTCTGACGGATGGTGCGCCACACAAATATCTCTCGCGACGGAATTTCTGCAGACAAGCACTGGAATAAGAAAGCGCCGAGCACAACGTCTGTCGGCACCTTCGTTTCCGCAAAGATCGTGCAGGCAAACGTCCTCGACGTCAGCAGAAGTGCCGCTCGGGAGCACTCGCCCCAGTTCGAGGCGTTTCAAAAATGCGCGCAGCGATCCGTCGGCTGCGATTTCGTTAACGGCTGGTCGTACATGGCATCGGCGCGCACGACCAGCCGGCGCTTGGTATCTGAGGCCCCAGTTAGGGAAAGCCATGCGGCACTCCGGAACCGTTGGTTACTGTAAACGATCCTACACCAAAAAAGTCGCAACTAAGAATGGTTGGATAGAATCAGTGGTGGGAAATGTGTGCGTTTGGTGCGCCTTTCTCTAGGAGTGACGCAGACCGGTGGGCTGTATCTGTCTATCGTGAATAGGCGCCTGAGGCTTGTATCCGCGACAAGGGGCAACCACACTCTAGAAGCGGAGAGGGAGACGTGGATACGAAGGCTTGCCGCAGCGATGGTTTCTCGTTGTCCAGCTTTGAAAAGAACTATGCTGCGGTTTTCAATTGCTCTAAAAGGGCGTACCGCCGCTCAGCGTGTTTGGTGGGAGTAGTGGGAATTCAGGAAGCGCAAACGGAACCCTCCGGATGCCTTTGCAGCGGACTGCGCCTGGCTCCAGTATGCTCCAGTCGAACACAGACTGGTGTCCTCTTTGAAAGTGCCAATTTTCAAGGTTGGTATATTCTATCATTGACGAGCTTCTTGTATGTAGCAGCGTTCACATGAGCCAGGGAATCCTCGAGCCGATGCCCTCCGCGGTACTGCAAAGCCGTTCCGTCTCCGTGCTGCAACCGCACCGGCGCTATAGGCGCTATAGCGGACGATCAGGGAAGGCACTAGGTGCTCGATTGAAAGCATCAAACCACCATTATACCCGAGAAGAAGTATGGGCTACGGAGCCTGGAAGTAGGGTGTGGAGCGATGGATGCTTCACCGCGCGCTGGTATCAAACGCACAGATGAGCAACGCTGGCCTGTGTGTAAATGTTTTACCAAATAAAAAAGAGAACCGGCGGATCTCCGACTTCACGACTGCGATGCGCGTCCCGGAGAGCGTGCTGCATTCGGCGCTGAACCACCCCCGAGATACAGGTGCCCTCGCCCATACTTGCCTTTGGGAATATTCGTCAGTTCGTACAATCCCCGGGTGCCGAGCTCACCGCGAGCACTCGCTATGACGCCGATCGCGTCGGTGCGGGCACCACAGCACGGTGGAGCAGCTTTCATGTTTGCCATTTCAGCGATGGATATCTGCCAAAGACAGCAACACTATCAGCAGCCGACCCTTCGCAACAGCGGAACAAGCTCTGCGTTCAAACTACGATTCCACGATATGATCGCTGCGTTGCTTGGAATATCGGGGGTAATGCGCTCACAGGAAGGACACCCGAGCAACCGTCCTTTTACGTTGCATTTCGCGCAGACTCTACCATAACTCCAATCAGGATAACCGACGCCGGATTCGCACCGGTCTGGAATGGAATTCTCCAGCGCTTCAAGCGTCTGCCTCAGAAACATTTGCGGTGTACCACAGAGGGTCCGAACTCGTCATACTCCGCCTTACTAATCCACATCTGCTGAAAAGTGCTCAACGAGGCCAAAATGCTGCCGCCGATCCACACGCTATATTTGCGCTCCGCTGGCGCTACAAGCTTGATCTTCACCGAAGATGGTGCAACACTAGCGAGTTCCCGCTGCATCCGATCCGCGATGCCTGGGAACATCGTCGTGCCGCCGCTGAGAACCACGTTTGCGTACAGATCTTTCCGGATGTCGACATCGCATTTCATGATGCTCTGATAAGCAACATTATGAATACCCTCGCCCTCCATACCGATCAAGGACGGCTGGAAGAGCACCTCCGGGCATCTGAAACGCTCACTCCCAATCGTGATGATTTGTCCGTCGGGGAGTTCATACTGCTTATCGATTTTCGCCGGCTGCGATGAGGCAATCTCCAACTCATGATCGTAGTCCTGTGCCACATAACAACATTTTTCCTTGATGTCTCGCACGATCTCTCGTTCGGCTGTCGTCGTGAATGAATATCCGCGCTCTGTAAGGATCTTGGCGAGATAGTCGGTTAGGTCTCGTCCAGCCAGATCTATGCGCATGATAGCATGCGGCAAGGCATAGCCTTCGTAGATGGGCACAGTGTGCGTCACACCGTCGCCGCTGTCGACGACAATACCCGTGGTGCGCCCCGAAGCATACAACGACAATACTGCCTGGATCGCGACGTACATCGCGGGAACGTTGAACGTCTCGAACATGATCTGGGTCATTTTTTCCCTGTTGGCTTTCGGGTTCAAAGGTGCTTCGGTTAACAACACTGGATGATCCTCGGGGGAGATGCGCAACTCGTTGTAAAAAGTGTGGTACCAGATCTTTTCCATATCATCCCAGTTCGTTACGATGCCGTGCTCGATCGGGTACTTGAGCGATAGGATACCGCGTTTCGACTGCGCTTCGTCGCCCACATAAGAGTCTTTTTGCCCCATGCCAACCATGACTGCTTGGTGTCGCGGACGTCCCACTATGGATGGGAAAACTGCACGGGGCGCGTCGTCTCCCGCGAAACCCGCTTTCACCATCCCAGAACCATTATCGATCACAAGAGCTGTTATTTCCTCCTCTGTCATAGTCAAGTCCAGTCAACGCTCTTTGCTTTGCGAACTGCTTTGTATACTCTGGGGCGGTGCGTCAGTTATGAACGAACGCGCTCTCCCGCGCAGTGAAGCGTGCAACGAGCGCCATTTTCGCCAAACGATGCGTTTGAAGCAAAAACCGACGGGACAGCGCGCCAATGGCCGCCCTGGATAAACCTGGACACGTGGAGCGTGGCGCGCGACGCACGAGAGATGTCCGCTTCATCCATCATTGAACAAAAATGCGCTGCCCACATGTGCGGCAAGCGTCGCGGAAGCTCCATCATCGTAGGGGGCAGCGGCGGCACAGCGCCCGCGACGCGCACCTTCCACCGCGGACGACGATCGCCGACAGCAGTTGTTGCGTGCCCACTGGGCCAGCGCGCTCGCAAAGACCATAAGTGCCGCCGCCGCCGCGCAGCGAATCAGCGCACCGGGGCTCGGGGGCGGTGCCACGCACACCCCGCATCGCGGGCGCGCTTGTGCGGGGTCGCATGCGGATTAGAGCGGATGTGCGATTTCTTTGGAGCCGGGCGGATGCCTGGAATATTTTTCATAGCGCACCCGCAATACCGATGCACTTCATGCGCTACATGCTCCAATCGAATGCATCAGCGATACGCAAGCGAGCTACAAACACGCGTACGACAGCGGATGTCCGATTCCATAAGCGCACGCGGAGCGGTCGACGCTGCGCGCGGCGATGGCGGTGGCGCTTCCTGCACGATCGCACGCGACTGCAGCATGCACGGCGTGCGCGGGATGGCGGGATCGTTCAGTGCACGAATCTGAAGAGAAACACGGCAATGTGGTTGATAGAACGCTGGCGCGTTCGCATTTTATCTTGGGGTCTAGAGGCTGCTAAATATTGGTTTCGTGCACTCGGAGGGTTCTGGATGGATCTGCGGATCCTCGACATTCAACCACCCGAGAGGCAGGAACTTGTCTCGAGCTTCGTGAATACATAACAATATGTGAGACGACATGGCGGAAAGCGAAGAAGCCTCAACTGCCCCATCCAATGCATACAGGTTGTCGCGGTGAGAGGGTCAGGAATCGTCGTCGGGAACGCTGAGAAAGATGCTGGTACCGGTTATCCGCGAAATGCCCGGCTCATTCAAGCTCGTGCGGCGCTGGGCCTTGGAACCAGTCCCACCAGGCGCCATCTGCTTCAATGAGATCCAGCGGGTCCTCGTTCGGAAAAAAGAGCGCAGGACTCGGAGCTCGATCCCCAGCACGGTAGCGCCGCCTCAGTCGATCACGACGGGACGCCGCATGGCCTCCGCGGATAGCCACCCGCGCTGATCCGTTGGCGCCCTGCGTGCCGCTGTCGCAGCCGGCACTCGGATCAGAGAAAGCGAGCGCTAGCTGTTCGATGTCACCATTGCAAACGGGGCACCGCTTATGCCGTTGGAGCCAGCGATCCACACAATCTTTGTGATAAAAATGGCAGCACGGCAGAATTCGAACTATCTCCGCTCGGCGCATTGGCTCCAGACAGACGACGCAGCAGCATTCGCCGGGAGCGCTAACGCGAGCGGCGTCTGATGCCATTCTAGTTACCTGATTTGCATTGTCAGCACCTGAGTCATCATTCGAGTTCCATGTAGAGGAGTGTTCTAGGTCTAGCGGCCCCGGATTCAAGGTCCCGATGACTGGGATTCCCTCTTCGGTTACAGAGCCGACGAGCGTGTATCTCTCGATGGTCTCAGGGTCGAGTCCGCTGTGGGTCCGCAGATTCTCCACGTTTCCCAGATGGCGTTGAGCGTGATCCAGTGCGGAGAGGTCGTCAAAACTAGAGCTACCCATGTTCGCAAGGCGTTCATACGGGGCTACGTTCAGGTGCGGGTTATCCAATAGAAAGTGCAGATTCATTGTAAGCCGCTGAATGGGTTCCCGCAAGTGCCTAGGCACCCTGGATCCGCTCGCCGAGGAATCGTCCTGAAATACAGTATGTTCGTCGCTCGTGAATTCCATGCGCATTCGCGATTGCCCCGCTGAGGCGCTGCGCAACGATCCCGGCGAGTTTCCCTGGTGATGATTCGCAGCGTCCAGTTGCGTGTCTGCTTGTATTGATTCCTGCGTATCTGCTGCTGTCTCCGTGACCCCGTGCAACAAGTTAAAGCGCGGGCTGTCGTCTTCTGCAGTTGAACTCCGCGCTGCTGAAATGATTAGGGGAGCAGATGGATCCAGTGGCGGCTCCTCGTCCGCATCCCACTCCTCAAAAGTCGAAGATAAGCGACGTGCTGTCAGCCAACTTGAGACGCGATTCAGATCGAGAGAAAGGCTATCCAGCACTCGCCATGTCTCGATGCTGCGTGCATTCTGGTTGTTTCCGGTGGCACGAGAGCCCTCTGCTCCAGGGTGCGTGCTCTCATCCGTTTCGCACCATATCCATTTTCTCTGTGTCCATGGCAAGCGATACAGCCACCGCAGCTGTCGTGCATCCTCCTGTTCGTGCTGCACCTGTGGTGAAGAATGCATGGCTACCGATGCAGGTTGTGGAGGTGTGGGATCGCCATCGCACATGCGTTCGCTCGTATTCGCATCCCTGTCCAGCTCAGCGGATTTTGGTACTGATTCCGAAGCAGAACATCGCGAGCTCCTCGTCGCACCATGGATACGAGTGAATCCATCGTTTGTAGTTTGCGCTCTCCACAGCAACCTACTCGACCAAAGTCGTTTCTTCCTGCAGGATTTCTCGGTAATCGTATCCTTTTTGCTGAACCAGCAGGTGAAGATAAGCGAGTCCCGGTGATCTGCAGGTCGGCGCGTGCCAACGGTAACCGCTGACTCAGGTAATGAACTCCACATGCACCGCCAATTCATTAAAAACAAGCTCTTTCGAATGTTCTCAAAAGAAGGCAAGTTTTCCATCGAGAATTCGCTCCACCGCGGCGCAAAGGAAGGCAAACGCATATGCGCACACGATATGAGCCTTTCTTGAAGCCAAGCACGTAAGCGAACCCACTGCAAATATCGGTTACGAGCCTTTTTCTGTATAAAAACATCGGATATCTGAGCGGATGGGTTCTCTTGACCTGCACTATACAAAGGAGCCGTGTTCCCCAGGCGCGCTGCCGCTGGCTCGGGGGATATTGCGTCCAACTCGTTTTCAAGATCGCAAGCAGTGAGCGGCACAAGCCAGTTTCTGTACCTTCGTAGCGACATTCTAAACCGAGATCCAGTTCCATGCATACAACACGATTGCGAAGATGCGTGCTGTCCTGCCGAACGTACTGCCTCAGTGCACGAACATGGTGCGCTAGTGCTATGTGATGCGGTTCCGGCGATGGAGGCCTCGGCCTCCAGAAACCGGTGCAAAAATTCAGTTAAAACTCTAAAACTTCCAAAGGCTCCGAGGAGCTGGCCTAGATGTACCCAAAACTTTTCTGGTTCGCTCGCAGGAGCTGGCCCTACCTGGCCAGTGACCTCGTCAACGTCCTCGTTACAGGTAGTGTCTGGACGCACCGCGGTGAGCGGCGTGCTCTGTTCGGAGTCACCGAAACCGTCTCTCGTGACAACAAGCTCCATAGTTTCTCAAGTTCTCCGCACACTCTTGGTCGCTGATCACTGAGGGTTGTCGCTGTTGGGGAACGCTCCTCGAGTCCGTAAAAAGGCACTCGCAGCTGTCGCTGCTTCGTGCTGCTTCGCGTACCACCCTGTGAAAGTCGTTTCGGCACCCGTTCGCACGGCCTTACGGGCTCTTTCTCTGGCGTCTATGGCAGGCGCTTTGGCCTCTGTTTCTAAACACCGGCGGTCTTTGTGTTCCTATTGTCGCCAGGGCGGGCAATGACTCCCACGTTAGCACTCACCATCGAGACGAGTATTGAGTAGTTCGTTGGCGCAGGCTGCGCGACAGCCGGTACCGAAGGGAGCAAGTAGATACTGGATAAAACGGACAGGGTGATTGTTTTCAGTCGACGCTCGTCGCGGCCCGATGAAGCGTTCTACTCAGTGAGCGGAGGATGTGGGTCGCAATGTCAGGCCCCTACGAGACATGTAGGACGTGTCTCGGGGTCTTGGAGGGCGCAGCCGCCGCCAATGGGGTCAGCTAGCTGTCCGTGCTGCGTCCACGCTCCCGGAAGCGGCAGGAAGGCGTCTATTCCACGATGCTTCGATGAGCCGGGTGCTCTGAGGCCCATCCGCCGGAAAGCTCGATCGCCCTGCTAGTCTATTTATACGCTCGATGCGTGGATACCAAGTTACGTTCATATAAGCTGCAACTTTCAATAGAGACGTTCGCTCCACGGATCTTTATTTGGACGCGCGGATACTAGACTGGAGGCTTCTTGACTGGAGCGAAAAGGTTGAAGAAACAATGCTTCAAAAATGTAACCATGGCGCTCTGCTGATGCTGTCCTCGAGGGAATGTTCTCTCCATTATCGGAAACATTCAAGCTTGGCTCTTCTCAAGACGTACATTGTTTACCTGTTTCCATGAAGAGTTTCGGATCTCTGATGGCCCGATAACGATTGACAGGAACTCGCTGCGCCTCTTCTTAAAGTCGTTCAACTCAATTCTGCTGCACCTCTGCTGCATGTAGACGAATACTTTTGGCCGTGTATCTCGGGAGATCGAAATCGCTATGCAAAAGTACCGAATAGAACGTAGCAGAATTGCCTGTAGGATGCATTGCTTACTGAAAAGTGCAAGGAGGACTGCATTTCGCTTTCAGGTAAGTTATACAACAGAACTCATATGGTTGGGGGTCACTGTAAGAAAGGAGCGTATGCGCTCCGTGCCAAAAACCGATATTCTCAGAGACTGCTCGCAGTCAATGATAGAACACGTCCTATTGATCACTTTACGAGAAACAAAAGCGACGATAGTAGCCACAATAGGTGTCTCTGTTTTTCACCAGCTGGTTCGTGTGGTCCTCAAACACTGGGCTACAGACACAAAAAAGTGGTAGGACATTCACGGCCATCTTGCACCGAAATCGGGACTGCAGCGTTCCTGGAACTTCACAAAGAGTATGAATCACAGGGACGTCGGTTTTTTTTTCAGTCGATGAGAGTTATTTCGGACGAGACGGTCGGAGCGTATGTGGATGTTCCCGGAGGTGAAGGGAGCCTTTGTGTGTACAAGCAAACTGGAGGAGAACGATGATATCATCATGTGTTCTAGCTGCAGCGCATCCACCTGTCGGCATCAGTTTCGCTCGTAGCGGGGGCTCGTATACGACAGCACCAACCATTGCGTCGAATCATAGAAAACTTTTCCCTGAAACCTGGATACGTCCTCCTGTTGGACACCGTGCATTTCAGAATTCCACTTGCGTTGGAGCCTTTGGGATTTCTATCCGGGTAGAGCTGCTTCTCATTCCTCTATTCGCTCCGTTGGTCAACTAAATCGGAAGAGAGATTTCAATTGTGAAACGTTATGATCGCTCCAATGGGCGAACCGTTCAAGAGTTCAGCGCACGGTGACATACTGGGACCCATGTCGTCTCTCCTGCGCAAGTGCTTCTCCTGCCGGGAGGGTCCTCACCAAAGGGCATAATACAGTGCGTGCATTCTCAGAAAATAAGAGGTGATCTAGGGTGTACAACTTAGAAGGTCTTGACGGGGAGAGGGTAGCGCAGCGCTTAGGATATAGAAAATAAGTGAGAGCTGACAGAGCAGCGAAATGGCTTTGAGGACGCGAGTTCGAGGACTCCCTACATTGGTGAGTTCCACCATAGGCAATAAACGCATGGAATTCGTGAACCGAGACCTTAACACTGCAACAAGAATCAGGAGATATGCGTTGACGAAGACTTGACCCGAGGAGCTGCTTTGATCTGATTTTTTCGCACAGCCTCTCAGGCTCGAATTCAACAAGGAGAAGCTTAAAGCGATAACAGGCGGCCGGTCGAAAAAGGTTTGAAGGAGTCTGTGAATGGGTATTCATTTACCCTGTGTTCGTGAAACGATTTCGTTCCGTTGCGAATCTTTCGCGAGCGCTTTTTCGTTGTCTTCGCTAGTGTCGGATGACTATAGACCATTGGGCTGCTCGCTCTATCCGTGCCTTTTGATATTCTGTTACGCGTTTTCCCAGATCTGCAGCCATGAGATTCGACGTGAAGCATTTGGGCCTTGCGCATGCATAAGTTGTTTAAGGATTCGCGGTCATCTTTCTGGGGTATCTCCTTCGATTCGTCGTCAATGGAATTCGTTGTGTCATCGGAATCAAGATGATTCGCGACGCCCTCGAACCAGATATCGGGAAATAACCGATTTTGTTATCCGATGCAGACGTAAAATCCCCCAATAATGTGTGTTTCATAAGTGTAGCGTGCGCGGATACCGCATTTTTCTAGTTTTCGATCTTTCTGTTTCAAGGCAACTCGTAAGCACAGCACTTTGCGTTGTTGAATTGACGAGGAAAGTTAGTTCACTTCGTCCTTTGCCGACTTGTTCAGAAGCACATTCCGAAAGTTCGCCGAACCTCTTACGTCAACGGAGCGATTCCTGTCGAATGGCTAATCCTTTTCATTTTACGGTCATGAGCGAATCTGCGTTACATAGAAGCATCATACCTTCCATGGAATATGCATTCAGGGGCTCTTGTCTCTTATCTTTCCTTCGGAATGGATCTCGGACTCAGACTTTTCTCATCGCGGCGATCGCCCTCTGTGGAGAGATTGTCAGCGCTTTGCGTGAATGGAGCGCAGGCGGATCCGAAATTCCACGTCAGGGTCTCGAGCCTCGATTTTCCTCCTGGAACTCGCTTCTTCATCGGCAACATCGCGTTCCGTAAATCTTCTAATAAATGGGACAACCTGTGTTGTGTGTACAGCAGGCAGCATACCCGCCGGGGGGGATCGCCCAAAGGAAACCTCTTATCATAGGATAAGGCACTAGGCGTGGAAACGGAGCAGGGAGTTCCTGGCGAGCCTTCTGTACCCGTCAGGAGCGTGTATCGAACGATGAACAAAGCGTTCGCGCGCCACTCGGCAGTACCCGCAGGAGGAACAGGTGTGACGGACGCATGGGATACCGGATTACAGTCACGCTTCACCGCTGAAAAGTGCATACCAAGGCTGCACACAAAGGAGATGAAAACGGTAAGCGAAGCTTATATCGTTACTTCCGCCTGCGCATGAGAGGCGTAGAGAACAGTCGGAAGCCGGGAAATCGGGATTTGAACGCAGCCAGTGACATATCTCGACTGCTGTCACCGGAGCTAGTGCAGCACGCGAAACTGCGGCATTTCAAGCCAAGGACAAGAAAGAGGAAAAGGAAGCAATCTTAGAAAAAAGCCCGCAAAGGCCAGTGTCGGTTACAGTGGCAAGAAACCCAAACTTTGGCCTGTACGTCCAAGTTAACGGAACCGTTCCATTTCATTCTGAAATGAATGCAGTCAGCACAGGTAGGACGTCGTCCCAACGCTCCAGTCCCGAAGCTGTGAGGTCGGAACCACAGTGCGCGACCGAGCAAACCCGGCAGCCACATGGCCGCGCGCTACGATAAAGCAACTCCCCAAGTCATTTCGAGGCACAATACAGCATGCGCTCCGTTGACGACCATTTTACACTAATGAGAAGCGTAGGGTGCTGGGCGAGGCCTCCAGTTTGATCGTGCATCCTCTGGAAAGCTCTAGAGCAAGCAGTGAGCATTAGACTTTCGCTCAGAATGATTTTGCCCCGAGAGCATTCTTGCACCATTCGTAAACGAGATAGCTTACGCCAGCGCTGGGGAACACACTCGTTGCTGCCGGTGATAGGCCTTTGTACAATGCCCGCACTCCACCTTCATTTCTAATGATTTCTTGGGCTACATGGATCATACTCTTATATTGAACCGGTCGGTTGCCAATGCCCTGCAACTGTAATCGCTTGCGTATGACGTCTAGCGGATGGCAGGCCGTTTGGGCAACTGTGCCGGCGATCGCTCCAATCAGCAGCAGAACGCCGACAGGGAGCTGGTCGCTCGACGGCTGTCGTCCGAGTCGAGCATTTGGCGACGCTCCTTCTGGGCCTTTTCCAACGGCGGCCATAGCTAGAGCACGCTTATTCGCCAGAGTTATTTTGAGCTGCTCGTACACCATAAATTCGAGGCCGACGTACGGGAACATGGCGATCATCGTCGGTACGAGCCCGCGGTATAATGCTTGGAAGCCTCTTTCCCGAACGAGAGATCGCAGCGTTCCGAACACGCCCCGATAGCGCCCAGGTTCGGCGGTCAGAAGCGTTTTGGAAACCTCAAGTGGATAACATAGGACAGCTGCACCCATACCGGCGATGCCTCCAGCGATCAGGCGCTCACCAGCTGTAAGCTCTATATCATCGAGCTCCTCCACAAGTACGTTGCCCTCGGGGAAGCGCGCTGCTCGGCGTACCTGGGACCACTGGCGCCGACGAGCCATCAGCCTTTTGAAGGTCTCGAACACGACAAATTGAATGCCTTTTGTGGGTGCGACCTTCAGACAGTTCGCAAGATTTCCTTTGAATAGACCCGGCAGACCCTCCCGGCGGAAGATATCAATCATTTCGTGGATAAAGTTACGCGTCGCCAACGAAGTCGACATGTTCATCGTTGCGACGACCTCAAGCGGTGACACCGCTGTTCGCGAAATGACGCCAGCAAGTGCACCCGATACCAAATACTTCCACGACGGCTGCTTCCTAGTCGCCCTGGGCTGGACAGATGACTTGAGCGATGAGCCGCGGGCCTCTTCTTCCGCCTCAGAGAAACGCCGGCGCGACAGGGGCAAGGCAAAGCTCCAAACCCGCTGGCGACGAGTGCCCTCCTCCGATGTAAGCGCAGACGTATCATGCTTCGACAGAAATGCGGACCTGGAACTTGCTACCTCCAAGACACCATCAGAAAGCACTGAATCTGCACCAGGCTGACCGGAGGAACCTTGTCGCCGTCGGCGCCCGAGTCGGCCGTCTGCTCGCAGGTACGTTCCGATCGGTCGCGGACTCAACTGCAGGCTCCGGGAGTCCCACTTTAACGCGACAACTTTATGATCCATATGTACACAAAGGAGAAGTTGAAGGGTTCTTTGGTCAAGAGTCCAACCCCATGCGACTCCAGCGTCTTAGGTTCCGTACATACCACAGCGCGGCCTTCCAATGGCTGCCGCGCTATCGCCCATTCAGTCAGTCCGCCGCAGCGAATTGCGCCCAGCGAAAAGGCGCCACCAGGCCGCTAGCCGCCAAACGTAGCGCCGTCGACGCGTCGAGTCTGTGTGTCCGATTTTTTGCTTTTCGATGACAGCACGTTTGTATGGACTACGGATCCCAGACTGCGGGATGGATATTGGAAAGCTCAAAAGCTTTCATCATGCTGCACCCTTCCTTCAAGCTTCGTTAACCATAATTCCTCTCGGATATGCTGGTCGTCTCCTATGTTCTATCGTGCGCCGAGTACCTGCCTTTCCGTATCCGCCTTTGCGCCTGAACAGCTGGAGCAGATAGTTCATAGAGCTAGAACGGCTTTTTTATACCACAGAGGGCGTCGGCTCGAGGCGTGCTCCATCTGCTACGGAATCAGGGCTAAATATCATTTTGAGAGGCTGATACCTGGGCAGATAGACCCTCTGCCTGCGGCAGCGTGAAGCAGCGTATTAGGAGCCCTCTGCGACCAGGGCGACACGCCCAGAAGCATTCTGCCGACTTGTAATTCCACAATGAATGGCGTTGCGGACGTGCTGCTCGGAGTTCACGAAAGCGCCTGCCGCTGGGGGAGCAGGAAGCACCAGCCTGGTAGACTTGTCCGGCTCGCGGGACCGTCCGTCTATGAGGAATATTTTGGACAATATGGAAATCTTTTCCCCATTTTTGACGTTGATCGTACACAGGGAAAGAACTCGTTATCTCGTTGCTAGTTACAAGTGAGTCTCTGTTCTTTGTTCTATATAGCGCGCTCGATACGCGCATCTCCAAACCTGGCAGCCTCGAGACACGACGCGCATGTCGCCTTTGAAGGGAAATGCATTCGTGACCATTCGTTGTCTTGTTGCTCTACCGGTCAAGTTGTATTTGCATTAAAGTCGTGGCAACGTATAGTTTTTCAATTCAATTGTGTTCTAATCCTCAAGTCAGTGAACGAAAGTGATTTTTCGCGGTTTCTACCAGACGCGTTTAACGAGCGTTATTTTTCATAAAATATTAAAAAGGAAAGGTATGGAAAAGCAAGTGGAGGATCCCGGAGGCACAGTGTCGCCGACTTACGGAGAGAATGAAAAATAGTGCTAAGCAAAGAAGAACAGGACGAGACGAAGGAGCAAAAGAAGGAAGCCCGACATCAAAGGCTGCAAGAAAGGCGACAGTATGAAGAGTCGGTGTGAAAGTCTGTCTTCTTGGACATACCAAGAATGCGTACAAGGCAAAGATGCGAGAGGCCATCAGAAACCGTGTCGTGTCATACTCCGTGAGTAATGTAAAGGCTCCTTCAGGACTAATGCATTTGGTGAAATGGATGTATCGCGACCTGACAGACATCAAAACAGTCGCGGTTCCGGAGGATTTTTTTCAGCAGGACCTTTATTTGCCACTTGATCGTTGGTAGAGGGGAAACGTCGACGAAAATGAGCGAGTGCATGCCCTCAACGAGAATTACCCAAATACCGCTGCAGCGGTTCTAGATACAGAGGTGACTCGCGGAGGTCTACGCCTACGGGGCAATGAAGTACCTCACGAACCTGAGGAATCAGATGACCGTGAACGTCAAACGCTTCATGGTACGCGCCGTCTATGCGCTGTACCCGGGTCTCGCTCGGAAAGGGAGATGAGCCATGATCAATGGCGTCGCGAACGAGAGTAAGAATGCACAAGAGATCGAACTCGTCGACGGGAAGATGTCACGCGGGAGAAGGAATGAAGCTTCTGTGATCCGCGCGGCTATTCGAAAGCACCTTGCGGTACTGGGGCTGCCGAATTCACAAGAAAAAATATCAAATATGGAAAAATATGGTAAAGGATCCTATACCCTAATCCTGCACTATCTCGTGTTTTTGGACCGAGACCTGGAACGCAAGACTGGAAAGGACGTAGGCGCGGGAAAAAATGAAGAGTCGGAGAAACGGAAGGCTGCGCTTCTGGGGAAGCACTTCAACGTCCTGCCGTTGTGCAACATCAAGTCACGCGTTGTGACGATCGACTCCAGAATCCTGTACGGCATCATGAAGGAGATCTGTCCGGAGTTCGATGTAAGGAAGACAGAGTTCACCGGTACAAAGCAGGAGACGTACTTGGAAGAATATCTTCGATTTCAAACGTCACAAAAAGGACAAGCGAAATGTACTCACGGGGATGATCGAACGCGATGGAGTAGCCATATATGTACACAATCGGCGCTTGGAGACAGATCGTACTGGTCCGTCTTCGATATCGCCCATGACGAAGCATGAAGAAAAGAAGCAGGTGTATCCTACGACGCAGGAAGTGCATGAGAACGACATTGTCGATGGCGCGGACCCTATGAATACGAATATCATAACATCGCAGTACCCAAGCGTGCGGAGGATGGTATTGAAGGCAATTTATGCCAGAAAGACATGCATCAGTTAAACCTCTCACGAGCGGGATATCACCGAGAGTCGGGAATACTGAATGCGAGGGAAAAATGAGACGTGAAATGCAGGAATGCAAGAGCACCTTGAAGCTATGAACCAGATGACGAGCCGCGGAGCAGACTTTCAAGCTTGTCAGGAATTCATGGAAGTTCGCGTTGCTCATTGGGATGCACTGTGGAATGAGTATGCAAAGCCCCGGTGGGCTCGTTTGCGTATGAACTTGTATTGTGGGAAACCGCGTGCATTCGCGAATTTTTTCAATGAGTTGAGTGCCTTCAAAGAGGATGAAAGTCAGAGGCTCGTAGTAGCGTGCGGAGCAGGGCGCTGGATGACCCAAAAAGGATGTCCACCAGCTCCGACGACAAGAGCGTACAAGGAGTGCACAAGGCGTCTCGTTACGATACCTGTAGATGAGTTCCGAACATCGTATACACACCATGAGCTGGGGTGCATACTCCAGAGCGTGCAGATCGAAAAGTGCCAGAGGAGTCCTGTGGATATATCAAAGTACGGAGCGCTGACGAAGCAGTCACCGGAAGGGAGGGCGAAAGATCGTGGACTAATCGCATTGGTTAGTACAACCAATGATGGCAAGAAACGTATGGAGTTTGTGAACCGAGACTTTAATGTCGCTATCAATATCAGGAGATGTGCGGTGATGGAAAGAAGGCCTCCAGAGTTGACAAGAGCCAACTTTGTGGGGGAACCTCTCCAGGCGGAATTTTACGGAAACAAGTTGAAACCAGTAGTAGATGGCCGGTCCAAAAAAGACAGGGAGGCATCTGCGCATCAGTTGGAGACGTATGATCTGGGGCGCGCAGCTCGCCACTACTGTATACTGATATTCAAGCTATCGACTTTTGAAAGTCTTTCGGTGGAGCTAGTAACTCTGTGACGTGTTTTTCATGGTTCCCCCGCGGAAGAGACGCTCCCGCACCGCGCGAGAGCAGCAAGGCAACGGAACACACATCCCGGACGGGAACAAGTCGACGTCTACCCCGTCTGAAGAAGTGCGCACAGGAGCTGCAGCGGATGCGCGGGAAGACACTGCTTTTCCGTCAGCTGAAGGTCAGAGACCTGCGGATTCGCGGCGGAAGCGGGTAAAGTCCTGTAATATATCCATGAAAGACTACGAGGATCCTCATCAAATTGCGAAGTTCGAGGCAATCTCGGCACAGCTAAACGCTGAATCGCCGGAACAACTGGGGTTTCGACCCGGTGACTCTGTGGACGTCTCCCCGCGCGCGCTGAGCCTCCTGACCGGTAACCTGCTTCAGTTTCAAGAGCGGGTTCTCGGACGGAACTCCGTCGAGCCGCCAGAAATTCGGGGTTTCATGACGAAACTGCCGAATCGTCTCTTTCACGACTACTCGGCACACGGCTCATTGCGTACAATTATCGAATGCTGTTTTCGGTTCAGGGTTGCTCGTGGAATACGGCGTTTTGATCTCCACAAACCCGATATGACTGGAGTTTTTTTAGAGATGCTCCAAGAAGTTGAGCGGGAACTGATAAAACGGAAACAGCTCCAGATGCCGCGGTTGTTTTTCGCACCGGCATTGGGTTCGGCGGAGATTGACCGCCTCAGCGCCATTGCAAGGAAGCATGGTGCGTCCGTCGTTTCGTCGCCTCGCGAGGCAACACATATTGTGTACCCCGATCCACCCGGCACGACAGAGGCTGAGACCGAGGCAGAGGACTACTGCGTGAGTCTGAAAAGGAAAGGGAATCAAGTACTGACGCACTGGTGGTACTTTCCCGATTCGTACGATTCATGGATTCCCGCTCAGGAGGTAGAAGATCCCGACGGCGAACTGCACGGAGAGGAGGAGAATCTCTCCGGAGTGATTGAGGGCAAAATATGGCATGTGCAGAAAAGATTTCTCGAGGATTGCGAAAAGTTCAATGAGTGGTGCAATGAAAACGACTATGAGGTAATACCCGAAGAGGAGAAGCTCAATGTCGATGAGTGGAAACCGCCATCGGCCTCGCGCATCGATGGCCACCTGCGAGGATCCGAGTCGAAGACCGCAGCACCGACGCCGTCGAAACGAAAATCCGCTGAACCGAGTCCCGTGAAGCCGGAGCCAGACGGCACGCCAGAACGGGTGACGGTGCGCGCCGTCCGAGAGGAATCCGCAGAGCCGATGAAGATCAAGGTTCGCTTGGCACCGCCGATAGCGAGCCAGGACGCGGGAAGCTCGAGCAATGCACCCGCGGAGCAAGTTCCGGCACCGAATATTGCTGGCCCGATCACGTTCACAACGGAGACTTGCGCTGCGGTCGATGCGGAGCAGCCAAGCGCTGCGGCCGGCGCTGCACCGCGCATTTCACGCCCAACGGTGCGTCCGCTAGTTCCAGATGACGCGACACTGCGCATGCGCAATGTAACTGCATCTTCGCGGGATGAGCAGCTACAGAAGAGGTTAGCACAGCAGCGAGAAGCATTACGCGAA